ATGTTCCTATCTTTCTTTTGAATACTAGACTCCTGATATCGTTTCTCCCTCGAACTCTATCTCGCATCACGTAGAGAAACGCTTCAGCAAGAGAGAGGAGGCTAATCCTGAAAATTCCTACTGCAGGCAGCTTACGCCCTCATAATAGCACCGTCATGCAGCAATCCAGCGGTGCAGCTCACACCCAGCCGTCTTCGCAACCCCATGCTGCCGTCTCCACCTCCACCACACCTCCCGCCGTTGTTAATACGATTCGAACACTTACCCTGATGCAACGATTAGACACGCTGGTCGTTGGGCTCGTTTCTGGCTCTTTATCTGTTGCACCTCTCCTGAGTATACCGACGGTCAGCATTATCTTTACGACGATCTCTCTCTCGTCACAAGATGTTATCTCATCCGTCGAGTACACAATGGAGGCATGCTGTCGTTTATTGCATACTTTATATCTAAGTACCAGGAGTCACACAGATTACTTCCGCGGCACCAACCGTTTCGTCCTTACCACATGGTAGACGTCGACCAGACTTATTTCTAGACCACATTGCATGCATATAAACGTGGCTCGATCACGACTTATCGTTCTTCATGTCATACATACCCTGCACTATAATTAGACCATAAGCGTCTTCATTATTCTGAGCATCACATCCCTCAAACGCATTCACCCGCCGTGACGACTCTGACAATGACGTTAGTGTCGTTGGTCGTATTATCGTCCAGCGGCTCCCTGTCGAATCGCACATGTATTCGCATGGAGGTACACCTCAACAAGTTGGCTTTCCTGCAGAAATTCCAGTAATACTGGCGTGTTCTTACAGTTATGGTGAAGCTGAAGGAAACAGGACATCACATGGATAGCAAAGTGTATTACGCAAGATGCAAGGGACAGCGTACACGATTTCATATTGATCTCTGAATGGCCACTACCTATTCGTACAGTTTCACCTAATATCCATCCGAGTCATTCAAATAGCATACGAATGTTGGCTGTTCAAGCATATCCACTTCTTCCCAGGGACGATTGCGAATGCGGGCCCCCCCTCGCGAACATCTTCCGACATCATCAAACAAGCTCTTTCGGGCCGTTCATAGGCAGCGAAATGGCCTCCTGACTTGTGATGGGACTCGATCACAAACGTTGTTCAACCTGCGCAGCCACCTACGATCTTGTGTTAGCTTCGTGGCAGCAAAGCTGAACGATTTTTTAGAACGCACGCTGAGGGTAAAAGAAGGAGCTCTTGTGGGAAATACGACGCTCCCATAGGAATAGTAGGGTAACTAGTACGACCTAGATCGTTAGAAATCGCCAGACACCTCAGAGTAAATGCGATGGGCAGCGCCGGGCCCAGCACGGGAGAACCAGTATATGGAGATCCACGTAGAGCTGTTTCGAAGGTAGTGAGTAGTATATTAAGAAGTGGCACTGCTGCTACCTTCGTCATCAGTCCACTTGTAGTCATCGGTCCAGATGACCATGTTTTCGTAAAACCACCAAGCAGAGCAACGGGCTATCAGTAAAACCGTAGGCGAGCGTCTGCGGGAAGGTGCTCTGCTCAACAAAGGTAGCCGGATGATTTTGTTGCGATTACCACGCGGTGCGCTCAAGTCCTGCCTTTCTTCCGCAGAAAAGGGGGTTAGCAAGTACGACAAGAAAGACAGGGGAGATTCCAGGTCGGTGGATCGGCCCTAATCAAAGATGAGATGGATTGATGGCTCGGAACCGAGTAGGAGTACTAAGGTAAGTGATGAGGTAAGTCAGGGGTCCATAACAAAACATAATGGTAAGTACAAGCGCCTGCATGATGGAGTATGAGTTCTGATGAAGGGAAAACGCACCAATGGACCTTGGAAGACTAGGACAAGACATGTGGAGGATGGGCGATGGATCCTAAGGAAGTGCAACAAAGTGCACCATAACACATCCAAACATGCTGGTACACACCAAAGCGCACATTGTGCGGAAGTCAAGTTTGGAGCGCATTTGTAACAATTGTCAGCACATTGTGAAAAGGCGTGAATCATGCCTTTCTGCACCTGCTCAAACTCCAGTCTCTGCAGTGGATCCCTGCCCATAGCTAGTGGTGTCACAAAGAGAGGCTCTGGTAGCAATAGCAGCAATGTGCTCGATGACTGGGTGTAAAATTGTGGCAGGTGAAGAGGTGTTTGGACCTCGCCAGAGGAACAAGCGCTCATCTGCTCAGCAGGATGGGCAGAGAGGTGACAGGTTGAGGCTGAGGCCTCAAGGACACTGCTGAAGGCACTAACTATTGGGAGCCAGAAGAGGGGAGTGGGATGGAATAAGCAGATGCTACAATGATATTAATTTGTTGCTCAGGTGCTCCAGCAACAGGAAAGAGACTCTCTGGGCTGTGAGGGGGAAACCAGCAAGGAAGGAAGTGATGTCGCCATGGGAAAGGGCATCTGCAATGTTTTCCTGACTGGGAACATATTCTGTATGGATGCAGACATTGTTCTTGGCCTGCAGGGTGAAGATGTGCTTGAGTATGGCATTGGTGGCTTTGCTGTGTGATTGACCCTTGTTGGTAACTGCCACAATTCCTGCATTGTCTAAATGCACTAGGAAAAGTCTGTTATGAGGATCTTTGGAGTCCAGCAATCCTGTGGCTCATGAGGAAAGGTAGACACTAGTTGCAAGGAGAAGTAACTGACCAAGATGTAAGGCCAAATGGAGTCCTAGATCCACTGCCACAGCTTCCACTCATCCAATGTCAAAACCACAGGATGGGCCAACACAAAAAACCAGGAGCCCAGTGCCATGCGACCCAAAACTGGTCAATCACTACTCTGACACCAAAGGAGGTGCTGGCATTGCCCCACTGTCCAATGTCTGATGGGCATGTGGAACAAAGGGGGGTCTCATTCAGCAGCATGCACAGTAGTTTAGCCACCCAGGTGAGGTCATGTATCAAGCTTGGTGGGAGGGTCAACTGAGCCTGTAGCGAGTGAAAGACTGAGGCAAATGATGATAAGGCGCATAAGAAAGGGCAATTAATAGGGAAGATGTATGATATGTGAATCAATTTTCCATGTAGGCTGTTTGCATCATGCTCAGAGAACTTTGCACATGGTTCAAGCCAGGCCATCAACGCTTGTGCAGGCCTCTATAGTTGTGCAACTGACTTGAACTTTGACAAGCTTTTCTGCTGGAATCGCTACTGACTTCATATTGAGGTTCCAATTGAAGCCGATATAGCGCTAGATGAAAGTGAAGGTTTAGAGTTTCTCGAGACTCCAAGGGACACCACACAAGGCTATTAGTGCTATGAACTTGGCTTCTGACCAGGTCTGATGAGGGAGATGGATGATGAGAAAGTCGTCTACTCATTTGTGAATGAGATTGAAACCTGCCTGGCCATAGATGGCTATAAGCATGTCTGCAATGGAGCCAAAACCCCAGCACTGGATGTTAAGCCAAACATCAGGGCCCTGTCAACATAGACAAGTCCTCGCCAAAATACACACAAAGAGTTCTGCTGGTTTGGTTGAACAGGGGTAATGTGGTAAGCTGCTAAGATGTTGAATGTTGCTGCTGTGCAGCCATGAGGTAAGAATAGGATTAATTCGGCTGTGCTGTTGAATGAGCCCCAAACAGTGGGGAAATTGTCTGCATTGATTCCGGTGTGGGAAATACAACAAGAAGAGAACTGTAAAGTACTCTTCAAATGTTGGGTCAAAATTACTATGCCTAGCTGCTATTTGACCCTAAAGGGTTTCTGTACTAGACTCAGAGCTTAAAGAGCAGAAATATCATCAAAACAAAGACTGTGATTCAGACTGGTACTGACAGTGGTGAAAGGAAGACATGATTCTGTAAGCAGTAAAAATGCGAACATAAACTAACAAAAGTGGGTAAGTAAAGGTAAGTAAAAAGGGGAAATATCAGCCCAGGGAAAACTATATTGTCACACTGGCATTGTCAGATATTATTGATGTATTGATTGAGAGGTATGACAAGTCTTGCACAAGACAGAACTTGTTCGAATGCGGTTTTGGTACTAGGCTAAGAGGTGATGACAGAAATGGCCCAATTATCTGCTTGAGCTCATGTGGGTCGAATCCTTGAGAGTAGTGACCAGCGGCTTGCTCACTGATAATGTAGAAGTCAATGAAGGAAGAGTTCAATTGAGAAGAAGTGTGATTTTCGAAATATATGTGTAGCTTTGGAAGCATTATAGACACCGACATTGAAGCCATTATGAATTCCTACAAGTATGTGCATCCAGTCATCAAGAAGATTATATTTACACAGAAGATCCTCAACAAAATCTGCAATTAAAGGAGTGACTATGATGCATGGGTCAGGCTCGGTGAATGCAGTTGCCTGTGACATGTCCAGTTTCTGCACAGATGCTGCATTCATGAAAATTGGTGCAGTTGGAGTTAAAGGAGCAGGAGGAAGAATGAGCCCAGTTAAAACAGAAGTGTTTTCCATTGGCTGCTGATAGTGCATGCTGGCTTTTAGCCGACAACGTGAGTGGCACAATGGATTTGCCTGCGGACATTGATTTGGCACTGCAGTCTCCAGGTAGGTGTCCTGAGTGCCTGCATCTAAAGCAGTGAAGATGTGCTTTCTTATGAGGGGTTTGGACAAGGCCAGAAGAGGAGTCAGATGGTGCTGATCATTTCGATGGGGATGACAGGGGCTGAGAGACTTGCAGCATGGCCAGAGATGCTCGAGCCACAGCTTGAATGGCAACAAGAGTGAGGGCACTCATGTTCAGACCAGTGAGATCATGAGCTGTATTCTGGGCTGCTAGTTCTCTTTGCAAGATATCATAATCATGGGCAATTTCCCAACCATGTGAAGCGGTAAGTTCAGAAACCACTTTATGATGTGAAGTGAAGGCCACTTCTCAATTAGTACCATTATGGAAGGTGATATGTTCCTCGACTACTCTGGAGGCTGCTAGCCACTCATGAAATTTAGTCATTTTTCCCTTGCTGCGGTCAATACCTTTGGCAATTAAACTGCCTCAGCTGTTAAATGAGACTACCTCATTGCTGCCATGGAAGGCATTTAGGTGCGCAGCTGGGGTGATAGTGATATAGGGAATGTATTTGTATTATTTCAAAGCTTCATCCACTCTTGGAGGGATGACTGCAAACAAAGATGAGCACACTAAGCTCAGACAACGTAAACAACAGTAATGAGAGGCTAATCATATTCTTGCCAAAGACGAGGTTAAGCTCCCAGCTCATAACAGTGTGCAGCTCAAGATAGACACTCGATGGTGTATGGCCATGGTGGGCTCTCAATGGTGTAGAAAAAATGATTTATAAGAACAAATACTTACTTGCATCAAGTGGGCTTGCTTTGAAATTAGGTACCAGGTCTGGTAATGAAATCTTCTTCAAATCCATGTGCGGTGCCACAGCTGCCACCCTCGCTTGATCCACCACTGCAGGGTTAGCAAACATGGCTGGGAGCGGGGCAGATGGAGAATTGACCGGAGGGACCAAAATATCAGCATCCTCGGCATCCAACTTGCGTAGTCTGGCTTGCAATGCTGCCCTTTCTGCTAACCGGTGTTGTGAGGTAGGGACTGGTTGTACTGCATTTGGTGGGCCTGGGTGAACTGAGCTGGCTTGATTCTGAGTAGGGACCAAAGAACTTTGAGGGTTAGTAGCAGGGGGCCTGCTGTTTGGCTGTGCAACAGTGGCCTGGGATGACCCAGATGAGCATGAACTAGGAGTGACATTATTGGATGTCGAGTGGGCCACTGCAGAATTGGATGATGATCCTGCAGCCCCAGAGGATGAAGCGGCAGGAGAAGGGTTATGATGGGTCGATGAAACTGGTAGTTGTGAAGAAGGCGGAGTTGGTAGCTATGTGGATTGCTGGGACTGTGTAGAGTGAGCGGAAGAGATACTCTGCAAATTGACCAAGGCAGGTGCTGATGAGCTACTTGAACTCTGCTGTGGTAAGTTTAAGCCAAAAACATTATTAGTCATGCTTAAGGATGTGATATATCAGAAGAAAATGAGGGTAGCGAGCAAGAATACTGTGAAAACAAATGAGTGGGTTGTATGGAGTAGTGAAGAAAAGGTTGAAAAGGAAGTAGGCACACTTGCTGCTCTACTGGATGTGTGGTGCCAGTTCCTTCTGAGCACTCAGGAACAGGCATCTTACACATCACTTGCCAGGGACTATTTGTCAATCATGACTTCATCGGTCTCAAGTGAACGAGCATTCTCACAAGGAGGCATTACAATCAGTAAGCAGTGTAATTGGCTTAAAGGTGATGTTGAAGCATTACAATGTGTGAAATGCCTTCTACGTCATGACCTTCTATTCTGTGAGCCCAGTCCATCATCTCTTATAGAGGTTGAAGCTAATGACTCTGAAAATGAGACTGGTGAGGTTGGAGATGATAATGACAAGGAGGGTTGGGATGCACTGATCTTACATCATCAAAACTGCCCAAATGTCACAGTACATGACATTACCTGATTAGAAAATTTGAAATTGATCAAGTATTACGATGCATGTATGCATGCATCATACAAACCTTACACATTATAAATGCATCACCACCCTCACACAAGTCTTAACACAGCTCAACCACAGTGGCAGCAACCTTATGTTGTAGTTATAAGGTGGTAGTATTATTATATGTACCTCATTACAGTAACAAATGAATATATGTGTGTTAGAAAATTTTGATCTGAGGCCTCCCAATAATGAGATTTAAGATGAGTGAATTGACAGTGGATCACACAAGATCAAATGGGAAAACATAGTATATTATACTACAGAGCACTGTAGCCCTCCACCGCCATCAAATCGTCATCTAACTCCTCTCCCTTGTTGGCTTCTATCCTATCAGGGTCCTCTTTCTCCTCTTTCTCTCATTCCTCTTCCTCCTCTCTGCCTTCCCCATCTTCCCTGTCTTCCTCCTCCTCCCCACCACCATTGTTGTTGTCCTCTTCAGCCTCTTCGTCCTCATTTACCACCCACGCCCCATCACTTTGCAGGAACTTGTCCTATTCACAAGTTATCTTGTGGCTGATACCTCCTCCTCAGTATCACATAAACATATATCTATCTACGAACCTAGGAATAGATAGATCAATCAAGTAGAAGTCAATAGGCACAGTGCACTCACATGTTTACATAGAAATAGACCCAATCCTGATTTGAATCTGCCTCGCATTGGACAAATGAATGAGGAAGGAGCTCGTTAGTCTTACCCAATTGAAATGCTGGAATAAGATGGATCCCTCAAATGATAATGTCAGGATCCAGGAAACTGAAGGCATCAGGATCTTCACCAATAAGAAAGCCAATGTGATGCAAACATTTTGCAGACTACCCAGATTTGAAATCTCTGTTGCATCCGAAGCATGGCATGAATAAAAAATCCATTTGATGCAGTTTCTCCATGGATGCATCATTGCAGTCCCAAACATCAACATGGAAGATCTGGATGATCCATACATACCAATAAGGGTGTCGTGCATCATTGGTCTCATGCAACAGAACCATAATGTTGGCACAGGTGCATGGATTGAGTGAGTCTTGCTCTCACTGTTAAAGTTGTAGGTAGTGTAGTTGATCCAGAGGATGCTGTGCTCATAGAGTTTGTTGTTAGAAATAATAATTTGGGACCATTCTTTGTCAGTGAACTTAAGCTCCTCTCCGGTGTACTCAATCCTGCAAAGACATGTGAGAAGATGTTTTTTAAGTCTGGGAATAAAGTCCTATTCCTCCCATCAGATGAAATAACTCTAAAAGGTTATAAAAAAAATCCACTACCACTGCTAAATCATCCTCTGGAAAGTCACTGAACCACTCTGTGAGATCATGTGAGGTCCTAGCATACTTAGAGATATGGTAGTAGTCAGCTGGCAATGTCTGATCGCTTTTGCAGTGCTGCGATCTGGCATCACCTTGTCTTGATGCCAACACAGCTTGTGCTTTGATGATCTTGCCTAGTAGTTGTTTCCAGGTCTCGATTCACATCATACTCGACACTGTGTTCTTCTTGCCTTTAGGGGTTTTTGGATACTAGTATTTGATGTGCCTATGCTGAAATTCACCCAAGTAGTAAGTGAAACAGTACCAATTAATATGTATGTACATGCACGATCAAATTAAAACTTACTGGCTACATGCTGTAGCTATCAGTAGTATTGAACTATTGGATTGTATTGGGGTAGTCTCCCAGGGTGTGATACTTGTAGGTCATCAAGTTGAGTTTCTTCCACTTCAGGCCAGATGAAACTACCTTGGTGGAGTAATCTGAAAGCTTGGAAGCTAATGCAGCTTCCCATTGGCTGCACATTGTATACTTGTGGGGTAGTTCTGTCATATGGTAAGCCTTACAAGTAGTATGAGAAAATTTGCGCACTGTCTGCCCCAGAATAACTGTAGCAGCGTCAAAAAAACTAAGGGTGTCCTTGGTATGTATTTGCAACTTTGCAATGCCATGCCAAGCTGCCAGGTTAAATAGAAGGTCCAAAACCATGGTATTATCATTACCTGGCAGCAAGCCCTCGAAGACTGGAAGTGCACACTGTAAATATAGTATACAGATCATTAAAAACCAAATCAAGAAAATTGAAACTGACACTTACCTGCAAAAGATCCTCAAAATCCCTTGCAGCCAAATGTTTCATTGCTGACACATTGGAATTGAACTTTCTGATGGTTCCTCTGCCAAAGGTTGGCGTAGCTTTATATCTATTAAGATCCATTAGTAGATGTAATAGAAATTTGAAAATACATACCTTCTATTCAGTGTCTAGACAAAATCTCCACCAGCCGCATGCAAAATGTGCATCAAATGAGTGAAAATTGCCTTCCACACACCATTTTCAAACTCATGAAGCTCATCAACCACAAACATATGGAAACGGTTGAACCCGTGAGGCAATAACTTGACAGAAAATGTGTTCTATGTATTTAATACCATCAATTATTAGGAGGGAGTGAAGCAATATAAAAAACTTACTTGAGTTGAGTCTAAACAACCCAAATTTCATATGAAGCCCCTGTTTGCAAAGACCATATCTCCACAAAAACTCAACATTTTTCTATAATTCAAAGTGGGATTTTACTTAGAATAGTATGCTCTATAACTGGGTAGAGCTATGAGACAAAAAATGTCACCCTTGAGTAGTTGAAAAGTCCCATTTTCAGTATTCTCTCTCTACTGGAAGCAGTTTTGAATATATTATTTTACTACTTTTAGGCCCTTGTTCAGGACACCTAGGGCTACATTTCACAATTTACTTGACAGGAAAATATTGTGTTTTGGTGGAGATACATGTCAAACAAGGGTGATGCATTACTTTTTTGAGTGACTGTAAGTGACGTGGTGACACACAGATGCAGTCGGTTTCCCTTGAGTATACTTGGATTGATTGCCAAAATAATGGTAGAAAGGCCAAACTGAAATGTTGCCAAAACTCACAAGATGAGTTGCGTCGGGCCACATCATGAGAGATGTGACAACACGCTCAAGGTTGTCTCCTGCTTCACGAGGCAGATCGTTAATCTTGGCATATGTCTCGATCATTTTGGGGCTGGAGTAAGCTTCTGAGAATACCTCAATGCTATGTCCATTGGGAGATTTCCAGAACTCATGATAGGGAGTCATATTGAAGGATGTTGCAATGTCATCCTTGAAAATGGATTCTATTATATCAGTTATCAAAGACTCCAGGTATTTCGAGTTCTGGGGCCTCAGTCTTGGTGCTCTACTTTTTACTCTCTTTAGGTAGCCTGATCATGATAGCAGATTGGTGCCAGCCACATTTCTTGTGGAACAGATTGGACAACTTCTGCAAATAAGCGTCAATGTTCTTTGATCCCAAGTATGGGAAAATGAAATAGCATCACTATGATTAAATAGTGGATCACCAATGAAAGTGGTGAGGCTCTGCAACTCAGCGACAGACTGCTGACCAGTTCCAGAATACTGATAGGCCATAAGGAGGCTGGATATGGGGTTAGAGAAAGCTGCATAGAGATCCTCCTGACTAATCTCCTTGGATGACAAGCCTTCAGTAATGTGACTCAAATCGGGAATACAGTTACCTCCAGCAAGTGTGGGAGCATCGGTAACATCCTTGAGGGTATCATTGTTGAAGGGTAAGGTGGGGTGAGTAGGATACAGGTGGTAGAGACCTACTTCGTCCAGTTCCATTTTGAAGGGAATGAGGAGGGAAGGGGTCCTCATGCTCTGACTGCAGCAGGGAAGGTGTACGAGGCTGGGGGAGAAGTTGATCCATGATGACATCATTATGATGTCCACATTGCTGGCAGTCAGAGGGCAGCACATGCGCAAGGTGAGTTGTGGATCCTGGCAGGAAGTCTGCAAAGCGGGTAGGCATGCAGATTCTCTGTCCAGATCGCTGAGAGACAACAGGTGGGGATGAGGGTGATGGTGCACAACCCATTTCAAACTAACAAAATAGTTAGAACTATATCACTGTAAAAAATAATACTTACATTGTTGTACACCTCATCCTGGTCAACAGACATGATGTCTTGAACCTCCAGTTGAACCGGAACCACAGTATCATCAAGGATGCACTCGGGGAACTTGTTACAATGAGCCCTCCTATCCCTTCTCTCCTTCTTCTTGTCTAACTTGCGCTTGCAATTGAAAATATGGTCAGTGAGGACAAAACTAAGTGGACATTGAATTGTATGTGCTGCAAGCTGCTTGTGTGAGCCAAATTTCAAAGTATAGGCTAAACAACAGGAATCCTGGACCATGAGGAGAGGCAGGAGAGAGAGGAGGACATGCAAGGCAATGTATTGTATCAACCTAAAAGACATACCTTAACTAGCATCCTTCCCCTTTTCATCGACTGAAATACAGCCTCATGCTCCAGTGACTTGTCAACCTCCGCATCATTAAATCCACCAACCAGAACATTTTCAGGGACATCAGGGGTTTATTTTTCATGGATGGACTCCAATTTCACAGTAGTTGCTTTGGAAGCTGTTGTCATTATAGACTTGGAAAATATGGTCAAAGGAGGGACAGAAGCTGATTGAGAGCTCAATTTTGATTGGGTGTGTTGCAAATCTGCTGGAAGATTTGAAGCCCAAGCTTTGACATGTTCACCAAGTGATGATTTCATAGACCTGAACTCTCATCTTTCTTTTGCCTCTTCACCTGCTTTATGCTGCTACAATATGACCACTATTTCCTACAACTTCCTTGCAACTGGCTGAATTGCCAGTGGTACTTTGAAACAGCTGCTGGATAGAAAAAACACAGACTCTCAGCACATCCCACATTTGCAGCACCCACCATCTCAGCTGCTCACCTAGATACTCCTCTGATCAGACCACCATCACCACCTCACTCAGATGGTTTAGGCCATATTTAATGTCCATATTTGCCTCCCTATGACAATGGAGACCAGTTTGATGCCCCTCATCCATCATCCCCACCGCTACCTGACGTCAAAGCAGAGTTTTTTGGTCCAGGAAATTGATTATATCAAAATTACCACAAGGATCTTGATGGCAAGTGATGCACTGATTTTTCTTCTCATATTCAATGTTCTTTGCTTTTTTTATTTACTGTTAGAAGGACTACCTTTCCTTGTGCAGTGATCTGTTGGTTCGACACTGTTGGTGATGTCTTACTAGGATGCAAAAGGCAATAAAATCACCAAATTTTCACTATCCTTGTTAAGACCGTAGCTCAAGGGTTAACAGATCTGAAGGGCTTGGCCTCAGCTCGTGCACTGTGCCCCTTACCCGAGTGTTACAGTCTAAGTATGCCCCTATTCATTTTCTCCTCTTACATTGTATTACATCACAATCACTATCGAGCCGTCACTAGATGACTCATCTTTTATCTCTGACTTGTTTCTTATCTTGTATTACATCACGATCACTATCAAGCCGTCGCTAGATGACTCATCTCTTATCTCTGACTCGACTTGATTCACCGACACCTGCCCTAAAGTAGTTGTCATTTCCTATATAAACCCGTCCTGTACATTGTATTTCTTCACTTAAATCTTACTGGGTTTTACCTGGAACTTCCTTCGCTTAAGACTTCCAATCTTAAGTCATTTAAACTTGATTCAAGTCAAGGACACTCTCCTTGATTTGACTTACAAACTTCTACATACATAGAAGTCTTTGAACCGACGATAGCCGACATTGCTTATCGCGTTGCTATACATCAGAACTATCCCAGTTCGTAACACCGAGTATGTACCTTTAATTTCAGAATGAAGTCCAAATGGAATCCGACAAAGTCCGAAGGACTTCTGGAGGCTGGCTACTCTAGTAGAGTGCTAGAGGACTTCCAGATGAGTGCGGGAAACTTCCGGAGGAGTACAGGAAACTCTGGAGGAGTTTCATCCACTGTATTGGGTCTGAAGATGAGACTTCCAAAGGTAAGCTCCCTAGATGGAAACATATAGAGGATAGACTGCAAGGGACAGAGTCCAAAGCAGGATAGAATAGGAGGAGTGGTCCGAAGGACAGGACATCTGGAGGTCCAGAGGTTAAGATGTCCAAAGGTTGCAATGTCCAAAGGTTGCAATGTCTGAAGGTTATGTTGTCCAAAGGTTTAGGAGGAGCAGAGGAGTGGACAGGATTAGGACAGGAGGGGAAAGGCTACTACAGATGAGGTCCAGAGTAGAAACAAACAGAGGTAGACTACACTATGGTAGAGTCAGATAGACAGGGTTTAGACAGAAGTCTTGGAAAGACAGGAAGTGCAGGAAAGGCAAAACTTCGGTCTAGGGAATCAATCCCTAGACTTCAGAACAGAGACATAGGGGACAAATCTGAAGGTCCGGATTTCCAGCCTAGGGAATCCATCCCTAGGCCCTGATGGAAAGGCAGAACTCAGATGGACTGAAGTCTAGAAGAAGATTGAGCAAGAAGAGCAAAGTCTAAGATGATATTCGAACTAAGGAAACTCTACAGGAGTTGTACAGAGGTTTATATACTGGACAGGATCCGAGAGGATCAGTAAGCTGAAGACAAATGCTATGTACGAGCATGTGGAAACATATTGGTAAGTATGAACGGAACATAAGTAAATGAACTCGGAGATGAGACAGAGTACAAGGATCAATAAGCAAGACGGTGTAGAGACTCGATCCTGAGTAGCCTCACAATGGCATATATTGCAACAATAGGTCGAGTCTACAGTAATATGCATGCAACGCGACACTTGCGCGATAAACGCGACGTTCGCGCGACGCACGCGACATAGGCGACACTTCCGCGACTTGCGCGCGCTTTAGGCGAACTTTCCCGCGCCTAAGCGCTATAGGGCGCCTGACTTCCCACTGTGTTTTCCCATGTCCAACCAAGTTCCCAGGTATGCATTTCTCCATTTATCATTTATTTCAACATCATACCATGTTTATTTTCACTTGGTACACATTTTTCATTACACATTTTTTACTTTACACAACACACATTACCACGGACCACGATCATCATAGACAGTCACCATCTCCGAGTTTTTATTATGTTTTGAATAAATCATCGCAAGCCCTAGTAGCAGTTAGCTCTAGTGGCCATATCCGCATCAGTTGTCTTATCAGCATCTCAGTACACGTCTTAACATCTCACTATCGCTCGCATACCGCTTTCACCCAGTTCCGCTTTTCGACGCTTTCGCCTTATCATGCGCTTTGCGCATTCCCCCTAGAGTTGACCAGTGGATATTTGCTTTCTCCGCTTCCCCTAAGGGACGAACATATCGCACTCATATTTTCCTCCCTTCAACAATTATATCAGCTGCACCCTCAGCTGAGTTGAAGATCCTTCAACGGAAACAGAGATAACCGAAGTCCAGAGTCAAGGGGATTACCATAAGGAGATAGATGCTGATTTAAGGTTTGGGCTTCGGATATGAGTATAGGTTGGATCCGGAGGTCTAGAGATATCAGATGAGCAGATCCGGAGATATAGGTGAAGACAGAACTAGGATATGAATTGTAGATATAGACCAGTAGTCTAGGGAAGGTAAAGTCCGAGGTGGAATGAGCTCAGATCCGATAGGACCAAGGGTGGATGAAGCAGGCTTAGCTGCGGAGGTCCGGAGGATGTATGAAGGTGTATGGATCCGAACTGATAGTGGACTGGAGGACTGAAGGCATGGATAAGGGTATGGAGTCATGGATAAGGGTATGGAGGTCCGGATGTGCATCTGGAAGGCGTGGGAACATCATCGGACGAAGGTCTGGAATACAGGATATGACAATCACCCACAGTCAATGGTTCAGATAAATACCAACAGTTGATAACATGGTCGTTCATGGGGGTGCAAATGTAGATTGTGTTCTTGAGCAAATTTACCAATGAATAAAAGGAGTGAGGATCTAAGGGGATTATCAGGAACAGTATCCGTTAACTGGCTTGATGCAGTGCTTGGGAAACTCAGAAACGGACTGAATATAGACTTATTGAGAGTAGCCAAATCAATAACTGGTATGATGCTTACGATACTACAGATAACAGATGACAATATGTGGTGAGTCAGAGTGATATCTCTTGGATACTCCTTATTCTCACAATCAGGGGAAATCAAACTAAGAGGCAAATACAATTGAATCAATCAAATATGTGGCTTCAAAACCAACCTTCTGCTGCTTAGGATCTCATGATGAGTAATGATGCAATCCAGACCAGAATACACCCTCATGATGTAGTCTTAAGTGGCCAAGCTCTTAATATTGTTGAATAAAGTATCAGTCTTATTGTCATTAAGAAAATATGTGAATTCTCCCCACAGAAGTGATTTTCGTGTCATAAAGAGAATGGAATGAAACTACACTAGATGACTAGTAACCATGTACTAGCTAGTATAATTTGTTATAGCTCAGGGATGACTTAGAGAAGGTCCATACATCATGGGAAATAGTGCCAAAAGAGCGGAGGAAATAAACTAATATTCACTCAGATTTTCACACATACATTTATAGGATCTCAAAAGAGGTGATCATTATTATCAGAGGGAAACTAGGCCCCTTTATATACTACTGTACTAATGCAATCAATTCAATGGCCTACTGTGACTGTGACATTGTACACTGATTCGACAGTTCGACACCAGGGTTTGTGACCTGTGACAACACCAATATTTTTCGACATCAGTCACAACTGCTACTCCCAGGAATCAGCCAAAAAAGGCAAAATCAGATGATATGAAATTATTTGATCTTCGACTACTGATCAACATAACCTGCTACTAAGTACATCAAGATGATCAACACCAAAAATTTGCGATACCTTCACGCACTCCTAGAGCCTCCTAAGGAAGCTTTTCCCCTGCTTCTACCCCATGAAATCCTCTCTGTGCTTGATTTACTGGCCTTCAAATTCCCCATGGTTGTTGCAACTGAAAAAAATATCCCCATCACAGTCTTCTTTTCTACGGATCAGCCGTCAGTCTCGGACATCAGTCTCTTACAAGATTTACCTGTTCCTTCCTCAGAAACACTGCAAGCCCTTGCTGAACTGAGCATCTCCTTGTTGGACAATGGAGCATGGTCACTCCGATGTGCCCATTTTTCAGAGGACTCGGGGACAAAGCTTCCATGCTGGGTTCTGACTTACTGGTGTGAGGTCATGACACTTCGAACCAAGTATCTAGAGCCGTGGATCCAAGCTAGAGAGAACCTGGAGAGAAGAGATTGGCTGTCAAAAGACAAAGAGAAAGAAGAGACACAGACCTTAATTGACAAGGTCTACAATGCTCTCGGCTCCATTTCGTGGTCTGCAAACATCAGAGGCTTCAGTAACACAGAGCGCACAGTCACACTTGCTACATATTGTACGGACGAGTGGCTATCTGATATCCAGGAAAATCAAATGCTTGACCTACTTCAGAGAAGGTTGCAACATGAGCCTGGAGGTCAACAGATCAAAGTTGAGAGTGTGTACTTCTACATTCTCTTGAAAAGAGGATATGACGCGTGCACCTCAAGATAATATGAAGGGAGCCGTCATTTCACATGCATATGGGAGACTAGGCATGCACTTTCATCGGGCCTCGGTCCAAGTTGCATTGGCTTCTTGGTAAATGTCAATAGAAACCACTGGGTGGCAGTCATCGTCAACTTCAATTCTCGCTCTATCCTTTATGGTGACTCACTCAATCAAGAGCCTCCGAACGACATGCTTGCTATACTGCATTGGTGGATGCATCATCATACTGGTCATCGTTTCACTACACGTTCACTTGAAATCACTTACCAAAAAGATGCCTTCTCATGTGGCCTCCTCTCCTTCAATGCCCTCGCACATCATTTTCTTCCCATGGAGTATCCCTTGATTGCTGTTTCGAATGTGAGGAATGGACGGCTCAAGATCCTGTTGGATATCATTGATCAGCACCTTGACCAGGCAGGTGTGCGTCACTTACAAGGACGAACATTGCTGACTTCTTTATTTGATAGAGCTTCGAGTCCATCAGTCAAGAATATCAGTTCACCTTCTCTCAATCCAAAACCGCTGCTTACCTTGTGCGATCAGAAAGTCCTTTATCTTCCAAAAGCAAGACTTGGATAAGCCCCCTCCCACGGACACCATCACCTATTTCCTTGATGCCAGAGGATTCCTTTTCACAATCAAGCTCTCCTGGATCATCTCCTTCTCCTGAATCATCTCCTTTGCCCGCTGAAGGATCTTCAACTCTGCTGAGGGTGCAGCTGATATAATTGTTGAAGGGAGGAAAATATGAGTGCGATATGTTCGTCCCTTAGGGGAAGCGGAGAAAGCAAATATCCACTAGTCAACTCTAGGGGGAATGCGCAAAGCGCGTGATAAGGCGAAAGCGCGGGAACAAAGGCGCTATAGGCGCGCGAAGCGCGGGAAAGTCGCGCGTCGAAAAGCGGAACTGGGTGAAAGCGGTATGCGAGCGATAGTGAGATGTTAAGACGTGTACTGAGATGCTGATAAGACAACTGATGCGGATATGGCCACTAGAGCTAACTGCTACTAGGGCTTGCGATGATTTATTCAAAACATAATAAAAACTCGGAGATGGTGACTGTCTATGATGATCGTGGTCCGTGGTAATGTGTGTTGTGTAAAGTAAAAAATGTGTAATGAAAAATGTGTACCAAGTGAAAATAAACATGGTACGATGTTGAAATAAATGATAAATGGAGAAATGCATACCTGGGAACTTGGTTGGACATGGGAAAACACAGTGGGAAGTCAGGCGCCCTATAGCGCTTAGGCGCGGGAAAATTCGCCTAAAGCGCGCGCAAGTCGCGGAAGTGTCGCCTATGTCGCGGAAGTGTCGCCTATGTCGCGTGCGTCGCGCGAACGTCGCGTTTATCGCGCAAGTGTCGTGTTACATGCATGATACTGTAGACTCGACCTATGTTGCAATATGTGCCATTGTGAGGCTACCCAGGATCGAGTCTCTACACCGCACCTCACCAATTCTTCGGAACACAGCCTCTTGGACCAGAAGCATCAATAGCTGCAGTCAATCCTAACAAAACGAAAAAAGGCCGGGCAGACACGAGGCCTGATGAAATTTTTGAAACCATGTACACAAGAGGAGTTGAAGGCTCAGCTCACCGTAGTTGAAGCAAAGTTGGAAGAGGGATGGGAGCGGGCTCAAGAATTTGATGAACTGGAAGAACAGAGGTGAAAGATAAAGGTGCGAGGGGGGAACATTGAGCGGCAGCGCAAACATCGGCAGAAGATATGTGATCTGGAAATCAAACAAAATGAGTGCACCCCTGGAGGAACTAAGAGAAATCTCAAAAGTACGTAACATCAATCATACAATGCAGATTAATTTCAACTGTGGCATAGCGGCAAATGCTTGACCCGTCAATGAAGGATTGTTCACCAAAAATCTCATGTTCCTCCATTGCGGAGTTGACCTGACTGAATCGTGCTGCGAAGGAATATGAACACCAGCATAAGCAGAAGAAGTGCCCCTCAGGACGCAAACATACACACGAGAAGAAGGATGCAGTCTATCACAACTGGCATGGGCTGTTCACATGGATTCAGATTGAAAATGCTATCAAACACCCATCAGTCATGTGGAGCTCGTCATGGCTGGTTCAGTACCTCAAGAAAAAGGATCCTGTAATCTTCAAAGGTCTTGCGTGTTTGACTGTTGAGGGTTGGATTGATCACACTGGCAAACCCAGGTGGACAGAAGCTGCACTTCATATGGCTGAACTAGGAAATCACCAGGGACATTCAAATGGGGGACGAAAGGGAATTTTTGTGCGTACTGTTTCCCAGTTCAATTTCTTACAACGCTAACACAAGGATTGGCCTAGACTAATTACCCCGGCTGTTGAGAAAGCAATCATTAAACACCTCAAAGTTCTTCGTGACAATGGAGCAGTCCTCACCCTCATAACAATCCGGGCTATCATGATTGCAATGATCTCTGATTTGGCACCCGAGATTTTCGATCACCAAGCAAAAGATGGTTCCCAGTTTCAGTGCTCCGATACCTTCGTACGGTACTGGTTGCACAATAGCCTGCATTGGTCCGAGCGACGTACAACACGGACTGCACAAAAAACTCCAACCAACTGGGAAGACTTGTGTGAGCAAGCGTCTCTTTGGCTTGCATACAGCATCAAAGAAGAGGACATACCTTCTGCGCTCTATGTGAACTCCGATCAGACACAGGTGGTTTATGCACAGTGTTCAAACCTTACCTGGGTGAAGACAGGTGCCAAGCAGGTTTCAACTGTGGGTAACGACGAGAAGTGGGCATTTACGGTCATGGTATCGATTGCAAATGATGGCACCATGCTGCCCCTCCAGGCCATCTATCAAGGATATTCAAAGGTATCACACCCCAGTCCATCAGCTCCCAATTACGAGAACTGCATGAACGCAGGGTTTCATTTTGAATATTCCAACACAAAAGCCTATTGGTCTACACATGCGACAATGCATTCCCTTGTGGATGAGATCATTGCACCACATTTTGAGCAGAGGAAGAAAGAATTAGGCTTACCACAGACGCAGAAGTCAGTCTGGCAGATTGATGTCTGGTCGGTTCATTGGTCAGAGGAGTTTCAAATATGGATGAAGAACAACCACCCCACCATCATACTGAACTTCGTGCCTGGTGGGTGTACAGGCTTGTTTCAGCCATGCGATGTCGGGATTCAGCACGTATTCAAACACTCTTTGAAGTGTTCGTATCACAGTGACATTGTACAGGAGTCGTCAGAGCAACTTGCCCGCAAAGAGAGTCACCTTGTTGTCGATAAGCGGATTGGCATCCTACGAGACTGCAGCGTGACCTGGCTATGGGATGCTTTCACGACGGTAAATAAATCTGACATAGTTAAAAAGGTGAGTAAATGATTCTCTTGGGTGGCCACGTACTCAAGACAAACGAGTTAGGCATTTGAAATGTGCCATGTTCACACATTTAATTTATCATTTGAGAGCCTGACAAGTTATGCTGTGCGAGAGAAGTTGAGGAGCCTCAAAGTTGACGATCCACAGTTTTGGGATGAACTCACGAGTCATGCACCCCAAGAGACGAATGACGGCACCCCAAATGAAAACGAGAATGAAACGGAAGTCTTAGGCAAGGCTGCAGAGACCGATGGTACTGACCCAACTGATGACACTGACGTGCCATGTGTGTCTGTCATTGCTGATATGCTGGGCAATGTTTCAAGTGTTCAAGGAATCGAAAAATTGAATGGGAGACTGATATTGAAGGCTGACACAGAGAGCATGGAGTTTGCAGTGGATATTGGGGCCGTCGAGGACGCTGATTGTGAGCCAGATACCCAAGTGGTGTTAGGGCGAGGGAAAAGGAAGAAAAAGGAAAACATGCTGTACTCACACCGATTTTGGTGTCACCACAACAAGGGACAGTAAGTAGTATTTTGCATGTAATTGAAGTAAGTACGTCATCTTGGTAAATTAGGAGGTAGTGAAGGCACATTTTGCTTCCGTTCATCATGTTGTGACATGGTTTCGACATACCTCATCGTGACCTGTGACCAAGACATATTTTCAACACCGACATCAGCCGGTGTGACGCGTGACTGTTGAATTGATTGCATTGGTACAGTACTCTACTAGTGGCTATGCAATTACTTATTATGGAAAAATGACTCATTCACTTTATTGTCCAGATGTTCACCTAAAGGTTACCGCTATTTTGGAACTGTCCAGAAAGTATGAGAAATCATTCAAACAAAATGTAGATTATGTAAGTAAAAATATGACACTGCTCAGATGGTGACTGTGCAGATGTTAAGATGTTGAGATGTTAACATGAACATGGCTCATTAGATGGGAAAATGTACAAAAAATTCCAATAGGTGTGGGAATATGCTTTCTAATGAAAGGATAATGGTTTTTAACACAGATTGTTGACCATGATAAGTCAGAAATATGAATAATTAATTCATTTGCCTATGAAAAACCATTGTAGAGACTCGCGTTTCTGCAGGCACATATGGGCACATTTTGCACCTTTTCACAACTCATGACAATTGGCCTTCAATGCACGACTTGCACCATCAGCTATATTCGACTTCTATCATGTCTCTAGTCGTTTACACATAACGCGCAGCTTTACTGCGAAACACGCCATAGGCACAATACATTCCCACACAATGCGCAGTATTCCCGCATGCGCGCCTTGCACTCTTTCTCACGCTTAAGCGCCCTGCATCGCCTATCATCCAGGAATGTCTGTCTATGTCCATCCACCTCATTGGTATGTCATATGCCTTGCCTCGTGGTTTGTAACAAGCATTGCAGCGCTATTACATGTCATTATGTATTCATAGCGCTTATTGCTCCTATCCCTTCTGCTTCCGATGTGATTTCCATAGTATAAAGTTTGCTGACTTACTACTCCATCATTATTACTCCCCTTTGCTGTACTTCCCTCGCTATTGGGTTTTACTTTAAAGTAGTAGTCACCACTTGGGCGCACTTTGTGTTTCCAATGGTTATCGTTATCCGCCTATACTAGACCTTTATCCGCGCTTGTTATAACACTCACTCTGCATTTGCACTCGCTTTGCACATCCGCTTCCTTATCCGTTTCTTTATCCGGTATTCTCCGCACAACGCGCGCCTTAGTGCTCACGTTCCCACGCTCGCGCTTACCTTAGTGCACTCTCTCACGCTTCGCACTCACTTCGCTTTTCTTCTTGTGCTTTCGCGCATCCATCGCACTTCAAGGGTCTTTCTTTCATCTGGTTCAGTGTTCAGTAGCAGTCCCCTTTAGGGTCAAATGTTCTTGCATTCTGCAAGTATAGCAGCTAGGCAGAGCCAAGACTCACTTATACTGGTTGAGCATTTTTAGATATTTCATATCAGCCCAGCCAGGTTGAGATCGCCTCACCGTCAAGAAAATTATAATAAATGTGATAAAACTGTAGGAAAATTAGAACTACCATTGTAGGGTGTAGTAGGTATGTAATTTGATATATTATACATCTGTGACCATGTATGAAACAAGTTTCATGCGTGTCAGCGACTCCACTGATGAGGACACTGGTTTTCTGGGTTGTTGCCCAGGGTTCGCTCCCAACCACTCCCCTAATATTTCCATCATCCACACTGACTCTATTTATCATGCAGCTCATTTAATCCCTGTCTATGGCACATGTTTCATCTCTTATGACCTTAAATTTCATCATTCCTACAATTCTTTCCAGTTTTACTACATAAACAAATACACTGACCATCACACATTCAAGATTGCTTTTTAGCGACTGGTGTTGTCTTTTAATTGACTTACTTCAGTTACTGGTTCACACTTAATGCATGATGCTATGACTTTCAAGTATTGTATAGCTTTTCTGGCCTTTCTATGCCTGACTCTACTTTTGTGCTTTTATGGCACTTGTAATTGAACAGCCAACTTTACCAACCTCGACTTAGTACAGTCTTAATTCACTTGACCAATTTAATTGTGGGTGAAAGATGTATCAAGTTGCAAAAGTGAAAATAAGGAATCCATTGTTTCCTGATCATGATGCTCCACTCAGGGTTAGCAACCTGGTCATTGACAGCTTTCTCACCTTCTCAGCCTTCTGACAACAGAGCCTGTGAGATGAGAGAGCCAAAGAATTTGGTTGATAGTTCAGTGGCTTGTATTAGGGACTTGTGCTATGGCCTTGGATGACATTTGGGCAGACATAGTGACCCATTTTTGCTTTATGGCTGCTACTGGAATATGACAGTAGTTTCCAACCATGGTGAGAATGGTGTCTGAAAACTGTGCAGCCCCATGCCATTCTGGGGTATCTCACCTGACAAAGTATTGTAACAGACAGGACCCTTTTGTTTGTCCAGCTCCACAAGTAAACAAAGCAGTGAATGAACAAAAATGGATTCTGGTCTATCAATATGTATGAAGGTAGCTGTAACATGAACTCGGAATGAATGATCTTTGACAGGTGCAGTGTGAAATCATTGTTCAGTCACTGTGTAAAATGACATTGGATTGTCAGCACAAGAATGTTCCGGTGTATTTGAATGTGAAACATTTCTAAATCCTGCAGAAAGTCATCCACTAGTGGAACATTCTTCATGGGCTGTACCCTAGAAGGGGTACAGGTCTGGCAATTTCTGTCATCCCAATTCCCAATCATACCTATGCCACATTTTGGATGATCATGTTTGTCAGCATGAGTTGAGCTCATCCATTGATTTTCTTTTTCATGTTCTCTTTGTCCACTCCAGCCATCATTATTACCTAGTATGGTCCCCACGTACCTGTTGTATTAGATCCACCATCAGGCCTGCAGGCCCAACTGTACTGTCTAATTAGGGTGGTTACATGGGAACCACAGGTGGTTTTCCTGATGATGATCACTGTTGTGTTCACCATGTTTGGCAACATCAGGAAAAATCTCCTAAGCTAATTAGATGTTTTTAGAACTAATGTTCCATCATTATGTCTAAATCATACAAATTCAAAGTTTTAGCTGTTTAGATCACTTATTTTACCCCTTAATAAAAAGACGAGAATTAGAAGTTATTCAAGCAAATTATCATGCATTGCAGAATTAATTTGTTTGATTTTAGATGGGTGGATGATCAGATCTGACCGAATCAGACAGCATTACAGGGGGAAAAAACTAGTCTTTGATTAAGAATGGGTGTATGGGTAGGCTAATTTGTATGCTATGACCAACGACGGACATATGACAACAGTAACTAGTTTCGCAAATGCTTCCAGCTTGCTAGCGTGGCTACTAGCAGCGCTGCTATACATCAACTTCCTACAAGCAAAGTAAGCACAAGCCTGAAGCAGAGGACCTGAATGTGGAGAGCGGTTAGTAGGGGAGCATGTAACACCTATGAAAATGAGTGCTCGAGCATTGAACAACTGTTGTGCATCCGTCTTAGTAGCGGTAGCGAGAACAAAATGAAATGATAATTTTTTGGTGGAAGCCTCGATAGCGGCCGATTTTAAAGTAGTGAGGTGTGCTGCCACCTAAAGTGGGCGGTGTGGGTGGAGCTGCGTTTTTGATCTGTTCTTTGGTTCCCTCACCATTTGTTTCTTACTCCTTGTCCTTGGACGCATCTTTGCGTACCATTCCCATGCAAGCTGAATGACTTCACCATCGGCGTCGAAGGTGTTGGAATTTCACTGTATCCTGGGTGTGCCGTTGGGTGGCGAACATATATGGCACTGCATGTGGAGAAGGAGACCTCTGCATAGGCAGGAATGAAACCGAAGGGAGACGCATATGGAGGAAGGTTGAAAGGTGTCAACGAGGACAGCGTAGACTCAGGGTCCTGGAGGAAATGAATAGCTGCAGGGTCAACGGAGACCACATCGCCTGGGGCTAGACGTGTGTCGGCATTCGTATGCTGTAGATGCGCATTAGTATATCGAAGCTAAGACCAGGCGCACCTTTTTGCCATTTAGCAGGACAGATCCATGAACGACGAGTCTCCGTGCCTCATAGACACTATGAGGCGAAGCAGCACCGAAAGATGAACACGTTGATGCGTCGCTCCACCTCGGCAACCGTGGTACGCACGTACGAGTGCTTTCGAGATCCAACGCTGCTGAAACAGCGTCTTAGGCGAGCGAGTGAAGTCAATGGCCTCGGCCTCGGCACCACAGGACCGCCTCCAGAGGTTGTAGAGGTTACGCGGAGACCAGCTCTGTTAAAAATATTGTCTGTTTAGGTTTTAGCTGAAGATAATAGCTATGGAACTTACCATTCGAGGCATGGCCTTCCAAAATGCAAAAATGTTGGCGTCCCTCATGGTGGGGTTTGGAAGACTGCCGAAAATAGTGTAACGGTAGGCGTAGTCGAAGTGTCTTGAGCCACCTAGGGTCACGAAAGTTTCGAAGAGAAAAAGAAAGGCAAAGAAAAGAAAAGAAAAGCAGGAAGAAGGTTTAAACTTGCTGGAGCGTGGTGTGAGCACTGCATGGCGCGGAGACAAGAGAGGCCATGTGTTGCAGAGGGAAGGCAGGCTTTGGTGGAGAAAGACGATGGTAGCCATAAGAGGGCGTAGGCGCCAAAAATGTACCTTCAATCACCAGAGAAGGATGAGTGGAGTTTGGTGCAGTGGACGGTGCATGCACTGATGAAGCGTCAAGACTTGGAAGTTAGATGAGTGTAGAATCCAGATGCGGCGTGGCGCAAGTTGGGTGAAAAATGGACTGTTGAATTCAAGCATGGGAGCTCTATAATTATTAATTTAGGTGGTTCAATTTTCAAAATTTTCAGTGTGGAAGGCGCCGGAAGGAACCGAAGTGTTGTTCTTTTCCGCAGTACATCTCACTCACTTGATCCTACATACACAGTATCCTCGCCCTTATCCAAGAATTAATATCTGCACCATCGGGTCAAGTCCGAATCCGAGTCATCTTCGCCTTACCACCGAAATCAATGCCACTGCTCTTCCCCCAATGGTCCGTGTTCAAGTTCCTACTCACCTTATATATGTTGAATGGTTTTGTTGAATTCAAGCTGGAAATTGAGCGCAGTGTCCACCTTATACCAAGGTTTAGTGTTATGGCCCCCACGAGAGTGGACGAGTGATACAGTGCTTGAGGGCTGTGAGCCTGTGACACCTTCTGGTTGAACTCATACATAGATAGACATACTTTTTCAATGTTCAGATAATTCTCGATAACTCTTGCTAATCATTTGTTTGCATTAAAATAATCACATCTAAATTATCATCCTTAGTGACTTTATTCATAAACACCTGTGATTATGTGAATGTTATGACTTTATGTGAATTTTGGCTAATTTGCCTTGGGAGAGTTTTCCTGATGAAGAGGGTTGCATGAACAAACTCAAACTTGAAGTCAGTGAACACTAGACCTAAGTTATCTATAAGTGCCCACTGTCAGTGGCCCACTTTTAATACTCATGACCCGAACACACTGGCAATCAGATAACCTATACTGTAAGGAAGTAACGTCAAACATGCAGTTTGGTTGTCGTTTTCCTGGTTAAATTTCACATCAGAGTCTGATGTACAGTGCTTTTGGGTGCGCATGGGCACCCACTTTAAATGGCCGGGCCCATGCATTCACAATTGGGAGGTCATACCATTATAAACCCACCACTACTTGCGTAAGTGGCTGATGTTTCGAATCTACATTGGAGTGTGCCAGAGAGGTAGCCCCAGTCTTTGACTGCAAAAAGCACCTGATTCTCGCTCCTCTGGCTTATCAAGCATTTACCAAGAAACGGAGACACAAACTGTCAAAATGCGGGAAAGGTAGAGTCAAACTGCATCATTACAGGTTGCCATACAATTGGCTGGGCGAATCCCATTCAACATGCTCAGTGGGAGGATTAACTAGATTGAATGGTGGCATTTCAGACACAATGTCCCGTGTAAAAATTGACATTTCCATTAAGAAGCTCCTGGGTACTCATACATGGTGAAGTGAGAGATCACGAAAGAGGTGCCAACCTTTCACTCATTCCTATCTTGTACTTCATCCGGTAACTGCGACCCCAACCATCTCAACACGCCAGCCAGCATAATTAGAACGACATATACGGCATTTCCTGCAAGAAGATTGCGTTCCTTCGATACAGCAAAGAGCGAAGTCGCCAATGCGGGCCCGACTGCACGAGCCGTTGACGCAGAGGTCTGGCCAAGACCATTAATAGCGCCAAGTACAGTATTGGTAGGAGCAGAGGCCGTGATAAACATGAAGACAGTCCCTGTAATGAAGTGGGTTACAACTTATAATGACAAAACGATTGTATTGCAACACATACCAAAGGCCATATCCCATGCAACCATCAGAACTAGCTGGCAAAGCAAGGTGAACGTGACTGCATGATCAACTCCTCCCCTTGCGTTTACAAGCCATGTCATTATCGGAAACATGACCATGACTGGTGCGAAGCACGACACTGATATACAGAATAGACGCTTTGGACCAAATCGATCAACAATTTTGGCGAAGAATAATGCCTGAAAAACGCCATCCATGATTCCAAAAAACGCCAGCCACGAGCCAATAGACGAAGGAGAAAATCCAAGGCCGCCAAGATATGTAGGTGTCGAAAGGAACAGCGGAAAAAGAGCCCTGAAAGAAACGTCAAGAAAAGCGAGCATGGCGTAGTTGGCAATTGGAACAACAATGGCAGGTGTGAGCAAAGATCGCAAGGGGGGTATATGCCATGGATTGTTGATGCAGTGATTCACCACTTGAAACGCCGAACGTGGCTGATGTCAACCTTGGTCGGACGCTTTGTTGATAGTGTCTGCCCAATCGTGAGTAACGTGTGATGATGCAGGTATGTCGGACCTACTTCTTTTAAAAATATTAACATCATGAAAAGTGCTAGGACGAACAAACAGGCTGCCACTGCGCAAGGCAGAAAAGTATGGGTATTTTCCCCAAATGGATTGGCGAATAATGCGGACCAATGATCTTGCGGTTCGCGCGAGTGCTCCGCCTATTAAAGGACTGAAATGCCGATTTCATCATTTACCGTCTCCGTAATCAACAGCCCCACTTACCCGACAAAGCCTCCAAGGCTCCAGACAATCGGGAACAAGGCAAATGCCTGAGCCATATTTGTGGAGTCCGTTAATTCTCCCATCATAGTCTTCATAACTCCCACATTGCCATTTAGAAGACCGCACATGCAACGGCTAGGTAAACCTAGCATATCAGCATTGCGTATCTCTTTTGAGCTGAAGACAACACCTAATGACCAAGACTCCAGAAGGTCGTTGAGAGGCCGAAACACAGTATCGAGATGCAAGCACCTGAGAGACCAATTACCAACACGGGCTTGCGCCCAATGCGGTCAGACAGTCTACTCCACCTCAGCACTGTCAGTGCCTGCGCGACGAAAAACAGAGATTCCTGTTGAGCACATCCAAAGTAGACTATAGAAACCCATTCTCGCAAGTCGCCATGTCGCCACCTACAATGATTCCAAGCATAATATCCTACAGCCGCATCGTCACCCCCCCGTGATTCCAAGTTCGCTGATAAGCTGAAAGAGCAAAACAGTATAAAAATGTGCATCAAGGAAAAATATCGACATTGTGAAGTCATACCTGATTGATGTAGGGGAATATAGATGTCGAAGCGATGGGTTCCGCAAGTTGCAGCATCATAAGTATGCCTATCTGGCATTTTGGAAGTGGTGTTTTAGGCTTCTTCAAGGTCTCTGTAGGAAACAGAGGCGTGGTCTCGCTTGCTACCACACGAGGGGAATCAGAGGCGTCCATCCTGGTGAGTGAGGGTTGAAAATACAGCAAGAGCCTGGCAAGTCCAGAGGCAGAAGTAGCGAACCACCCCGATGTGAAACGAACAATGTGTAGTATTTATAACCTGCGCAATGTCATATGATTGATGATCGGCTGTCGAAGTCTCAAGCAACACACCTGAAGTGTCGAGAACGGGTCAGAAAACGGCGACCCGCGCAGTACCCGTGCGCGTTATCCACGTTCCTACTAGAACCTAGAGCACTAGTAGCAAGACCGTCCTACGTAATTAGTATCCAGTCACAATTGAGCAATAACGATCAACGATTGAACAAGCAAGTCGGTACCAGGGCTAGAGAGCGCTAGAAATAAACGACGGCATAAACGATTAGGAAGTTGCTTCGAAGTTTGAAACCACCTCTTGGGAGAACTGAGCACAAGTCCGTGACTGGCCCGATTTGCGCACTGTAAGTCGCAGAAAGTTGGTTGTTTCAAATTGCTAGTCCATATGATCCATCGCACGAGGAGAAACTCTATGAGTCTGGAGTGATTCTGCTATGCTGTAGGGAGTCTGCTACATCAGTGAACTGGTGAACAGACTATCGAAAATGGAGTAGTCAGACTGTGACCTATATATATAGTTGACAATCACAGCCGAGGTGACACATAAGGCTTCATAGTAGAAGATATCGGCAACAGGAGGACGAGGTGGTAGAGGCGATTGAAAAGCCAGCCCCAAAGAAAGATACCAGAAACTCATGCCAATTCCCGAAGCGTCACAGTAAACGCGCAGAACATCATGCGCACGTGCAACGTCTGAGAATCTCCATGGCACAAATTTAAGGAGAAAAACCCCATTTGAGTGTTCGAGATGATCAGCTGCCCATAGAAGCTCATCTACAATACTTCGGTTGAGCCAAACCAAAGCTTTAGTCTGAGACTTCCCTTCCGTCTTTTTATAGAGTGCAGCTAAGCCAGGACGGTGCGACATTAAGTGCCCAATTGAGAGACCCAGCAATATGCTTCAACAATCTCCGTAAATCTGAAACTCGGTCAGTGACTTAGACTAGATAATGAACACGCACGCTCACACTGTTAGACTGCAAATCGCATGTCAGTGATGGGCCCGGTTGCAATATATTGCCATGATAGAGCAGTTGAAAAGAGTTGAAACCAAGCTGAAACTTGGTACTAACAGGTTCCTCAAACTCCGACTAGTCTCAGGGCAGCGGGCACTTTTGATTTATGAGAACACTGGCAAATGTGTCGATTCATGCCAAAACCAAAACAACTCGAGTTCAATACGATGATGTGAAAACCAGATGTCTACTAGAACGCGATGCTCTTCTGCTGCACTAGCCTAAATATCTTACCTTGGTGAACTTCAATACGATATCATCCAACCAGGCCTAACTTAAATGCTTGAAACAACAAGATCCAAACATGCTCTCTGAGATGCCTACCTTGATATCTGGCGACCCCATCAATAAATACCTGCAACGTGATGAACACGAAACCTACCAGTACGACAAGCAATCCGATATCTATTCCTTTTGTAAGTCACCTTTCACTCATCCCTGTCTTGTATTTCATCTGGCAACTGGGACGCCAGCCATCTGAAGCCACCGGCCAACACAATTAAAATAACAAAAACTGCATTTCCTCCTAGAAGGTTGTGCTCCTTCGAGACAGCAAAGAGTGAAGTCGTCAAGGCGGGACCAACGGCACGAGCCACCGCCGCAGATGTTTGGCCAAGGCCATTGATAGCTCCAAGGACATTTTTTGTGGGAGCAGAGGCTGTGATAATCAAGAAAATAGTTCCTGCAACGAAGTGGGTTACTTGTAAGACGATTTCATTACAACACGCACCATATGACATATCCCATGCGACTACTATAACTAGATGGCAAAGCAAAGCAAACGTGATTGCATGATCAACTTCGCCCCTTACGCGTAAAATCCACGACATTATTGGAAATATAGCAATGAGTGGTGCGTAGCACGACGCTGAGATACAGAATAAACGCTTCGGACCAATCCAATCGACGATTTTGGCGAAGAAGAATGCCTGAAAGATACCATCGGTGACGCCACACAACGCCATCCATTTGCCAATAGTAGCGGGATCAAATCCAAGACCGCCAAGATAAGTAGGTGTCGAGAAGAACAGCGGCAAAAGAACCCTGAAAGAAACGTCAAGGAAGGAGAGCATGGCGTAGTTTGCAATCGGAATAACAACGGAACGCGTGAGGAGAGATCGCAAGGACATGTTTGCCATCGATTGTTGAGCGAGTGATTCTCTGTCGGGGCTACTTGAAACGCCAACCGTGGTTGAAGGGAACTTCGGTCGACGCTTCGTCGATAATGTCTACAGATCGTGAATGATGTGTGCGATTTGGTGGGTATGTAGAACTTACTTCTTCCAGGAACAATGTCATCATAACAAGGGCCACGAGGAGCAGAAAGGCTGCCACTGCACAAGGCAGAAAGTATGGGTAATCTCTCCAAAATGAACCGGAGAATAGTGCGGGCCAATGATCTTGCGGTCGCGCGAGTGTTCCTCCCATTAAAGGACTGACATGTCAATTTCAGCATTTACCATCTCCATCGTCAACGACCAGTAACGACCCCACTTACCCAACAAAGCCCCCGACGCACCAGATGATCGGAATCAAGGCAAATCCCTGAGCCATATTTGTGGAGTCCGTCAGTTCTCCCATCATAGTTTTCATTACTACATTATTGCCGTTCAGAAAACCGCACATGCAGCGGCTAGAGAGACCATGTCAGCGATGCGTATTTCCTTCGGCTGAAGACATACCTAACGACAAGGCCCCAGAAGGTTGTCGAGAGACCGAAACATAGCATCGAAATGCAAATTCCTGATAGTCCGATTACTAACACCGGCTTGCGCCCAATGCGGTCAGACAACCGAGCCCACCTCAGCACTGTCAGTGCTTGTCCGACGAAAAACAAAGATTCCTGCCAATCACATCCGATGAGCGAACCATTCTCGCATGTAAATCGCAAGTCATAATCCTGGCACCTACAATCAGTCCGGCATAATATCCTACAGCCGCATCGTCACCCCCAGTGATATCAAGTTCTCTGATCAGCTAAGAGAGCAAAATAGTATCAAAGGACATCGAAGAGAAGTGTTGTGATTGCGAAGCCATACCTGATTGATGTATGGGAATATAGATGTTGAAGCAATGGGTTCCGCAAGTTGCAGCGTTATAAGAATGCCTATCTGAAGTTTTGGAAGGGGTGTTTTAGGTTTCTTCGAGCCCTTGGCAGGTATCAGAGGCGTTATCCTCGCTTGCTATGATTTCATGAGAATTGGAGGTATCCATCCCGGTGGGTCAGGGATGAGCTAGCGAGAGCCTTAAGTGCAGAGGTAGCGAGCTCCCTTGATTTGATGATACGAGCCGCACCTGTATTTATAGCCTGCACATTATCGATGGAGTCAGCTATCGATGTGATATATGTAATGTCGTGTCAAGTTATCAAGCGACATACTTACCTCAGGCTGAAAGATTGGCACGAGCCAACCGGTGCGAACCATCCGGATTCCCAATTGAACGCTGTTAGAGCTAAGAGAGCAAAATAGTTCCTGGTCGCGATCAACGGCTCTTGATAAGCATTGAAACATCTTCAGCACTCGTGTTTGAGAAAAGCATTAGTAATAAAAACAAACAGAGTATGCATAATGAAGCGTTGCACTTAAGACTACCGAGGGTTACTGCTACTTGAGCAAGCGAGATATTGAAATTTACAAGCCAAGCGGCGGGTGATTTCCATTCTGGAACGCGCTGACTATCTTTTACGAGAATCATCACGAGGACTGGATGTAATCGTGTCAGGGTTGTTTGCCACTCCGCATGTTCAAATGGAGAGAAACGGTGTAATTGGCCCGGGGGTATTCTGCTTTCTGCTTCAAGTTGATCACATTGTGGAGTTCGATCAGTTAATCAGCCTCCAAAGATCGCCTATGCTCACACTGTTTCTGCCGTAGTCCGACCCAAAACATCCCGTGCTTGGGGACCCAAGAAAGTCGATTCGATGACCTGTATAGTAAGACATGCAGGTGTGGTGATATCATGCCACCGCCAATTGAACTTGTCCAAGTATTCAAGCTTTGCACAGCACGGCGTCTTGCGCCCTTCTCACCTGCTCCCGTTGCCATACCGTCTCGGCAGTACCGGGCGTTTCAAACGAGACGAGCAGAAAAACTAAATCCGGACGCTCGACTTCACCGTGACCTGCTGACACGTCAAAACTAATGAGTACCATCATGCAACAACTGAGTGTAAAAATAGAAACGTGACAAGAGATCGTTTACTAAATACCCATGCTAGAGCCCCCGACTCAGTGCTAAGTCCACTAAGGAATAGCAAGGCCATCCTGAACAGCTTTACGCGCTTCAATACGACCGAACCACATCTAAACCGAACAAAGCTTTAGAACAACACACGAAACAAAATGCTTTTGGAAGCTTACCTGGAGACTTGGCCACTCGTCGAGAGATTCAATACCCGCAAATTGATGAACGTTAATCCTGAATACAAGAGAACCAGAGCCAGAACCTCAGCAAAATGGCCTGGCAGATCAAAAGAAACAAAGCTGGAACCTACCATGGGAAAACGTTGATGTCTGCAGCGCTATACACACCTCGGCCGGGCCCAGGCGAGGTAATCACGGTCTGTGAGGCGGGATCTCCATCACGCCATAGAGGCGCTTCGTTTCCAGGATATAACCTGAAGTCATCATCGTAGGCGCATATAAGACATCAAGCAAAAGAAACAGCTCACGATTCTTCGCATAGGGAATATCCACAGGTGCAAATCTATTAAAGTGATTCGCTGCGCTGCGTCAACTCAAAGCTTCAACCAAGTTCGAATTTACAGACCTTGCCCTTGCATAGGACCAACGCCTCCATGCTACAACAACCGTGTCATCGATACTAAATCCCACCAAACGCTAGGGATGGACTCACCGCCCACAACATCCACTGAAGCATCTCGCTATAATCATTAGGCTGCGACACAGGGTCAAACCCAAGCTTCCTCTCCGGATCATAATGCTGTTCGAGATAAAGCAAAATAGCAGCTGTCTCGAACACGACAAAGTCTTCCCGCGCGCGGTCGACGAGCACTGGGATTCGGCCGTTTGGGTTTAACTTGATGAACCAGGGCTCTTTTTGGACGTTGCGTCCGATGTCTATTTTCTCGAAGCTGTTATAGTAATAATCCGGGATATCATTTGTTCAGGTCCCAGGAGGAGAGGAAAGGAGGCACTCACTCATAATCAACCTTCTCCCCATAAACCGCTCTAAGCTCCTCCAGAAAAACACTAACTTTGCGTCCGTTGGGAGTTCCAGCGGTATACAGAACAAAAGGCTTGGGTTTAGGCGCGGGCACAGTAGACATATTACGAGTGAATGTGTTTAGTGATAATGATCTTGCTACAGAGTTGAGGCGGTTAAAGGCAACTTGCATGGCGCTCTAGGGGTATACTCGCTCTCTATTGGACTCGGAGGATGGCACTGGAATGACGTCTGGTTTTGCCATGGATGACCTGATCTGTATGACTGACGGGTGACACATCCCCACGCAGCAAAAGCGGTCCGAGACTTTATGGTTCAACTGCATCGGTCAGCAACTCGACTCGAACGGTCACCGCTCTAATTCGCGGACTTCTCTCAAGAACTCTGGACACGGTCATAAGCCTTCTTCAGGCGTATCTTGCCGATCCGAATGATATTAGCAGAAGCTAGAACAATAAGTTTACCCAAGTTGTTCTAATGTTGATGGAGCCGAGCACCGCTCGAAGCACTATTCGGAACAAGTTCTGAGTTGAAAACTTAAGACTTGGCTTAGAAATAAGAAGAACTGGCAGTAGTGGTCCAGAACAGAAGGATTTAAAAACATGTAAACTTAGGCTTCTACTGCGAAAAAAAAAAGCTATAACTATAAGTACATATATATATATAACAGAGCACCTAAAGAGAAGTGAGAACGAAAAAGAATGGAGATAGGCCATGAGAAAGAGAAAGATAAGAGGAGGGAAAGGAGTACGTATATGATATGATACTAGAAATATGATATCCATCATGATGTAGACTCGCATCGGCCCATCAACAAACAGAGTACGAAAAAGGACCAGATGAAACATACGAAAAGAGAACAGAACTCGAAAGCGACTGTGCTGTAACTAGACGGGAACGCATGCATGCGATATATGAGATGAGATAACCGTGACATAACATTGTCCAAGATTGTCGCACAGTTGAAAAGCGGTCATACAGAACGTAGAGCAGAGAGCAAAGAATGTGACCTGATAGCATCGAGGAAAGCGGTGGCACGCATAGCACATCGAGGAAAGCAGTGATTGGCATCGCGACATCGAGAAAAGCCACGCCGACATGGCGTGAAATCCATGGAATGCGAATAAAAATTAGCGCTCTTCCGCAGTTTTATGGCTTTCGCCTCTCGCTGTTTCGCCGCTCCCGCTCCCACAGCTACCATTGAACGCTCCCGAGCCCGGGTAATACATTCTACCCGGTGGTCGTGCCCCATCTGCTTGTGTTTGTCGAAGCGTATTTGAACGGTCAGGCCCAGGTACGGCCTGAGATCGCAGCGGCGGTGTGCCTTTGGCGTTAGACGCAGGCACAACAGGCCCACCACGACTAGATGAAGCAGCAAATGGCGAATAAGGCGTTTGTGATTGAGATTGCGACTGGCCCTGGTCGAGACGCGGGGTTTCTAACCGTGCGACGGAGGCTGACATTCGGCGGTCACGGTCTGTATCAGGAGAAGGAGACGCAGCGCGGTCCTTGTCGGTGCCCCAGCTAGGCGGCGACACCCGTCTGCGTTGCTCAGCGCTAGTGGTTGGGAATCTGTACGAGGAAGACGGTTCCGAACCCGAACTCGACATTCCATTTTGTTGGAACTTTGACTGGGGGTATCCAACGCCGCCGCCGCCGCTCGTACTCTGATTCCGTGCCGAATCCGCACGCACAGCACGAAGTGCCTCCTCCAACGAATCCATGCGCTGACGCATACTCTGCATCTCCTCCTGCATAGATCGCGTCCGTTTCTCTACCAAATCCTCAACGACCGCATCCACCTTCTGCAGAGATTGGAGGAGCGTATTTGATTTTTGAAGCTGCTCAGACAGCCAGTTTTTCATCTGTTTTGAGTCGTTGAGCGCGTCGTAAAATACTTCGAAAGGCGCTAGGAATGCAGATCTGTCTCCTGAGTAACCGGGGTGTTGGAGGGCGCGGGGTGTGGGCGGGACTAATGAACTGGCAATTGGTATAGCAGGAGGAGATCTTGTAGTTGCCGTCTTTGGCGCGCTCACCGAGGGACCTATCGTGTGCTGCAAGCCAAATCGGGTCGGTGTTGGAGGAACATTAGTGGCCACTCTTCGCGTGGTCTGGTTTCCGCTTAGAGCAGTTGGAAGTCGTGGTATAGTCATGGGGAACCGACCGAGTTCCGGGACTGGAGGGGCGCTTTGTATGACAGGTGCAAGCGAGTCAGAGGAGTGAGTGCCACGAGGGCTGATGACGATATCAGCAGGTTTTCTTTTGCGGCCACCAGACTGAGCTGCGCGACGACGTGCGAAACTGATAGGGGGAGGCGGTAGGGAGTTCGATGGAGGGCTTTTCAGTGGCACCTCGGGTTGATTAGCGGTGAGAGAGAGCGGTTGCTGACTTGGGACGATCATAGGAGGAGGGGTGAGTGGCTGTGGTTGAACAGTCGCACGGCTGCCAGATGCAAGTGTGTTACCACTTGGACGGGCGACTGTATTGGGACTACGTCTACCCAACCTTGGGAGACTCAGCTTTGATGCTGCCAAAGAACCTTCTGGAGGGGAATAAGTGGCAGAAGAGGATGAAGTACCATTATTAATAGCAGCTGAGAGCATGGGGCTCGGACCGGGGGGAGCAGCGAAACTTGGTCTGCGCTGCTCGACGAGCTGCTGTTTTAGGGTAGACCTCAACTGAACATCTTCTCCAGTTGGTATTGTTATAACCACAGGAGTTATTGGGGTTGAAAGTGATATTTCAGAGGACGAGGGGGCGGTTGAGGGAGGGAGTGTGGTACCACTCACAGTCACTCGTCGTTTCTTTTGTGACGGTGGAATGACAATAGGAGAAATGATTTCAGGAGGGGAAGGAGAATCGATGAGACTATCATCAGGGTCATCTTCCTCCTTGATTCTAACGACTCTAGGTGACTGGCGGCTATAATTTTGATTGAGAAGAGGTATGAAAATAGGGATTGAACATACCCAGAGTCATCTGTACTTTCACGACGGACTGCTACATCTTCCCTAGAACGTTTCCTAGAGTTTCTTAATTGCTCTATGCTAGGTTGTCTCGATGGTGAAATTGTATGATGAGTTCTTGGTTGAATTGGTGGTAACGCGTTATTAGAATTCGGGATTGAACTAAGAGAAGAGCTGCTAAATGCCTGTGCAAATGAAGGTAGAGACTGTGGAGCGTGATTGACGGACATGGTCGTAGCCGTCGTCACTGTCGTCGTGGTCGTTGTGGTTGAAACGGAACCGAATGAGAAATCGAAATAGAGTATGAATTCAATTCGAATTCAAGAGTTTTGGATATGAACCAAAAATGAATTCGAATATGCAGGTTGGCGGTATAGCTTCCACAAGAAGTTTCGACTACTTATTCGCGTAATTGAGACCGTTCCAATGGCGAGATCATGATAGAGGCTTTTTAATTAAGTCTGGCAATTCGTAGCACAGCTCAAGATCATCATCTCATCACCCATCATCTATCACCTGTGCAACACTATGCAGCTGACACTGCAACTCGGCTTTCGGTCAACTTCATAGTAGTAAATCTTTATCCGATGTCGCGGCTATCCGATGTTAAGGCCTCGAGGCTTTTGGAGACCTATAATCACACAGTCATTCACATTGCCGTGAACTGTGCTACTAGACTCATATGCCGAAGTCTCCTGTATTTACGTTCTTTCGGTAAGTTCAACTTGAGCATACTCTTCCTTCGCAACCGATAGGCCATATATTGATATGTGATTCAAACTGGGCGTAGACCGGTAGCTGCCTCATTGCATGTGTACCAAGTTGGTTACCATCCAAGGGAAAATCACCATGCGGGTTATAAGTATATCATAGGGCTGCCCATCACGTCCCCAAACCAATTCTTATTATACCGTAACACTCGTGGGTACCCTCTGCTTCGACACAATAACCTCCAGCCTTCTAAAAACAGCGTACAGCAGAAAAAGAACACCATATGCATATGTATCGTAACCGACTTCATTTAACCCATCCAACCCAAATTCTCACCCGAACACCAATCTCACTTTTTAACTCCTTATCATTCAGACGTAACGGCGTAGCACCCCAGTGTTCTCAGCAGATAATGAAAAAAACGATACAACGAGAATCGTCGACAGAACCCAATTGAGGTCCGAACCTAGATCAGAATTCAAATTGGGATTCTTTCTCATCAGAGCCTGGTAGTTACTTCAATGCCCCGTAACCACCCTCCCCCATGAAGTACACGGTCCAAGATCCGATCATCAGCCTAACGCGAGGCGTTAGCATCTCTTTCATAAGCGACATACACCCCATAAATGGGTACCCGCGACACTCTCCTACAAGCCAGTGAATCCCACCCACATCATACGTCAACGCCAGCGACGTAAACGCGGTAGCCTCCTAGAAATCTATTTTAAATCTATTAGCACACATTTCATCTAATAGGCTGACCGTTATTCACCGCGCATCCCTTTATGATTTCGTCCGCTTCTTCCTCGCTGTCAGCACCGTGATTATTGGAGGTGTGCCGTTACTAGCGCTCAGTGTGGCTTCGCTGCGTTCTTTCGTCGGCGCTGGGCGATTTTTGACCGCAATCGAACCGAATATGTACGAATGGTATGTTTCCAGAGAAGCAACTGGTTCCGGAAATGGATTGGGAGATATGTCAACGATCGGCCTTTTTCCATTGACAAGACGAGGTGGGGGCGTCTGTGGAGGTGCTAGAGTGGTCCGAACAGGGTCTGGCTCGGGTGTTCGTCGGCCCGACCTGTCTGGTATGACAAGCGGAAGAGGATTCGACTTGAGACCATCGCATAACCCTCGTATAGAATCTTCAATCACTTTAGTCGACCACACCGCCTTTTCCACAGATGGAAATTCATGAGCAGTTAATAGTGACGTCAATACACGTTTGTTCATCTGTGAAGAAACCTGCCCTGGTTGGGGCGCGAGCGGCGACACTTCACTTGTCGAGAGAGTCGAAGGTGGTGTGGCGGCAGAGACAGCGATGACGAAAAACCCGGTGACCGCCCCTGCAATACATTCCTGTCGGAACGACATCCGCTCCCAGAATTCTTCCACAGACACCTTCTTGACTTCTTTATGGGTCTGGTCCTCTTTTTTACTCCGACCTTCCTTCTTTTCTGAAGCGTCGGCTGACGATGTGTCTTCTTCGTACGTCTTTAACGTATCCGCTCTTGGGCGTTTTCGCTCTGGGGACCTTACCCCATCCGCATCCGTTGTGTACGCAATCTCATCGATAAACCGAGATTTGGGGTCATCATCAAATGACGGTATACATTGTCCTAGATGGCGAGGCGAATCGCCCCCGGAAGGACAAGGACATGGTAGGGGAATTTCGTCCTGGGAATAAGGGTGACCGTATGTCCAACTGGACGTCGAACCAGTCGATGGGTATACCCTCTCTAGCGAGTGATGAGCTTCAAACTCGCTGAGACCGGGTAGAGTATAATATAATTTCGTGCGGCAGGTATCGCCCACGCGAGACGTTAATTCGCCTATGACGGTGCTGAATTGGCGTTTCCACCAAGCACAGAGTTTGATGTCGCTCAGGGGGTGTTTTTTCGGGTATTCTGAAGAGTTGGGGAATAGATATTGATTCTGTGCTCTTGCAAACACGTGAATCCACAGGTGGTCGGCGGAGACGGGACGCGTGGCAGGGTCTGCGTAGAACAGCAAGAGTGCGCGAACAAGAGCTGGAGTGGGAGATGGGGCAGTTGCTTGCCCAGTAGAGTCGACTTTTGAGACATACAATATCGCACAGGACGTCGTTGGGATGTTATATACGCATGCTTCGATTGCAGAGACGAAAACGGAGGGAGAGTCTGGTGTGGTTTGTTCGGAAAGCAGAATCAAAATATCCTGCAAGTACGACCTCGGTCGTGGATTTGCAAACGGGAAAAGGTTCCCGTGCTTTCTGGGTGATGAGACCAAGACATGAAGATGGAACTCACGAGTGCCTGGCAGGCTGTTGAGACCTGCCAGGAGCGCATCCCGCAAAGTCATGACTGCGATACGTGGGAATATGCGATTTCTGCTCAGCGGCACAAGAACCAGGACCCGAATAGGTTTACGAGGCAGTACTACCCAAGGCGGCGTCAAGGTTAACGTTGGACCGAGTCAAGGGGGTCACACGGGGGAGTTGTGGGGCTATGGTGCTTTTGTGTATCAAAACGGATAACCACTGCCTTGTAATCACACACGCCTCCCGTGAGATCACCGACCCACCCAATCGCCGCTGATTCGGATGCTATAACAGCTAGATCAATCACAGATCGTAGACTATGCTCTTTCGCTCCCGAGAGCATGTAAAAGAGGAAATAAAAGGAAGAGAATATGTGCTTGACCTTCTGAGGACAATGCACGATATTAGGTTACAAGAAGGAATGTATGATACAGGGAGTTGCCTTGATAAAGACTAGAATCATGCCACATATGCAAATGTGTCTCTCGTGCCGTCCACCCGCTCGATATACTCTTTCTCCAACAGTGTGTCGATTGCCTAGAACCACAGATAAGTCCACATTCTAGTAAAGAAACAAGGAATCCTACCTTCTTGATATCGGGAATCTTGGGGGCGAATCGTTGCGAAATCTGAGAAATCACCTCTTGGATCAAAGGCTGGTTCTTCATCGTCTTGCGCGCCTTCATAATACGAACAATGGTGGCTTGGATCACATATTTACGATCCTCATCGACGGTCTTGAGTACCTCCGACGACTCCGCCTTCACCTCAGCCTTGATTGGCTGATTCAAGTTAACACGGATTTTCTTAGACTTGAAGTCTAACCAGAGTGCGTTAGCCCCACACGAAATATAAAACAAGGTAAGCCATACTCGGGTTTAAATCATATTGATCGGTCTCTTCGTTGATCAGAACTTTGGCCTTCACCAAAAGGGTAAGCACCTGAGATAAGATGTCCTTGCTGATGGCCGTGGCGGTAATCAATTCCTCCAGTGATAATGTATCATGTTTGTTGTACTGCAGGAGAACGGACATTTGATAAGAACTGGTCATCAAAATGTACTTCTGATTGAGGTAATTCGTCCTCAGCTCGTTCTTTGAGTAATTCCACAACCAGGTCAACTTGCGGCCGGAGTGCTTCGTCTGGTAGTACTTGGAGAATCGGTCGTACGTAGGAAGAATTTCGGGAGGAATGATGAAGTCGTTGTTGGGTGCGCTGAGCGGCCAGAAGTTCGTGCCGAGGACCATGATGGAGAAGTTGATGTCCATGTCGTCATGATTCGCCATGCGCTCCTTGAACTGATCGGTGAGGTCTTTACTGAGACTCATGTCTACAGAGAGCAAATAAGCGACCGTAAGGTGGTGTATGGGGCATGGAACATACCGGTGAACATTCTCTGTAACTTGTTGGTGTACTCGAAACCACAAGCCTCCTTCAGCTTGGAGATCATGCTCGCCTCACTCTCGTCTGATGCAGATACCCCGTGGATGAGACGCTTGGACAATTTCGTAGCGTAGAACGTCTGGAAGACGTCCTTGTCCTCGATGTACTTGAAAAGTACCATCTACGCACACGAATGAGACATCAGTAGAGGTCATCGAGCGGGGGTACTTACCACGCGGTTCAAAGCACCTTCAAGGTCCTCCTCCTCAGCCATCTTGTTGTTTTTGCGAAGTAACATATCCGCGTGCTTGGCCAGCAATTCTGGCGACTTTGTCGTCGACGAACCCGTTGCAGCATTGCGATTGACAAACTCTCTGCATGCCTTATCGAGCGACGCAACAAAGCCAGCTTCTCCCCTAAAGCTCCTCGTAACCGTTTCCGAGTTCTTGCGATGAACCTCAAGCAGTGCATCGACGTATGCCTTGGGATCCAACGAATCTGCACCCTCTGATCCTTCGCCCAAGAGTTTTGCAACAGCAGCCAGACCGGCCTTCTTCACATGTTCCTCAAATTTCTTTCTCAAAGGCTCCAGGCCTTCGGGTATGCGCGATAATAATGCGTACATCCTCTGCAGGTCTTCGTCTTTGTCAAAATCGAGCAAGCTTTGGAAGCTCTCCCACATAAGGTCAGAGTGTTGTCTGATCAGCACATGCTCGCATTTGCTGACAAGCTGCTTCCGTGTGTCAGTGTTTAGGTATCGGTCGACACGGTCCTCTTCCTCCTTCAGGCGCTCTTCGGCTTTTTTCAGATAGTCAGATACACTGCTCTCTGCGAGGAATGCCTCAGGACTCCTGCTCGTAATACTTCTCCGTTGCGTCAAGGAACGGTGTCTCCAGATGCTCCCTGTAGACATCAAGCGACGCCTTGTTGATATCCGACTCATCAAGACCAAGCGAAACGAATGAGTCGACCACCTTTTTCACAAGACCTTGATCGATCGTCTCGCCATTTCTTTGGCGCTCGATCAATCGGAGGATGGCACCAGCGAGCTTTGTGTGCTTGCTTTGGACGTGAAGGAAGAAATTTGATTTCCATTGTACGAGTGCGAGCTGTGAGGGGTAATACGTGTATGAGGATCAGTGTGACAGCGTGAGGAAAAGGGGCGACGCACGGTGTATACAGGATAAACTCCTTTCCGACCTTCGTCCCTTTCTCGCTTCACCCAGTGGCGATTGAGATACGTGAATAGTCGATTGATATAGTTAGCACCTGTCGTATATCTGTCCCATTCACCGGCGTAGTACCGTAGGAGAGCTTCATCTTGGAGAGAATCAGATTGCTGTAGAACGGATAAGAATTATGTCTGATCGCGCGTGAGATCAGGGGAAAGGAGTTAACGTACATCCTTGAGGAGCTTGAGATGGGTGATAAAATACCGAATGAGATTGTTGTACAGATCTGAGCCCATCAGATTAGCCCCTGCTGCTGAGGAGTCAGACTGCGGCCTTATCACCACGCTAAAGTCATTACTGCCAATGACACTTACTTCGACTTCCCTGCCCAACTGTATCGGTAGTTGTATTATGCATGCGCGAGGACGTGCAATAATTGTATGCCACGGTGTAGAGGCTCATGTACTTGGAGTATGAGACGCCAGTCTGGAGCTTGGTCATGATGTGGTCCACTCCCTCCTCGAGGAAAGCCCATGTTGTTGCAAGATCTGCAGTCGCAGGTGGCATTGGATGAGAAACATTAGCGGCCGCGGTTGTTGTTGTTGTTGTTGAAGAAGACATGGTGGTCGTTTGTGAAAGCTATCGTGACTCGTGAGTACGCTGGCAGAGAGGCGCGGCTGTCACGGTGGCGCTACCTTGCGTGCTTGGCACATGCCACAAATACTTTTGCAACAACTCGCGCAATTCAAAAAGAAAGCGAGACACACAATGGGTATTAGAAATGTAGTACGAGAATGAAAATTATGCTATTACTAAATCTTCACTCCTGTGTGTATGGAGGCAATGCCTCCCCAGAGATCTGTCCATGCACCACCATCAAAATCACCTCCTGTGGAGAACCCTGCATCTCTGATCATCTGCGCAAATTCGGGCTGGCTTGGGAATTTACGTATAGATTCTACCAAATACTGGTATGAATCGCGGTCACCAGCTAGGATAGTTCCAAGCAATGGGATGACCGTGAACGAGTATTGGTCGTATAGTCTACACACTAGATTTAAATAAAGATAGTAATAAATGAAAATCACTTACGTGCTCAAGAGCGGGTTGTTGACCTTGCTGAATTCAAGACACGCGAAGGTAGCGCCAGGCTTGAGAACCCGGTAAGCCTCGTTTAGCACGGCGGGGATGGACGTGCAGTTGCGGATACCAAACGTAATCGTGTACAGGTCGTATGAATCATTTTTGAACTGGGAAGCAGGCAGCTCTTGTGCATTTGCCTCATGGAATGAAACCTGAGGTGCTGACAGATGTCATGAAGTGAAGTATATGGCAGGTACGGTAAGCTTACTATTGTGGTACATTGTCTTTTTGAACCTCGTGAATCCCTCCTTGAGCATCTGTGCGTTGATGTCCACGATCTCCACGGTCGTCTCTCTATCCGCATAGTTCTCCCTGGCATAATCCAGGATACGAATAGCAATGTCGCCTGTTCCTCCTGCAACGTCTATACACCGAAGGGGGCCTTTGCGACCCGGTTTAAGAGTATCTACAAAGGAGTCTTTCCACAGCCTGTGCACACCGAGGGAGCTTGCATCGTTCATCAAGTCATATTTTGACGCAACAGAGTCGAAAACACCCTTCACAAGTGATTCCTTCGATTCCTCTGGAACTGTCTTGAAGCCAAACGAAGTTGTCCGGCCATAAGGATCTGATGAACGAAGGATGGAATGGTTATGAATTAGGCGGCATGCTGACAGCTTGCGAGGTAGTCGTATTGACCTTGTTGCCTGCATAACTTGAATGAACTTTTGGAGCAGACAACGCGTCCGCTATAGGGATGGGAATATTATATAAGCGGCAATGTTTTGCTTGAACTCCTGCTAGTGCTGAATGAACCTCCTGCGGACAACTCAAATGCTGAAGCCACGGTTATCTCCTTCGTTCATCCGCAGCTATGCAACTCGCATTGCAGAAAAGCCACCTGCACGTTTTCCAGATCCATTGCTGAACCATTCAAATGCTGCTGTCAAAACACTCAAGGACGAGAACTTGACTTTCATTCATCGACCTCCCCCAACAGCACCCTCACCTCATTCAACAACTTTAGCTCCTGCTTCTCCATTACTAAAACCTCCAACACCATCTAATAAACATGCACCAATGCCACCTTTATTACGGCCTTCGGCTTATAATGCTGCACCGTCACAAATGTCTGATAAAGACATCGAGCAGCTACGGAAACTGAGGCTGTCTAATCCAGAGAAATACAGCCGTACTAAACTTGCCAAAATGTTCAAATGCACGCCGAACTTTGTGTCCAAAGTTGCTGCGCTTCCGAGGCCCCAACGGAAGGAGTTCGCAAGGAAGATGGAGGCGGAGCATGAGACTGTGAGGGAGCAGTGGGGGGAGAAGAAGGCGACCTTCGTTGCTATTAAGCAGAAACGCCGTGAATTCTGGTGAGATGACAAGAGGTACTTTACCAACGGAGCGCCATGATTGTTTTCTTGGTCCGTTTCTCAGGCTTCTAATGATTCATGCATGACTGACTAGCTCTGGCTTCACCAGCTGCGCATTTAGTGTATATTTGTTGTCGTACAGTCATGAGATTCCACCTGCTAGCACATGCACACGTTTCGTGTTTACCGATGGCAAAATTAATTGATCCGACTTAACTCATCAGCGTGACGACAGGTGACGCTGTGAGAGCTGCCCGACGCGACAACCCGTTCCGTAGTTTTCCGTCCTTCCGACTCTTGTCATGACCTGTTTCCATATTGGGAGCACAACTACCATCGTTCCACTTCTCCTCATGGGCCTGCAGGGTCAAATGAGTCGATTTTCATACCGACGCCACTAGAAGAGTGCTCTAGAGTGTTTTCCCCGTGGTCCAATTGCATTAATCCATACTAAACATGATATGAAAATTTTTGCCGAGGTACATATTTCACCAAATCCTGTTAAAGCCCTTTTTATAGACTCGAATCTGTAGGGAGTCTGGAGTTTCCTCCTCCTCTCGTACCACCTTGTGCCGAGAACTTTGTTTCAAATTCTGAATGCTGTATCGTGCCACTTGCTCTTCTTATAAAGCTACACTGGCTTCTGCGTTCAACCGCCCAGCACGTTCCCTTGCATCTAACTTTCATACCATGTCGTCAACTCGTTTTCCTCCCCATTTTGCCAACACTGATCACCGTCAGCGCTCTCTCAACCAGATGCGTTCCAAACAGCTTGGTCTTGAAAAATACATCTATCTGAATGGCCTCAAAGGGCGTGACTCTGATTTATTCTATGACATTTTGCTTGAGAATATGCAAGTAAGCTGCCCTCATCGTCTCGTGTAAAACCGGGACTGAGGTGTTTTGAATTACTCAGGAAATGATTCCCATCTTGTATACACCAACTGTAAGGTGTTCCACCAAGTCGTGTGACCATACTTAAGAAGCGCTCTTCAAAGGTTGGAGAAGCTTGTGTTAACTACTCCCATATATGGAGGCGACCCGAGGGTCTATATGTCTCCATTGAAGACAAGGGTCGCATTCGCGACGTTTTAGCCAGCTGGCCAAAATTCAATGACGGCCGCATAGCCGTCGTTACCGATGGTAAGCTAGTTCGACGCTACATGTCATGTACCTCCCTAATCACACCATCAGGTTCTCGTATTCTCGGCTTGGGCGATCTTGGGGCAAACGGCCTGCCCATCAGTCTTGGCAAATTGTGAGTGTTTACACTTTTCCGGAGGATCCTTCATCGAACATAACTGCACAGGGACCTCTACATCGCCGGTGCTGGCATTAAACCGTCATCTACTGTAAGTCCATGCTATTAGTAACCACCTGCACCCAATTGACCCTGGTCAGGTCCCGATTTGCCTGGATTTAGGTACCAATACACAACGCTATCTCGATGACCCTCTCTACATCGGCGTTCGCCGCCCGCGCCCATTGGGGCCAGAAGTATGTCCCCTGCTACCATGTGCACATCCATATACTGACGTATATTCCAGATGGACGAATTCATGGACGAGTTCATGGAGGCCATGAAAGAAGTCTTCCCCACTCTTCTCATACAATTCGAAGACTTCTCAACAGACAACGCGTTCAAATACCTCGAACGGTACCGCCATCAGTATCGTGTTTTCAACGATGATGTCAGTCAATCACATTCCAACTCTCTGTTTTTGTACTGACCCCTGTGCAGATTCAAGGCACTGGATCTGTAATCTTGTCAGGTTTCACAAATGCCGCTCGTTTGTCTTCTGCCGCCTCCGGGCTGCCGCCATCAGATCACAAAATCTTATTCCTCGGAGCCGGTTCTGCAGGTATCGGTGTTGCGAAGCAGTTATTGTCCTTCTTTACCTTGTCTGGTCTGAGTCCCGAAGTAGCAAGGTCTCGAATCTACGTGAGCCAAACCACATTCGAAGGGCACTTGAATTTGTTGCTCAATGAACCTGTTAGACCGTTGATTCAAAAGGTCTTATTACTGCCAACCGCAAAGGTCTCCAAGAGCATAAGAAGTGTACGAGAATATGTCTGTTTTGTTTTCTACGAGCTAAACTGCAATTACAGTCTTCGCACGCACTGATTACGACGGCCCTGCGCTCACTGACCTCGTTGACATCATCAACCACGTGAAGCCCACCGCCTTGCTTGGCCTGAGCACCATCAGAGTACGCGTTCTAGTAATAGTTGTGTTTTACATAACCTCACTTCGTTCTAGAATGCATTCACTGAGAAAGTCGTCAAAGCGATGTGTGCGCTGAACGCCCGTCCCATCATCTTCCCATTGTCGAATCCTGTCACGCTATGCGAACTGGACTACCAAGACGCCATCGAATGGTAAGTCAACAGAGTCCCGCAGCATGGTCGATGCTAATTATCCTCGCCTGTAAAGGTCCAATGGACAGGTCATCTTCGCATCAGGTAGCCCGTACAAGCCCGTCTCCCGTGACGGTATCGTGTACGAGCCTGGCCAAGGAAACAACATGTACATTTTCCCCGGTATCGGCCTCGGTTCTATCCTCTCTCGAACTCGGCACGTATCGGATGCCATGGTCGAACAGGCGGCCATCGCACTTGCCAACTCATTGACCGAGGAAGAGAAAGCGGCCGAACTCGTATATCCTCGCCTTGCGCGCATAAGGGATATCAGCGCCCAGGTTGCATTTGCTGTAATCAGACAAGCACAAAAAGAGGTAAGGAGGGAACAGCGTTCATGCCCCAGTAGAAATTCAACGCTGATCTTTGTACTCCTCAGAAATTGGATGATAATGCTTATCTCCGGACACTCCCCGATCCCGACCTTATGGGACTCATTCATGACAAGATGTGGCACCCACCTGCGCTGCAACTGCGTTCGTTCACACGACTCTAATGACGGGTCGTCAGGGGGATGGAATTAAGACAGAAGTCTGAGACTGTCAGGACGGACGACGGAGAATGCGGGAAAGCGACAGGAATGTATCTATTTTTGAACTGTTGTCACTTGCATGCTATTGTTGCTTTCCTTATGCCCCGATTCATCGTTGTCCACCGAGCAGTGTCTATATGTATTGTAACCTATTTCAATAGAAAAAGCTAGAAGAATTGCTTGGATGGCTGGTGGCCATCTATGGAGTGCTGTTAACAAGTTCGAGGGGGAATGATGCGCGAATGACGGTTCATGCAACATGACGAGTACTGGCTGGTGAGTGGGAGACTTTGATTCACCGATGCATACCGAAAGCAAGGACATGCTTTTATATGTAAGCGAGTGGCTCATCAAAGTGGTACAAAGGGATTCCGTCGTCAGTAGAGCAGCACTCCTTACATCCAGATATCCATCTACTTGCCAGGCATCTATACATCTGCTCGTCAACACCAGAAGAAGTTAGAAGGACCGTTTAGATGGCTCTGTCGCGTATTCGATCATCGCTATTAAGCCATCTAGATGACTGTTCATTATATATCCATCTAATCGCTATGCATCTATCTGTTCATCAAGATGTGCTGGGGCTGCACTGCCTTCTCTCGATCTCCACTGTGCGATGCTGTAGCGGTGGTTAACTCCCTTGAGTGCAGGCAGACATGCAGATCCACCACATCCTCCTGTCTGTGGCATGGGGGACAATGTAGAAAACCTCTTTGACGCGCGAATGCAGCAGTGCCATGCTGCACATGATGCATGGTTCGTGGGTTATGAAAAGCGTAAGCCCAGTTAGCAGGTAGTTTGCGCCGTTGGATAATGTATCTGAGATTCCAAGGCTGCCGTTAGACGGGGAAGTAGCGGGCTTCAGGGGGTCGGGTAGAAGATCGGTCGGGGACGTTTTTGCACGCCAATCAGCTACGTTTCGAATGATGTTCATTGCGGCATGGCGTAAAGGATGCCCAGTGGATATACGCGCGTCTTTGGCTGTAAATGACCGAGACAATAGAGCTTCATCTTCGAAGGGCTTGGGCACGTGTGCGATGACCGGAAGCTAAGATACTGTGAGCATGCCTTCCCATTGTAGACTTCTAATTAAACAAACCTCATCAGTCTGAGCGGTATTTCGCAAGATATGACTGATGGCATCACGAGCCCATTGAACTTTAGCAATAGACCATTTCTCGGGTTCCCATTTCCGCCGTGGTGCGTATACAGTAGGCCACAAAGTATTTTTAAGATAAGTGATGTTTGTGTTAAAGCGGGATTGCAGGGGACAGAAATCTGATAGGGATCTCCGATATCAACGTTCGTAGGAAGTAAAGGAACAGAGGATGAGACGCTGAGCAGGAGCGTGGAAATACTGTCTCTTTTCCTGATGCGTTTGAGATGCGATAGAGTATCGCTCTCGAGACCTGACTGTTTCAGCCATCTAGTGGGGTTGAGTGTTGGTTGGCGACATTAGAGCGAATGGTCTCACTTTAACATCGTCGCTATGTGTTTTGAGTCCGGGATGTCAACTGCCCAGGCTTGTACTGAACGGTGTGGTGAGTCACGCTCTCGATGTTAAACAAGGTGGGCTAAACGTACTTGTTCTAATATCTTCCATTGACTCCTCTTCTTCATCTATTTGAAGCTTCTTCCAAGTGAACGGAAGAGCCTCGCCTTCCAGTATATCGTTCGGGTCGCCAGTGTCCCATGGTTCAACCTCATCCACTTCACTATCGATAGCCAGAATATCAAGAAATTCAGACTGGTCACTTTGATCGAGACAGACTTGAGGTTTCAAATTTTCTGCTGTGCCCACGAGATTAAACCAGAGTCTATGGCCATAGAAGATACACAACTCTTCCTCGGGGTTGACTGTCCTTGTGGACGTGTATCTGATACACTGATGAGCAGGATCGATCATGTATGTCACATTTGGATGGCTCGAATGATTAAAAAGGGAGCCTAGGCAGTACCAACGTGTCTCCATTGAGTGAACGATGATGATATGCAGAACAAATCTCACCGAGCCCAAGGGCGAGAGCCATTCGTCCATCTTGCCATTTGAACGTGTAATGGTCCAGGATCGTATGTCGTCCATAGTTCTCATACTCAGTTCTGGTGAAAAGTAGCACAGGGCTAACTTCGATTACGGTCTGGGGTGGTATGACGCGAGATGCTGCCAGCAGCCATTTTTCTTCGACTTTTATTTTAAGATCTGGATGAGATTGCTCACCATAAACTCCTCTTCCTTTGCCTTCTGCGATATTTATGCAGCATCCTTCACGGTTCAAGACCCAGTTACTCCGGCACGATGAATTTGTTGTAGAAAATTCCCCTGAGCTGGTTGAAGTCGTGGCCATAAACGGAAGAGCAGTGCTGAAATTGAAACTTGATCCTGACACAGTGACACGCGCGTCGCGCATACTACTACTACTGGTAGGAACTTTAGCAGGCACGCCATGGCGCCTCCACTATCCCCAGGCCACTTCCTAGCATCTTGCTCATATCCCTAATACCAGTTGCTTCATGGTTTGTCATTCGTCCTTTACTAGACCCCGTCCCCCAATTGCCAGCCCTATGGGCATCTGTTGGGTTCTCTATATTTGCGTTCGTTGCCACGCTTTACCTGGTCCCTGCACTTGGACCGACATTCGTGAAAGCCAACTTGAAAGGGAAGGATCTTTTGAAGGTCTACTCTGATCCTATGTTCGTGTTATGGAACAAGCGCGAGGCCGAAAACTGACTTGCATCTTAAGACCAGAGAGTCAAGGCCTCGTCTGCGCGTCAATATATATTCTGCTATTAATCTTGTTTATTCCTTTCTCATTCTCCACTTCCATCGCAAGCCTTTCGGGCGGAAGAAGCAAGATTGAAGGCTTACTGGGCGCTGCGTCTCTACATCACGAGGTTAGTACCCCCTCAGTGTTGAAAGAATTTCTGTGTAATGAGCAGTTAAGTTATCCGTATATCTGTCATCATTGCTATCGCTCTTGATGGCGACTCTTTTGGGGTTCCTCGACGATGTGTTCGATATCCGATGGAGGCATAAACTGCCTATCCCGCTTATTGCTGCCATACCGCTCTTGATGGTCTACTATGCGGAAGGAGGGAATACTCATGTAGTTGTACCCATTCCTCTTCGGCCATTCCTTGGCTTTCTTGTTAACCTAGGTTTGTAATTTTCATTGTATCATCGGTTGTGATGTTCTCAACATACCTTCAGGTCCCCTGTATTATCTCTATATGTCACTCCTTTCGACATTCACCACTAATAGCATTAACATTCTGGCTGGGATCAATGGCTCCGAAGTCAGCCAAGCATTGATAATCGCAGTTTCTGTTATCATCAACGATCTTCTATACATGCCCTGGCCATTTGACTTCCGTATACCCATGCACCTTCTCGGCAATCAAATAGAAGTCGAAGTTGGTGGCGCCTGGCATGCAGGAATGGCCTATGGAAGTATCGAACTTGTTGACAGACATCTCTTCAGTCTGTACTTCATGCTTCCTCTCGTGGGTGTATGTCTTGGATTTATGTATCATAACTGGTGAGTTCGAATGATCCAAAGTCCTTGAATGGCTATTTCTCATTACCCATAGGTATCCTGCGCGTGCGTTCCCTGGAGACACGCTCTGTTATGTTACTGGAATGGCCTTCTCCGTAGTCGGAATACAGGCGCACTTCTCCAAGACCCTACTCTTGTTCTTTATTCCTCAGATTTTCAACTTTTTGCTCTCATGCCCACAGCTCTTCGGTATCGTGCCGTGTCCTCGGCATCGCGTTCCAAGGTTCTACCATAATCTTCGAGATACAGTCCGTCATTGACCAACTTATGATATCCTTTTAGATTTGCTTCTGATACTAATTTGCTGCACCCCTCAAAAACGGTCTTTGACAAACGGCCTCCTACGAGGCTCGCGTCTCTTACCCTTCGTATATTTGCCACACTCGGTCTCACAGAGCTGACTATGGACCCAACAAACGAAGTTGTCCTTGAAGCCACCAATCTGACGATCCTTAATTTCCTTCTCTTGCGTCTGGGTCCCATGAACGAGAAGAAGCTCGTTCAGGTACTCATGTGTACTCAGGTGTGCAGGTTTAGCATATCCCTGTTTGCCAAATTACTGAAGCTAGCAACTCCTCCCCCAATCCTTTCCTGACAGATCGCGGGCAGTCTCTTTGCTTTTACCATACGCTACGGTTTAGCTGGCCTCGTCTATGATGGCGACAGGCGGTGATGCTATTGACAGCAACGTGGACAATAATCAATTTAGACAAACGCAAGCCTAGCTTTACTATCGTGGGGCGCGACCTACTAATACCGGGCCTCGGGGTGCGTGGCTAATCCTGGATATGGCGGTTTCACGGTGGCACCACAAACAGCCCGTACTCGTCATGATCAGTGATGTGCGGAGACTTTCGGACGGTGAGGAACCTGCTGGGGGGAAATGAAGGAGGTATCTTGGTCACTTAGATCACCACGCTGTATATAATGGTATTAAACCTACTCAATGACGCGAGTTTATTTATTTGCTGTTTGAACAAGCGAAGAAAAATAAACTGTCAGAGTTACTGAGAAGCTGTCGGAGTAAACTGAGTGTGATTGTGTGCCGAGCCGCCGAAGCTGTTGTTCGTCGGCATTGTTCGGCGTGTGACATGTGACAGGTGTCAATCAAACAAGACCAAATTGCCATTTAAGTTTTTAGGTGTCAAGACTTCAATCAGCGCCCTGAATGAGCAGTACGCCTCAGTAGACCTTGTCATGTCGGCCGAATCATTGCTCTGCTACTAAAGCCTACTAGTTGCTCATGTGGCTCGCGGACAGCAGCTTTGAGCGGGGTCGCTCCCGCTGAAAGTCCGTATAACGCCGCCTGTGTACCCCGTGTTTCCGGACATAGAGCGTAATCACGAGCGAGCGTTCAAGCCTAGTACAGTTTCGCTCCGTAGTACCGTTGTGATCGGCAGTGTTGGAGTTATGATTTGGATCAATTTGCATCAAGTGCTATTGGCGGAATCACATGTTTCATCCGTACCTAGCCGCTGAGCTTACCACTGATCCAATATATTCACCTTTTAACGACAGATTCAAATTTCATTCCTGCCACTTTCAATCATCCTCCTAGCATTACTGTCATGGCACACGCTGAGCGCGCCGCTTTCCAAGCTGAGGTCGCCGAGGTCGAACGGTGGTTCCAGGTGAGCCCCTAAACTGCAAAGAAGTGAGTTGCAGTATTGAGCAATGTCGATCATGAAGAGCCCACGTTTCGCCAGAGTGAAGCGGCCATATACCGCTGCTCAGGTCGTCGCGAAGCGGGGTAGCATCCCAATCAAGTATCCTTCCGAGATTCAAGGAAAGAAGCTCTTTGCCCTGCTCTCCGAGCACGCCAAGAATGGTACACCATCGCACACATATGGAGCGTAAGTGACCTCCACAAGATACTTTAGTATGACGGGATTGATGGAAGGTGTATAGCCTAGACCCCGTACAGGTTACCCAGATGGCCAAGTACCTCGAGACAATTTATGTCTCTGGTTGGCAATCCTCTAGCACGGCTTCGTCTACGAACGAACCCGGCCCCGATCTCGCAGGTACGCACATTCCTTCGGTGATGACGTAGTTTCCTTAATTTGCATCCAGATTACCCCTCGAATACGGTTCCTAACAAGGTTGAGCACCTATTCATGGCACAGCTCTTCCATGACCGTAAGCAACGCGAAGCTCGCTCGAATATGTCCGAGGCAGAGCTTGCTGCGACACCGTTCATTGACTATCTCCGTCCACTCGTTGCCGATGCCGATACTGGACATGGTGGCCTCACTGCAATTATGAAGCTTACAAAGATGTTCGTCGAAAAAGGCGCGGCTGGTGTTCATATCGAGGACCAAGCACCTGGGACGAAGAAATGCGGACACATGGCGGGCAAGGTTCTTGTACCCATATCTGAGCATATCAACCGCCTCGTTGCCATTCGACTTCAATACGACATCATGGGTGTAGAGAATCTGGTCATTGCACGGACCGATTCGGAAGCCGCTACCCTGATTACCTCAAACATCGATGACCGCGACCACCCCTTCATTTTCGGCTCCACAAACCCAGATCTTCCCCCTCTTGTGAATGTTATGGCCGACGCCGAGAATGTCGGAAAGTCTGGTGATGATTTGCAGGCGGTTGAGGACGCTTGGATTGCGTCTGCAAATTTACAATTGTTCCCCGAGACCTTGGCTAATGCCCTGTCCGCACAAGGTGCATCGAAGGCTATCGTGGATCGATTCATCTCCCGTGTTGCACACTCGTCATACCCTCAAGCAGTAGTCATCGCACAGAAAGAATTTGGTCTCAGGTCCGTACCCTACTGGAACTGGGATACACCTCGGACACGGGAAGGTTTCTATCGCTACCAAGGCGGCACCCAGTGCGCGATTAAACGGTCTATTGAGTATGCACCATACGCCGATGCCCTTTGGATGGAAACAAAGAAACCGATCTTGGCTCAAGCCCAGGAGTTTGCTCGTGGGGTCCATGCTGCACGCCCAGGTCACTGGTTGGCATACAACCTCAGCCCTTCATTCAACTGGGAGGCCGCTGGTTTGAATAGTCAGGATATGAAAAATTTCGTCTGGGAGCTAGGTAAACTCGGCTTCGTCTGGCAATTTATCACGGTCAGTACTTAACAAACCATCAACTAACGATTGAACTGACTTGGATCTTCCCTGTCAGCTCGGCGGCTTGCACTCTAATGCATACATAAGCGACCTCTTTGCTCGCTCATACGCGAAGGAAGGTATGAAAGCGTACGTGGAGATTATCCAGAGCAAGGAGCGGGAGATTAGCTGTGATGTCTTGACGCATCAAAAGGTTTGCTACTATGACCTATGCGCGCGTCCTGAAGCTAATGCTTGAATAGTGGAGTGGTGCCGATTACGCCGATAATCTCATAAAGACTGTAACCGGTGGCGTATCATCTACAGCAGCCATGGGCAAGGGTGTCACCGAGGACCAGTTCAAGGCCAAACTGTGATCTACGGCACTCATGGTTATCTTAGATTGATCTTAGAAGTCATTCTACAAATACATAAGAATTAACATCTGTATTGTTGTCCGGATCCTTCCATGTCAGCTGTAGTTTTATCTTTTCTTACCAGTAGAACACAAGTACTTGCTGGATTGTGCACTTCTTATCGGCAGTTGCCGATCGCTCTCATATCGAATGCCGCAGCTTCAAGTTGGACTTACAATTGAAAGCCAAACCTACGGGACGCGTCAGAAGAATCGATCATCGTGATGAGTTCTGAAGATCGTGTACAAGTGGCTGCTTCCTTCATCCTTCAATCGCCCCCAGGAGAGATTAATGACGTCTTGAACGGTGCCTAGCACTTAATGCCTTGTCTCCTCCATGCAACGCTGACTTCTGGTCCATTCCATGCAGATGTTCGTGTCATCGTAGATGATGACGCGGGATTGGAGGAAGGCATCCTTCCTGCCCTTCGGGAATATAACATCGCGCAGTTCACAACGGTCGAAGTGCCAGGTGAACACCATCAGGTCAGTTCTAGCTCAATGCGTCGGGATGCCGTTATTAAATGGATCTTGCTCTAGACAATAGTTAGCGAATTTGCGCGTGTACCCGGCACCGAAGAAGAACGCTATCTAGACCCACGATCTAAAACTTCTTTTGTTTTCAACCACTTGACTCTAGTGAGTCCTCACTTTCAGTCACAAGCGGTGGTCACCAATGGCGCTAGTAGGAAGCCACTGATCCTCAGTCGGAGGAGCCTTCCGAGGCTGAGCCTCAGCGGTCAGTGGATCAAATGTCATGCATTGATGCGCATTGGATTTATCAGAGATCAGTGCTGCGTTGGAATCTGCTGCTTTGTCGTACTTGGGCTCACACTACCACGATGGAGTTGCTACTGTGCTAGCCATGTCGACCACCCAATTCGCTATTCAGATCGTCTCCAATAAATACAATCCATCAAATTACTGGTTTGTTCGTTATCACATATCGCGGATGTCGAACTAAATCATCTCTAGCAGGGCTGGTAGATGGCGCTCGCACTACTGAAATAGACTTGGAGAGTAGGACCATACAGGGAAGAGTCCTCGTAAATGTTCACTACTATGAACAAGGCAATGTAAGATTCGTCACAGGATACAAATTCATTGGTCTGACGTTTAGTGTAGGTCCAACTCAGTACATCGAATGACTCGTCAATATCAATACCAGCTACTGTGTCATCACTATCTCCTGCATCATCGGCATCCAAAATATTTGCATTGATCGAGGCTGAAGAGTCGCGATGCCAGACATTCCTGAATGATGCATATCATGAGATGGGAGAAAAGGCATTCAAAGGGTTGAGGCGCGCCTTGCCCCTGACGCGACAAAAGATAGACTGGGATAAGGTGAGATTCTTATTATTATGATCTTTATCTCGACTAAATTTGTCTAGACTATGGGATATAAACTGGGCGCTGAACTTACCGCTAGCAATCGTGCCTTCGGCGCCCAACCTCGATAATGGTCACATCAGCAGTCGTCCGGTTTCGAGGGATACCACTTATCTGTAGTTGTATTCTGTGGAAATGAAAAACCATTTCACTGAAATGACGCATATATCTAACTTGCAATTTGACAAATATTTTAGCGCGCATGTTAACAACCTCACTCGCACATAGTTCTCTATGGCGTCATCTTTTATTTCGGATGGTGTCCCTTACCAGATGGCAGGAGCGCAGTGCACACAGCATTGTAAGGGGTCCCGCTGATCGTCGTAACACGACCAATGAGTGAGCTTATGTTGAGGCCAGTGCACTGTCTCCATCTCAAAGGAAACTACAGTACCATATTTTGATGTGCAAGTAGTACGTACGGATGATTGACGCTCACTGTCAAAGGATCCGCATGCTTAGACGACCGACCTGTTTGTGATCTTGGTGCTGTGCTAGTCGGTATCGGCTTGCTTAAGAGCTCAGCTTGCGTGATTCCAGCATGTTATACGTCAAATGAAAATGACAGGTGGCATATGCAATTTTCAAGTTTACACGAATAGATACAACTTCTATACCACAAGCTCCACGCAGCTGCAAGGTGCGAGATACCAAGCAATTAACGCGGCGCACATAGACAATAGTTGATGCACCGAATCCCCGTTTTTTTTTTCAGAATGCCGGCATCGCCTCCTGCTGCCCGATCAAACTTGTCCGAGATCTGTGTGAATACCTCGGATGCAGCGCTCATATGTAACATGCCTGCGTGGAAGGCGATGAAACAAGGGCTAGGTGACGACAAATCTCGTTCAGGGGTAGCGTGATTCCAGAACGTGATCGTCTCGCTGGAGCGCTGACCAATGAGGCATTATTGCAAGGACGAAAGCCTGCAGGTTCACCACCGTCCGTTCAAAGTACTATTAGCTTATCGAAGGCAACGTGGACAACATAATAGAGGGCCATACTGTTAGAAAAATCGTCTGCGAGCCTTTCCTTATTTTCAATAGTGTTTGCAGATATTCCTGAGTAACGACTAATAATATCCACGTCGCAGCTGAAGCATGTGTCTGCGTGATCCAACATGATGTGTCAGTAGTAATGCTGGTCTGTCAGAAAAATCCATACCCGGCACCCGTTTCAGAATGTGCGTGGCATGCAAGGTTGTCAAAACCTGATTACTATCGGCGGGCATGTGTTCTTCATCCCACATACCGCTAACAGTATACCTATAGCCGTCTCGCCAATTGATCTAGTAGAGATCACTATAACGCCAAAAGCCACTTTTCTACCAATAAAACGTACATCGCTCTTACATAAATCCACTACGTCGTTGAAAATTGGCAGTTGTAACACTGATCGAGATGTTGTTAGAAGTCGGTGTGGCTTGGTCGGGGATCGAGTCTGATAGTCGATGAGATCCAGTTTTGACTACCAAGGGGGATGTCGTGTTGGTATACATGACAGATATTGGCTTCGAAGTTTCAATATTGTGACATGGCCATAGCAGATACATAAACCAAGTCCAGGCGAGGCCGACTTGCTCGTGGATCTCCGGACATGCAGAAATAGCACAGGCGGTATAACGCTCGGAGCTTTCGCCACCCGTTTCGCGGGCGTTCCTCAGCATCGCGTCTAGAACCCTTGATGCGTCCATGTCTTGTACGCTTGGTGGAGTTTCGATCCATCTTTCTTGCCTTGTCGCTAGCTGCTCCATTGTTTGTCGAGCCCGCAAAAGTCACAGTGGATATTTGAGCGTTTTGCATGGCCACATTAACATCTCCGTTGAATAAATTGACGACGGATAACGTCACGGATTCAGGTTCCTGGTTTGCTGAGGTCGCTAGAGTTGCTTGTGTTTCGTGAATGAGCCATTTGACATAATGTGAGGTAGCAGGTGAGTGCTCCGAAAGTACTGTAAGGCGCGTACTAGTATAGTGGGCTTTGTTACCAAGTCAGTGGCTCTATCATATGTTTGGGAAAAGACTTAGATTGGGTTCGGGACCCTAAGTTCATAGTTTACATAACAAGTCCTATGTCTTGCAACCGCTGTTCACAGTCCAGCAGCACACCCGCCAACTTTCTTTTACTGTGCAGAAGCTGCCACAAACACTGGCATCATAGTAAGTGATCGATTGCCTGTAACGACAGAGCATTTAATAGGAAACATCCATCGTTTTGTTTGTCCTTAGGATGTCATCCCCCTCCCCTCAAAGACGGTGAACTCCTTCAGCTCATCTGCTCTCAAACCGCAGGCGATCGTGATAATGGCCTCGATAGTTGGATATGCAAACGTTGTAGTAAGAAAAATCAAGCGGCTGAAACCAGCAGCAAAACTGCAGCTCAGTCGCTGAGACCGAAACCGGACGACAATCAACAGCCACTGCCCTCTGTTCAGGCGCAAGCATCGCTGGGGCTTGCACTTCCGAAGGACAAGGGGAAAATCGATCCAAACGTTGCAACTCGCGGCAGTGGGACAGCGGGACCTAGCATCGAGACAACCACCCACATACTCCATACCGCCGAACGCACACAACACAACGACCATGGCAGCCAGCACCAACAACAGCAGGACAATCATACAGGTAGCCAGATGAAAAGTCTAGGTGCTGAAGAACTACGCTCCGCGATTTTGCGCTCTGACTGTCTACGTTTTCCAGATAACAATAAACTTCCGACAACTACAGTCAAAAAGCTCCAAGTGAAACGTGTGCTCCAAGAGCAACACCTGGATGGTCCTAGAGCGGATCGTGACTATCCCCATAGAACGGAGACCTGTCTAGATCAGCCCGCTGTGCCTTCCAAGTACGCCCGTGCTCCAGATGGAAAGAAGGTCGTCTCGTCCGGGTATCCACCGAAAGTCGAGCAGCTTAAAGATGAAAACCGTTTAAATCCTTCACACATAGAAAAACCTGTAGCAACAAAAGAAGATACGCCTCCCTCTCGCTCTGTTACTTTGTTCTCCGAAAGGATTTGCTCTCCATTCACTTCACTGCCTGTTAACGAAGAGGAACACATTCACTATGATTCGGTGGTGAAGAGTCCTGGGGGCAACGGGCAGGAAGTGGGTACTCGTACAGATACTCCTTCAGGAACCCCTGTTGGACATGGCGACATCGAGATGAAGGATGACAGTGATGATCTCTACGGACCTCCTGTCCCACGGTTTAGTAGTTCCACTCCCATTCCATCCAGTTCGAGACCGTCTAGCGAGCAGCAAGGAGGTTCTGTGATGCAGGAAGGTTGTCAGACGACCCAACAACAAGGAGTTTTTCAATCGCATCATCAATCCGAAGGCCAGAGCAGACTTAAGGTCGGACCCTACGTTTGGAGTGCAAACAGTTCTTTCCTGACGTAATTCAACAGCAAACACCAAAGGCAGAGACACAACCATTGCTGGGCCCTGATTGGTTGAAAGCTCGATACTCGGTTGCCGATGACCCATGGTGCCGTCTCTGCGATCCACAGCGCCGAATGTATAGTGTCAGCAGACGCAAGAAACCTACAACTAAGTTTCTTGGTAATCCGGTGCAATCGGTGGCGACAACAGATAGAGAACTACTCAGGTTTTTTTTCTGTCGCGACTGGATTCAGCAGACACAAGCCAATATTTGATGATCATGTTTGGAATCTAGAAAATCGATACACTACCAGTACTGGTAACACGAGTAACTTGATACAATTTTACATACGTAATAGTTCTTCTACACATGTTGTACTAATGGTCTAATATCAATTATTTGGCTACGGATGCTAATGTCCCTTTTTAAACGCTGCTGCAAGATATTGTTTACTTCTTCCCATAGCCTGCGATAATACCGACTTTCAGGCAACGTGTCCAAAGGATACTGCCACGCACTGATTCTCTTCAGGCGGGGAAAGATACTGGACAGGGCACTTGCGACATCTTGTGGACTGGCCAATCTCGAATCTCCTAAGCTTAGGCGAGTCACTGCCAAATTACGAACCAGAGTTGTGTCCTGCCGTGAGAACGGAGATGTTGTGGGACACGGAAGAAATAGGTCTAGGGCATTTAAGACCATCGCGATTTGATAGAGCCTTGGGCACAGAGCGCACAGCGATCGGAGACCGCGGACAGTGATCGATGGTCTAGGGTGAGAAGCGGACAGATGCCAGCCACGCCCCTCATTGAGGCAAAAGACCTCAAGTTCTGGCCAGGAGCTTGCCATTGCTGTAAGGTCCGAGTCATCCAAAGTAAATGACAGGCACACGCCCAGATCAAAAACTCGTAGTTTGGTGAAAGTGAAAAATGGTTTGAATACGTCCACTGTAATGACCTGTGACTCGGGAAGAAGCTGGCAAACTCCGAGCGTAGCATTTGAAAGGCTGTCGCGCACTTTAATGGAAGACATTGCGCTGCATTCACTGTGACTGGAACTAAGTGTGCTAAAACACTCTGTTAAGGAAGCAGTGGTCGGTGCTTCAGAGATGTCGAAGACAACTGACTGCAGAGACCTGCATCCAGGTTCCAAGAAGGATGTGATAATTGGGATACTAAATGCACGAAGATGCAGATTGCGCAGATTGCAGAACCACAAGCGATCAGCACGGTCTTTGGCTGCCCCGGAATTATGAGGCGCCGAGCTTCCGCGGTCGCTTGACACCCACGAAGGGATGCCCAAGCTTAAAGTCATGAGTGACTTGAGTTGAGATAGGTGCAGAATATCTTCTTCGCTGATGGTCGATGACTTGCATTCTAAGGTGGTGAGACGAGGTAGCCGACAAATCGTCCGAACGGCAGAGGGACCCTCGCCTCCCGATAAGGATATGACAGGGTGCTTGCTTATTGACATGCTGCGGAGGTTTGGGCAGAGTTTGGGCAGTAAGGTTAAGAAGGGAAAGTCGGGAGGTTTGTGGAAAAAGAAATCCAGCTCGAGTGACTCCAGAGTAGGACTTAAGAAAAGTTGGATATACACATAGCGTGATTGATCAGTGTCAGTCCATGACAGTTGACGGAGGTTGGGAAACAACGAGGTCGTGATGCCCATCATGCTTAATAATCGCAGTTGTTCTGTAAGGGCGATTTGGGAGTGGGTATCTGAATATGCCAGAGCGGGACATGATAGTTTACGGACACGAAACGCAGCACGTTGGAAGGACGCGGATGGTACTGATATGTGCGGGTCCTTGGAGGGTTGAGTCAGCTAACAAGGTGTCTGTGATTTAACTGTTCGCGCACATTTGGCATCCTTGGTTTTATATATTGGAGTAAGGGCCTTACGTCCGGCAATTCCGACCATAAGAAGTCCAATGCCAGAGGCGATAGGAAATGACATGTCCGAGCGACAGCGTTGAGCTGACTGTATGGTGCGTCTGCTTCTCGTAGCGCAGCAAGTATGTTCAGCAGGATTTCGTCAACTAGCAACGCGTGATGCATGGTAGATATGGGAGGGGAGATGCGAGTGTGGCTCCTGAGGCGCTGAGCAAGAGCAGGGAGTTGACAAATATAATAGATGACAGGTCACTACCGATTAATCGCCTTATGCAAAGATAGGTAAATATTTGCGGAGGCGATGATTCGTTATCGAGGGTGATGAGGCTTCAGCGAAACAAAAAGCTTTGTACTGAAAGGATTCTATGATATACTGTCATTCATGACATGAGACTGTCCGGCATGGGAGGTCGTGAGAAGTAGAAGGCTGGGATGATGATTCATTGGCGGAGCTACCGTGGAACTATTGTCTTGCCATCCAAGACGTGCAGGGACATGAGCCGTGTGGCAAAGCCCAAAATTCATTGTTGCCGAGGCCTGGCACTATCATCCGAGGGACGTCCATGAATGACTCCTTATCAATTATTCCATACAGCCTAAGGTACAAGATATCGTATGAGTGTAGATCTCAATTGAATGCGATGAAACCCTGACCTGAAACGGCTGACTTTCAAACACAAGTCTAGAAATGATCATAGCGCCTGAAATCCCTTTATGTTCTCCATTAATATAGACCAAATATGTCGCGCCCTCAGAGTAAGAGTTCGCGTGTTGATGGCGTGAACATGGGGATATCTGTGTGACAGCGCTGAGATCCCGGCTGCAAGTAGGCCAATACGCTCCGCAGAAGAAAGTTCCGAGAAGGCTCTGTTGGCACGTGTTGGAACCTGAGATTGTGACCTGAGTTCGCTTTAAGTTAAAGTAGGAGGTCGAGACCTGGGCCTGATAGCATTCAACTAGACGAGAATGACTCACTGCGATATTTACCGCCGTAAGAAGTGCAGTGCAGCGCCGTGCTCGCATTTACGGATCATGAACTATTTCCCCCTGCTTCGGGAAGCGCATCAACGGCACAAGTACTATCGCAAATGGCGGTGATCTGAAAAGATTTTTTGAAGAATTTCTGGACCTGCCGCATCTGAAGACTAGGATGCAGCCGAGCAGAGTTTACATACAGCTGCACGATTTTGCCTTGGAAATAGAGACCGGGCTCCCAAGCCGCGGCCACTGACTCAGATATGTACTGCCTTACCGCGAAAGGCTGGTCGGTACAAAATGCTGTTGGGGCCAACTTGAAGCGGTGCGTGGCAATCAAGGTGGCTTGTGCTACCAAACCCGGACGACATCAGAAAACAGAAAACCGATTCTATGAAAATATACGTGGTTTAGATGAAAATGACCGTTGCTTAAAGGAGCTCACATACCTTGCAAAGTTTCAGCACGGCGGTCAAATCTGAGTTCTAGGCTATTGCGGAGCCACGAACTCACTCCGGGCTTACAAGTTGAGCGAAGCCGAAATGAAGGGAAAACCAGCGCGGCACGGAGGCAATAGTAATATTGTGTTTTTTTGGTTTTCGAGTTGTTCCGGATCCCGTTAAGTAAGTAACGTCCTCAGGTGAAGATGTAGTAATACTTATATACTAGCGGGCCAGAGGTTCTTGAATCATTTGGTTTCCTTAAAGCGACGTGCCAATCTAGATTCTAGTACGTCAAGAGAAGCAAAAGTTAACGGCGGACTCGCCAGATAATTTGGGGGTATGGACAACACAATAAACTGATGCGGCTGTTGGCAGATTCACAAATGATAGTGACTAGCTTAAGTTGAGCTTAAGCTACTTAATATTAGCAAACAACGTTAACGATTTAATTGGTGTAACCGTACATGTACAAGCTTAATCGATCGATCAATTGAAGTTACTTGCGACCCCTCGTGGCACCATACGACCCCCCACTTCTCCTTTGTCTTCATGACATGACGATCGTCAACGGAAACAGCGAGAATGATCTTATTGATCACTTATTCAACAGTGTCCAAGAACTTTCTGAGCTGCTTACGCAGAACCGTTCTATATCATTTTCGCTCCACGCCTCAGCTGGTGCTATAAAGGTTCTGCCTCCTTTTAGTAAAGTCAGAAAGCCTCGATTGATGGAACCATAGACTCAAGCGGCACATGCACAGACTGGGTTTGTCCTTCGCAGGTGGGAGCGTGGATGTTGAGCGGTATTCGTAGATTGGACTGACCATGCCGTAGGTTCAACCTCGACAAGGTTCAAGGTTTGACCTACTCATTACCGATACATGTTTACTGGACTGATTCTTTCCTTGAACGCAGATGCGTACGATGGAGAACTAGAGCGCATGAATGCCTCACTTGCAGCTGAGAACCAGACGCTGCAGCACGACAACAAACAACTGGGTGCGCTCATTCGGGAGTACGAGCAGACACTCGAAAGCGTAATGAGTGCATTCCGCACAAGAGCTGTACGTGTATATATTCACGTCATGGCAGCTCATTGATAATCAACAAAATATGACCTCTTCCTTCCCTCGCCTCGATCCGCCGCCCTATGTACATGTGTTACCTGCGGTAATTAATCTGCAGCGTGACGTCCAAGAACACGAACTCGCTCTCATTCGCGAATACGAATCCAAGCTTATTGCCAGGGAGTCGGAAGACCTTCTCCGTGCATTGTCGGCTAGTACTGCCCAATCCGCGGCCCTTGGGCGGATATCAAATACACTTCGCCATCTCATGCGCGTACTGAATGGCGAGGATGCCGAAATTGCTGATACTCCTTCACCTGAGGTAAAGCAAGGCGATGCGGAGGAGTTTGATTTCGAAGAAAAGAAGGATTGGTCTCTCGAGAGGGACTCTGAGCTCGCACGGTTGGAGCGAGAGAACTCTGTATTGCGGAGAATGCTGGGGATGGAGGTACATGAGATAGAGGCTGACGCTAAATGGAATGTCACAGATTATGGAGTAGACAACTCGCGCCTGCTCGGACCGCGTCCTGGATCAAGCAAGCATCCTCCTCAGCCTCCGCAACCACAAAAGAAAATACTGGGTGGTGCGCCAGGTACAGTGGGACCATACGGAACGTACAAGAAGGGCAAATCAGGTTGAACAAAGCGTGAGGCCTTTCTCTCATTAACTGGATATCTGTTGATCATCGATTCTTCAGTCTATCCACTTTTTTCGTTTTATTACTTGTGGACTTTTGTACATTCATACCTCGGTGCAACGGCAGGATACTCCCAATTCTTCGATGCGTTTCCACGCAAGAGTTGGATGACACATCATCATACGAGCAATAGGGTATTTGAAATTTTCTGCGCAGCTCAGGCATGGCCCGAACCTCACTAGATCTCACTTGGTGATATCGATCAGAACCAGTTTCTGGCTATGCTCTTATTCGTATTTGTGCTATGCAGCTCAATAGAAGAGAATTCAAATGGGTTATGCCGCGATCAATGTAAACCTTGGCGGTCGTAATCACGTGAGTGTTACTAAACATATTTGGCGAGGTGGGTGGACTCATGATGATGCATGACCACGCTGACCAGTCTACGTCCTTGAGAAAGAGAAGGATTTTTGCGACTATGTTACTTGATTTATCTGATAGGCCAGACTGCTCTCCAGTCCCACCTAAGGATTTTGCGGTGCATAGTAGCATTCCCACAAACGCCGCCTCGAGACTCGTGTCACCGCCCTTCCATCACATTAAGTGATGCTCCAACTCCGACTTACGTACACTCAGATCAGGAAGTGCTAATATTTGCCAAAGGCTATATATTCTTAATCCGCCTATCGATAATGGGCTGTTGCTCTCCAGTACCCGCTTCTCATGGCAACAACTTCTTCCAAACCGACAGACCACTATTGGGACTGGGATCCAAGTCTTCTTTCATGTGACACACTGCCAAGTCCCCGGCATGACCTTGGCTCCCTCATATCTGATACGACGTCCATCATTGAGACTGGAACCGAATTCTACGACCGTAGTGTGACAAGTCGCAGATATGCCCTCGTTGGAATGGTGTGTTCTGGGGTCGTCAGTTGCTGTTGCATCATTGCAGGCATTTTCATCATGGCCACTGACAAAGAAGGCGGCATGATGGCTGAAATAACCGTAATACTAAGCAGCAACCTGCAGAAAGAGATGATAACCCTGGGGCTAAACTTGATTGTCACTTTATGTACCGAATCCACTGGGTTCGTACATGGCATCTCACTGCGCTCTGCGCTAGCCTCAGAATCTCGGCTCCGCTTCAACTCTAATCTGCGTCTTCTGAATGCAGCTCGTGGATGGAGAAACCCCAATGGAGCGCTGTCCAATGGCATCATGGCCATCCTCCTTATTATATCCTACAGCTCAGCCTCGCTCGTTACATTAACTGAGTCCTGGATGGAGATAATTGGATCATCTGACAACGGTTACGAAGTAGATCAAATTTTCACGGTCTATTCCACTAGCATATTAGGGTTGCCTCTCCTGCTGTTGGGCGTCGCGCTCTTTCTCCAGGTGGTGATCGCCTGGTCAGCTATACGGGCTGTCAAAATATTGACGTGGAGCTCCTCAGCTTTCGACTTAACCGCCGCTCTGGTCCACCACACACAATTGATCCCGGTTCCTTTCCGGTGCATGCGTGCGGTATCCAACCTGGATGTGCACGGAGGTCCTGCGAAGCCGTCGGACAAACAGCCCTCGGCGTGGCATGCTCACCCTAGCATCCGGAAAGTTATCAGGTCTCTTTGGGGCCTCGTTTTAGCATGTGCTGTGTGGGCTACGCTAGCCATGTACTTCTACAATAAGTATAAAAGCAGCTCCTCCAGCATGATAACCTTAAAATCGTGGTCGTTCTTCCCCAGCAATCAATTCTCTTATGCGGCTATCTACGGGATGCCGCTTTCTGGGAATGGACCATGGTGGATTTTGTACCTTGCCAATGTGGCAGTTTTCCAAGGACCATTGACACTTGGGCTGCATTGCTCGGAGCTCATTGTGGATGTCATTCGGGATGAAAGACACTGGAGATGCGCTAGTGGAACAAAAGGGCTCAAGTCGACGACGAACCCGTTGAAGTCGGTTTTCGCCAATCCGCTCTGTCTTATACTTTTCGTCGTGAAACCTGTGCTACGTGAGTTAATCGCACCCAGCTTCTTGTCAGTGTTCTTGAATAACATTATCCACGATATAGATTGGATGTTTGGGCTTGCATTCACAACGTATCCCGGCCTCTATTTAGGGACACGCGGAATCGCGTTCTATATGTATACAATTCAGGTTCGCATTCACAGTCTAAGTACTTGCGGTCACCACAGATCCTCACACACTCTTGTAGATCTGGAACTTGTGCATAGTATTACTCATATTTGCCTGTTGCTGTACCCTCGTCTCATTACGCCGACCGCACGGCCCCCAGCCAGCTGCATACGGCCACCTCCAGACACTTGCAAACCTCGTAGATGAGTGGTCGCCTGTGATGTGGTGGGGTCACAAGGAGGACGGAATTCCATACTGTCATGCTGGTAGAGTGCTTGTATGACCACGAGGATAGTGCATTGACGTTTTCAAACAGGGACGAGTGATCACTCGCTGCCGGCCGTGAAGATGGACTGCATTTATGCTGGCTCCGGGTCTAATCGATGATCGATCTCGTGAGATGTTCTTGCTTTGAAAAGACGTTCACGAATCACTAACTATCATTTGTAAACAGAAGAACCAAGTCCATGCCACTCGGACTGGCGATGCATGGACGGGCGTATGGCCAGCTACGCGGTTAAACGAAATCATGTTTGCAACTTTGATGCTGTCAGACTGTCGCGTTGGAGGATTTGAGTCTTCATTTCGCATTGGACATATTTTGGCGAACCGCATTTAAGTCGACTCTACTTCGAATAAATGCCAAATCACAGCGATTTGCAGTAGGGATAAACAACCTGTCCAGGCGTTACGTCGGTAGCTTGGAAGGTTGCGCTTACTTGGATTGAACGTATCCCAGGAGTGAGCACGGATCATAGTTTATGTTTATTCACAATTGTTCGAGATCCTCAACGTATCGTATCATATTTAGATTCGGGTGTCTCTCGCTTCAAACATATTTATGGTAGTCTTCAGAGTTGGCTCTGGAATATTTTCTTGCACCGATATAAGTACCATTGCCTGGAGGTTCGCTTGAGTAGTTCTGCAATGCTCACCCCTCTCCGTTCTCACAGAAATGTGACGTTCTTTGACCAAGTACTGGCTGCCCTACATCTCGACGACTTCGACCCTGTGCAGTATTGACTGCAGAATAAAATCAGGATGTAGTTCGTCGTGCTGGTTTGGGGTTGTCCTGGCCCGCTGGATCTGTCATGTGAAGTTATCGAGCCACATTTCGATCAATTCATTAGCATCGAAAACTCTGCTAAGGGGCTGAAGTTCATCATATGTAATTTATACTTCATGACACCCGTCACAGGGAATGCCCGTACAACAGTGTACAACTCGATTCTGGTCGATGCAGACTTGACGGGAGTCTCGGAACACACGCGAATGTGCAAGGACCCAGTGTTTCCATAGTATCATCACCGCCATTCCTTCTGAGAAGTCGAAATCGAAGAAAATCCTAGTGGAAATGACAAAGACGGGCCATATATGGGATGCTACAAAGCATAACAGTCGATGTTCAGGGTCTGAGGCCCACCTCGTTTGTCGTGCTTGCGTCTGCGGCTGTGAGATGTGCGCCATATCGTCGTTCTGAAGGAGGCATCGTCTGTGCGTCGCTGATATAGGCAAAAGGTAGCATGCCAGAATTGCGCCGCCTCGGACATATCCTCGACTAAATAGAGGCTCAAATCATCGTTGGCAACGAGCAATCTATCATTTCGACAAATTAAGATTAACTAGCTTATAGTCATTTGATAATATCGTTTCTGAGATTGCTCTGCAAACGAATGTTAACTGTCAAGACTTTCGACTATGTCCAACAATGGCTCACATTGGACGTTGTTGACTGTCGCTAGTCCCGCAGCCGCCACCAGCATGTGAGCCTGTAGGTATCTGCAGTATCATATAGCTTATCTAATGAGCGGCGCAGAAGAGCGATATGCTTGCCCGAACCCTTGAGCTGAGACAGCGTAGTTGCGGACCTGATGTCCTATGCGGTAGGCAGAAACAGCGTCTGTCCTGCGGCTTCGGGGTGAGTACCACCTCCATCTAGGACTTTAATTGTCAACATACAATGTCTTCTCCTTGGAAGTACCATGATCAATGGCATACGCAATGTCAATTGGATGCATAAACACATCAAGGATGTATGTACTAGAAACTGAACACAGCCATCCTGAATACAAATGACACTGACTACTTGCTGTGAGGGCTTTTGGCAGTATTGGAAAGGTCTTGGCCAGGTAGCTCGAGTGGCCATCATCGTCCCAGAGATAAAATATGACCTTCGGCGAAGGATATTGAGTTTATTATACCAGATCGTTCTAGTATAGAGACTGTTAGGAAAGAGTGGAGGTCAAACTTGAACCATGTGTAGGCTTTATCCCTCAAGAGCTATAGGTCCTTAGAAATAGAAACGAGATCCGCGATGGAACGGGGAGCAGATGTTGACTACCAAGTTCTAAGACGTACTGGAGCCCAGAGGATAACATGTTTGCCTGTTGAAAGGCTGAGCATACTGGCAAGAAGCTTTCAATATAGACAAGATTGATACCGAGTAAATTGTGACTTGGCATGGATGTGCAACGAATGATATCTTGCCACAAAGGAAAGTATAGAGAGTAAGACTAAAGTTCTTCAGGAAGAGACACGGCCAGAGCTCCTGCTTTGGGCTTCAAGTTCTTCTCAGCCGCTTGGTCTCTATGACTGTCATGAAGCATTTACTTGACACGATCAGTGACCAAGTACATTTTGAACCCCGCGAAACTCTGAGTTTTAAATCAAAAGGACTGGTAATTAGTCATCGACCAAACTTTCACCGTCGCCCTCAACATCGACGACGATGAGTTCGTTCATTCGCCCTCCTCCGGGCTTGCCGCCCCCACCTCCAGGCATGCCACCACCACCAGGATTTCCACAAGCATCTACCTCAAAGGTTCCTCCCGAAGTCCTTGCGCAAAAGTCGCAGAAATGGGTGTCCATGCAGAAAAAGCGCTACGGCGAAAAGCGCAAAGGAGGATATGTTGATATGGGAAAACAGGTACGTTCGGTTGGTATAGAATTTTACACGTATTGAATAATGATCTTGCAGGATTTGCCTCCGGAGCACGTCCGTAAAATTATCAAGGACCACGGTGACATGAGCAACCGCAAGTTTCGCAATGATAAGCGCGTCCACCTCGGCGCCTTGAAATACGTCCCTCACGCTGTAATGAAGCTGCTTGAAAACATCCCATACCCCTGGGAGCAGGTTCGCGAGGTGCCCGTCCTTTATCACATCACTGGCGCAATCACTTTCGTCAATGAGATCCCTCGCATTATCGAACCTGTTTATCATGCCCAATGGAGTTCCATGTGGCTAGCCATGCGTCGAGAGAAGCGTGATCGCAGACATTTCAAGCGTATGCGCTTCCCACCTTTTGATGATGAAGAGCCACCGTTGGATTATGGTGATAACGTACTGGATGTTGAGCCTCTTGAAGCCATTCAGCTGGAGCTCGATTCAGAGGAAGATTCTGCCATTATTGATTGGTTTTACGACCCAAAGCCGCTGGTGGACACACCTGCAGTCAATGGTCCCTCATATCGTTATTGGCAGCTCACACTACCCGTCATGGCGAATTTATATCGTCTTGGGAGAACCCTATTGTCAGACCAACCTGATAGCAATGCAAGCTATCTTTTCGACAAGAAATCCTTCTTCACCGCAAAAGCTCTCAACTTGGCAATTCCTGGAGGGCCGAAGTTTGAGCCATTGTACCGTGACATGGATGCTTTTGACGAAGATTGGAACGAGTTCAATGATGTCAATAAAGTTATCATTCGTCAACAAATCCGTACCGAGTACAAGGTCGCCTTCCCGCATCTCTATAACTCCCTCCCGCGCTCTGTTCACCTCTCTCCATATCATGCGCCCAAGAATGTCTATATTCGCACTGATGATCCCGACCTACCCGCCTTCTATTTCGACCCACTCATCAACCCTATCTCCCTGCGCGGCGCTACTCCCAAGAACGCACCGCTCGTCTCTCATGAAGACTCTATCTTCGGTCCGAACGGCGCCGACGACGACGACGACTTTGAGTTGCCCGATGATGTGCAGCCATTCCTTGAAGACAAGCCTCTCGAGAACGACCTCACTGCTGATGGTATTGCTCTATGGTGGGCGCCTGAGCCTTATAATCGGCGCTCTGGTCGCATGCGTCGTGCGCAGGACATACCTTTGGTGAAGAACTGGTATTTGGAGCACTGTCCTCCCAACCAGCCAGTCAAAGTTCGCGTATCGTACCAGAAGTTGCTCAAGTGCTTCGTCCTCAACGAGCTCAAGAGTCGACCTGAGAAGGCGATGACTAAAAAGAATCTCTTCCGGCAGTTGAAGGCGACGAAGTTCTTCCAAACGACAAAGCTTGACTGGGTGGAAGCCGGTTTGCAGGTGTGCAGACAAGGGTATAACATGCTTAACCTTCTCATTCACAGAAAGGTAAGCTTTCGTAGAGACCGTTGGGGTAAATCAAAGCTAATTTTCGTTTTCAGAATTTGAACTACTTACATCTCGACTATAACATGAACTTGAAACCAGTGAAGACGCTTACTACAAAGGAGCGCAAAAAGTCTCGCTTCGGAAATGCCTTCCACTTGTGCCGCGAGATTCTGCGTCTTACAAAACTTGTTGTTGATGCCCATGTTCAGTTCCGCCTTGGCAATGTTGATGCTTTCCAGCTCGCAGACGCACTGCAGTATATCTTTGCGCACATTGGGGCATTGACTGGTATGTATCGGTACAAGTACAAGGTTCGCAGAATTACTGTTATAGGCGAAGTTTCTTTTATTGATTTTTACTCATCCAGCTCATGAGACAAGTTCGCATGACAAAAGACCTCAAGCACTTGATCTACTACCGCTTTAATACTGGCCCTGTCGGCAAGGGTCCTGGAAACGGGTTCTGGGCTCCTGGCTGGCGTGTCTGGCTTTTCTTCATGCGAGGCATCGTACCGCTACTCGAGCGCTGGCTCGGTAACCTCCTCGCGCGTCAGTTCGAGGGACGCAACAGCAAGGGCATCGCGAAAACTGTGACAAAGCAACGTGTCGAGTCTCACTACGACCTCGAGTTACGTGCGGCTGTCATGCACGACATTCTCGACATGATGCCCGAGTCCATTAAACAGAACAAGTCGAAGACGATTCTGCAGCATCTGTCGGAGGCGTGGCGTTGCTGGAAGGCGAACATCCCATGGAAAGTTCCTGGTATGCCCACTGCGATTGAGAACATTATCCTACGGTACATCAAGAGCAAGGCTGACTGGTGGTGCTCGGTTGCGCATTATAATCGGGAGCGTATCCGTCGGGGTGCTACGGTTGATAAGGCAGTAGTGAAGAAAAACCTGGGTCGGCTGACTCGTCTGTACTTGAAAGCAGAGCAGGAGAGGCAGCATGGGTACTTGAAGGATGGGCCATACATCAGTGCGGAGGAAGCTGTCGCAATTTACACAGCGACTGTTCACTGGCTAGAGAGCCGCAAATTTGCTCCTATACCATTCCCGTGAGTGAGCCAGCCATGTTTTGCACGTTATGAACTCACCGTTTTCTCTAGTCCTCTGTCGTACAAGCACGACACGAAGCTGCTTGTACTCGCACTTGAAAAGTTGAAGGAGGCTTACTCGGTCAAGGGTCGCCTTAACCAGTCGCAGCGTGAAGAGCTTGCCCTCATTGAGCAGGCGTATGACAATCCGCATGAATGTCTGTCGCGCATCAAGCGACTGCTTCTCACCCAGCGCGCGTTCAAGGAGGCTGGCATTGAGTTCTTTGACACGTACGACAAACTCATTCCGTGCTACGACATCGAGCCTGTTGAGAAGATTACAGACGCCGTAAGTTTCAGCGTTTACTCCTTATATGCCATGCTAACGTTGATACTACACAGTATCTTGATCAATTCCTGTTCTTCGAGGCTGATAAAAGAGGGTTGTTCCCTGCCTGGATCAAACCTGCCGATACGGAGCCACCGCCGTTGCTTGTGTACAAGTGGTGCCAGGGCATCAACAACTTGACGGACATCTGGGAGACGAGCGAGGGCGAGTGCAACGTGATGATGGAGACCGTCTTCTCCAAGGTGTATGAGAAGATCGACCTGACCCTACTCAACCGTCTCCTCCGTCCTCATTCTTGATCACAACTTGGCAGACTACATCACTGCGAAGAACAACACGGTGTTGACCTACAAGGACATGGCACACACGAATGCATTCGGTCTCATCCGTGGCCTTCAGTTCTCTGCCTTCGTCTTCCAGTACTACGGTCTCGTCCTTGATCTCCTCATTCTTGGCTTGCAGCGAGCTAGCGAAATGGCGGGTCCTCCACAGATGCCTAACAACTTCTTGCAGTACCGCGACTCGGCGACAGAGACTCGTCACCCCATCCGCTTGTACTCTCGTTACGTTGATCGCTTGCACATCCTCTTCCGCTTCAGCGCTGATGAGGCGAGGGACCTGATCCAACGCTATCTTAGTGCCAACCCTGACCCGACCAACAACAACGTCATCGGGTATAACAACAAGCGTTGCTGGCCTCGTGATTGTCGTATGCGTCTCATCAAGCATGATGTCAACCTCGGAAGAGCGGTCTTCTGGAACGTTAAGAATAGCCTGCCGCGCTCACTCACCACCATCGAGTGGGAGGACACCTTTGTCAGCGTTTACTCGAAGGACAACCCACAGTTGTTGTTCTCGATGTGCGGCTTCGAGGTCCGTATCTTGCCCAAGATTAGGACGATGGGTGGCGAACAGTTCTCGTTGAAGGATGCCGTGTGGAATCTCACCAACGAGCAGACCAAAGAGAGAACTGCGCAGGCGTTCCTGCGTGTCTCCGATGACGGTGTCCAGCAATTCAACAACCGTATCCGTCAGGTCCTTATGAGCTCTGGCTCCACCACGTTCTCGAAGATCGTCAACAAGTGGAACACTGCGTTGATCGGTTTGATGACCTACTATCGCGAGGCCGTCATCCACACAAACGAGCTCTTGGACTCTCTTGTCAAGGCAGAGAACAAGATCCAAACTCGTGTTAAGATCGGCCTGAACAGTAAGATGCCGTCCCGTTTCCCTCCTGTCGTTTTCTACACGCCGAAGGAGCTTGGTGGCCTTGGAATGCTTTCGATGGGTCATGTTCTTATCCCGCAGAGTGACTTGCGATGGTCCAAGCAAACTGACGTTGGAGGTTCGTTCTCTCTCTTGTTTGATAGCCATTATCTGGCTCACAGCAGTTCGTTTCATCAGTTACACATTTCCGTGCTGGTATGACCCATGAGGAGGACCAGTTGATTCCGAACTTGTACAGATACCTTCAGCCATGGGAGGCAGAATTCTTGGATTCGGCTCGTGTTTGGTCCGAATATTCCATGAAGCGGAAGGAGGCCAATGCCCAGAACCGTCGCCTCACCCTCGAAGATCTTGAAGATAGCTGGGACCGCGGTATTCCTCGTATCAACACCCTCTTCCAAAAGGATCGCCACACGTTGGCATATGACCGAGGTTGGCGTGTGCGTACGGATTGGAAGCAGTACCAGTTGCTGAAACAGTGAGTCGCTCTCCAGCTGTCTGAATTTATTGTTGACTGATGAGATGACTATTTTAGCAACCCCTTCTGGTGGACATCTCAGCGCCATGATGGAAAGCTTTGGCAACTGAACAACTATCGTGTTGATGTCATTGCTGCACTGGGCGGTGTTGAGGGTATCTTGGAGCACACACTCTTCAAAGGAACTTACTTCCCCACATGGGAGGGTCTCTTCTGGGAGAAAGCGTCTGGATTCGAAGAGTCTATGCGATACAAGAAACTTACCAACGCCCAGAGGTCAGGTCTTAACCAGATCCCTAATCGTCGGTTCACGCTCTGGTGGAGTCCGACCATCAACCGCGCCAATGTATATGTCGGTTTCCAGGTGCAGCTTGACCTGACGGGTATCTTCATGCACGGCAAGATCCCTACCCTTAAGATCTCGCTGATTCAAATCTTCCGTGCGCATTTGTGGCAGAAGATTCACGAAAGTGTGGTCATGGACTTGTGTCAGGTCTTCGATCAGGAGCTAGAGCCTCTCCAGATCGAGACAGTGCAAAAGGAGACTATTCACCCTCGTAAGAGTTACAAGATGAATTCGTCTTGCGCCGATATCTTGCTGTTCTCGGCCTACAAGTGGAATATCTCTCGGCCTTCACTGGTTACAGATGTAGGTCACTCTTCATACTTTTTTGGACTTTGATCTAATCGCTCGGTTTCTTTAGAACAAAGACGTTTTGGATGGCACGACTAGCAACAAGTACTGGATCGACGTTCAGCTTCGTTGGGGCGACTTCGATACTCATGATATCGAGCGGTATACTCGTGCCAAGTTCTTGGACTATGTGTCCGACTCCATGAGTATCTACCCCTCGCCAACTGGTGTTATGATCGGCATGGATCTAGCCTATAACCTGTGGTCTGCGTATGGCAACTGGTTCCCCGGTATGAAGCCTCTAATCCAGCAGGCCATGGCCAAGATCATGAAGGCTAATCCTGCATGCCACGTTCTGCGCGAGCGTATTCGCAAGGGTCTCCAGTTGTACTCTTCTGAGCCCACGGAGCCTTACCTCAACAGCCAGAACTACTCAGAACTGTTCTCGAACCAGATCATTTGGTTCGTCGACGACACTAACGTGTATCGTGTCACTATTCATAAGACATTCGAGGGTAACTTGACGACCAAACCAATTAACGGCGCTATCTTCATCTTCAACCCACGTTCTGGACAGTTGTTCCTGAAGATCATCCACACTAGTGTCTGGGCTGGTCAAAAGCGTCTCGGTCAACTTGCGAAGTGGAAGACTGCCGAAGAAGTGGCTGCATTGGTTCGTTCGCTGCCTGTCGAAGAACAGCCGAAGCAGGTCATCGTCACTCGCAAGGGCATGTTGGACCCTCTTGAGGTTCACTTGCTTGATTTCCCGAATATCGTTATCAAGGGAAGTGAGTTGCAATTGCCCTTCCAGGCATGCATGAAGATGGAGAAGTTTGGTGACTTGATCCTAGTAAGTTGGTCCATGCGTATTTGCATCTTCGTTGCTGATACTGTTTCTCACAGCGTGCTACACAACCTCAAATGGTCCTGTTCAGCTTGTACGACGACTGGCTCAAGTCGGTGTCCAGTTACACCGCCTTCTCTCGTCTTATCCTCCTCCTTCGTGGCTTGCACGTCAACAACGAGAAGGCGAAGATTATTTTGCATCCGGACAAGTCGACCATCACAGAACCACACTTCGTCTGGCCTACTCTTACAGATGATGAATGGATTAAGGTTGAGGTCGCAATGAAGGATCTTATCTTGGCAGTAAGTAATACCGCACACTTTTTGAACTTTAACTCATCGAGTTCAAGGATTTCGGCAAGCGGAACAGCGTCAACATCGCGTCCTTGACTGCCAGTGAAATTCGTGACATCATTCTTGGTCAAGAGATTGCCGCTCCTTCCGTACAGCGCCAACAGATGGCTGAGCTTGAGAAGAGTAACGAGGCACAGGGTCAAGTCACCGCTGTGCAAACTCAGACCACCAACGTTCACGGTGATACGATTCAGACCGTCACGACGACCAATTATGAACAGCAAGTGTTTAGCAGCAAATCTGATTGGCGTGTCCGTGCCATCTCTGCTACGCATCTTCCCCTCCGTCTGCAACATATCTATGTCTCCAATGATGATGTCAAGGACGACGCTGCTTCGTACACCTATGTGTTGCCAAAGAACATCCTGCGAGCATTCATCACTGCTGCAGATCTTCGCACTCAGGTTGCGGCCTTCTTGTACGGTGTATCGCCGCCAGACAACAAGCAGGTCAAGGAGATCAAAGCAGTCGTATGGGTACCTCAGCGTGGAAGCAACAATAGCGTTGAGCTGCCCAACCAGTTGCCGAAGGACGACTTCCTCCTCAAAGATCTCGAACCTCTTGGGTGGATCAAGACTCAAGCGCTTGAGCTCAACCATCTCTCTCCCACAGACGTCACCACCCAAGCCAAGTTGATGGCTGACCACCCCGAGTGGAACTCCTCGTCAATCTGTATCGCTGCTTCCTTCACTCCTGGTTCAGTCTCCCTATCTGCTCATCAACTGACGGTACCTGGGTTCGAGTGGGGCCGCAAGAACGTGGATAATTCTGCCAACCCACCTGGCTTCAACCCTAATATGTCGGAGCGGGTGCAGCTCCTGTTGTCTGACCGTATTCTCGGGATGACGCTCGTGCCCGAAGGCAAAGTCTGGAACTACGGGATTGGTCTTACCCAATTGTGGTCGGCCAACTTGTCATTTGCTGTAACACTAGACACGCCGCTGTTGTTCTGGGCAGAGGATCACCGGCCCGCTGCGTTCTTGACGTTTGCGAACCTTGAGCAAGGGGATGATAGTGCTGATGTTGAAAACAGTTTCGCTTGATTTATTACTGCTCTTCGTGTAATTTGCTGTTTTCATGTAGCTGCATACGAAAATCTCACTTGTATGAAATAGTTTACCCACACAATATTATGCTGTTTTCTTTGCGCCTCATCCCCGTCATAAGCTTTCTTTGCCCGTAAGGCTATCAAGATTGAGCTGGACAGTCGATGTCTTTTCACAGAAGACCAAAATATCTGGGGCTACGGCCTCAATCATGACCCTGCACATAACGATAGCACAGCACAGCACCGCGAGGAGATGGTGGCATATATGTAACATATGTGTGAATTGTACATTGAATTTGTAGATTTGTAACAAAAAAATGCCAGAAGCATGAACTCGACTGCAAAAAATGGGTTTGAATGAAAAAGTTCAGCGCGTCAAGTTCAAAGCTCATGACAGAAAAACACGAGGATGATCCACCCTACGTGACTCCGTCCGTGACTCACTCCCAACCGCACGCACCCGAATATCCAAAACTCACTCTCCACCCTCAATTGTAGTCGCCGCCTCCGAGACGGGGCAGCAAGCTTACATCTGCAAGTAGGGCTAAAAGTATTGATTTAGCCCAGTGGAATGACCCGGACGCTGCTATTGGAGTACCTTGTTAGATACTGCTCGTGGTCAGTCAATCAAACTTCCAGGAGACACGCTTGAACTTAAGAAAAGAAAATTGAGCAGGATTGCATCTGGGCTGCCAATGTTGAACGTTAATGTTGAACGTTTGAACGTATTTTTAGGTCAACGCAAATGACGGTACCCAGAATAACAGACCTTTCATCATGAATGTCCCATCCGATGCTCCTCAAATCTTCGTACTAAGTATATTAGCCAAAGCCGATTGTCGAGGTTGTGATGTGGCATACATGCGAAAATTTCAGTTTGAACGCAAATGACGGTGAATGACTGTACTAATGCTTTTGTCAAACATGTGGGCTAAAGATGTTTCCATGCTTATTAAGAGCCGTTGATCGCGACCAGGAACTATGTTGCTCTCTTAGCTTTAACAGCGTTCGGTTGGGAACCCGGATGGCTCGCACCGGTTTTCTCCCGCTGGCTCGCGCTAATCTTTCAGCCTGAGGTCTTAAGTATGCCATCACTTGACAATTTGACACGACATTATACATATCACATCAATAGCTGACTGTATCGATTATGTGCAGGGTACAAAACGCGGTTCGTATCATCAAATCGAGGGAGTTCGCTGGACTTCTACCTCTGCACTTACGGCTCTAGCTAGCTCGTCCGTGACTCACTGGACTCACTGGGATGGATACCTCCAATTCTCATGAAATCATAGCAAGCGAAATAACGCCTCTGATACCTGCAAAGGGCTCGAAGATACCTAAAACACCCCTTCCAAAACTTCAGATAGGCATTCTTATAACGCTGCAACTTGTGGAACCCATCGCTTCGACATCTATATTTCCGTACATCAATCAGGTATGACTTTACAATGTCGTTTGTCCTTGATGCACATATTTATACTGTTTCGTTCTTTCAGCTTATCAGCGAACTTGGAATCACTGGGGGTGACGATGCGGCTGTAGGATATTATACTGGAATCATTGTAGGTGGCTACATGACGTCGGACTTGCGAGAATGGTTTTCTCATAGTCTACTTTGGATATGCTCAACAGGAATCTCTGTTTTTCGTTGCGCAGGCACTGACAATGCTGAGGTGGAGTAGACTGTCTGACCGCATTGGGCGCAAGCCCGTGTTGGTAGTTGGTCTCTCAGGTGCTTGCATTTCGATACTGTGTTTCGGCCTCTCAACGACCTTCTGGAGTCTTGTTGTTAGGTGTGTCTTCAGCTGAAGCTAAAGGAGATGAATGCTGAAATGCTAGGTTTACCTAGCCGTTGCATGTGCGGTTTTCTAAACGGCAATGTGGGAGTTATGAAGACTATGATGGGGGAATTAACGGACTCTACAAATATGGCTCAGGCATTTGCCTTGTTCCCGATTGTCTGGAGCATTGGAGGCTTTGTCGGGTAAGTGGGGCTGTTGATCACGGAGACGGCAAATGATGAAATCGGCATGTCAGTCCTTTAATGGGCGGAGCACTCGCGCGGCCACAAGATCATTGGCCCACATTATTCGCCAATCCATTTTGGGGAAAATACCCATACTTTCTGCCTTGCGCAGTGGCAGCCTGTTTGTTCATCCCAGCCCTTTTTATGATGTTAATCTTTTTAGAAGAAGTAGGTCCGACATACCTGCATCATCACACACGTTACTCACGAGTGGGCAGACACTATCAACAAAGCGTCGACCAAGGTTGACGTCAGCCACGCTCGGCGTTTCAAGTGGTGAATCACCGCATCAACAATCCATGGCATATACCCCCTTGCGATCTCTGCTCACACCTGCCATTGTTGTTCCAATTGCAAACTACGCCATGCTCGCTTTTCTTGACGTTTCTTTCAGGGCTCTTTTACCGCTGTTCCTTTCGACACCTACATGTCTTGGCGGCCTTGGATTTTCTCCTTCGTCTATTGGCTCGTGGCTGGCGTTTTTTGGAATCGTGGATGGTGTCTTTCAGGTATTATTCTTCGCCAAAATTGTCGATCGCCTTGGTCCAAAGCGTCTATTTTGTATGTCAGTGTCATGCTTCGCACCAGTCATGGTCATGTTTCCCATAATGTCATGGCTTGTAAACGCAAAGGGGGGTCACGCAGTCACGTTCACCTTGCTTTGCCAATTCATTATCGTGATTGTATGGGATATGGCCTTCGGTATGTGTTGCAATAAAATCATTTTGTCATTATAAGTTGTAACCCATTCCATTACAGGGACTGTCTTCATGTTTATCACGGCCTCTGCCCCTACCAGCACTGTACTTGGCGCTATTAATGGTTTTGGCCAGACCTCTGCGTCAATGGCTCGTGCAGTCGGGCCCGCATTGGCGACTTCGCTCTTTGCTGTATCGAAGGAACGCAATCTTCTTGCAGGAAATGCCGTATATATCGTTCTAATTATGCTAGCTGGTGTGTTGAGATGGTTGGGGTCGCAGTTACCAGATGAAGTACAAGATAGGAATGAGTGAAAGGTTGGTACCTCTTCCGTGATCTCTCACTTCACCACGTATGAGTACCCAGGAGCTTCTTCAGAATCTTAATGGAAATGTCAATTTTTACATGGGACATTATGTCTGACAGAGCGAATGCCACCATTCAATCTAGTTAATCCTCCCACTGAGCATGTTGAATGGGGTTCGCCCAGCCAATTGTGTGGCAACCTGTAATGATGTAGTTCGACTCTACCTTTCCCACATTTTGACAGTTTGTGTCTCCGTTTCGGGTAAGTGCTTGATAAGTTGTCTGCTACTTTTTGCAGTCAAAAGTCAGGGGCTACCTCTCTAGCACACTCCGATGTAGATTCGAAACATCATTTATATTTTAACATCAGCCAGTGACTTACCCAAGTAGTCACAGTGGTGGATTTATAACGGTATGACCTTGCAACGACGTTGAAAACAGTTTCGCTTGATTTATTACTGCTCTTCGTTTAACTTGCTGTTTTCATGTAGCTGCATACGAACATCTCACTCGTATGAAATAGTTTATCCACACAATATTATGTTGTTTTCTTTGCGCCTCATCCCTGTTCTCAGCGAAGTTTTTTGCCCGTAAGGTTGTCAAGATAGAGCTGGACAGTCAATATCTTTTCCAGGAAGACACGACACCGAAATATCTGATTCCACAAGGTCTACCAATCATTAATGAACAACAGATAACGACAACACAGCACAGCGCCTCGGGAGATGCTGGCATATATGTAATGTATGTGTACAATATTGTACATTGAATTTGTAAATCGTTTATGCGGACTAAGTTAACGATGTGCACCACCACGAAAGAAAGGAAGACATGAACTCGACAACTGCAAAAAAAGGGTTTGAATGGAAAAGTTCAGCACGTCAAGTTCAAAGCTCATGACAGAAAAACTTGAGGGATCATCACCCCCATTCTACACTCCGTCCGCGACTCATTCACTCCCGACCGACCCCGCATGCACTCGAATATCCGAAAAATCAGGAAGTTCACCATCCATCCTCTCCCTTTCCTCCCCATCATCAGCAACGTACTGCATTATAAGCTGCGTACTCCCCCGTCTCGGAGGCGGCGACAACGCCATTATCTCTGGAGCGCTCGAGAGGTGCTGCGGTTGTGGCTGACGAAGTGGATTACGTAGTGGGATCGTCGGAAGCGGGGTTTGCGTATTCAGCGATAAGAAGTTTGGATGGTTCTGCATCGTTGTTATGGGGGTGCCTGGGAGGGGAGGCGATGGGGGTCGGGAATGAGTGGTGCTGTTGGTGCTGTTACGGCTGCTGATGGGGCTCCTGCTCCTGCTCCTATTACCAGGTGGGGGCCCCATAATCACGGGATGCGTGATTTGGTGGGGTGTGAGTTCGTTATCAGTATCAGTATCGTACAATGCGATGACAGGCGACGGAGGCGACGGAGCACTGAGAATCCGCAGACGCTGCCTGATAGACAGACTCCGCGCAGAAGCGGCGCTGTCAGGACGAGGAGGAGTTGATGTCGATATTGATAATTCTGCGCTATCGCGGTGATGTGCGTATGCAGGTTCATCTGGACGCGGTGGAAGGACACCTGAAGGTGGTGGACGAGGAGGTGCAGTCAGGCTGAGCCTCAACGCGCGCTGAGCTACAGACGTTCTGAACAGCGTTTTCTGGGGCTGTGGCTGGGATTGGGGCTGTTGTTGTTGCTCAGGCGCAGGCGGGGGCGCAAAGCTCGGAGCAGGGCGCGGAGGAGGCATCGAGCGACGTTTACTCCCCACACCAATACTTCCTCCACCGCCACCAAAACCCATACCAACCCCTGAACTAAAAGATCCAACCGCACTCGTCCGCCGCACACTCCCCGACCTCACACTCGCACTACTCACACTACTCGACGTACTCGACCTCTTCCAAAACGCAGCACTAGGATTCTCAGATCCTGCACTGCTAGGACTCACGCTCGGCTCAGACTCACACGGTGCTTGTGGTGTCGACGGTAGCGGGCCGCTGGGGGGCGTTAACCGCTTCGGGAGGGTACGAGACCACCGACGAGAAGGCGCAGAGGATGAGGCTGACGAGCCCGATCTTTCGACAGTGGAAGTTGTGGTGGAAGTTGTTTGCACAGATAGACGTGCTGGGTTGGGCGTGGGTGTGGGTGTGGGTGTGGTGTGGGGGTAATGGAACGTGGGGTGACTGCGGTACCTGAGCTGCCCTCGATCACGGTGGAGGTCTCCATGTTAGGCGTAGTACTTGCGTCCATTTGCTGGCATAGCGCGTCTGTGAGTGAGTGTACCAAAGTCTGCTTCTTGCACCGCGGGGGCGGGTGGAGAGAATGCGAGTGTGAGTGTGAGTGGGAATGTGGGTGGGAAAGCGTGTGCGACAGAGGTGGAGTCGTAGACGGCGAAGGAGCCCACCGTTCATCTTCTTTGACGATCTTGAGATCACAAGCTGGGATACCGTTGATGCTCGCACAGCACATGCTCGAGGTCCCATTAGACAAGCTCCCGTTGGTACTCGCGCAGCACGGGGCCCCATCTACACCATTAGACAAACTCCCATTGTGTATGCTCCCGTTTGGCAGGTGCATACTAGATTCGTCGGGTCCTGACGATGCCACGCTAGGTACGGGGGAGTCCGAACGGCGCATCGGCGAGCTGCTCCTCTTGGTGCTCATGCCCACGCCACTGGTGATACCCATTAAACTGCTCCCCACCGTCCCAAAGCTCTCTTCTGCATGCTCACTTTCGCGCTCATGTCCTTGTCCGTTGAGAGACAATGACGGCGAACGAGAACGAGGCGTGAACATGCCTTTGATGGTCTTGGTAGTAGACGTGGAGGATTTAGAAGAATGCGTTTGAGAGAGTTGGGCAGGGGAGACGTTGCCTGAGCGCTTGGTTTGGAGGCGGATGGAGGGCGTTGGGGAGGAGGAGCCTAGAGTTTGAGTTGGATTTATGTGCGTTGGAACTTTGGCTTTGAGATTTCTTGGTTGATCTGATACTTGATGCGCGCGTGAAGGGCTCGGTAGATGCAGGTAGGTTGGGTGTCGAGGACCGTGTGTGCGGTTGGGAACGCATGCCTTCGAACGATAGGGAGGCTCTAATTGGAGATGTGGGCGGTGATAGGGAAGGGGAACCTATCAAGACGGGTGAAGGAGATGATGAGGTGTGGGGTGATGAAGCAGGGGGTGATATAGGAGATGCGGCGGAAGATAATGATGCTTGGAGTCGCATGGAGAGCATGACATCCATGTCCCCGCGGGGTTCGTGCCCGCTGAGGTGGGGTGATGCAGTGAGACCTGCACGCATGGATCTAGAGAGGGGTGTTAAATCAGGACACAGCGACGCGACCCAACCCACCTTTGGCCCAGGACAACTGCCTTTATGGCACCAATCCACTTCTGTCTCTCGCTCGGATCCTGCATCTCGAAATGCCAGATAATGTTGCCTTGCTCAATAGCAACGACTGAGCCATTTGACTTGCCTCCGCTGCCTCTTGCTCCGCTCCTGTTGTCGCGTTTGCTAAGGGTGTTAGTCCGGGTAGAGTTCGCACTGGGTCCAGATTGCTCTGTGACATAGATAGTAGTGTCTTGGGTGATAGGTAAGCGGTGAAGCTCCGAGGATGAGGGGATATTTGATTTGAAGAGATGGAGGTGTGTGACTGTCTGTGACGCGGCCGAGGTCGCAGTCGTGAGGACTATAGATCTTGTCTTCCACTGCTTTGCGAGGGCATATACGAGGAGAGAGGACGAGGGACAGAATTTGAGAAATGTACCGGTGAGTGTGATTCGTGAATTGAGGGAAGCGAGGGTTGTAGGGAAAGGGGGGAGATGAGGTAAGAGGGTTGGGATTGATGAGGGTATGGGTGATGAAGGTATAGGAGAAGGTAAGGATATATGTGAATCAACAGTTGCTGATGAAGTTGGCACTTGGTCCTCTCGAATATCCTCTTGGAGTTCGGCAGTAGCATAGTCAACGAGACCGATGCTCTGAGCAGCAGCATCTCTGAGTCTCTCTCGCTCCTCTTCCTCTTGAACATAGGAATATGGGCGGGAAATTTCCATGACGCCTGGCATGACGATGGGATGTGCGTATTGAGAAACATGGCTACTCGGACCAGTCTTTTTACGAACGAGAGAGAATAGTAGGGAAGTGCGAGGTTTTCTTGGAGATGTAGGCTTTGGAGTTGATTTCGGTTGCTGAGCAGGATACAAATAGGGATATCTTAACGATTCATGAGATGAGATGCTAGTAGACCCGGTCAACACTGCAGCAGAGTCTTGATCTAAAGAATGTAAGCTCAAGCTCGCGGGTCAGCTCGCGACGCACCATAGGGAAATTCGACGTGATCAACATATTCCCTTTCCTTTCCCTTTGGTTCTCGGGTTAGACTTGCACGTCCGTCCCGTTGTGATTCAGTGAAGAAATGAATTGGCATCGTGGCCGGTGATTCGAATGTAGTCTGGGATGAAAGCGACTGGAAAGGATGGCAACGACGACCAGCGACGATGAGTGACGAGTTTAACGTGGCAGTAGTCAAATTTCAGTCAGGGCAGTGGTAGTACACAGGTCAGAAATTACACTTCCATTTCAATGCCAACACAAAACACCAACCTTGCTCCATGGATTCATCAACTCTGTCGACGATGGCGATGGCGACGGCGACGGCGACAACGACAACGATGGTGAGTTCATGAGGTCAACGTTGAAATGCACTTGACATAAAATTGTATGATACTTATGACATATGCTGTCAAGTCCTTAATGTTTCACGTACATGAACTATCGTCACGACTGTCACTAACAGTACGGCCTATACCTCGGTCTCCCATCTCCTCACCATTATCGGAAGGCAACGGAAGTCCTCTGATCATCAACTTGGCGGTGCCGTCCAGTGCGGAACGCCCGTCTTCCACACCGCATATACTGCGGCAAGAACCATGCAATGTTTCATCGTAACAACCCAAGCCTTGCATTAATATCGTTTCGGGTCCAGCTCTAGTCTTCTTTTATCTAGGCCTAGGTGCAACGATCAATATTTGACTGTATCCAGCTTAGTCCACTTACCTACCTCTGGTACACCTCCTAATAAATCGTGTTAGTGGGCTCGTCCATCCAATGTACTTACGTGAGTATCCAACGCCGCCCTTGCACTGGTTGCGCGCGCATTTGTACGTCAGTTTTTATCATACTGATATACCTGCAGGGGATAGTGCGCTTCTCCCACAGCTGGTAGATATCACCTTGTGATCATCTTCTGGCACGAGGACTACTGCCTTCTATTATTATAATATCGGCTCCTTGAAGCACAGCCTCAACTCGGCTTCTCAGAGTAACTCCAAATAGACTTTGTCAGTGATATATTTGCACTGTCTTTGTCATTAACACTGTCCAACGTGAGGACCACATCAGTGATAGAGGCCCGTCCTGTTAACATACCAGAACATGGGCGCCAAAACATGTTATAAATGTACCACCGTACCACGGAAATTGGAATCAATCAACTACAAACTCATCAACTGATATCCAAGTCCAGCATGTATTACCTCGCCGGCCTCACTAGTGCTCTTCCATCATCCGCCCAAACCATAGAAGGACTCGCCGTATTCACCACCTTCCGACAGCTCCAATATATCATATCCCGCATGCGTGTAATGCTCCCAGTCGCTAACGCAGAAGCAGGTAACATCCGCACCACTCCAACTTCTTTCATCGGCAAGATCATATCCTCAATACACGGTCTCTCGTACTTCATCCCACCCGTGACATACATCCTATGCGTCGCTCTCAATCGCCTCGTGCAGCCTGCGTGGATGCAGCGCATGAGCCTACCTAATACCTATTTCAAACACGAAAATCAAGTGGGGCTGAGAGTAGCAGCATGCGCAGCGACGTTTGTGCTCCTCAGGTTCACTGGACGCACAATGACGCACCTCGGGAATCAGTTGCACGCGATCGGGGTGCGTGCCATCCTTTTTTCATACGTGTATAAGACATAAAACACTCTACCCATCTCCAGAGACGCGAGAAGCCTAGAGTCGTGCAGACAGGCCCATACGCGGTGGTTCGTCATCCATTGTACACGTGAGTCTCTTGTGTCATCTACTGGGATTAGGTTCTGACGTCCTCATCATGACAGGAGCGCGCTCATCCAGGAGCTACTTTTTGCGCTGATGTCCTGGTCTTATGTGCCGCTTGTAGGATTGGGTATTATTGCTGGCGCGTTTGCTGTTAAGATGCCTATCGAGGTGGGTATCTCGTCCGAGTCTGTGTTGCTGTGTACAGGGGTTGACTGCCTTTTGTCTTTAGGAAGATCTTATCATGCAAGACCCTGCTATTGCTGCGGAATACCGTGCGTATATGCAGAGGGTGCCTGCGCGCATTATTCCTTTCCTTTGGTGATATGTCGTGCAATGTGAAGATTATCTTATTTTTTTATTGTCGGATGCCTGCAGTCTTATGATATAGCGTTACTCTGCGTCTTCCTTATGTCTGATGATCGCCCCCAAGTACATCGATTTGCAGGTCCTGTTACGCCGAGTCTCAAGGTAGGCGCTAGCCGACGCTGTGCGCCTTGTTCCAATCATTTGGTTTTGATTTTGATGTGGTTGGATCGCCTTTAATTTCAACGCTGAAGCTTGAAGATCGTCAAGGCGTTCAGGCTGGTGTTGCTTCCTATCAGTGGCCATTGAACATTGAGTAGCTCCGAATCTGCCATTGTTGCCCAACGTTCCTACTCACATTTATATTCGACCTCAGATAGCATGTCATGATTTTGACGTAAATCTACAGATGATGATCCTTCTCGTCCTAGTCGCCACTCGGTAGTGAAATGGGGAACTTGTGGCGACTCCAGCTCGGAAGCGAAGGATGTGAAAAGCCAATCCCAAGCCTTTTGCGTGCTAGCAGCTAATAGAGCTTTTCAAGGCATCCATGACTTAAAGAACGTACATACCCTGTTATCATTCGGATCTTTCTCGATTCCTTCGAACGACTTCAAACCCCGAGCAAACAAAGTCCGGACATCCTCACGTCATTCACAATGAAAAGACCCCTCTGTTCAACATCTTCGCTTCAAGTTAATGTTGCAGCTGCATCATCAGCTGAGCAGGATAGAATCTTCAACTCTTCACTGCCCGCACGCCGGCTCCCGCCCTCCCCAACCACCCGCTACCGTCTTTTCTTCGTTGGCGTCTCTCCTTCCGAGTCGTTACTCTTGTCGATGACGTGACACTTACACTTCGTTAGGATGTTTGTATTATTTGTATCCTATCATGTAGCACATCAATGAATACGATTAATGATGGATAGTCTTATACAAGAGCGTGTGTCCAGCTACCGTTAAATAAAGCGCGCCTCGAGTTCTGGAGCAGGACAAGAACGGCGGAAGTTACGGAAGAATGGAATTTGGTACGATGAGGTGCATATGTGATAAAATGGGTTGAGTTAGAAGGGGGGGTACTTCGGACAAGCAAAAAAAAATAGGTAATAAAGAGCACACAGCCGCGAAGCCTGCTCATGGCCGCAAAACGAGTCAGAGTGTCTTGTTGTAGGTTGAGTAGACCGAGGTTCGGGGGCGCCTAGGCTGTCATCATCCACACAGTGCGCCATCGACAGTACTGAACTGTGAGACAGGAACATCGACGAAGTGGAGTGGAACGAGTGAGTTGTCAAACTCGCTGGTCACGAGTGCAGTAATATGATTGTGTATAGTATGCCGCGGCCGCAGACACGGCTCCGGTACTCCTCTGATATCTGGTCGAAGGGCACTTAACAAGCGTGCAGGATGGCGTTGGCGTGAATGGTATGGTTATTCGAGGCGCTGGTTGCTGCAGTGCATCACGATGTGTGGTGTATGCACGGTAGGTATGAGTGGAATCATGATCACGAGTGCCAATGCCCAGTGACGCGTGAATATCAATGCTCTGCGCCGCTCGGTCGTCAAAAGCGCGTCCTCTCAAGCTTTTCCCGTATTTCGAAGGTTTAGTATTGCGGCACTCCAAGTTCAGCAGTGGTGCATCCCCAACGAGGTGGTGCCGCCCGTAATGTGTCTATTCGCCGTCGTCGTCGAATCACAGGTAATAATATTCCCTGTCCATGTCAGTATTTGAGTTCTGTTAACACATGGCTGCGCATGTACCGGCGCCGCTGGTGCGACAACAACTCCACCGCGTATCTGCTGATGTGTGCGTCGCCAGTGATTCTACTAGCATCCTCGCTGACGAACTAGTGAGTCTGTCTCTGACAGAGCAGGAGATACTGCACTTACTCGCAGAGGGCAGAGGTATCACCCAGTATGGAGGTATTGGGGTGCTGGAGTCATGCGGAAGCTGTCGACGGATGTTTGCAGCGAGTGCGTTGCGGGCCCACTGCATCCCAAGGACCCAGTCTGCTCGGAGAGTTGAATGTTGTGTGTGTGTATTACTAAACAAGTCTGCATTTGTTAATGGAGAGCTAATACACTAAAAATGCAAGACGTTAACATGTCGAAGAGGCAGTGATGAGGAGAAGATCGAACCGACGAAACTGGACTCACACATGGGGGGGAGTAAGCATGCGGGGGAATGAGGATATGTTAAGACCGATATATACTGCTTGGTGACGGCCACGACATTAAGCTGAAACGAAGATGTTGAACAGGGTGTGCGTCAGCACTTATCATACTGGAATAGTGCGCTTCTACCGCACCAGTTAAAGTTGCCTTCAAATCAACTTCTATTCGGCTCCTTGTAGCACAGCCTCAACACAGCGTGTCAGAGTAACTCCAAATTGTCGGTGATACATATTCACACCGTCTTTGTCATTAACACTGTCTGACATGTGATAGAGGCTCGCCCTGGACGCCAAAACATGTTATAAATACCACGGAAATTGGAATCAACCAACCGCAAACTCGTCAACCAAGTGCAGCATGTATTACATCGCCGGCCTCACTAACACTGCTCTTCCATCATCCGCCCAAACCGTAGAAGGACTCGCCGTATTCACCGCCTTCCGATACCTCCAATATATCATATCCGGCATACGTGCAATCGCCCCAGTCGCTAACGCAGAATCAGGTAACATCCGCACCACTCCAACTTCTTTCATCGGCAAGATCATATACCTAATACATGATATCCCGTTCCTCATCCCACCCGTGACATACATCCTATGCGTCCCCTTCAATCGCCTCGTGCAGCCTGCGTGGATGCAGCGCATGAGCCTACCTAATACCTATTTCAAACACGAAAGTCAAGTAGGGCTGAGAGTCGCAGCATGCGCAGCGACCTTTGTGCTCCTCAGGTTCACTGGACGCACATTGACGCACCTCGGAAATCAGTGGCACCCGATCGGGGTACGTGCCATCCTTTTTTCATACGTGTATAAGACATAAAGCTCACTGCCCATCTCCAGAGACGCGAGAAGCCTAGAGTTGTGCAGACAGGCCCATACGCGGTGGTTCGTCACCCACTGTACATGTGAGCCTCTTGTGTCATCTGCTGGAATTGGGTTCTGACGTCCTCCTTATGACAGGAGCTTGCTCATCCAGGAGCTACTTTTTACGCTGATGTCCTGGTCTTATGCGCCGCTTGTAGGATTGGGTATTGTTGCTGGCGCGTTTGCTGTTAAGATGCCTATCGAGGTGAGTATCTCGTCCGAGTCTGTGTTGCTGTATACAGGGATTGACTGCCTTTTGTTTTTAGGAGGATCTTATCATGCAAGACCCTGCTATTGCTGCGGAATACCGTGCGTATATGCGGAGGGTGCCTTCGCGCGTTATTCCGTTCCTTTGGTGATATGTCGTGTAATCCGAAGATTATATAAATTTTTATTGTGGGATACCTGCGATCTTATGATACAACGACTTCCCTACTTCTGATGATCGCCCTCAAGTACATCAATTTGCAGGTCCTGTTGTGCCGAGTCTCAAGGTAGGCGTTACTCGACGCTGTGCATCTCGTTCCAAGTATTTGATTGTTATTTAGATATGGTTGGATCGCCTTTAATTTCGACGCTGAAACTCGTCAAGGTATCCAGGTTTGTGTTACTTTCCATAGTGGCCATTGAATATTGAGTAGCTCCGAGTCTGGGCCTTGCCATCATTCGACGCTCCTACTCACATTTGTATCTGACTTTAGATAGCATGGCATAACTTTGACGTAAATCTGCAGATGCGGCATGGGTGCGAAAAGCCAATCCCAAGCCTTTTGCGTACTAGCAGCTAATAGTGCTTTTCAAGGCATCCATGACTTAAAGAACACCGTGTATGATATGGGATTGGATGATACATATCCAAACCCATGTTATCCATGGTATCATTTAAGTTTTTTCAAGGAATTGGAGTGCGATTTGCAAAAGCTGGAGAACGCCGCTTTATTAAATGGCGGGAGACTTATCAAGGAGAGGGCGGTGTAAGGCTATGCGAGAGTTCGAAGGGAAATAATGATCGAGACGAGTACATCATCAGGAAATCGCCGAGGCGACGGTTTTTGTAGTTGTAGTTGGTAAGACCAGATCAAAAATTCACGCGATTATATGTAATGACAAAAGTAGACAAAATAATATATAAGATAAGCAAATTGGTAGCGAAGGATAAGATATGGCAAAAAATGTATAATTCTGATGAAAATAGGCAAGTGTACCAGCATTTCTCGACTGCATGGTCACCTATGGTCACCAGTGACCACTTGGGATCAAGAGGCTCGGCCCTATGGGATGCTTATGTAAGTCCGAAATTTTTTCAAAGTTCAACCTTAGAGTCTTCTTACTAGTTCCTTCTCTCAATGCTACCACCACCACTTAATTACTCTCCGAATCTCGAACTCTCACTCTTTTTGGCCTTCCCTCTTGGTCCCTCCCTCTTGGTCCCTCCCTCTTGGTCCCTCCCTTATGGTTCCTCCTCCTTGGTTCCTCCTCCCTGGTGGTCCCTCCTCCGCGGTTCCTCCTTGGTTCCTCCTTCGCGGACCCTCCTTCCTGGACCCTCCTTCCTGGACCCTCCTTTGCGGACCCTCCTTCGCGGACCCTCCTTTGTGGACCCTCCTCCCTCTTATACTCGTTTTTCTGTCTTTTGTAGTGTTATATTTGTATATATGTACTTACATCTTGTTTGTTTAATTACAAAATGAATTTTTTTTGGAATAAAATGTGTGTACAAAGGTCGAAAAATTAGCTTTTGTTTGAAGCCACCCAACATTATCAAACTTTGTCATGGCTGCCAAGTGTTGGCAACATTTGCCGGTTTGGTGAGAAATGGCAAGTAATTGCAGGTAGACTATCATGATTGTGCTTTTGGGAGTTTTCATCCAACTTACTCCGGGTATATAAAGCATTTTCTAGTGAACTATCATTTTGATAGATATTATACAAATTTTAAATCAGGTAAAGCTTGACAAAACTTTACCATTTTCACGTCACTTCCCTGATGCATAGTTTCCGAACATCGAACGGCTGACTCCAATATTGGCTTGCTTTCTTCATCAGGCTAGAGCGAAGTAAAAATAGCCGTCTGGTCGGCTATTGCCAGGGGGAGGCACCTTTGGTTGCGAGTTAAGTGTTGACAGGAGGATTCATCGCAGAGTGGTGAGTATTCTTGTAGGCCTGGGCGCATGGGGAGTTGACGTCTTGACTTCCGTCTTCGTTGTTTCGGTGGCGTGACGCCACCGAACGCGTTCTCCAGTCTCTTCGTATATGCTAGGCTATGTATGGACCGTAGTAGGGGTGACTGAGGAGACGACGAATTTGGAACGAGTTAACGTTCATATGTCCCTCTGAGCTCGGCGGTATGCTGGACTCGGTCAGTTGATTACACACAGGGCAAGTTGGTGAGTCCGTGCAGTGGTTGAAACAACGTCCATTTTGACATCTGGCATAGCTTCAACACAGCCCATCAAATGAGACTTTTTATGCAACTGTGTTTGTCATTCTCATCGTGTCATTTGCTATGTCACGATTCGTCATTGACACCGTCGTGACTCGTGAGGACCACGCTAGTCAGATGCGCGTCATAAAGGACTGGCAATACTTCCAACTTGAACTTGCCAAGTCAGTGGACTTGAAACCAGACGCAAAACAGCATATAAAACCATCACCCGAAAATCGGAAACAGCTCCAGACACTTAACTGATATCCAACTCCAGCATGTATTCCATCGCCAGCCTCACTATTCCGGTACCCCCACAAGTCGTGGAGGGACTGGCAGTATTAACCACTTTGCGGTTCTTTCAGTATGGGATCTCCCGTACTCGTGCGATCGCCCTAATCGCTAAAGCAGAATCAGGTGCCATTCGCTCAACCCCGACCACCTTCATCGGTAAGGCTGTGACCCCGATACACGCCCTCGCATCCTTCATCCCATCCGTGACATACGTTCTATGCGTCACCGGCAACCTATTCACGCAGCCTGCGTGGATGCAGCGCATGAGCCTACCTGATGACTACTTCCAACACGAGACCAAAGCCGTGCTGAGAATCGCAGCATGTGCATCGACCTTTGTGCTCCTCAGGTTCGTCGGACGCGCATTCACGCACCTTGGGAATCAGTGGCACGCGGTAGGGGTGCGTATCATTCTTACTATTTGAGTGTTGAGGATATGTGTAACTCGACTGCTCTTCACTAGAGACGGGAGAAGCCTAGAGTCGTGCAGACAGGTCCATATGCGGTGGTGCGTCATCCGTTATACACGTGGGTCTCATGTTGCATTATCTCGATCGAATTTGACGTTGATGTCGTCCTTAGGAACATGCTCATCCAGCAGGCGCTTTTTGCAGTGATGTTCTGGTCTTATGCGCCACTCGCGGGTCTTGGTATCGTTGCTGGCGCGTTCGCTGTCAAGATACCTATCGAGGCGAGTGTCTTGTTCTTGTGTACTCAGCAGTACTTATTTTATTTTTAGGAGGCTCTTATTATGGAGGATGCTGCCGTTGCCGCAGAATACCGTGCATACATGCAAAGAGTGCCTGCGCGAGTCATTCCATTCCTCTGGTGATGTGTTTTACTTGAATAATAATATGTCATAAATGCAACGCATCGAGTCGGAGGACTCATCATGATCTCGAAGGGAAAGCATTCTTATAATCAACTGGCGATAAAACGTGCTTAATCTACAAAAAATCCAGAATCTGTATGTAAGTAGTTGATGGGCAACAAACTAGTCTTGACCATGTCCGAATAATGGGTGAAGTGTACAGGCAGTAGGAAACCGCTGGCGAGCAAGCATAATATACCTAATATCACTCATCAGCCTCCTAATCCACAGGCCCAAGCTTTCAGCCAGTCTTGACAAAGGATACAAGAGGATGATGGTTCAGGATAGGACACCACCAAAGGACCATTAAAACTCATTGTTTCCTGAATCGTCCTGATTCTGAGGGTGCGTTGGCGCGACGACAATTTGGAAAGAAAGAACGTCGCAAGTTCTATTTTCATGTCCGTGCTGCTAAGCTTACATTCAGCAAGCCAGTGTGCGCTATGCGGAATGGGCAATGAAAAGGTCTGGAGACTTCGGAACGGAACACGCACCATCCATTCAGGCAGCTGGTATATTTTCCATCTATTGCCGGAGTGGCAGAGGCGATACGCGTGCCGATTGCTGTCGATCATTGTGTGTGTGATGGAGATGACATGAGATAGCGAAGCGAGGAAAGCCGCTCCATGGACGGTCAAGCAAAGACTACCAGATTTCGATCAATTTTGGCTGCAGAGCAATATTCAGTCGGTGACTATGGGCACGCGTGGAAATACGAACTGGCAAGCAACTTTCGTATGAAATCTGCGACTGAGCCAAGTGTACCCACGTGGAGCGCAGACGTGTTCGGTGGTGAATAATCTCTGCCTCGGAGAGATGCCGCACCTCCGTGAGTGAAGAGCTATGAATGGAACATAGTGCAGATCGATCCCAGTTGCCAGTGAGTAAGCTGCCGTCAAATAACGACCTGGGTAACCTGGGTGAACTCGTATTCATACCAGGAGTGGACGGCGCGGAAGCTCCCACTCCGCCCATCAGCTTGTGAAGAAGCAAAAGACCGTCAGAAGAAATGTGTTCATCGGAATTGTGTGCCATATCGTGCACGGTGAGGGTTCTAAATACCGCATCAAAGGATGTAATTTGCTCAGATGAGGACGATGATGGCGCGGCTGACGCATTCAGGAGCATTGTGACAACTGCGATTCCTATGTCACTTAGAGGTTTTCGGTCAAGGTAGAGAAAGACAGCTTCTTTGGTTCGCACGCCTTCGTTAGGTATCCTTGTAAACGCAACAGTAAGCCATGACTACAGGCGTTGAGCCAACCCCCGAACCACCGATCTCACATGTGCAAGCCCAGTACAGCGAGCTGCATAAAACATTTGAATGTGTCGGAGTGAGAGAATAAACAATGATCGGAGAGGATGATGAGGGAAGACATCGTCGACAAAAGCCAAACAGATCTCTCAACAAGTTCGGATTGCTCCTCCATAGCTATGGCTACCTTGGCAATGTGGTGAAGCTCCGAGATCTGTGTTGAAGTTGTTTTGGGCCATTGCTTGTCCATGAAGTCCAGAACGAAGTCTGAGATGACTTTGCAGTGATCAATGGAGATGTCAAAGGAGCTGTCCAACAAACTGAGAGCCATTCTCCCTAGAACCAGTGCAGCCTGAAGGCGGATGGCATAAGAATTCATAGCAAATACGAGAGGATCAGAACGAACAGGCAGCTGCTGAATTGCATGAACGAAGAACATTGTTGGGTAGAATTCCAAAAGGTGGCGTACGCCCTACGCATTTTGTCAACAAATATTCATATCTCGAAAAGTCGCTTTCCAACCTTAAGGCCATCCTCTGTATGTTGAGCAAACTGCTGTCCAGTAGGTTGAGTGTCCAATGTGTTGCGGAGGACGGAAGCTATGTCTGATGTTTGTGATGATAACAAACTTTGAGGTAAGCGCTAGCGCTGAGAACCTAGGATCCACAACACAAGAGAAAGCACATCCGCGCTGTTCAGAATTGGCAATCGCCGAGAGTGTGTAATATTGAAAACTTCGGCTAAACGACTCGAGATATCGGGATCTGGTACATGCAGACTCGCGTCAATAATTAGTCTCGGATGCACAGTATGACTCACATACCAGAAACCAATGAATACAAATTATGGAATCTGAAAACGTCAGACAGGGCGCAAATGGCAGATGTGGTGAAACGAATCGTTGCCAGTGAATCGGCTTCAGGGCGATTCAAGATTCCACTCAATTCTGACGCTCGAAAATCGACATCAGAATCGATGTGTGAATCGACGTGTTTGACTTCCTCTAATGTGACAACGATGTTGTTTTCATTATCTACCCGATCTGGTCATATCTATTATCAACTACAGTACAATCATAAACGCACCACGCCATAATGGGTTTTCACTGGGCTTGAGCTTGAGGCCTTGAGGGCCTCGTGGGTGTAAGGCTGTGAGAGAGTTCGAAGGATGAGACAAGATTGTGTCCGAATATCAAACGGTGACGAAGGGACCTCGGAAGGGTGCCAGTGCCAAACTCTAACGTTTAACATTGGTAGTCAGCCCCAGGGAAAACTGGACATGGCCAAAACGGTTGAGATCGAGCGGAATATGACGAATTTAGAAGCACAATATTTCAGTATAGGAGACTCGCTGTGGAGACAAATAGAATATTTCGCATCTGTTGCAATCTTCTCGAATGTCGTAGGATATGCTAAGAATATTGTTATCATATTTCAGCATATTTCAGTTCAGTTCGTGTGGTACGACAAAATCGGTTGCATTCGGGTGAATTATGCTATAATCTACTGATACAAACGCTTCGACCTGCGACCGGCAAATACGATACAGGATGATAATGATAGAACCAGCACAACAGTGAGAAGCAGGCAAACTCGACAGCAGCAAAAGAACAGGAGCGATGTGGACGGGCGAGGAATGAGACAAAGCGAGCACAGGCAGCAACCAGCAGGTAACGGCAAAAGAACAGGAGTAATGTGGACAGGCGAGGAGTGAGACAAGCAAGCACAGGCAATTGGGAAGCACCAGCAGGCAATGGCAAAAGAATAGGAATGATGTAGACAGGCGAGGAGCGGCAAGATAACGTGATGGGAGAGCATCCAGCAGCAAAAAAGGCATAGAGCAAGAGTGAGGGAGGTGAGTAGTACACTGAAGACAACAGGACGGAAAAAAATCATGAGGCGGAGCTACTGTCGACAATAAGCACCCTTCCCGCTCCTAGTAAACATGAATGATCACAAAATAAGAGTTCGAGAGCTGAAACTTACCAGCTAGCACTAAGTGGATCATAAGCCTGCAGAGACAATAAGTTAGTGCCATTTAAGAAAAGCAGTAACAACATGTATACCTGAATCCACGAGACACGCATATCTGTGGAATCAGTGGAGGAAGGCGGTGGCAGGACTCCTGGCTGTTGGGAAGATGGTGGTAAGAAGAAAAGGGGAAATGGACTTTGCCGAAATTCCCCAAACATTTTGTAAACTTTGGGGTGTTGGTAGTTTCAAAACTCACCCAAACTTTGTGATCACACGAGAATTCGAGTGGAGCTTTGCAGAGTAAGTAAGCTGTGTGATGTGTGAATGCAAAGTAGTGATCGAAAACACGCTCGACGACGTGACCAACACAATATTGCAAATGTAATGTTTTTGCCATGCGATGCGCAGACGATCGTGTCGTTGAAGATTATACAATATTATAGCATAAATTATATGTCTAAACAATATTTCACACTATCCTGGCCGTTTTGGCCATGTCCAGTTTTCCCTGGGAGTCAGCCTCGGCATCAATGCTTTCTTCATCAGGCTAGACTCTGAGCGAAGTAAAAATAGCCCTCTGGGGAGTATTCAAATTCTTGTAAACCTCCGCGCGAGTCTTCCAGTCTCTTCGTATATGCTATGCTATGTATGGACCGCAGTAGGGGTGGGTGACTCAGGAGACGATGGCATCGGCTTGGATCTGGCTACAGCTGGGATAGCTTCAACACAACCCATCAAATGAGACTTTTAATGGTTAACTGTGTTCATCAGCTACTTATCATATGGTGCATCGTGGGGATCGCGCCAGTCAGAAATGTGCCATAAAGCACTGGCAATACTACTTCCAACTTGCTAAGTCAGTGGACTTGAAACCAGACTTATTTAAAACAGATAAAAAACCATCAACTGGAAATCGGAAACAAAAACACTTCACTGATATCCAACTCCAGCATGTGTTCCATCGCTGGCCTCACTATTCCAGTACCTCCACAAGCCGTGGAAGTACTGGCAGTATTAACCACTTTACGGTCCTTGCAATATGGAATTTCCCGCACTCGTGCAAACGCCCTAATCGCTAAAGCAGAATCAGGTGCCATTCGCACAAGCCCAACCACCTTCATTGGCAAGGCTGTGACACCGATATATGCCCTCACATTCGTCATCCCATCCGTGACATATGTTCTGTGCGTCACCGGCGACCTGTTCACGCAGCCTGCATGGATGCAGCGCATGAGCCTACCTAATGATTACCTCCAACGCGAGACCAAAGTCGCGCTGAGAATTGCAGCATGTGCATCGACCTTTGTGCTCATCGGGTTCATGGGACGCGTATTCACCCACCTTGGGAACCAATGGCACCCGGCCGGGGTGCGTGCCATTCTTACTACTTGTGTGTTGAGGATGTGTCTAAGTCGACCGCTCCTCACTAGAGACGGGAGAAGTCCAGAGTCGTGCAGACAGGTCCATATGCGGTGGTGCGTCATCCGCTATACATGTGGGTCTCATGTTACATTATCTCGGTCGGATTTGATGTTGATATCCTCCTTAGGAACATGCTCATCCAACATGCGCTGTTTGCAGTGATGTTCTGGTCTTATGCGCCACTTGTGTGTCTTGGTATCGTTGCTGGCGCGTTCACTGTCAAGATACCTATCGAGGCAAGTGTCTTGTTCTTGTGTACTCAGCAGTACTTATTTTATTTTTAGGAGGCTCTTATTATGGAGGATGCTGCTGTTGCCGCAGAATACCGCGCATACATGCAAAGAGTGCCTGCGCGCGTCATTCCATTCCTCTGGTGATGTGCTTTACTTGAATAATAATATGTCATAAATGCAACGCGTCGAGTCGGAGGACTCGTCATGATTCCGAAGGGAAATATTTCTATAATCAACAACTTGTATAGTATACAAAAAATCCAGAATCTGTATGTCAGCAGTTGATAGGCAACAAACTAGTCTTGACCATGTCCGAATAATGGGTGAAGTGTACAAACAGTAGGAAACCGCTGGCGAGCAAGTATATACATCTAATAACTAGTCATCTCATAATACGACCCGTCAGGTTCCTAATCCACAGGCCCAAGCTTGCAGCCAATCTTGACAAAGGATACAAGAGGATGATGACCGTCCAGGATAGGACAGCGCCAAAGGACCATTAAAACTCATTGTTTCCCGAATCGTCCTGATTCCAAGTGTGCGTTGGCGCGACGACAATTTGGAAACAGAGAACGTCGAAACCTCTACTTTCATGTCCGTGCTGCTAAGCTCACATTCAGCAAGCCGGTGTGCGCTATGCGGAATGGGCAATGAAAAAGTCTGGAGACTTCTCAACGGAGCCCGCTCCATCCATTTAGGCAGCTGGTATATTTTCCATTGATTGCTAAAGTGACAGAGGCGGAGCACGTGCCGATTGCGTTCACCCATCGTGTATGTGATGGAGATGACATGAGATAGCGAAGCGAGGAAAGCCGCTCCATGGACGGTCTTGGTGAAGGATGACCATTCGCGAGTCATGCACTCGAAACCTGTTACCGTTAAGGTTTTTGGGTCGTACAGAGCTGGAGAACCTTCGTGGTTGTCCACACGGGATTTCGAAGCATAGAAAAGGCAGCCTGACAGAAGGCCCACATTCTCGAAGTCCACTGCGATGGAAGGTACAGCCAGCAGGACTGGGGCCAGGAGGCTGAGGTCCGGTCCAGGCGGCATTGATCCAAATGTGTTGGGATAAAGTCCTGTGAGAGAAGGTCCTGGGAGAGAGCCATTAAACCGTCCCAACCACATCCTGCGTATGTACTTCGTGTAGTCGAATTTAAATTGGTGGCCTTGCTGAGCGTATGCCTCCTGCATACGTAGAGCGTCCACGAACGCTGTCACGTTGTGGAATTGCGGGAGCAACACGGTGTGAAGGATTTCGGGCAGCACTGTTTTCCTGACCTCTTTAGAGACAAGACAGAGAGCGAGGGCGAATGAATATGGGTTTTTAGATCGGTATGGTTCAGTCTGGGAAAAACTGGGTTGTGCTGCATGTTTAAGGATGAGGAGGGCTAGCTCGACTGGAAGGTCACCAAACGGAAATGAAAGTTGAGTAGTAGGTTCCATGGTGGGCTAGTAACTGATGTAAAGTTGGTTTGCAGGAGCCCTTTAATACTCATCTCATAAACAATGTCCACTGTGGCATCATTCACAGCGGTGGAAACGCACCTAGTGGGACCAAAAACTGTCACTCGGTAGTCCACAGCAGGGTTATTGTTCCTTCTAGGTCGCATAATGTGCTCTTGCTTGGGACCACTGGCAAAAGGTGTCGCTCAGTGGTCCACGGCAGAGTTATCGGCGTTCACCTGGTCTCTTCCAGACTCAGAGTGCATCCAGGACCTGTCCGAAGTGTCATTGACTCATGACACAACTCTTACATTTGCAAAGTTGAGTCGCCCATTTCACTGCTACTTGAGCGACGAGGACTTTGGAGTTTAACTGGATGTTATTGTGACTTGAAAGCATGAGATTTGTATGATCGAGGGTTGGCAGTCCTGCTAGTCGAGTTCGAGTTGAAATCATGAATAGCCTCCGAGGACCGAGAGTGAACTAATGCGCTCGCGGCAGTCCCCTGGAATGGTCCACAACCGCACCCGCACCTCTTCATGTAGTCTCACACCAAGTCCCTCCATTCTATGCTCTCTCCTTGCGCTGCAAAGCTTGTAATGTATAGTCTGATAATAGTCCGAGTCTTAGATGTGAAAAGTAACGCTTCGTCGTTCCTGTGTCACGCTGTTACGGTGGTGATGATGTCACATATGAACTTCAGTTTCGCAAACCTTCTGTCTTCGTCGTTTCGGTGGTGTGACGTTACCGAACGTGTTCTCCGGTCTTTTCGTTTACAGATGGGTCTTATTTGGGGTGGCTGAGGAGACGACGAAGTTGGAACTTTCGGATGGAGTTTATCCCTTTGAGCTCGGTATGCTGGACAGTTTTGATTGCACTCAAGGCAAGTTGGTGAGTCCGTGCAGACCGATACTATTTCACGTCCATTTTGATATCGGCTTGGATCTGACTATCTTGCATAGCTTCAACACAGCCCACTTTCTGTGCCACATCCGTGTTTGTCATTCTCATCATGCATCATTTCAAGTTGTCATTCGCTATTGCCACGGTTTGTCATTGACACCGCCGTCGTCAGGACCACGCCTGTCAGAGGCGCGTCATCATGATAAAGCACTGGCAATACTTCCAACTTACCAGGTCAGTGGACTTGAAACCGGACACCAAACAGGATATAAAACCATCAGCCGAAAATCGGAAACAACTCCAACTCCAGCATGTATTCCATTGCCGGCGTCACTATTCCAGTACCCCCACAAGCCGTAGAGGGACTGGCAGTATTAACCACTTTACGGTTGTTTCAATATGCAATTTTCCGCACTCGTGCGATCGCCCCAATCGCCAAAGCAGACTCAGGTGCCATTCGCACAAGCCCAACCACCTTCATTGGTAGGGCCGTGACCCCGATACACGGCCTCGCGTTCTCCGTCCCGTCCGTGACATACGTTCTATGCGTCACTGGCAACTTGTTCACGCAGCCTGCGTGGATGCAGCGCATGAGCCTACCTAACGACTACTTCCAACACGAGACTCAAGTGGTGCTGAGAATCGCGGCATGTGCATTGAGCTTTGTGCTCGTCAGGTTTTTTGGACGCGCATTGACACACCTTGGGAACCAGTGGCACACGATTGGGGTGCGTGCCATTCTCACTAGTGTGTTGAGGATATGTGTAAGTTGACTGCTCCTCACTAGAGACGGGAGAAGCCTAGAGTCGTGCAGACAGGTCCATATGCGGTGGTGCGTCATCCGCTATACACGTGGGTCTCATGTTACATTATCTCAGTCGGATTTGACGTTGATGTCGTCCTTAGGAACGTGCTCATCCAGCAGGCGGTTTTTGCGGTGGTGTTCTGGTCTTATGCGCCACTTGTGGGTCTTGGTATCATTGCTAGCGCGTTCGCTGTCAAGATACCTATCGAGGCGAGTGTCTTGTTCTTGTGTACTCAGCAGTTCTTATTTTATTTGTAGGAGGCTCTTATTATGGAGGATGCTGCTGTTGCCGCAGAATACCGTGCATACATGCAAAGAGTGCCTGCGCGTGTCATTCCATTCGTCTGGTGATGTGTTTTACTTGAATAAGAATATGTCATAAATGCAACGCGTCGAGTCGGAGGACTCATCATGATTCCGAAGGGAAAGTATTTCTATAATCAACAACTTACATTGTATACAAAAAATCCAGAATCCGTATGTAAGTAGTTGATAGGCAACAAACTAGTCTTGACCATGTCCGAATAATGGGTGAAGTGTACAAACAGTAGGAAACCGCTGGCGAGCAAGCATATGCATCTAATAACTACTCATCTCATAACACTACTCATCAGCTTCCGGCTAATCCACAGGCCCAAGCTTGGAGCCAATCTTGACAAAGGATACAAGAGGATGATGGTCCAGGATAGGACAACGCCAAAGCACCATTAAAACTCATTGTTTCCCCAATCGTCCTTATTCCCAGCGTGCGTTGGCGCGACGACAATTTGGAAACAGAGAACGTCGAAACCTCTACTTTCATGTCCGTGCTCCTAAGCTCACATTCAGCGAGATGGTGTGCGCTATGCGGAATGGGCAATGAAAAAGTCTGGAGACTTCTGAACGGAGCCCGCTCCATCCAGTTAGGCAGCTGGTATATTTTCCATTGATTGCTAAAGTGGCAGTGGCGGACCACGTGCCGATTGTGTTCGCCATTTGTGTATGTGATGGAGATGACATGAGATAGCGAAGCGAGGAAAGCCGCTCCATGGACGGAATTGGTCAAGGATGACCATTCGGGAGTCCTGCACTCAAAACCTGTTACTGTTAAGGTTTTTGGGTCGTACAGAGCTGGAGAACCTTCGTGGTTGTCCACACGGGATTTCGAAGCATAGAAAAGGCAGCCTGACAGAAGGCCCACATTCTCAAAGTCCACTGCGATGGAAGGTGCAGCCAGCAGGACTGGGGCCGGGAAGCTGAGGTCCGGTCCAGGCGGCATTGGTCCAAATGCGTTGGGATAAAGTCCTGGGAGAGAAGGTCCTGGGAGAGAGCCATTAAACCGTCCCAACCACATCCTGCGTATGTACTTCGTGTAGTCGAATTTAAATTGATGATCTTGCTGAGCGTATGCCTGCTGCATACGTAGAGTGTCCACGAACGCTGTCACGTTGTGGATTTGCGGGAGTAACACGGTGTGAAGAATTTCGGGCAGCACTGTTTTCCTGACATCTTTAGAGAGAAGACAGAGAGCGAGGGCGAATGAATATGGGTTTTTAGATTTGTATGGTTCAGTTTGGGAAAAACTGGGTTGCGCCGCATGTTTAAGGATGAGGAGGGCCAGCTCGACTGGAAGGTCACCAAACGGAAATGAAAGTTGAGTAGCAGGATCCATGATGGGCGAGTAATGATGGGCGAGTAACTAATGTAAAGTTGGTTTGCAGGAGCCCTTTAATACTCACCTCATCAACAATGTCCACCGCGGCGTCATCCACAGCAGTGAAAACACATTGTGTGCATAGTGGGACCAAAAGATGTCACGCGGTAGTCCACAGCGGAGTTATTGTTCCCTCCAGGTCGCATAATGAATGTGCTCTTGCTTGGGACCACAAGATGTCGCTTGGTAGTCCACAGCAGAGTTATTAGTCCGTGTAGGTTACAAAGTACTTCTGGATTACAGTTATCATGCACATATGGCATCTACCTGGGTTCTTCCAGATTCGGCGTGCATCCAGGTTCTGTCAACGTCATCGACTCGGAACACAACTCTTACATTTTCCGAGTTAAGCACTGCTACTTGAGCGGGGAGGACTTTGGAGCTTAACTGAATGTTATTGAAAGCGTGATATTCGTATGATCAAAGGGTAACAAAAAGGGGTGAGCATGGAACCTGAATGCGATGCAAAACCCGCCACAAAGTAATAGTGCAGCCGATGCATGAATTTTGGTCATGCCTACAGCTAGATACTCTGTGGATCATAATCCGTGGTTGATAACGTTGATATCTGGTGAATTATACAATACTATAATAAGAATCAGATCAAAATCAAAATGAGAGAAAAGAAAACTGAGACGCACTACTATCAGGAAGCCCGACTGTGTTCTTTGAATATTGTATCAACATTCACTGAAAAAAAGACAAAATAGCCCTGTCGTATTACCGTAGAAATAGAGTCAATTTATCGCTCGAGGCCGTGTCGTTGAGTTTAGGGAGGCGATATGCAATTGCACGAGCAGCTGAGCAAGAGCAAATTTAAACCCCGCTGCGAACCTTTGCTAAATCTGTTCCCAGTGAAAACTGGTTCTTACCGGAGATGCTCGTAGGTGTCGTGGTGTGAATTAGCTCTGTTGTATTCGTATTTTGTACTAGTAGTTACAAGCAATATGATATGAACCGCTCATAGGGAATGCAAGGGAGGGTAGACCAGATGTGATGATGATCGGTGGTGTGGTAACTGTAATGATGCAATGATTATATAATCCGTAAGTTCCGAGTGGAGCCAGATGGAGCATAACTATATATAATATTAATATTGCGAGCGTGAATCATTTATCAATCATGGCGACCAATAACTTACCTGTTGAGCTGTGGCTCGTTGTTTTTTCTTTCACCGAAGTCCTTGAATTTTCCTTGAATGACCTAGCTGCACTGTGCCGGGTGTGCATTGGCTTCCATCATGCAGTAGTTGACTCTCTGTATGAGTCCATCACGGTCGACAAGTCTGATGTCTGCACTACCCTTGCAGAGCGTCCCCATCTTGCAGAGAAAGTCAAATCATTCATCTTTACATATCCAACTATTACAGGGTATAAAGGTCCTGAGGTGCACCTGGATAATTTCACATTAGCCCTCAAAAATATGACCTCCCTCTCGACACTCAAGCTTATTCATTCCCAAAGCACTACTCATCTGTCCTTCGACACTGTGACGCCAAACTTCTCGTTTTTCATTGCACCTATGATGTCGACCGCCAATTGCTATCCTTCTTAAACAAGCAGGATAACATCCGTGATCTTGCTATTATTGGCGATCCAATACTAGATCAAGATACTTTCTTCGAGCTCCCGGAAATACTTTCTCCCACATCTCTGCCACATCTAACAGAAATCTCTGCTTCCCTCTCTTTTTTACGCGTCCTTGTCCCTGGGCGCCCGGTTCAAACTGTGCGGTTCAAGAGCTACCATGCACATTTTCAGTCCTCGAAATGGGGTCTCGATGATATTGTCAGCCACTCCACGGTGCCTGTCAGGCATGTGGGACTTGATCTCACGATTTGGCCCTTGTCAGTACTACACGAGCCTCGCGCACTACTTCCAAAGCATGTCGAGGAAATCACACTGACGGGTTTTGCTACTGGGGTCAGCAAAACACATTTTTATTGTATTAACTGCCACACAGCGCCCATTTACAATTGGGGGACTCAGAATTTGGGATTGGGAATATGATGTACATCTCATACTGGCAAGCACACCGAGTTTGAAAAGGCTGACATTCTGGATGGAGGGAGAGCGAGAAGACGCACGCGTATGGGCTCGACTTCTCTTCCAGGAGTTCCATGATAAGCTGTCCCATCTTGAGCAGGTCTCATGTGTGATTGCTGGACCAGACATGTCAACATCGTTCGACTTCTTTGAGGAAAAGCCGGGTTGCCTCCTGATTGGGCCTCATGAGGATAATCAAACTCGGGGCCATCGAGCCGCGAATGACATTCGGGAGCTCATGCCATTTCCTATCTTTTGTTGTCGGACTGGCGAGAAGGACCTTTGCGATCGAAAGGTAGGGAAGACCCTCCAGCTTGATCGCAGGGACATAGAGACATTCAGGCCCAGGGATGGATGAGAACGAGGGCAAAGTACCCAGAATGGCCCTGGCCCTGAACCAATGGTAAGTTGGTCCAACTGATCATTCTATGTGCTCATTGACTCATTGTAAATTTGAAGTGTGTATGCCTATCTTCGACCCCATGGAGGACACCTTTCAAATTGTACTACGTTGTCTGACTATCCTCTCAATTAAACATGCCAAGTCCCGTGAGTGGGGGACTTTGCTTGCCTAAAAACACGACACCTCTTTCCTGAGTGTAGACCGATTCAGTTGAAATTGATAACTCGTGTGCGTGAAACGGCGATGGGGGATGTTCTTGTTGAATGTTCATAACATTTTCGCAATATGTTCCGAAACGCTGTGCAATAATTTACTGGCCCAGGACTCGGATCACGGTCGATGGGAAAGCAAGTTTAGGCGCGGGGACTGTATATATGCTTATTTTGTATGCGGAGGTGACAAGCTATGTATGATAAGTCCCTGGAATTCAATGCGCTCACGACGGTTGACGGGACCACTTGGCACTCAGCGCACGAACTAGGTTCAACCGCTGGCTCTTTTCTGCGACAAACCAAAATCAGGAAGCTACCAAGTATTCGGGGTCCGCTCTACACCACCTACTACCGGTGGATTATACTTAGAATCAGATCTAAATCGAAATGAGAGAAAAGAAGACTGGGACGCACTACTATCAGGAGGCCCGACTGTGTTCTTTGAATATTGTAACATTCACTGGGAAAAAAGACAAAATAGCCCTGTCGGGTTAGCGTAGAAATAAAGTCAATTTGAGGCTTGAGACCGTGTCGTTGAGTTTAGCCTTGGTAGGGAGGCGGCATGCAATTGCACGAAGCAAATTTAAACTCCGCTGCGAACATCTGCAGCTAATTTTTGGACAACATGCACAGGCTCAGCCGCTCGAGCCTGCTACAACAACACCCCTTCAATTGAAGTTACAGTCCCCTTCAATTGTATCGATATGAACAATATCAATCGAACATGAATTGCGTGAAACATGTGATGATGAATGAGGCTGCTGACTAGGACACATGAGCAGGCATCCAGAAAGATAAATTTAGATCCTTTACCAACGTTCTACAGTACTGTCTTCCGTGCTTCCCCAGCACTAATAGAGCTGCTGCCGGCCATGTGTGCTTGGGGTGTGTGCCTTAGACTCTAGTCCCTGATACCCAACGTGCCGGCATGTACAGCAACCAGACAGGCGCCTACTTATCCTTCAACTGAATTCCACAACCGTTCCGCGAGTCTTCCATAGATTGAAGTATTTACTCATCCATCTAATATCAATCAAGCTTCACACTCTTCATCACTCGAAAGCTTGATCGTTTCGCAACCGAAGTCTTGTCTCAACTTACGAGCAGGGATTCAAATCTTCGTATGTCGTCCCTTGAGTCAGAGATGACTATCGCCCAAATAATTTCTAACCGCACCTTTGAACCCAACTAGTACCTTCAATTAGTCCATTCCATCACACTCATATCACAGCCTTCGTTAATGAGTGACGATCGATGTCAGCATCATGTACTATATCTCTTATCCCTCTCTCACCCTCTGACCTCATTGACAGTCCTTCCATCGTTTGAAGGAACATGGGCCAGGTTGTCCCAAGTGATTGTTAAGGGTGCTCAATATAACTCCCCTGAACGTCAGCCCCACCCGAAATGTTTGGAAGGGACCCGGATTGATCTCCTCAAATACATCCATGAATTACTGGACGACCCAGAGAAGAACCAACTCATTTGGCTGCATGGTACGGCTGGAGTCGGAAAGTCTGCCGTTGCGTTCACAGTAGCTGAAAAGATGAGAGGTCTAAAAGTGACACAGCAGACGAATGTCGAAAAGCGGTTAGCGGGAACGTTCTTTTTCTCGCGAAAGCACACCAAACGCTGCACGACTGGATATTTTTTTGCAACGCTTGTCTACCAGCTTGCCAACAATTTTCCAAACATTCGAAAGGATGTGAACAGAGTCATCCGCGACGATCCCGCTCTACTAGACCCCGACACGCCTCTCTGTGACCAGATGGAGGCTCTCTTTCTCCAACCTCTTCGGTGGCTTCGTTCCAGACTGCGCGGGTGTGCGCCTTTGACGTTTGTTATCGATGCGCTTGATGAATGCACATCCGAACCCGAGCTTGTCGATCTCATCATTTCCCTTGCACAGGCTCTTCGTGACCCTGATCTTCCCGTGACCCACATTCTGCTCACAAGTCGCTCGGAATCGCATATTAGCAAAATCTTTCAGAACGACGCGGTGCGCTCGTTTGTGTGCGAAATACCAGTGAAAACTTCTGGGGAGGGCATTGGGACCATTATTTCGCTAGACGGCGCCGATGTCGATAATGACATTTATATTTTCTTGCGGCATTCTTTCAGAGAGCTAGGAAATCGCCATCCCGACTTCCCGCAGCCATCGAGGAATCAACTTGCACAGTTGGCGAGCCGCGCTGGCAGACGTTTTATTGTGGCGTCTACAATGGTGAAGTTTATTACCGACGATGAAAACAAGGATCCCCGTGATCGGTTACAACTGATGCTTGAGCTGACGAGCGAGCTACTAGCGGGAACGGACGTGTACAAGTTATACGACTGTATCCTCTCCACGTGTGCCAACCCCAAGCGGGCATACCTGCACTTGTCTATTGTCGCTGCACTTGCGGACCCTCTACCGCTGTCACAAATCTCGAAATTGCTTGGCCCCGGTCAGGGCTATGATGCCGAGAAAACTCTGATACAGTTACGGTCTGTCATGGATATTCCTACTGACAACACACTTCCCGTGAATATATATCACTCATCCGTTCGCGACTACGTTTCCGACCCCTCAAACTGCAGCCTCCCTGACGCGCATAATACGTCACCAGCCCACTCCCTACTCGCTGATTCCTCTCTTCGCTTGATGATGAAAGAGATTCCAGAAAGTACGGCCCTCTTGGATGAGCTCTCAGCACTGAAGAAGCAGAACCGAGCCATGCAAGCTGAAGACCCCCATAGATTAAAAGACTCATTATCCTTCCTCGTTCAGCCACCAGAGCCACTGTCTGTTCTTATTGGCATGCTATGGCTTCGGGGTGATCACAAGTCAGATGTACAATCTTTCCTAGAGACCGTGGACGGGTGGGCCTGGCTGCAGACCCAAAATGGGAGAGACTGGTTGCAGACTCAGGGAGGACAAGATTGGCTGCAAACCCCGGGAGGACGGGGTTGGCTGCAGATCCAGGCAGGACGAGACTGGCTGCAGGTCCAGGCAGGACGAGACTGGCTGCAGGTCCAGGCAGGACGAGACTGGTTGCAGACTCAGGGCGGACGAGATTGGCTGCGGACCCAGGGAGGACGAGACTGGTTGCAGACTCCGGGAGGACGAGACTGGTTGCAGACCCAGGGAGGACAAGATTGGCTGCAGACCCTTGGAGAACAAGACTGGTTGCAAACTCAGGGAGGACGAGATTGGCTGCAGACTCAGGCAGGACGAGATTGGCTGCAGATCCAGGAAGACTTCCTGCAGATACTGGAAGAACTAAACTTGCTGCTGTCACTGGGAGAAACATACTGGCTGCCGACACAGGGAGAACGAGACTTGCTGCAGGCCCAACCTGAGGCAGGACGAGATTCACTGCACGCCCAGGCTGAGGTAGAAGTAGACTTGCTGCAGACCCAGCCTGAGGTAGAACTAGACTCGCAGCAGACCCAGCCTGAGGCAGGACGAGACTCGCTGCAGACCCAGCCTGAGGTAGAAGTAGACTCGCAGCAGACCCAGCCTGAGGCAGGACGAGACTCACTGCAGGCCCAGCCTGAGTTAGAAGTAGGCTCGCAGCAGACCCAGCCTGAGGCAGGACGAGACTCGCTGCAGACCCAGCCTGAGGCAGGGGAAGACTCGTCACAGATCCATGCAGGATATAACTGGCTGCAGGCACAGGCAGGACGATACTGGCTGCAGACCGAAGGTACACTAGAATGGCTCCAGACCCAGAGAGGTAGAGACTGGCTCCAGACCGGTTTAGGACGAAACTGGCTCGGGACCCAGGGAGGGAAATTGGCTGCGACCCCAGTGGGCGAGACTGGATACAACCAAGGGAGGAGAGACTGGCTCGGACCAGGGAGGAAGACTGGCTACAACCCGAGTGTACAGGACTGGCTGCAGACCCCAGGTGGGCGAGACTGGATGCAAACCGAGGGAGGGAGAGACTGGCTCGGGACACAGGGAGGGAAGAACTGGTCGCAGACCTGGGGCATGCAAGGACTGGATGCAGACCCCAGGTGGACGAGACTGGATGCAAACCAAGGGAGGGAGAGACTGGCTCGGGACACAGGGAGGGAAAGACTGGTCGCAGACCTGGGGCATGCAAGACTGGATGCAGACCCCAGGTGGACGAGACTGGATGCAAACCGAAGGAGGGAGAGACTGGCTCGGGACCCAGGGAGGGAAAGACTGGTCGCAGACCCGGGGCATGCAAGACTGGATGCAGACCCCAGGTGGACGAGACTGGATGCAAACCGAGGGAGGGAGAGACTGGCTCGGGACACAGGGAGGGAAAGACTGGTCGCAGACCCAGGGCATGCAAGACTGGATGCAGACCCCAGGTGGACGAGTCTGGATGCAAACCAAGGGAGGGAGAGACTGGCTCGGGACACAGGGAGGGAAAGACTGGTCGCAGACCCAGGGCATGCAAGACTGGATGCAGACCTCAGGTGGACGAGTCTGGATGCAAACCAAGGGAGGGAGAGACTGGCTCGGGACACAGGGAGGGAAAGACTGGTCGCAGACCCGGGGCATGCAAGACTGGATGCAGACCCCAGGTGGGCGAGACTGGATGCAAACCAAGGGAGGAAGAGACTGGCTCGGGACACAGGGAGGGCTAGACTGGCTCAAGACCCCGGGCGGGCGAGACTGGCTTTGGACCCCAGGCGGGCGAGATTGGCTGCAGACGCCCGATGGCCAAGCGTGGCAATCCACTCCTGCGGCGTCTGTCTGGGTGACTATGGAAGAATTCTCAAGTACGTTGGAAGCAATCAGCGAGTATATCGTTGTCCCAGAATTGCCTTTACTACCGACCTTCCAAGTAGTCCAGCAGTTCAAAAGTTTGCCGGATTTCTTGATGTTTCCGATGTTCCTGGCGTTGATGCCCCAGAATCATTTCACCTCTGCATTGTCCGAAGTTCCTGACAGAGAAATCATCCGTGCTATGAATGCGTTTACAACTTTTGCAAACGAGGCACAGGAACGGAGTCAATCAGCTTCCGACGCTTTCAAGTACGCATGTCAAAACTGGGTTGTTCATCTGTCGCGTACTCCAAATCCATGGGATGACACGCTCAACCGTATATTTCATGCTTTCTGGAATTGTCACCTCCTTTCCTGGCTCGAACGTCAGTGGTGTTTGAAGGGTCTGCGGTCTTGCCTTGATATTTTATCAAAGGGGCAGAAACTTGCAAAGGTATGCATTTTCCCAACGAGTTACCCACTCAAAAAGCTGATATAGGCTTGTTTCAGATTCGTTTTGTTTCATCTTATGACACCCCTTGTAATTCTCTCGTGCTCATCGTTAACGCGCAGCCTGATGAAGGGTTGTCAGCCATCGGTCCCGATATCCGACACTCGACAACAGAAGCTTCGCACGCATCCACCACTGGAATGATGAGCGGACCGTCAACTCCCACAACTACTCTTCCCACAGAACAGCTCCTTGTGGCCCTACACACGGAACCCGTTCCTACTGATACTTGCCCAATGAAACCAATCTTGCGGCATCCTCCTACTTCGCCTCTTGCACCATCCCTGCCACCCGTCTCTTCTGCGGGACCCGACACCGCTGTATTCCATGTTCGCACATCCAGAAAGCGCAAGTTGGATGAACTTCAAATCAATAGCGACAGCCCACACCCATCAAAACGTCGGAAATGAGTCGAGCAGCATTTACGGCGCAATTGGGACGCCGGATAGCATATAGTTCGCCGCTTGTTCTTAAAACCTCTGAGGCATCTGCGAACATTTTACTTGATTCCAACCTCTATCGAGAGTTCTCTCGAGCTTCTTGAGTAGCGACACGTTCTAAAAGCTTTCCACGAGAACATGACTGTACTTAGTTTGATGATTGTGTAGTGAAGTATCTTCGCGTTTACATGTTTTATGTTCTGTATTGATCTACGGTGCTGGTGCTGGTTAATGTTATAGTTTTATACCAGCAGAACACTTCGTTCTTCAAGCAATTCCAACATGACCTCCGACCGTTACGACTTGTGTCCTATCATTGCGAAGGGAAAGTATTCTAACTTATAATCAACCGATAAAAGGTGTTTCAAATACAAAATCTGTATGTAAGTAGTTGATAGGCAACAATCTAGTCTCGACCATGTCCGAATAAGGGGGAAGTTGTAGCGTTCCTAAAAGCCTCTATCACAACAAGGCATCATTTCTCCATAGTTTCATTCCTTCTCATATATTCTTTAGTGTTCCTGACTCTGCAGTATTTCAACCGTTCGTTAACTACTGATAGAAGTAGTTGATCCTTCCCCCTCCCGAATAGATTTAGTTCGGACAGTTCTCTTCGTTCGAAACCTAAGCTTATTCTCCAAGTCAACTCTTATCGTGTGTAACACTTTCTAAGTGCCGCAGAAGCGTACAAGCAGCAGGAAACCACTAGCGCCGAGCAAGCATATGTATCTCATAACACTACTCGTCAGCTTCCCAATCCACAGGCCCAAGCTTTCAGCCAATCTTGACAAAGGATACAAGAAGGATTGGACACCGCCAAAGGACCATGATTCGATGGAGAACGCGTCACTTGCTGAATCATCCTCATTCCCCTAAGTGTGCGTGGGGGCGACGACAGTTTGGAAACAGAGAACGTCAAAAGCTCTACTTTCATGTCCTTGCCGCTAAGCTCGCATTCAACAAGCGGGTGTGCGCTATGCGGAATGGGCAATGAAAAGGTCTGGAGACTGCTGAGCGGAGCACGCGCCATCCAATCAGGCAGCTTGTGGTAGATTTTTGATCCATTGCCACAGTGGCAGAGGCCACGCGTGTGCCGAGTGCTATCAGGTATTGTATGTGTGATGGAAATGACGTGAGATATGGAAGCGAGGAAAGCCGCTCCATGGACGGTCTTGGTGTAGGACGACCATTGGCGAGTCATGGACTCAGAACCGGTTACCATCAAAGTTTTTGGGCCGTCCAGAGCTGGAGAACCTTCGTGGTTGTTCGCGCGGGATTTCCCGGCATGGAAAAGGCAGCCCGACAGAAGGTTCAGATTCTCAAAGTCGACTGCAATAGATGGTGCAGCCAACAAGACGGGGGCCAGGGGACTGAGGTCCGGCCCAGGTTGCATTGGTCCAAATCCGTCGAGCGAAAGTCCTCGGAGAGAGCCGCGAAACTGGCCCATCCACATCCTGCGCACGTACTTCGTGTAGTCGAATTTAAATTGATGGTCTTGCTGAGCGTATGCCTGCTGCATACGTAGAGCATCCGCGAACGCTGTCACATTGTGTAATTGCGGGAGCAACACGGTGTGAAGAATTTCGGGCAGCACCATTTTCCTGACCTCTTTAGAGACAAGACAGAGAGCGAGGGCGAATGAATATGGGTTTTTAGATTTGTATGGTTCAGTCTGGGAAAAACTGGGTTGTGCCGCATGTTTAAGGATGAGGAGGGCCAGCTCGACTGGAAGGTCACCAAACGGAAATGAAAGTTGAGTAGCAGGTTCCATGATGGGTGAGTAACTGATGTAAAGTTGGTTTGCAGGAGCCCTTTAATACTCATCTCATAAACAATGTCCACTGTGGCATCATTCACAGCGGTGGAAACGCACAGTGGGACCAAAAGCTGTCACTCGGTAGTCCACAGCAGGGTTATTGTTCCTTCTAGGTCGCATAATGTGCTCTTGCTTGGGACCACTGGCAAAAGGTGTCGCTCAGTGGTCCACGGCAGAGTAATCGGCATTCACCTGGTCTCTTCCAGACTCAGACTGCATCCAGGTCCTGTCTGAAGTGTCATTGACTCATGACACAACTCTTACATTTGCAAAGTTGAGTCGCCCATTTCACTGCTACTTGAGCAATGAGGACTTTGGAGTTTAACTGGATGTTAATATTGTGACTTGAAAGCATGAGATTTGTATGATCGAGGGTTGGCAGCCCTGCTAGTCGAGTTCGAGTTGAAATCATCAATAGCCTCCGGGATTACTAATGGCGCTCGCGGCAGTCCCCTGGAATGGTCCACAACCGCACCCCCACGCCTGCCGCAGTTCTTTGTGAATTTTAGCCCGAAATGACACCAGAACAGAAACAATTGCGAAAACGAAGATGTCCTTCTCTTACAAATACCCGTTTTCAGCTATGATGACTATGGGAACGACGGTGACTAATGCTTGCATGCCAGTGGTGAGCTTTTGCAGTGCTTTCGCTCTATATAAGTATAGCGGTGATGTTGATTTGAATTTTGTTAGGTCAGCCCAGTGCCTTGACACTAGCACGGCCGCGCACAGTATCATGATGGTGGCAGTCCGTTGTCGTTTGAGAAGATCCTTAATCGATTGATCACTATTCTGTCTCTATGAACCTCGTGCATCGCCCTCGCATGCGATTATATAGTCATTCGTCAGTCTCAGTTTCGGTTTCAGTTTCAGTCCGACGTTTACTTAAATAGACATCAAGTGACTGGGCTCAGATATCACTCCCTCTCACCCCTTTCAATCCATCATGACGATTCATCACATAGGTAAACCCTCCTTTGAAGCATTCAAATCAGCTTGATTCTAACGCACAGCAGTACTGTTCACGTTCAAGCCCGAGGTGACCCCAGAACAAAGACAGAACGTGAGGAACTGTATCAGCGCCCTTCCATCGCAGATACCTGCAATCCAAAGCCTTGTCACTGGTGAAACAGTGTTCAACCCCCTCGGACATGGCTATGACGAAGGTATGTCATTTCTCGTCATCTGAAATATTCGTAGGTGGTTGATATGATTGCGCCTCAGGGGTCATTTTTCTATTCGAGAACGTAGCCAAGTTGAATGAGTATCGCTCACACAAGGCGCATCTTGATTATCAGGGGTTAGCGAGGCCTTTGACCGAAGGTATATCTTGTTTTTTTTTGAAGATCGATTTGATTGAATGGTTGGGTACAGGTATACTCATTTTTGATATCGACTCGGAGACAGCCGCCTAGAGGGGAAACTAGTTTGATAGGATGTTGCACTGCTCATGCAGGTGATGGCTAAAGGCCTACGTTAAGAATCACATTCGGATCGCGACCCTTTTTCTATGTACATAAGTGTTATCACTACTTGGGCCCTGGCGTGTCCATGCGCCCGGCACGTCATGGATTGACGCCGAATGATTTCAGTGTGAATGTAGGACTTGTCGCGGCACAGTTCATCAGAGATCCCTTCCCTTGCAGATCATTACGGGCTCAAACAGCGCCTAGGCTGGCGAGTTGATGCTGCGCTTGTTACTGTCCTCCGCGCGCGATGCAGAAGGAACGGCAATCTTCCTTCTACTATGTATGTGGTATTCCATTGTCATCTCGGGAGTCACGATGCGCGCTATCGATTGGTGAGTGACTGCAGTGCTGGCGGTCAGTACCGGTCAGTTGTCGTCCTGGGACACAAGTTCCTTAGTCAACAAGTTTCGTGGTGATCGTCATCTCTGAATTGTTCCCGCCCTCAACCAACTTCGGCCTCTTGCCGGTTTGATCACTCCGTTGCATACTATAAATAGCGTTCGCACCGTACTACTTTAGTTAAATACAACATTCATGTGACTGGACTCGGACATCCTTTCTTCCTCCCTTCCAGTTCATTATGACGATTCACCATATAGGTAGAGTCTCTCTCTCTCTCGAGCCCAACTTCAAATGATCTAACATATGGCACAGTCTTATACAAGTTTAAGCCTGAGGCAACCCCTGAACAACGACAGAGCGTGAAGGACTCTGCCAGTGCCCTTGGATCGCAGATACCCGCAATCCAGAGCCTCATCACTGGCGAAACAGTGTACAATGCCCTTGGACATGGCTATGATGCTGGTACGGCATTTCTCACCATATCTGCAAACCGGATGGTTGATAAGACTGCTTTAGGGGTTATTTTTCTATTTGAGAGCGTAGCCAAGTTGAACGAGTATCGCCCACACAAGGCGCATCTTGATTACCAGGCGTTCTCAGCACCTTATATCGAAGGTAGGTTTTGTTGTTGTTCAAATATTTCTTTAACTGAATAAGGGGCAGATCAAACTCATTTTTGATATCGAGACAGCTTAGAGGGGAAACTACTTAGCTTGATATCATGCCGTACTAAGTACTTGTGTAGATGGCTAAATCCACTGCAAACATCATGAATGTGAACACGAGGAAATTGATAATCCTCGCCTTTGAGTTGCGACTTTGATTTCTATGTAGACAGGTATTTTTGTCACTCGGGTACTTGCGCCCTGACAAGACATATCTTCACACTCAGTCACCCAATCAGCTATCATACACTGTATACCCATCGCACTTAAATAGAGAATGCTCACGCTTTCAAATTATCGTAACACACGTCCAAGGTTTCGAGCGACCGTCCACTTCCCGGGTGGTTTCATCTGAGTCCATCATGACCATCTACAATATAGGTAACTTTCCATCGGCCCCCTCGCCTCGCTCTGGATTGACACAGCATAGTCCTGTACAAGTTCAAGTCGGAGGCAACCCCCGAGCAACGAGAGTATGTGAAGGAACTTATCAAGGAACTTCCGTCGAGAATATCCGCGCTTCAGAGCGTTATCGCCGGAGAAAAGGTCCTCAACCCCCTTGACCACGGCTATGACATGGGTGGGCTATTTCGCAAAAAGCTTGTGACTTGCTGTCCGACATGCTCTAGGGGCAATTTTTGTGTTCGAGAACAAAGAGAAACTGGATGAATTCCGCCCCCATCAGGCTCATACTGATTACCGGACCCTCTCCAGTCCGTACCTTGAAGGTGCGTGTGTTAATATTGTCAATAGACTAAATCACATAGCGGAAGAACTTCCAGACAAGCTGGTCTTCGACATGGAGACAGCTTAAAATAAAAGAAAAAATAAGAGAACCTCGAAAGTATATGTCGGGAGTGCACGTAATACGTATACATTGTCGATTAGTATTTATGCGAAATGAGTCCGTGAAATGATGGTGCGGAGAAAGTTCAGGCATAGATCGGGAGAGGTAGCATCCTGGCAACCGTGAATAGCATGAAAGATACATATGTGATGCAACACACCTATCTGCATTGAACATGAAGTTCCCTGCAATATCCTCTCCTTCCAAGAATCGCGAGGGATACACAACTTCGGGGATATGAGAGGAGCCGATGGATGGGGGGAATGGATGGCACTCACCAAGGTGCCCACGGACATCTTTCAACAACTCCTCCATTTCATCTCGCTCCTGCTTGGTAAAAGGCTCTATCCCATTCACAGGTTTTCTGCTACGAGTGTCCTTGTCTAGGGGGTGGGAACCTCTGGAGGGGGCGCCGTCGCTCCCATCGTTGGTATGAAAGGTCTCACGGCTCTCCTCAGCAGCATCCGCCAAGCCTCCCTTTTGATATGGTCCGTCTTCGCACGCTGTCTCTGAGGGTACTTGTGATACTGGGCGGGATGAATGACCACTCGTTGCCTATGAGATAAGAGTATTTGAGAGGGGTATAGCAAAGAGAAGATTCACGAACCAGCTTAGAGAAGCGTTCGTGGTGAACAATGAATTCTTTGTATTGCTTCCACGTCGCAATGAGGTCATCAGGGATAGCGTGGAAAACTTTGCGATAAATCTCAGTCTGCGAAAAGAATCAGTACATCCACCACTCCTACGCAAAGATAACATACATTATGTGTAGCGCAGGCGTTCCAGACATTATTCCAAAATGCATCAGAAATCGGGTCCTCAAAACCCTCTGGATCTACATGGGGAGGGGGGTTCAATACACCCCACGTTTTATTGCCGACTTTGCTAGCGGGATGCTTCCTGAGCAGGGCCCTTGTTCCCGGAGCAGTCTTTTCAAGCTCGTCCGGGTCATTGGCTCCTGACTCCAGGTGGGGTAGTTTGTCATCGGTCTGTGGATTCCTTGACGCAAGCGCCGGAACACTGTATGTTTCCCCATCAGCCGTGCGCTTCTCGACGGTGTCAGAGTTTTCGCCCAGTCCATGTTCGAGCTTGTACTTCAAAGGAGGGTTCTGAGCCTGTGAAACTGGAAGCAGGTGATCTTTAACAACTGCCTCTTCCACAGTTGGGACTATCGCGCTGGCGAGCCCCGGCTCCGTCTTGCCTTCATGGTTATACGTCATACACTCCTCCTCCAGAGTGTTTAGTTCATGGAGTTCCACCTTCACAATAGGTTTCTTAAGGTGGTGGGAAGCACTCAAAGCGGCTGCGTCACCAGCTGCGTTGCCAGCTTAACCAAAAGGTTAGTATTTCAAGTCTTCGAGACTGGTGAACACGAACTTTGTTTGATACCTTCGCCTGCGGTGTGGAGCATATCACGCATGGGAGTCATATGCTTGGCTTGAGTAACATCGCGACCACCAGGCTCTTGCTCCGATTCTGGGTCCCGCTCTTGTTCATAGTCAGGTTCAATATCCTCATGGGGCATAGGCTCATGTTCAACCATGGCGTCAACATCCACACCAACATGCTCTCGCATCAACCGCATTCGCAAGGTGTGCGCAAATCGCCCGACCCTGAACGGTTTTCCTGCCATCGTCCTGTTGTACCACAGCTATCAGAGAATTGCGAGGCGAGACCGAGAAAGTCGTACCCGTCAATCAGGTCTGTATCTCGGATGACTGCAGCAATTTCCGAATCTCGATCGCCACGTTGAGAACGCTCATTGATGTTTGCGCTGCCAATGATTGCCAGACGATCATCCACAATACAAACCTAATGAGATCGATGGATCTGAGTATTCAGCTTCAAGAATTAAATCGGCATTATACCTTGCCATGAATATATAACTATAGCATGGTCAGCGGGTTGGAAAGCACAGCAGCATAGGCACTTACCATCTCCGTAGTCAATACACCGTTTCGCATTTTAGCCCAGTTTCTCAGCGAAAACACGGAGATATAATTTTCAGGCTAATCATACGAGGGTAAACACGGCGGTTTCCAAATGGCAAAATCAAGCACGCACATCTATACCCTCTTTACGAAGTCGGGAAAACAACGAATTGGGCCCACGGTAGATAGTGCGGTTCTGACACTCGACAATGATTCGAACCTAATATGTTAATTCAGTAAGATTTCAGAAAACATTTTTCCCCAACTAACTGCGCTGGCGTCGCTGTGATCAATGGAAAAGGGGAACCCAGGGAGGAGGGGAATGACAATGCAACATTTCCATGGAGTGCCGTCGCGATGTGCACGGGTGATCCGATCTACCAACGCATCGCCAATCCGGTTCTCAATCTTGACATCATTCACGACGGTCCTACGAGACAAATCAGCAAGCAGTGGTAGCAGAGCAGCGAATACTCACGAGGTTATGAAGAATTGATTCTCAATGTACACAAAGTGCTCCGACATCTCGATGGCTAAATGACTGTGTTAGTAACACCTCCTGCGTAAGCCATGACGCCTGACCTTTCAGGTATGCATTTTGAATCGAATGCTCAATTCGATTGGAAGTACCGAGCGACCAAGGGCCGGCTGATCTGCAAATTTGCATCTCGCATGTGCCTGTCAGACCCATTGCGACAAGCTCTCCTGGTTTAAACTCCGGCGGAGGTAGCAGGAAAGGCATGGTTCGAGAATGGTTCTGGTATGAATTAAGCAAAGGCAAGAGATCTATCAAGCGGCAAACACACTTTCAACCGAAGCAAATAATTCCATCTGTGGTTCGGTAGTTCAACGATGTGTTTTTCGCGAATGAATTTGAGGACAAACCTTTCAACAAAGTGTCGAGCGACATCACGAGCAGGCTGGCCTACGACTTGCATGCCTACATCATGCCTTCGGGGAAGAGTTATGAATGTCAATATTCCCTGAAGCACAGATCATCGTACCAAGGCATCCGGGGCACCTTCGCCCTGTCATACATGTCCTCAAAGGGTTTATTTAGCGCATGAAAATCAAGAACCCGCGGATTACTGTAGTCTTTGCCTGTGTTGCATGGTCAGCCAATTCCCAAACCACATGGTTAAAACGTACCTGGCCAGATTTCGGTCTTGTCTGTAGATAGCTCCACGTCATCGATGATGACGTGCTGTGGCGTATCCCATCTTTAAAGTTGTTCAGTGATGAATGCTGGTCGACGTCTGAATTGACTTCACACCTTCCGAAACATAGGTCAATCCCTCCCATGAATACGATAGTCTCGTCAATAACGCAGAGCTTCTCATGCTGTTAAAAGCATGTCATTGGTAACCGCGTTCTTGCGTGAAGAACCCTTACGTGTGCCCAGTAGAATGTACCAGTTTGGAAGTGTGAAGGTGAACGTTGAACCATGATGTTTGGGTGCAGCGACATGAGGCGTTGCTTCGCATAGCTTTATGGTACGGTGAGTCTACAAGATCTACGCGCGTTTGTCAGTTCTTACTTGCTATCCGTGGGGGTAGTTCGGTTCGAAACCTCCTGACTGGAAGCAGATCAACAATACTAGATATCCTCATTCGAAAGGCTCTTACTATAGAATTATGTGGATCTTGACGCCTTCCTTGGCCTTCCTCTCAAGGAGGTGATCCAAGCGATACCTGGGTTTATTGGGACGCCTCAGTTGCAGCTCTGTATTACATAAATAACGTGACTACCATGATGAGCTATGGACATACCAGGGGATAGCCACCAGTCATGAATATAGATAGTCTCTTTCGCCATGAGGATAGCCCGGGACAAATTCCACATGTAGTCGCGCTGGTCCTTGTGGTCAACGTCAGATCATATAGAAAAAAGGAGACACGAACCCCATCAACAAGCCACTGAGCAGCGACGTTCAATCGCACTGGAGCAAAACTGTCGAAGCGGTTATTTTTTGCGATGAAAGGGGTCGTAGCAGCGGCTTTTTCCAGGGCAGTAATCCATTGCAACATTTGACGCTAAGCCCGGGGTATCCCTCGTCAGTAATGTATAGTCACCCGATGTGAGGAACTGACCTCATTTCTTGCGAACAACTTCAACCGCATCTGCGAATTCTCGACATAGAACGTGTGCTTTGAGACATCATCCTGTTTCTTCTTTTTCCTCTTATCCTGTTCGTTTGTCTCCCCCTGTGTCTCCCTGCCCTCCGCGGTACCACTACTCTTCAGAGGATTCACATGCGTAGACGGGTCCAACATCGGTGTCACAGGACGAGATGATACTGCGGAGCTGCCAGAACTGACTGACTCTGTCCTCCTGTGCCCTGTTTCCGTAGTAACATCCCCATTACCCTGCACCTCACCACCCGTAGTGGCTGTAATATTTGGCGACGACCTATTAGCGATTCGAAAGGCCCGCGAAAGGCGACTTTTGATACTATCCATTGCAGAGAGACAGTCGACCTCGGCCTGTGGGTATTCCGTCTGAGTCTGTGGGTGCGGCTGCTGCTCCGCCTTGTTGAGGCCAACAAGAAATTCACGGTCCTCCGGTTCTGAGTGCAAGAGGTGCAGACCCTTACGATAGTATCGTGTGGGCCGAATGATCTTAAAACTCGTATCGAAGAGGAACACAGTCCCAAATTACAACCTAAGTCATGTTCATTAGTAGCAGAATTGTCATTGAAATGGCGCTTGGCTTGCCTCTCCTGGGTCCTCCACGACCACGATATAGCTCTCACGAATGGCACACCACCGAGCCTCCTTCCGCTCTCGCCACCGTGCTGATTTTCGTCCAAACCCGGCCCCATTGCCTTCTGTGTGAATGCGCAGGAATCCAGCCTTATATTGTGCGCTGCCAGACAGAGCACGAGTGATGAATAATGCACTCATCTCTAGAAAGCCTGCGAGTCGGTTTGCGGTTGGGTGGAACATCTAGAAAGGTGTTCGTGAAGGGTAATTAAGGCATAGGAGGACAAACGAACAACGGCGCGGATAAGTGTAATCAAATATTCCTCCAGCGCTTCTCGTTGCAAACGAGCAAAGTCAGTTTGTTTGACGTGACGCCCGCTGGATTCCTTCTTCAAGAATTTAAAGTAGGGAAGACCTGTACAACAGCTTAATACTTCTGAACATCGACAAATGTACAACTCTTACTAGTTCGAGGAAACTCTGGCAATACATCCTTTCGAGTGCGAAACGCGTTGGACACAGTGTAATGGGCATGCAGGGAAAAGAAATCACGAAGCTGCCTGTAGACCACCCAACGCACTGCGCCATTGGCATATTCACACTCGATACGAAACACAGCTTTATGCGATTGCATGGGATGTAGACTGTCACTAATCCGTATGCGCAGACGATGGAGGAGGATAGGGATGCGCCGGTGCCCCCTTTCGTCGCGTTCGAACCACAAACGCAGCATCAATGTGGACAGACCGCCCGTAATGAGTTCGTCCGTGATATTCACCTCGTTTGAGGTGACCACGGAGTGTGAAACAGGTTGCCCAGTGCGAATGACATTAGGTAGGAGACCACGTAATTTGCCCCATCTTGCGGATGATCCTGGCTTTTTGGAGTCTGCTCGGGGAGGGTGAGATTGAGAGCGCTGGAGATCCCCAGGGGGAGGGTCGGTGGGCTTGCGAATAGGTCCTATTGTTTGGTGGCGAGACATGGGTTTCCTCTCTATCTTCTCTTCTTCCTCTTCAATTATTGTGTTAGAAGGTTCCGGAAACATCGAATTCGACCTGTCCTCTAACGGTGAATCCTGGAATTGGTTGAACATACTGCTCTCTCTTGCTTTGCCCTTCTTATCTGTGGTCGGTTTTCCCAGAGGAGAGTTAAGCTCAAACGCACCCCGGAAGCTTGACGAACTTGAATTAATTTGAAACGAGGTTTTGCCACGATCTCCCAAATCATTTTCAAAAATATCGGTGTACTCCTGCTGGCCAATGCTAAGAGTTTGACGCGGGACGGATGAAGAGCTCGGGTGGGAGAAGCTGAATGACAAGGAGCGTGGTGGACCTGTACGGCTTGAGGGCGTGTCAGGGAGTGTAGCCCTCGGTGTCCTGAGCGGAGATCCGGGAGGGGACATTGGGACTGGTGATTCAACGCGGTTCATGCGTTGGTCTATCGAAGACCGTGAGTCAACGCTCCCGGTCTCATCATCATGTTTGCCGTGTCCAGACGAATCTGCAGAGTTCTCTTTTGCGTCTTGTGCATGGCTGGCGCTGAGTCCAGCGTTGACCGAGTTTACAGATGGCATTGGGAAGTCGCGGTATGCAGAAGGTGAACGGGTTTTTACAGTCTGCAATAACGACTCCACCGGTTGCTCAATCGCGTATGATATGATTGGAAATTGTGGAGTTGACGCTAATAGCTAAAGAAAGCCAGCCAGAAACCCGATACGCCTATATGGAGACGATTGGTATCGAAGACTTGAGTGCTATCACCAGGTGCAGCCTCGAGGTCAGCGCTCACTGTGTACAGCAACTCAAAGTCAACTGCGTGCTATGTAGCTGAAGCCTTGACGCGAACAGACGCTCATAAATTAATAATTTATTGTTGACGTAATACTAATTCGATCATTATTTGGCCGCACGGAGTCACGGACGGACCAACATTTTAGCTACCACCACTGGCAGGACCTCCGCGCACCGCCATTGGGGGCAATCGGTGCACCGGCGAACGTTGAACGTCGACGCGTCAACTCCGAGGTCCATCCGAATCAGTGAAGCGGTGTATAAATTGAAACTGCAGTGTATTTACAGCAATTGCCAAGGACTCGTGAATTCATTGATGAGCTTGGCTTGGCTTGGCTGCAGGGACAAGTGCACTACCGTGATCACAATAATCGTCGATGGACCAGTGCAAGTATCTTTCATGCTTCAGGAATGTTACCAGTATCTGGTATATCAATCGTCCTTTCGGGTGGTCAATTGACTATCTGTTCCTGCTTCTATGATCACGATCGACGGTTAGACTCGGTCTATCACCATGATGAACCGAGATCTAGAAACGGCTGGCTGCAGAGGGCCAAGTGTGTGAGGTCTGACACAGTTTTATACACTACCAACTCAGTTGGCACCTCCTCTATGACTGACTCCCGAGTGTATCAGTCACGGTGGTGATGGAACTCTATAAGATATGGAATCCTTTTTCAAGGTCGGATAGCTGCATTCAATCATTGACTTTGTTCAGGATCGGCACATCGGTGCGATACTTGTGTCCTTTGCTCCGTAGCTGACAATAAAGCTGTTGAGCGCTTCGCCACTGCAACGAAATAAAGAAGGAACGTAATGGTCCGGACTCCGGAAAATGCAGATTACCTTGCTGAGCCAAGTCAAGCGCATGCACAGATGTTCAAAATGTAGACAACAAAAACCTCGAAGAGTACCCATTGCAAATGCCCAATATACTACATTTAGATCTATGCCTGTTCGCCTGCTACAGGACCATACCTATTGTACACGACAAGTCGGGGAGAACAATTATACACGACAACAGCTTAGCAAGACCATGAGGCAACGCCGGCCCACAGCATACTACACTCTGGAAGGATTCACAGCCAAGTACCCACCATCGATAACCAATTCCTGCCCATTCATATATGCCGCAGCAGGCGATGCAAGGTAAACGGCAGTGCCTGCCATCTCGGCAGCGCTGTTGCATTCTCCCGTCAGTAAACGCCCTGGCTCACGAATCAAGTTTCACTCACGTTCCCGCCCTTCTCGCTGGTACAGGCACAACTGGCATACCAACCGAATCAGTTGCTTCTTGCCCTGTAATTGTGTCGTGTGTCATCTCGCTTTCATACACGCCTGGTGCGATAGCGTTCACTCGAACATTGATTCCTTTCAGAGCAAATTCCGTCGAAAGCATCCTGGTAAGGTGAGACCCAGCAGCTTTCGAGCTGTTGTAACAGAACTTGTCCACCAAAGTCAGTGATGATCAACGAACGCGACCGTGACTTTGCTCACGTGTCTTTGTGCGACCTTTATGAGCCCGCTGATACTTGTGATATTGATGACGCTTGAAGAGAACCCTTTTTACCGATATCCTTGGAGCCCTTGTCGAGCAAATCCAAAAACGCAATAGTCACAAAGTAGATCGAAGAGGTGTTAATTGCGAAAAGGGAACCCCATTCCTCAAACGATTCATTGTTGAAGAGGTATTCACTGGTTGGTCCGGCCTCCTTTTGAGCAGTAGTCGATGGTTGATTAAATTCATCAGAGACAGGACCAGATTGGCCAGCACTTTGTCCGATCATGATGAGTCACGATAAATAGGGAGAGTAGATAACATACTTGTTCACGAGAATGTGTAGTTTTCCCTCTGTTTGAGATATTCTTGTCACACCAGCTTTGATGCTCTCCTTTTTCGTTACATCCATCTCTTGCCTGTGTATTGTGCTTGATCAGCCTGCACGAAACGAGAAGAAACGATGGTCTCACGCGATCATAAGTCCCATGTCGTCACCCTTAGCTGCATTCCACTCCGCAACTACGCCATCAAGGACATCCTTTCTTCGGCCGGTGATGTATACCTTGGCCCCATTAGCAGCGAGGCCACGTGCAATGTTAAGGCCGATGCCTGTGCCGCCACCGGTCACTAGAGCAATCAGGCCATTGAGGTCGTAGAGATTCTTCAGCGTATAACTATCTGGGGAAGACATGGTGATACGAGCAACAAAAAGAGGCTGCGAGTGATTAAAAACAGACTCAGTTTGTGCGGAAGGATCTTAGTACTGCAGTAAGTACCTGTGAGAGAACAATGAGAGGCTACTGTGTGGAGGCTAGTAAGTCTGATCGAGTGTGGAATGCATATATAAGAGTCTCACCTCAGTTTGATTGGAAAGGATCGGTGAAGCGGAATGCAACGGGTTCCTCGACTATATACCAATGTAGCATCCGGTGATGTAAAATATAGGTGTGCTATGGTACGTGTGCGGATGTAAGTGGTTGAAAATGAGCGGATGATTTGCCGTAGCGATACCTGCAGGTTACATCGGATCATCGAAGGGGCAACACATGGTGGGATAATTAACACCTCGAGTGACCATGCGGCCCACTAGTTGAATAGACGATTAGTCAAACCGAGACTGGGTGACTATCCGTGGGCTCCAGAATAGGATGGAATAGAATAAAAAAGACCAGTTAAGGAAGCGGAGCCACGATACCGCTGTTCATTTGAGTAGAATTTGCAAAACAATGTTAGATCTGGGGTGCCTCTTCCAGAGTCCAGACTACATGAAATTGACGGTCTGGAGCTACCGAGTGACTAACGCCAGAGCACGACGATAGCTGCTGATAGTCACTGCTCCTAGTGTTATTGGCCATTGTGCCGCGCCAGTTTTGCCACGCAGGGGTCCGTGGCTTCATAGATTTCTCAAATTCGCCATCAATCCAATTGTACGTTCAGTAATAACATCACCATGTTTCTTTACCATTTGTTGAGCTATACCATTGCGCCGTCCCTGTACTTGGGGACTCATCTTAAAATGTCTAACAAAAAGTATTCGGGCCGCCGCCCAGGCGCCCACCCCTCACCGATAACTCCACGGAAAGTCAAGAACAAGTCCCGCCGGAAATGCAACTATTGTATTCCTGGCAGTGGCAATGGCGCCATCCCCGGATTGGCTTACCCCATAGATCCGGGGCTAGTCACTAGTCTCCCCTAGTCAGACTTAGGGAAGACAGCTTTCGTCATTCCGACAAAGTACACACCCATGTGCAGCTTATCTTTTGCAAATATTTTTCAAAGTCCGTCCCTACGGATAGTCATCCACTAGCACGTTACGTCGATTGATCCTTTGACAACACATGTTGGTGAGGGACGTAAGTTATTAACCTTTTTGGTGATATGCATTCGGACCATGTTGGGTCGGCCGAACATAGTTTCAGCCGCGGCTGACACGAGGGTTTCATGAAGAATGGCGAAATGAACGGCCCACGGTAGTCTCCAGTTGCATTAGGCGATCCAGATAAGACAAATTTAGGCGTGTTGATAACGAGAGCGCGTAAATCCCAATCAGGAAGATGTGTCCATTGCTGCAGAAATCAAACAGGTATTTAACTTGACTCACGGGTGGATCTTGCAAGGAATGTGGGACCCCGTCTACTGGTGCGAAAGAACTGGTCTGCAGACAAGGGGGGCAAAGTCGGGGCAAAGGTATATTGCTCATTATATCCACGCTTCGTCATGCAGTGGCAAATCTCACTGAGGTATTACATAGAACAAGATCCTTCTCAACACCATCCACTTCCAAATCGTCAAGTTCTCTGAAGTGTTTCGCAAGGGCAGGAATGGAGGAATGATCTGTCCAGCGACCCGCTATCGCCAGAACCTTGATGCTGGATGGTATCGTGACTTGAAAAAGGCTCAGAGCGTCTCTGAGTCCAAGAAATGACGCTGGCATCCACCAGCGTCTGTTAGTAGGCTGAAAGCGAAGATCAACCAGATGTAATTCGCGAAGGTTGGGCACAGAAAGGCGGGACAAGAGCGATGTAAGCTCAGGAGGTATGTCGATATCCGATTCGTCGACGGCAAGAACGAGCCGCTCAAGCTGCAAAAGGTGAGTCTGTCCTGCAGGAACGTTATCGTGAGATAGATATAAAACTTCTCCATCCAGCACTCTTCTCCTAAAGCATATGCGAAGCTCGCGTAGTGCGCATGAAACTCGAATCATTCCTAGAACCTCATCCACAGCGGTTGGCCCAGTTGTGAATCCGTGATGAGTATAGTCGAGATATGTGAGGCGCCCATAAAGCTCTGGCAGCCAGGTCAGGCGAATGCCATCAAGCGTGACGTTCTGCAACTGAGGCGCAACGCCTGCGAAAAGAGTAAACTCCTTCGTGTCGTCATTCTCTGGATAACACAGAGTGAGTTTCTCCAATTGCAGCGCGTGCACCGATGGAGTAAAAGTATGTCTGCCCATATCATCGTCCCATTGCTCTTGACAACATATAGGGCCGAGAGCAGTGTTCCATAAGAACGGCGAGTAACTTGAAAACCGCAGCTCAAATGAGCGGGCTCTGGATATGTGTGGGACAAGAAGATGCAGCTGCAGGGCTAACGCGCCCATATCGGGAATATGGTGCTGCGGAGGTGTGATTGCAACGTCGAGGGAACACCCACGGGCGCGGGATATGCGCTCCCTCCACAAACGCAATCCATGAGAACAAAACGACAAGCGCCGCCAGAGGGTATGCGTGTGTAAAGCAAGCATCCTCCATGGGTGACAGACGTGGGAGATGACGATAAGAAATAGGGCATCATCAAACGAGCCCAGCTCAAAGATACGAATGAGAAGCTCGGGAGGGAGGGTGTGAATGGGATGATGTTGGAGGTTGGAGATCGGACTACGGTATATAGAAAATGTTAGAGAAGGGCGAGCGAAGTCTGGGGATTTCGCAATTGAAGGTGATGGTGAGGAAGGGCAAAAATCGGGGCGATCGACGATTAATGAACTGCAGGATATTAACTCTGGAAAGCGCCTGGCCAGGCTATATAGTCAGGGAGACGTCAGTGATGACACGTGGAAGGGTAGACTTACTGCAGAGGGTGAACCTTTTCCTGAATCGCGCCCGTGAATGACTTTGTGAGAGTTAACTCACGACGACGAGATCGTCTAAGTATCGATGGCATGCTGCATGGTCGGGGGGAAGCACCTTAGCGATGCTACTCATTTATGGATCCAGATCATGTAACTCCTGCGACACAGGGGCTCGTCAAACCTAACATAGCTTCGGCTTCAATCGTTTCCAAGCATGAAAACAAAGAGTATTTAGTCCGCCGGGACAAAAGAAAAGCCTGAGGCAGTAGCAGAATTGCTGTGTCCTATCCTGGCACAGGTCTTGCCATTGCTTTGTGAATGGAATGGGTCTAAATAGTCTAGCGTCACTCACTCGTAATGGAACAATATGGGAGTCGTAACTCTGATGCTAAGTAACGTGGGTCTTTTTTGTGTCCCAGATTGGCATCTTCTAATCATGACCCGCGGCCGGTGTCAGCGCTTCAGCGCTGCCGAGAACGTCCGGGAAATGGCGACTCAGGGGCTATTCTACGTGACTCTGGGCAGTCTGGGGTTTCGGCAGCTGGCTTCGGGCAAAGTTTAAACGCTGCTCGAATGTCGTACTCCAGAAACAGCGCACTTTAAATTTCATGGTTGGCGATATGTACAGTCTTCTAATAAGTTACTACTTAAGCACACATGATACGAAGAAATCCACAAACACACTGAACCAAATCACGCTATGCATGAACTGTGGGCGAAAGGTGCCGGGGAACAAGTCAGTTGAGACATAGGCATGCAAGAGTGCAGTACAAGGGTGGCGGCAGGCACGAGGTGCACTGGGAGGGCTCATGTAAGACGGTACGAGAGCACACGAGAGGAGGCGCTCGATGATTCAATTAGTGAAGGAGAACACTCAACGCAAGTAAGAGGATGGCAGGCGCAGGAGAGTAGTAGCAGACACGAGAAGGTAGCAGGAGGTGTGGAAGTCAGGTCCAGGAGGGTGCAGCGAACTGTCCACTGAATACCATTGGAATACCATCAGTACAACAAAATAGCACAATAAATAAATATCTTTGCCTGGCATCGTGGGACCTGGGTGGAGTCAGAGCCTGCGCACATAGAGATTTGGGACGCACAGCTATCCTGATGCGCGTGAGCATGTTGTACATAAGGACGTAGTTTGCGTGGTCTTTTCCTATTAAATTGCCTACCAAGGGAAGCCCGTCCTCTTTCTGAGCCACTTCGATGACAGCTGCTGCAGCGACTTCGGCAGCCTGCTTTCGCTTTCTTTCGCGGCAAATCCACTCTGCTTAGATTTGGATATCATCCTCCAGTTCTCCGGTTGCGACATATGCAGATGGAGGTGGGTGAGGACGGCGTGCAGAACCTGTCGTGTTGCGGCGTATGTACGTCCGAATGTGCTGTCGAGGCGAATGGTCTGGAATGGCTGGAAGTAAAGCACGGCCGCAACATTACGAATGAGGTTCGTCGGATCATATATATGTGTGAGTACATATGAATGTCCACGTGATGGCGCGTCTGGTGCAAGAAAGACAACTCAGAGTTATAGGTATAAAAAGTATATCGAGTACCGCTCAAGAAGCTTCAGGACGTTTTTGAAATCACTTGAGAGATATGACTGGGTCAAGTCTCGAACATAAGGTTCTTGCTCAATGTACGCAGAGAAAACAGCGTTTCCCGTAAGTTGAGACTTGATTGAAGATCGCAACATGCTGACAAGAGCACATAGAGTCCCATATACCGTGAAGTCACCAGGAGCGACAAGCTTGAAAAGCATAAGCAAAGGCCGGCTGGATAGAGAATCTCGCCTACCTTGCCAGTCCAATCCGGAGGACCGATCTTCAGGAAAAGTCGGGGAGCTTTTTTGTAGTCGGCTTGTCCCAGTTGGAACAAAGCCATTGCAAAGTCCAGCTTGGACTGTACCTGGTCACGCTCTGCTGATTTTTTAGGTGGCGGGGCAGCTGATATATTGTTGGAACAGGAAGCAGCGTTGGATGCTGCTGCTGCGCTTGCCGTATCAAGTGCACCCTCCGCCTTAAAGACGTAGGAAGATATGTGTGAGTAATTGCGTTGTTCGATCACAAGCTATACGAGGCATGAATAACCGGACAATGATACCAAGACGAGTGGGTGGGTGGAGGAGACCATCTGGATGCTGTGTCTTGGGTGTTCTAGCAGTTTTGGCGTAGCTGCTCGTCTGGGAGATTTTGGGGACTCTGGCAGAGAATTCTGTCTCTGTGGAAGCACGGTGAAGGCGGTCGTGTGTGCGATGACTGTTTATGGTGGCTGCATCCAACTCTACATCGATGTCTGCCTCAATGCCTTTCGGGAGTGGGTCTGACTGGGAATAAGGATAGTAGATTATCAAGTGACTCGTCTACGCTGGCTGGAGGAGAAGGCGGAGGTGGACCGATTGTATCCTCGCGGGTGAACCAGTGCGTTCCTTGTTACTTCAATGTGAATTTGAGTGTGAGTGTAGTCCATGTCTGGGCAGATCGTCGTCGTCAGCGAAGGTGCTGTTACGAATGATGCCGCTGAAGATGAGACCAAACCAGTGAGTTATTGGAAGCGGGAGTCGGGGAGTCGGGACTTGGTGCGCTTCCTTTTTGGGAAGGATGGTCGATGATGCATTGATGGAGCCTGAAGCTGAGCCACACCCCACTTCAGTGATGTTTCAACAGCAAAGTCATCGTTCATCTCATTCTCGCCACGAGTTGATGGCCCCTTCCGTCAAGAATGCATCCCCTGCGCCAGACATACTTAGCTCTACAGTCAATTCTGGATCGTGCCTGGCAATCACACCTGTAGTATCTCTCAACCTCCCAAACCTCGTACAAACGTTCATCATCACCGTCGCGTCGAGCATCAGCAAATTCATCGTTCATCTCATTCTCGCCACGAGTTGATGGCCCCTTCCGTCAAGAATGCATCCCCTGCGCCAGACATACTTAGCTCCACAGTCAATTCTGGCTCGTGCCTGGCAATCACACCTGTAGTATCTCTCAACCTCCCGAACCTCGTACAAACGTTCATCATCACCATCGCGTCGAGCATCACGAGGGGAATAGTAACACCAGCGATGTTGTGGTGTTCATCACTTATTACACGCAGGCAGGTACCTTATCTCTTTCGTGTGGTGCAGAGCTGACGTCTTCTAATCATAACCACCTCGATGTCATCCACACCAGCTCTACTTCCCTCTGTTGAACCTCAGCGGCGTATACCGCGCAATCAACCAAACCCTCGTTGATACCGAGAAATTGCTTCACCTCGATGAGCCTACTGAAGTGGTCGATGAACCTGATCCTAAGGAATCAGTAGTCTCGAACGGCGAAGTTGAATCTTGTGCGTAACCCTCGCTCCATCCTCATACACATCCATCTTAACCGACCACAGACAACGTATCTTTCATTGACCACCAAACTTCCGCGCTGCATAATATTTCCCCCGTGGCGAAAGCGGAGAAGGCAAAAGCACATTCCTGTGCCTCTTCTACCGTTTCTACAACCTCCAACCCGGCTCAGGGTGTATCCTAATCGACAGTCAAGACATCCGCATGGTCATGCTCTCGAGCCTGCGTCGTGCAATAGCCGTCGTACCCCAAGACCCCGTACGCTTCAACGCCAACATCGGGCTTATAGCCAGCCTTCCATCACGCCCCCTGATAAAAGCACCATTATGTCAAATGCGTACCCGCGAGTAAACCCCAGACGGGTGTGGGTGTGGGTACGAGCTCGTCGTAGTCTCGCAAAAAACCCATACCAGTCAGAGCGGGTACAGGTTTTTCCCAGGCATGGGTGCGGGCGTGGCCTTTGGTACCCGGTGGTTCACCTGTGCGGATCCCTAGCGTCGACAGATAGAAACATTTGATGTTAGTATATTAATATGAATTATAACGAAAATGATGTCATCAGGACAATATTAAATCCAGTATGCTCGGGCTGAAACAAGACTGGTTCAACAGAGTCTGGTCAGACTACTTATTCCTGCCAGTCGCACCAGACTACTTATTCCTGCCAGTCGCACCAGACTCATGAACATCATGGCGAAACCTGTTCCAACACCACTGACAATAGGCTTCGAACTGGAGATTACCTTGATACCGAAATCACCAACCCAGATCCCCGGATTTCTCGAGGCTGACAGAGATACTTCTGGCAGCGATGCACGGCGTATCAAACGGCATAACTCTGTATTGATACACGCATTCATAGAGGATGCCCTGAACCCTATTAGACCTAGATCAACAGACCCGCCCTACTTGCACTGGACAGTGAGTACCGATAGCAGTATCCGACCTACACAGGATTTCTGTATGTAATTTTCATTTTTCACGTTACTACTAGCTAACATTATGACTTAAAGATGCAGTAGAAATTCAGTCACCTAAGTGTACTACGGTGGATCCAGATGCATGGCCCAAACTGGTCAGTCAAGTGTTCGATGTACTCCGCCAGTCCTTCATGCTGCGCAGCGAGGTCTCCTGTGGGATTCACGTACATACATCCCTTGCAACAACTTCTTGGCGTTTGTCCGATCTCCGATCGATTGCTAGGGCTGTAGTGATGTTCAGCGGCATGTTCACCGCTCTATAATGGGTCTCAAAGTTAAATTTACGAACCTTCAGAAACGTCCAACTGTGAAAAAAAATTCGGCACTACACGGCAATTTCGGCAGCTCTGAACTCCGACGTACCACGATGTTGGACTTACCAGTAGAATGCATCTATACTAGATGTGGCTCCTCGCTGTGTCCCACGACGTATCATGGCAGGAGCTGCGACTGGTCGTGGACGCGGATCTCGAGGTCGTCAAGCAAAGCGTGGTGGCCATGGACTGATCGCTGATTCCTCTGCTCCTACCAGTGCCAGCCCACCTGCCAGCACTGGATCAGCACTCAAGATGCCTACTATACACTGGGAGAAAAAGAACAGCCCATGCACCGCTCGCCTTATCGAGTGGTGCAAAATCAATCAAGATGCTCGACTGAAAATATTCTCCGATTCTGCCAAGGATGCGAAGGAGGAAGGGCGCACACGTCAGCAAATGACCACCCAGAAGAATACCTACATGCAGCAGCTTGCAGCATCTGTTTTCGCAGACGATGAAGACCCGAAGGTCAGGGAATACTATCAAGCACACCCTCTTGCTTTTGTAAAGCCCATTCAAGGCCGATTCACATCGTGAGTTGCTACCAGTGTTCCTGTGTCCTTCAGTGCCGACCTGGCTACTAACAAGGTATTTTAGGCTACGCAAAAAGTATAACGAGATCAATGTACAACTAGGTCAGACTGGTGCTGGATTGTCATTTGAGGAGCTCAATGAGAATGAGAAAACAAGGACTCTTCTTGGTCAGTACACTCTTTCTCTGCGGGCATACGCTCTAACGATCTTGTAGATTGCCTCTTGCAGACATTCCCGTGGTGGGTTGATCTCCACGGGTGGTGGAGAACCAACCCCGCCTATAATACGTTGTTTTCAACCGCTGACCCAGGTCAAGATTTTGCCGCTGAGGCAATGGACGTCTTTGGCAAAGGGAAAGGGAAAGAGACTGCTCTGGATGATGCAGATCGTGAGGATGATGAGGGAGGAGATGCAGGTCCTCTCAACGAGGACCTCGAGCCAGGTGAAATCATGGATGACGCGGCCTATAAGGATGATGATCCTCCTGCGCGAGCTGATAATTCTGGTTTATATACGTTCCGTGATGATGAAGATCTAGGCTGGGATAGCCCAAGTGATGCCTCTGGCTCTCCGTCTTCATGCCCCCCTTGCCCTCAACTTCCCCAGGCGCCATCATCTGCTTCTTCAACTCATTTTCAACCATCTGACCTTGCTGTCCTTCACCGCTACCAACGCCCATTCATCGCCCATCTCAACACAATGCAGCAAAGCATTCCACCGCTAGAACCCAATGATATCTCCCTCAACTCGCCCGAACCAGAGGATAGGCCCAAATATCCCTCGCCGTCCACCAATACCACCGGTGGCAAAGCCAGAGCTGCATCTGTGCAGATGGATACCTCTGAGGACTCTGACACGGCTGCAAGCCGCATGATGAAATCGCTTACCCTGCACTCACACAAAGCCAGCCTTGGTGTTCGTACTTCCGGTGGTCACATCTCATCTGATCAGGACTCAGATCAATCGCCAACCACATCTCATAACCGATCAGCATCTCGCAAACGGCTACGAGACCCAACAGCTGAGCTCACTATGAAGCTGAATGAGGCGTCAGACACACTCGTTCAGCACATACATGAGGCATCCACAGTCAAGGCCGACCACAAACGCCTCAAGCTAGAGACCCAATTGGCAACCAGAGAGCTGAAGATGCGCGAATCTCACGCTGAGCGTGAACACGGACTCCGGAGTACAATCACCATTCAAAACCATGAGCATGCAATGGCGGATGAACGAACAAGGCAGCTGGAATTGGAGATTAGGCTTGAGCAAGTGAGGTTGGAACACTTGATTTTGGAAAAAGATTTGGCTCATCAGAATCCCGGCAACTAATTGTTCGATGTTTGTTCTGCTTTCACTTCTCTTCCCTCACTGCTACCATTTTAGCTCACAAATTCTTTATTGCGTTATAGGCTCGTTTTCATTATCATAGGTTCAAACATTGTGATGTACACTAGAAGAATTCGATGTGTGTTGGTTGAAGTCACTCTGGCCGCTGTTTTTTCCTTGAGTTTGAATTGACCATAACTTTCCTCGCTTCACTTATTCTAGGTCCTTGGGTAAATTTACTAAAGTACGTATCTACTACCTGTCACTGTTGATATCGCAATAACTGGCCCATCAGCGTGTTTCGAAAAATCTGTCCTTCTGACCCGATAAAACCTTCATCCCCAGCTCCTTCTTCTTCAGCATTGTCCCCATCCCCCTCTCCACTGTCCTGCGCTCTATGTCCCCACTGCCTCGCTTTCTGGGCAAAATAATCGAATGTACCAGTACTGCCAAGCTGTTCCTCGATGTCAACAATCATATTATGCAATATAAAACAGCAACGTGTCCACATGTTCACTTCGTCAAGGTCTTTTTGCGCCTGGATTTGAACTCGAAGTTCACGAAGCGATTGGAATCGACCTTTCAAAGATCCATAGCAATGCTCGGAGCGAACACGGACCTGCAGATGTTGAGTTGACAGTTGTGACTAAGAGAACGGTTCGTACTACCTTCGACAGGTGATTATTAAACGTTTTTTGATTGCCTGTCAATCCACCAGCTGCCGGTCACTTAAAAGGTACGACACACCATGGGCGAGCACCATAGGCTGAATCTGCCCAGATCCACTCGTTTCCCCCCAAAAATGTTTGTGGATGGCGTGCAATTCGCGCTTTTGCAAACACGTTTGAGTCATGCACACTCCCGGGGACTCCAATCACATAATCGACGATGCGCAGGTTGTGGGGCATGATTACGACCTTCTGAAAATGTTAGTTTTATTTTCTCTGCTCTAACTCATGACGCACTTGGGCTGACAGTGAATAATTCGATTTATGGTCATAAAATCTCTCACCATGCCACCCAGGCTTCTGGAACAGGTTGAATGGTGTGCCGTCGACACTTAGAAATCCACCCCTCCACTCCGGACAAGTACATTCTTCAACCCAGTCCTTCGCTCGCTCTCGCTCATTTTGATCATTTTGATCAAGTGGATCAAAGCGGGTCACATCGTCGTGGTGCTGAAGGATAGCAACCATGACACGACGGTGACAATTGTATACCGTCCCAATCGAGACACCAGCCCAATCTGCAATATCTTCCGTCGTTGCAGCATTTCCGTAGTGGCCAGCGCTATTCAAGAATATAGCGAGCTGTACAGGGACCGGCAATTGAGGGTTTTGTGAGTTGTTTTGGAATATAGGATGATTGATAATTTTATTGATGATCTCCGCGAAGACTGGAGGATCAACGCGAAGTTTACGACGGAACTTGTCGGGTTTATCTAGTGCCCATTCCTCAAGAAGGTGTAGCTGTGGGGCACGGCTAGATTTTGGACGTGCGAAGAGGACCCGAGACTTTTCCACTTCGTCAGCTAAGGCTTGAACTGTGTTACTGAATTCAATGAAGGGACATGAGCACGTCAGTATATCTGTTGCATCCGTGGATGTCGCAAAGGAGAAAATCGACTCGTTAAGTGAGGATTCTGACGCCGATGTGGACATTTGATCAGAATCAGAGTCATCACTATCATCTGAGTCTTCAAGTCCTTCCATGGCGAGTTTGACGAGTTCAAAGTAGCGAGCATATTGGAGATCGAGCTGCTTAGCACGCAGTGCCTGCAAGATCTGTTGTCGAGCTGATGTGCAAGGCATGATGATTATTATTGCGATCATCAATTGTACTAGAACTGATACCTAAGATCGTATTCTGGCGGAGCTTGAATACCTTTTGAACTTTCTTTCGGTTGGACGTTTCTGAAGGTTCATAAATTTAACTTTGAGACCCATTTATATCCGACGAGACCTACCGGATACTGCAAGCCAAACTTGAAATGTGGGAAAATGTTACGGCTTCTATGTCTGGACGAAGATTTCGAGGCTGCAATACAATTTGTGAACACCGTCGAGACCCAGGACGAGCTTATAGAGTTTGTCTTGCCTACAAGGAACGCTGTTAATTTCAGAGCACTTCAGATGTCTGGACGCGAAACCATTGAGTTTCGCTTTTTCCTGTCAACCATCGAGCCTGATGTGATGCGAAGTCACATTGAATTCACGATCGCGTTCATAACGGCATCTTTGCAACAGAATTCTTCCTATTACACGGATCCAGAGCTTCTGAATGCAACGCTCGATCATTTGTGCGATTTCGTGTCCCCATATCTCACCGATGTCGCGGTATTTTCAGGAAAGTCGTTCGACCCAGTTGCTGCCAGAAAGCTATCGGAGTCAGACCGACCTGCCCAGCAACAAACCCAAAATTCGAGTTTGCCCCCACTGGCGCATCTGCCACAGCTGCTGCTGGGCGAGATCTTTAGTGGCGAATACTTCATTGGCAACCGCTAAGTTCAACGGCACAGTGCAGGTCACTATACGGTCAGACAGTATACAAGTATCAAGGATAGCGAGTCAACGCACCACCTGCCTACAGCTTCATCATCGTCATCATCATGGTTCTCCCTACTTCCAAACGCTCGCACCAAACAAGCACGACAAACTGTCATCTCCCTCACCCGCGATCTCCTTGCCATATCCATCACTGATAACTCTGCTGCCACCCCAACCCTAGCCTCATGCGCATCTGCCCTATCTCAGGCCCTCATCCTTCTCCGCCATCCTCCCACAACCCACCTTTGAGGGACACACTCCCATCTACTGGGCCATTCTCAACCGCCGCACCAACATCCTCCCTGCTATGGTCCAATAGGCAGGTTCATTCAACAATGCTTGCGTTGCAGAATCTGTCTTGCGAGTGGCGATCAGCTTTTGTTTGGGAAGCTTCGCACAGACAGTTGCCGTTTATAGCTACTCTCAGAATGGGTGAGCACGTTGTTTTACCTTCTGTGTTGTTGGCCTGACGCACAATATCTAGACGCCCTCGTTCTAGGTTCCACACCCGCAGATGACATTGACGTCCACGAGGTCAATGGTAAAGTTGCATTCAGCGCATCTATCAAAATTCGTCGAATGCACGTCGCTGGTGTGGTAGGTGTAGAGTTTATTGCACGAGGTGAGCGTTCTCTCATTTTCATCCTCGTTGAACTCACTTTTTGCAGGACGTATATGATTGCTCACTTTCTTCTCTTCTCCCTCCTCCAGCTCTCTCTCAACTCGTGGTGTGGGGAGTGAACCCTGGCAAGTCGCTCTCGGTCTCATGGAGCACAGCCCGCCTACATTTGTAGATGGAAGACTCGTCATCAACATCCTTCGTCCTCTGTCATCCTCAATACCAGCTGCAATACCGAAAGAATGCCGCGATCATAAGGTCAACCGTATGTCCCGTATTTACGGTCGTAATAACCGTACACCGCAACTATATACCTCGAGGCTGAAGTGCTGATGGTACGGTTATGGTTACCGTATCATACCGCCGGTAAGTCCTGTAAATACGGTTGCGGTGGCCAGCCCTAACCGCACTATCCAGCACTACCCTACTCCAATCATAGCCATGTACACCCTCCAGCACCCCTCCACGCTCTTCCAACCATCCAGCGATCTCCGGCAACTGCCCAACTGCATCATCCAGCACCCTTCCCTACACCTCCACCATAATCCATCTTGGTTCCTGGAAACCAACAAGAATGAGCGACAAGCGTGCTCGACATCTATCTAGAGCAGGAGAGTACATTGACAAGATCCTTCAGGATGTGAAAAGTCGTGGATTCATCAACCTTCATATTTGACATGACCTCTTACTGGTATGCCATTGATGTCACCTTAATACTACAATGTTCGCATTTCGGAACTTTCCCTCACTTTCCTTCCCGGTTTCCCTCTACAGGTTCAAGGTAGTTATTTTTCAGCCGTCTGTTGTAACCGTCATGTTGCCCACTGTACCATTCTGTATCTAGCCCGCACAGTAACCTTAAGCATACCTGCTGTGTCCCCACTCTCTCGCCCAATCACAACTCTGGGCCTAAGACAGTCAGTTTGTGCTTCCTTGACCAACGACTCAGTAGGGTTCCACACGGGTAACACCGCAGGTCGGAAAGTTGACACTGTTACGAATGGCGAGAAGTGCATGGATGAATTTGAATGTGACTCACGTGCATGCACCTCATTATTGTCGGTTACACAGATTTGAGCTACATTTCAACTGCTCCGGGCTACTCACTTGTTTCCCTGTGTCCAGATCCCACACCCGAAGACTCTTGTCGTGGGAGCCAGTAACAAGGAGACGGGTACCACAGATGCGATGCATCGACATTCAACGTAACCCTCGTATTTGACATCACTGGTGCACCTCTTACTGGTATGCCATCAGTGTCACCTTAGACGTTCGCGTTTCGGCACTTTCCCTCAGAGGTGGTTCTTTTTCAACTATTTGTTGTAACCGTCATATTTATTCACTGTACCATTCTGCATCTGGCCCTATAACATCAATCATACCCTCTGTATCCCCACTCTATCACCTGATCACAACTCTGGGCCTAAGCTCGTAAGTTTACACTTCCTCAGTGACCAACGAGACAGTCTCTTTGCAATATTCTACGCGCCACTCCAGACTGAACATCAGATATATCCTCTCACGTACTTATTAGGCTCTTGGAGAATGGTCACAAGCTCGGTCGAATCAACGATTATGTACCTGGAGCTCGTCGATGATGACCGCTTTCTGAAACACAATACGGCCAATTAGTATCCGAAAGTTGTTCAAGTTGATGGCGGCCCATTGTAGAGATCCAGTCCGTAAGTACCTCGACTTCGTCCATTCTTGATTACGATTGAATGCTTGCATGCCGTACAGGCTTGGCTCGGTGATTCTTTCATCTCTTGCAGCCATAAACGTCGCTGGTTCCCTGGTCCAAGAGTGAGATGCCTATGACTCGGAGGAGGATCTGAGTTACCTTTATGATCACTCGACTAGATCTTTCTGACTTCGAGATTGCAGACTTTTCATTCATATGGTAAGTTCTGAATGATCCCTGGGTGTTCTCCAGAAACCGTAGAGTGTGACGGGCACTAGCTCCAGCCACACGCCGCTTTCTACAGTCTCAGGCTTGCATCCAGGCCCGAGCTCTATTCTATACTACCAGATATCGGAAATGACGAGACACCGCCGCAAGACTTTGACTTGGACGCCTCGACCTGTGCATATTGCTGATTTCTCTTCTGCTATCCAGTGGTAGTCTCCCGTAGGCAGATCAATAGTAGGAAGACAGTCACAACTAGCTCCTTCTACGAAGACCCAGCGGTAATCTCGCAGTGGCCACCAGTTCAATGATGTCGTGAATTCTGAGTCGAATACAATATATTATCGGGCTTCCACTGGACTTAGTTACCAAGCTCAGTTGTTTAAAACATGTCAATCACTATGGGATCCGGAGGAGTTTTCACATTTATGAGAGCATGAATACTTAAGCACGGGTGGTCTGAATCATCCAGTTCCAAGTAACAATGTGCAGATGTGTGTGCTTTGCCCAGTAGGCATATTATTCAGGTAGAAAAATGGAGGACTGGTGTGCACTCGCGGTGAACCAAAATAACAAGGGTTAATATTCAAGCTCACGCACTCAAGTTACCTCAGGCTCGGTCCCTCCGTGTTTGCTTTGTCTGAGTAAATTGCCTAACTAGGACAACATAACAACTGAGCATCGAGCTCAATATTAATCTGGGTAAGTGAATAAGGTCTTGCAGCCACCTGCAAGCTGGTTGCCTCTTTACTTACTCTCCCTGGCACGCGACGAAGTGCATCCGCTGGCGTAAATGGAGTTTCCTGGACCAGCCTCTCAAAGACAAAAGATCAACAGTTTGCATGGCACTGCAGGGTTGTCCAACCACCAAGCTGCAGAAGAGGGCCATGGAAAGATTCTCCTACTCCAACGATAACCCCATCAAATACAGTGAGTTAACTGACACCCATCAGATCCAACTTTGGTGGTAATCCTCTCACTGTTATGTAGCGTAACACACGCCACAGGCCAGCTGTAAGTCCCTACGACCTCATCCCCAATGGCACCAGTCTTCAAACAAGTACAAATGTGCGCCGGACGGTTCTCGCCCCCCCTGCACGATCATCCTTGCCACGAGAACCCAAGCGCTTCAAACATGATCACACATTCTCCAGCAGCCTTACTATACGGATCAACAATTTGGGTTCCACATTGAACAACACCCGTACTTCCAGAAGACGTTCAGGTCAACCAGATCCCTGTGCACAAACCATCGACAGACCTCATGGAATGAGAAGTGCACCTGCGCACCACAGGCATCCCTTTGGTCACCAGGTCGAAGTTATTTCAGACGGAGAGGATCTTGGGTTACCTGTACCAGATTCCTCTTTGACCACACAATCTTGCACTGTGGCTGTGTCTGATGAAGTTGATGGTATTGAAGACTTTTCGTCAAAGGCAGGCAACAACCGGCCTTCGCTACCTCTGAAACCTCAATTGCAGCGAGTTGTAAGACCTACACCGCCCATACGGTCATGTATTATCCGTGACACTCGAAAAATGTTCGAGCCTCAGGTTCCATTCCTTGATTTATGGAAACGTGATGTTATTGTCCGCGACACTCGAAGAGTGTTCGAGCTTCAGGTTGTTCGAGCTTCAGGTTTCATTCCTTGATTTACGGAAACACGATGCACTCAGTGGCGGCACTGGTGCCGTGAAGAAAATGAAATCCAGAAAAACAACTAAAGTTCAACATCAATGCGTTTTCTTTTGTAATGACTCACGCCTTCAATCAGCCTGTTCCAAGACTGGTCTCAATCGCAGTTTGATCATATTACGACGTCGTCTACACAATTCACATCCAAGGAGCTTCCTCGCACTAAGGACCCTCCCCTGAAGCTCCCTTTGCGAGCATGGGCAATCGGTTTGAAAATCTTCAGTGCGGAAGATGGTTCCGAGCCCCCTGTCTTCGAGTATGACCCGAAGAACAGACGTCTCACTGTGGCTGTACATGGACAGTTTCAATTTTTCCAGTTCCAACAAACCAATGGGTTTGAAAACATAACAGTATGTCCCCAACATAAATTATGTGGCACTCGTACTGATATCGATTAGGTCACGGCTGATAATAAATCCTTGAAAGACAATGTAGTCATACAGCTACTGACGGTGAAAGACTGCAAGATCTGTGATAACAGAAAATTAATAGACGAGTTTGAACCCGGTACGTGTGCCATTCTGATGGGTATGCCATGCACTGAATTGCGGACGCGGGAACCTGACGTTCTTGTTCAGTACGGACGAAGACAAGGGATGGATGCAAACGATATATCAGAGCTTACTGCTTTCGCTTGGCTGACGCAGCGTCTACACACAACACTGTGAGGTACGAAGCCATTGACCACCTAAAGAGAACTTGCCTGATTGAAAGCAGACCAACGAGCGCGCGCGCACTCTGGGGCGAACTTCAGCAGTTTGCAGAGATGTATCAACATTCGTCTAATTCTAGCCAATGAGTTGATGGCCCCTTTCGTCAAGAACGCATCCCTGCGCCAGATGTACTTAGCTCCAGAGTCAATTCTGAATCGTTGACCACATCAATTTTGGTTGATGACCTACAATCCTCTTGGTAGATTTAATAAGCAAGGTCATCGCCCTAGGTAGTGGAGTGGTAACTGTAATGATGCAATGATTATGTAAGTCCATTAATTCCGGGTGGAGCCCCTGTAGAGGTTGCCTGCTTCAATCAATATATTAATATTGAGAGCACAAATCATTCATCAATTATGGCAACCAATAACTTACCTGTTGAGCTGTGGCTCCTTGTTTTTTCTTTCACCAAAGTCCTTGAATTTTCCTTGAATGACCTAGCTGCACTGTGCCAGGTGTGCATTGCCTTCCACCATGCAGCAGTCGACTATTTGTACAAGTCCATCATGGTCGACAACTCTGATGTCTGCACTACCCTTGCAAAGCATCCCCATCTTGCAGAGAAAGTCAAGTCATTCATCTTTACATATCCAACCATTACAGAGTATAAAGGTCCTGAGGTGCACTTGGATAATCTCACATTAGCCCTCAAAAATATGACCTGCCTCTCGACACTCAAGCTTATTCATTCCCAGAAGCGCTACTCATCTGTCCTTCGATACTGTGATGCCAAACTTCATGTTTTTCATTGCACCTATGACGTCGACCGCCAATTCCTATCCTTCTTAATCAAGCAGGACAACATCCGTGATCTCGCTATCACTGCGCCCGGGGATCCAATATTAGATCAAGATACTTTCTTTGAGCTCTCAGAGATACTTCCTCCCACATCTCTGCCACATCTAACAGAAATATCTGCTTCCCTCTATTTTTTACACGCCCTTGTGCCTGGGCGCCCGCTTCAAACTCTACGGTTCAAGGTCTACCATGGACACTCCAATCAATGGGGTCTCAATGACATTGTCAGCCACTCCACAGTGCCTGTCAGGAATTTGGGACTTGATCTCACGATTTGGCCCTTGCCATTATTATATAATCCTCATGCACAACTTCCAAATGTTGAGGAAATCACACTGACGGGTTTCACTACTAAGGTCAGCAAACCACATTTTTATCTATAGCATTAATATTGACTGCCACACAGCGCCGGTTTGTAGTTGGGGGACTTGGAATCTGGGAATGGGGAGATGATGTACATCGCATACTGGCAAACGCGCCAAGTTTGAAAAGGCTGACATTCTGGATGGAGGGAGAGCGTGAAGATGCATGCACATGGGCTCAACTTCTCTTCCAGGAGTTCCATGATAAGCTGTCCCATCTTGAGCAGGTCTCGTGCATGATTGTTGGACCAGACATGTCAACATCATTCGACTTCTTTGAGGAAAAGTCGGGTTGCCTCGTGATCGGGCCTCATGAGGATAATCAAACTCGGGGCCATCGGGCCGCACATGACATTCGGGAGCTCATGCCAGTTCCTATCTTGTGTTGTTGGACGGGCGAGAAGGACCTTTGCGATAGAAAGACATGGAGGTCCCTCCAGCTTGATCGCAGAGAAATGGAGGGACGGATGAAAATGAAGGCATTGAAGACTTGAAGTACCCAGAATTGCGCTGGTCCTGAACCAATGGTATTGTTCTCTGATCATTCCATGTGCTCATTGACTCATCGTAAATTTGAAGTGTGTATGCCTATCTTGGACCCCATCATGAACACCTTTTCATACTATGTTGTCTGGGTATCCTCTCAATAAAATGTGCCGAGTCCCATGAGTGGGGAACTCCGCTTGCCTAAAAACATGAAACCTATCCTGAGTGTAGACTGATTCAATTGAAATTGATAACTCGTGTGCATGAAACGCGGATGGTGAATGTTCTTGCTGAATGTTCACAAGGTTTTCGTAACATGTTCCGAAACACTGTACAATTACTGGCCCAGGACTCACCGGATCTGTCGGTGGGAAAGCAAGTTTAGGCGCGAGGACTCTAGCATTTGGTATGCGGAGGTGACAATTATGTATGATAATCCCTGGAATCAACGCGCTCAAGTTCACGACGGTCAACGGACCACTTGGTACTCAGCGCACGAACTAGGTTAGGTTGGCTTTTTTCTGCGACAAACCAAAATCAGGAAGTACTAAGTATTCGGGGTCCGCTTTACACCACCTACGTACTATTCGCTGCAACTAACTTGAAGTTGTTTGTCGAATTTAGCAAGTACTAGATCATTCAATACTTGACGCAGTCGTAGCTGACCATCCGAGTCCAAACGAATAAGCGGCTCTTAGTTGCTCCATTTCTCGCGTCATGGACGAGTCTTCCTCTCTCGATGCTCTCGCGGACACGCTCACAAGACTATCCGCGAATTCATACAGTGTTGACCTCCATGTACAACACATTTGCCTGGCAAAGTCCATGGACGACAAGGACCAACTATTGGTTGCTCTTGAGATGGCAGTAAACTATATGGCAACACCAGACACCATCTGGCTACCTCTTATTGACGCGAAGACTGCTGTGAGTGATATAAATACGCCAGAGGGCGTACTGGAGGTGTTGGGCGTATATTCGAAGGCAGAGTCGGACTATATGTGTATGTGTGCTGCAGTATGCGTTATGAGAGATGTTAATGGGCTACATTTAGCCTTTTCCATTCTGCAAAAGCATCTAGCATTCCTAGCCGACCGTCACGAATACTTCTCTGGGCTAGAGGTTGAACCAGATAACTTAGGAGAGCTATTTTCTGATGACTGGACTCGAGAAGCAATGTCTATCGTTGTTTCCAAAGGCACTGGTGACATATCACAAGTAAGTTCTTCAATACTACACACTGCCAGACGCCGACGACACGCAGAGTCAAGTACTATGGGATCAGTATTACAACTGGGAGCTTGAGATACTGGAGAAAGCCTCAACGGATGAGAAGTGCGTTGCAAAAGCTTCGAAACTTGTAGCAGTTCGCTCATGATATGTTAGGCCCCGATTAGTCGACGTGATTGAAAAAATTCTGCTCGCTCGTCTCCAGCAACCGCACGCCAGTAAGATACCATCATTCATGCTCTTTCGATACTAAGGTTTCAACCATAGACCATCAGGACACCTACCAGTCATACTCCTCGTTTACAACTGCGCACAAGCCTGCTAGTGAATACGAATCGCTTCTCATATCTGCGTCAAAACTGCGCTCACGGGCCATCAAAGCATATGAGAAACGAGAGGCCTCAGAGATGGCGCTGGTAGGCGAACTACTTTTTCTTCGTTAATTTTTGATTGTTACTCTGTTTAGGCAGCTGCTGGATACTCAGTCGATGCATACGCAACTTACATCGCTGCAGAGCAACGTCGAAGAGATCCGGATTATTTTATTCTTTGTGGATTGTACGAACGCGGCCTTGCAGAAGCGTCAAGACGCCAATTTGCTAGCGAGCTTGGCGCAGAACGGGCGATGCAAATGTTCTGGGTTGGATACATTGATTTTGTGAAATCACATGGTCAAAGTGCGGAGTTTTGGCGACGTGCAACACGCAGCGCACCAGGCTCGGGCGAAGTTTGGGCACGATACATCCGTTTCCTGGTAAGCTCAGCGAACCTTGACCCACACCCACACCATGCCTATTGTCATGCCAGGAGCGAGAACAAGAGTCGGAGGCCAGTAAAGATGAGATGGATGCCGACAAGAATGAAGATATTGAAGGTAAAAAATTGTGTTAAAGTCCACTCCACTTTTTCTTATGTATATTTCTTTACAGCTGCCTACACTCGTGCGCTCTCAACAACCCTATTTACTAGGGGCAAGAACAGTGATCCTGAAATTGACGCTGACCAAATTGTACCTTTGGTTCTTGCTCGTGCAGGCGCGGAGAAGCGAGCAGTTGAAGCTGGTCGTGCTGATAGTGATGGTTTAGCCACCCTCATCAAAGTCGTGGAGGATGGGATCGCGATGGTTCGGCAAGGTCAGAATGCATGCTGGTTGATCTAATCATTGATAGTAACGATAAGTACCCTTCAGCGTCGAACAGCGGAGATCCCCGCTTCAGGCTAGAGAAGTTCTTGTCTGAATTCGTATGTCAATTCATGAGTGCCGCAAACAAACTTAGCGAATCTTCCATGTAGTATCTCAGTCTCGCGGACGTTCCAGATGCCGCCGTGCAACTATGGGCTTCCACAGCCGCTCACTATAGGTCAAGTTGGGCGGCTTGGGTGGCTTACACTGATGTTCTCATGTGCGCTCCATTCAATTTCATTTACCTGGATGTTCAACTAACTGTGTCTAGCCGCACAGATCACCACGATCTTGCCCGCAAAACCTTTCAAGATATGAGCACGAAGAAGCTGGATTATCCAGAAGCCCTCTGGGATGCATGGCATAACTTTGAACATGCGCACGGATCCCTTTCTTCTCTCGAGGAAGAAATTAGCAAAATCACTCAAGCAAGAGCCCAACTTGAAACCCGGAGAGCGCGGGTAAGGCGCTTTTGTAATAATCTGGTAACAACTCAACTACATTTTAGGAAGCCGAAAAAGCATATGCAGCGGCGGCAGCACAGTATGCAGAACAGCAAGCTGCGTCGGTGGCAGCTGTGTCTATGCTCGCGACAGGTGCGACGCAAGGTTCGGCACCGGTTGTCAGTGAAGCGATGGATGTCGACTTCTCAGCTCCAGCCGACACGAAAGAGAAACGAAAAGCTGAGGAAGAACTCCCTGTTACTGAAACCAGTGGGGGTAAGAAGCCTCGCCTCGGTAAGTCATCCATTACCGTTATTGCATTGATGCTTCACCGTGCTTCCAGAAACTCCACCTGTTTCCCTGAAACGGTATGGATGCATTTATACTCGAAAGGATATTCACTTAACATGATCAGTGATCGAGAGAACTGCACCGTTTTCGTCGCCGACTTACCATCCGAGGCGACTGAAGCCGATCTGAAGGCATTGTTCAAAGATGCAAGTATTCTATCCTCCTAACTTTGTTCCTCCTATATCTCTCATTTCCGTATATTTAGTGTGGCGATATCCGAGACGTCAAATTCACTCGTATGCCAGAAACACTAGTCGCAACGGTGGAGTTTTATGATAGGGTAGGTTACATTTTTACGGACCATACCGAATGTACTGACGCGTGTATCCCTTCCTAAGGACAACGTACCAGCTGCTCTTACTAAGGACAAGAAGAGGATACACGAGACCGAGATCAGCGTACATCTAGCGTGGCGCTCTACGTTGTATATCACGAACTTCCCAGAAAAGTTCGATGACACATCTATTCGTGATTTGTTCGGCCAGGTGAGTCACCTTGCTGCATGTTCTATCCAAACCTGATACAGTTCCAAAAGTATGGCCTTATCTTTGATGTACGATGGCCAAGCAAGAAATTCAAAGCTACGCGACGTTTTTGCTACTTGCAGTACACATCTCCGGTTCGTGATACTCTTCGTAAGTATGAGTTATTGACATCTAACTTTCGCACGGCAGTCGTCAGCTGAACGAGCGCTCGAGCTCCATGGTCGGGAGCTGGAGCCCGATCGCGCTATCAGCGTGCTCATCTCAAATCCTGAGCGCAAGAAAGAGAGATCAGATGCAGATGCTAATGAACGAGAACTCTACGTCGCTGGCCTTAGCAAATTCGCGACGAAAGAAGACCTAAGAAAAGTCTTTGAGACTGTGAGCCCATTCTATGTGCAGTGGTTGGTTGCTAAGGGTGGCTGTTTCTGTCAGTACGGACCCATCAAAGAAATCCGCCTTGCGGAGGATAAGAGCGGACAGCCCAAAGGTTTTGCTTTCATTGATTTCGAATCAGAGGTATGGTTTGCGCGAACATGCAACTATTTTGTTGTTCAATATGTCGCCTTATAGACGGATGCTCGTGCTGCGCTTGCCGCTAACAACCATGAACTGAAGAATCGACGTATCGCGGTCACCTTCACAGATTCTCGTGTGCGTGCAAAGAACAAGTTCAGTCAATCTCTCGCATCTCTGTATGACACTTAATTTACTTTCTCCGCTTTTTTAGAGAGGGCACAGCCGAAACAGGTCTTGGCCGCCGCGATGACGCTCGAAATCGTTCTGTCCGAGTTCGAAATATTCCCTCAGGAACACAAGAAGGACTACTTCATCAGCTCCTGGAGAAACATTCTCTCGTTAAACGAACTGAGATCTTCGCTGCGTTGAACGAGGCAGTGGTCGAACTTGAAAATCCTGCTGTTAGTGTTGCGTTCGTACGCTCTACAAAATCCTTCTGACACATCTTCACGCTTATAGGAGGCTGGGAAACTACTTCTTCGGACTGAACCTATCATCTTGGGCGAGAATGTATTACAGTTCTCTGAAGAGCAAGCAGGGCCTTCCCGTGGTCAGCCTGCGGCACCGCCGCCAGTAACTGGGGGCATGTTTGTACCTCGGGCAACCGGGTCTCGGCCGAGAGCTGGCCTTGGTCGTGCCCGTAAATCTGGTTTTGGTGCCACGCAGACGCCATCGAGTTCAAACGCCCAGCCACCGGAGCGCACGGGAAAGAAGGGGCAAGACGACTTCAGAAAGATGTTAGGCTAGATCATCGCCCTCGCCATACATCCCTATTTCTAATTGCCATATCGACACGTAGTCTGATTCATCAGTGAGCTCGGTATATTGATGGTCCATCTAATTCACCATCTCCTCTGTTGTGGTCTCGGATCCTATTTACGATAGGCAACGACTATGAAGGAATCTCTCTACCACAAAATAACGAGAGACTAGTAAAGTTCCATGTATGTCGACGAGAAGTAAGTATGTGACCACAGTCGTAGGCGGGACGTCCTTTTGTGGAAGGGAGCGCAATGAGGGTTAAAGTGGAGGAGGATGAAGTGTCCAGCGCGCAATAGCTGTGGTCGTACAATAATGCAAGCAAGGCGTATGGTTATTAAAGATCATGACTAACAGCACAGCACGGAGCAAGGGGATGGCCACAACTTAACACCCGGTGGTGAGACTACTTGTGGGGAATTGGTATCCAGCTTGTGTCCAGGTTGTAATGTTAGGGTCGGTGTATGCGTTCAGATGACTGCGCAGTGTGAGATTGACTGATAGCACGAGGGCACGATGTATACGTACTTATTGATGTAATTTGCAGTGGGGTAGTTTGGCGGATCACATGTCAGGCCATTCTGAATGCCTTCCCGCTGGTAGACGCGAACGTAGTCGATGTACAATTCACTTGGAAATTGCATGTGCATAAAGTCTTGCTCCTGGAACGAAGCTACGGTGCAGCACGTTTAGTGAGCGACAAAAGAGATGTCTCTGTTGGTTCCACTCACGAGCGAGACCCAGGTTCAGGATGATATACTGCAAATGGCGTCAGACGTTGGAACTAGTCATACAACAAACAACTTACCATGGGTTCCTCAGGAATTAAACGCGCCGAGATCTCAGCTGTGCTATCCGCCCCAATAGATGCAGCTGTAATTTTCCATGTTTCTTGGCCTTCACTGTACCACTGAATGTATCCTTCTGGCCTGTTGCTAGGGTTTGACCACCATTCATAGCCATACTTCGCGAAGCCCTGCCCGTTGTAGTTCGTACTACTGATGTAGGTGATCGCGGATAAAGCTTGTTGGTAAACACCACCCTTATAAGAGTTCAATTGAGTTTGAGAGTTCTGGAGAGTGGTAGCAGGTGTAGTCGAAGTGAAGTCATACTGATAGTTGTACGGTGCGACCTGGAAGGATTGCGAAACTTGGCCTTCAAAGACGGAGACGTCGACTTCGGTCTCAAAAATGTCGATCTCTGGAACTCCACGTCCCGTCTGCACAGTAGGCCCAGGATGATCTTGACCAGGGCATGTGCAACTTGAGAGTCGTTGACCTGGTTGATAGCTCAAAGGCCCGCCGCCACTTCCACCTGTGGCCGCTGCAGCAGGAACTCCATTCTGGGTCTGATTAGGTAATGTTCCTAGGTCACAGGTGTCATAGCTGTATGGCCAAGTGCCTGTAAAAATATAAAACACGAGTGAGAACACACGCATTCATTCTCTAACCTTGGGTGGTGCCTCCATAACCAGCGCGTCCCTATCAATTTGGTCATTACCACTGAAAGCCTCGCAGATTATAAGGACTCACCAAGTTGCCCATGGTCCATGCACCTAAATAATGGCATCAGTAAAGATAGATAGCACTCGATAGCCAACTTTGCTCACCAGGCCAGAAACCAGGAGCAAGAGGCGAGCCTGGCATGCTCACGTTGACCTCTATGTATCCTGTTGTGAAGCAGATCTTGTTCCATGTTGTAACCATGCCTATAAATGATGAGTCGACAGGGATTATCACATTGGCAGCTTCCACACACCACTCAAGAAGTTGAGGTTGTTTATAGGTTGTTCCGTCATGGTAATTACCATGCTACCTCCTTTAGTCGTTATAGCCTATGAAGAATGTTAGATCATGATGGACACAGGGTCTGGGTGCTGCCACACCTGCGGAGCATACCACTCGAGATCACCAGTAGCCCTGTATCAGGAGGTGTTATATCGGGCTGGCAATTTCACGTTGTCCACGCTCACCAATAATGAAGGTCTTCTGCTTCCCAGAATGGGTCGTCTCCAGGCCAGAATGTTCGACCGTCTGTATTAAATTCATCGCTGAATACCAACTTGTACGTATCTCCATCACTCCCCGTTCGGTAGAGATATTGTGATGGGGTGGCGGCATCTACGAGGTTTGGCATGCCCGGGAGTAGTGGTATCTGACCCGATGCGTTTATTCCGCCCAAGTTGTATCCTGGTGTCGTGCCGGCAAGCGTGGTAAAATAATGTATAATGGGATATCCAGCGAACAGCGTGATGAGTCCAATGACGAGGATGAAGAGTGCAGATGCATTCGCCCATCCTCGTGCTGAAAAAATTGTGAAAGAACTATCGAGTGCAGCATCATTGACAGGATCTGGATTGTGCAGAGCGTCGTCAAGATCTGGATCCTGAATGTCCCACAGATATGGTGGGACGGAAGACGAGTTGCCTATAGGACCGCCGGGCTTTTCGCCAGTCGCAGAAGAGACCTCAGAGGCGGCAGCGCTGAATCGTGAAGGGTTGTGAACGCCGTTGTTCTGGGATGTAGATGGGTTGTACTTGAAGCGCCAAAAAGTTCACAGCAGGATCAACATAGAGTGAGGAGTACTCACAGAATAAGGACCATATCCCCCGCCAATTTGACCACTAGCTACTCCCTGTGCAATGGCGCCCCTACCTGATTGCATCTGGCTGCCTGCAGAACCAGACCTTGCTGGGGGTCGTCGTGACTGATTATATGGGGCCTGCATAGATGAACCTTGTGGACTCTGTGGCACGGCGTAATATTCCTGGGCGCTTGGAGGAGGCCGACGTTGTTGCTGAGGAATCATGGGGGTTAAGAAGAAGAATGACGAGACTTGGGAACTCCAAGATATTCACAGGGTGACCCTGACCCGTGGCTTCAACGCTGGTCTAAACCTGGACGGATTGACTCTCCCACGCCGGCCGTCTTTGCACCGCTCCAACTATTAATGCAAATATCGTGGTAATAGCTAGTCATCAAGACACATGACAGATCACATCAAGGGGATAAAGAATTAAACGAGCATCACGTATGGTCCAACAGCATCAACTACATGTTCATCCTACACACCGAACCACCACCCGTGTTTCCGTCAAATGTGAAAAAATTTGCTATCGGCGCTTCTCGAGCGGCGAGGGCTTTTAAAATATCCTGTGCCAAGATCCCTCCAACAACTGCACATGTAGGCGAAAACTCATGCGCAGCTGATGTGCTCATTGCACTGGAACACATACGTCATTTTAAAACCCCACACAGATAAGCGTTAATAATGCGCACTCGATCAGATCTAGAGGAACTGAAGTCAGAACTTGTCGGTTAACGTCCGACGTAGCGAGGATAGAATTGGCTATCTGCCCTAGGTCAGAGGCTGCGTCTATGTCGTCTGGAAGTTTCCCTTCATGGTTATGCTGATACTCCCAAAGGGCTAGCCAGGTGCATATCAGGTCATACGCGTAAAATCAGAGCGTGATATCGTTTCATACCCAGAATGATATGCACCACAGCGGGGTTGAGTTCTTTTGTCTGGCGTTTTGTCAGACCTGTCCACCGATGCTGCAAAGCCATGGACAGCCGAGGGTAGGATGCAGTCGCTTTCACATTCTTTGGTGCTTCTTTGGGTGCCGACCGATCACTTTCCTCAATGATGTTAGACGACAAAAGGAGTAGGATTGACAGCCGATAAAGACGAGGGGTAAATGGATAGAGGATCACTCACGGAGAAATGAAGTCATGCTTGAGCAGGTCGCAGAAGACGTAACCAAGCAAGCCAAATGTACCGCCAGCATAGAACGGCTTCCCATATTGCCGGCAGATGTCATTGATCTTGATCTAAAGGGGCAACTAAACTGATGAGTACACTGAGAATCATCGAACTTACCAAGGCTTCACGGTCCCAATCCGTCACGCAAACCAAATCAACGCTCATAACGAGGGCTTCCAGAGACCCTTGCTCTAAAATCGTCGGATGTCTTAGGGCTTGCACGGTGACAAGCGGATTCAGTGCCTCTATTCGAGCCTTCGCGGCATCCACTCTCTATCAGAAAAACCACTGGTAAATAACCACGAAAAATCTGCGAGAATTGAACTTTGTAGTACCTTTTTCCCCACATCTTCATCTCTGAAAAAGAAGCCAGCTCCCAAGTCCTCCTCCTTGACTTCTTCCGAGTCGTAAATGACAAGTTTTCCTATCCCTGCCAAAACGATGTTTTTAATTGCTTCTGTCGCAGTACCCCCGCAGTCGGATAACCAAGATGGTGGCATTTCGCATTCTATCAGTGATAGTTCAATACTCGAGGTACAATGCGAGCGAGTCATGTCTGCTACTTGTGTAACAAACGATCATGCACTTACCGTTGCTGAGCTTCGAGGCCCCATAATCGGATCTGGCGGTCATATACAGCTGCTTCATCTGCATAACCACCAAGGTTCAATTGTCAATGCACCAAAATAAGACGCGTCTCCTGTCAGCGTATGGAGCCAATCTGCAGGGATTGTCCAACCTTCCGTAATCTGCACTGGGTCGCCTTTGCTCCCTCCTTCGTATTGTGTGTCCATGACGAATTGGCACGACAACTAATAAGTAGGCCAAGAGGAATCACGCCTGAATGACTGGCATAAGTAAAACGTGACGTGGACCGGCTCAACGGTTTGGCCTGCGAGTCACATGATGTCACAGGGTTGTCACGCCAGGCCAAACATAGAACTCCCCTGTTCTCAAGCATCCAACCAAAATACAGTTCACTTAAATTAGCACCATGACATTCGAGATCTGGTGTCATGATTCTGGAAATGGACCATTGGCATCCGTATGCCAATCACGAATGTGGTATGATTGCTTAGAATTCTAATACTAAAGATAGCAAGCTTGGGAGAGAGCTGACAGCCTAACTGAACGAATATCAATAAGTTTAGAAAGAACACTGGTGTGTATGAATAGATGAGTCCAGCGATACAATACATCAACCCAAAGAGAATCTATGATACAAGGGCAACAAAAGGAAGTACATAGATCATGTACCAATTTTGAAAAAGCACTAGATCATGGACATGCCACCTTCACCACTTGACGTGCCATCACGATCGTCGTCGAGACTGGCATACACAGCAATGAGCTTCACAGACTTCACACGTAGGAAATCTGATGGCCGCAACTCACAGATAATTTCTCTCGACTTCGGACAGAATAGATAGGAAATCCCCTAAGAAGCGTGTCAGAGAGATAACGATACGGCAATAATCGCGCGAAACGCACACAGGAAAGCATGGGCACGCGCAGCCGATGCCGGAGCGGTCTCCGCCTTCCGGACAGCATCTAGCAAGGTGGATGCGACGAATCGCACTTTGTGCACCTGGGTGGCGCAGTGATGTTACTTGATAAATTCAAAAACCAACACGGAGGATTCTCACCAGTGAAGGACCATTAGTGGCGATTGACTGGATAGGGATACTGTGGAAAAAAGTTCAACAGCACCATGTCAAATGCAAGAAGTTCTTGCCTGTGAAGAATATTGAGCAGGTCACTTGCGACCGCTTCCCTATCCTCGGCGACCTGGTGTTCATCAATACTACCCTGCAAAGCCATAACCAATTCATCGCGGTATTGCTCCACCACAAATCGAACGAGTTGCTTGATCAACAGAGTTAACGGGATTTTAAACAGCGCCGTTTTACAGTGACAACTCACTTGAGTCACGTAAAGATTTGCCTGCATGACAAGGAACGGGTTAAGGGCGTTTGCACGTGAAGCTTTGGGGTTTTCGAAGAAGTCCTTGACCTCCGCGAACGTGGCTTGTCTGAACCCAGCGCCACCGCACTCCGCTGGAAGGCGGCTGTGTCGACGGGTTTGTTTCAGCCTCAGGGGCTCTGGTGTGTGCATGAGAGCCCCCATGATACGCGAATGCAACGATTGGACCTCCTCCAGTCTCGCCGTTGCAAATTGACCCTGTGGAGGTGACCGCTTATCGACTCTAATACGAACTAATATTTCACCGAGAAGTGCAAAAATCCTGGAGATGTAGTTTAATCCTGAGACCAGGGCCGTCTTGCCACGCGGCTGAGGCAGATATGCACTGTGAATGATGCTCAAAGGAGAAGTCACCAAAATGATAAGCTTGGTTAGTTCTCGGGCGAAAAGAAAAGAGACCTACTACTCGTCATCGAGTTCCTTCGGAAAGTGAACAGTGCAATCTTCGTCACGAAGACATATGGGGCGCCCCAAGAGAATCGACATTGACTTGTCAGCTGCAAATCCCAAGGTCAAATTAATTTTTTTCCGCAGTCAAACATGATGTTTTTGCATCGATGAACGACGCAAAACGAAACAGTTCAAAACGTACCATCAAAAAGTAACCAAAATGTTCGCCGTCTGACCTCGCATTCAATGGGGTCAAGCCCCTCGTAGGAGGACTCCTCGTGCATGCGCAGAGTAACGGCAATGTGAGCCGCTTCGCCGAAGGCCGCGTGTTGCGCAGCATCGTTACCTTCGCAAAAATGGTAGACAGTATCGCTGGGAATAATGAATGGAGGTACTCGTGAAAAATAACCGAACCACGCACAAGTATCGAATAACAACGTGCGTAGACATGGGAGGGTCGTAGGCTGCAGTAGTGATATGTCGGCTAGCTTCATAACACCTCTGCGCAAGCTTTCGCACAACAGAACGCTCCATGGGCACGTAAGATCGTGGTACTTGCACCAAGGTTGATGCTACTGTGGACATGACAAGAGCAAAAAATAGCGGGTCGCGTTCTTCTCTCTTGGTGTGCAGGTCCGCCATGAACGATGGCTTGTGGATACATGGGGTTAGCGGATATACGAAGTCGAAGAAAAGAGCGATAACGAGTGAGATACTGTCCCGGGGAGCGATGTCTTCCAAGCGGTGAGGTCGATAATAATATGAAAGTGGGGGTACGACACTCGGAAGTAGAACCGGGAGGGGCTGATGACTTTTATATGACCAGTTGTATGCGGGAAACCCGCCAAATGACTCGGAAAAGGAATATGATTGATTATCGTCTGTCTTCTGAGGGAGTAGGGCGCCACTAGTGGATGTCGGGATAATCGTATTAACAGGAGAGTAATGATTGTGATATGAGTCGGCTGCGATAGGGTATCGAGATGGGGGGACAATGGGAGCGGAAGTCTGGATTGGGGCCAAGATGGGTTCCAGGGAAGGGGACTGTATGTGCTGCTGCAATGGGGATAAACTTGAATGTATTGGGCTAGCAAGGGATTGGTTAGCAGAGGTAGGCGATATTGGTACAACATCATTTGTCTGATTATTCTGCTCAGATTGAGCTGCAACAGCGGCTGCGGCTGCTTCTTGTAAACGACGGAGATATCTAAGGATCTAGCATTGGTATCAGGGAAGAATGTGGCCCTAGGGGATCACTTACAAGTTAGGAGGTCCTCTCTTTTTTGGCCGGTAATCGTAAGTGCAAGGTATTCCAAGCGCTACGCAGTGTTTGCACGACTGCTTTGGGTCTTCTAGATTCTCCCGGACGCATCGAACCTTTCTGGCTCTACAAGCATCACAGCCTGTTCGAAAGAGGGGAAGGAATAACTCAATCTCGATCAACCTTGGAGAAATGAGCGCTAAAACGTACTCTGAGATTGCCGCCTGTTGGATGAAGAAAGGGATTTGAAGTCAGAACATTGAATCTTTACCAAAGCAGAGAAAAAAATGACATGACAAGCTCGCTATTTCAACCGATGGTACTAGATCAGGCTCGACCCGGCTACGAAGGTTGTATGAATCGGGTTAGACACAATGGAGGTAGTGGAATGAGATGGGGGGTTTCGAGCACAACGGAGAAACATCGGTCTTTATGAGGACACGGACGCACTTTCTCTGGCTTCTACTGTTTTCGGCGGTTGTTGATTCGTTTGGATTAGCGTCGCACGATGTAGGCGAGACAGATTTAGCGTCTTTTTTTGCTCGCACAGCAGGCATGCGTGACAGTGAAGCTCTGAGAGGTGCTGGTGGAGACGGAACCGGAAACGAACGAGTTCTCGTAGCCACGGTGATTCAATGAATGGTTCAAGTAATTTCTCGTGTCCTTTTCTTGGCTGCAGCCGGTAAGATATTATAGGCTTAGGTACGCCTCCCAGCTAGACACAATTAGAGAAAGCTTCTTTGACGTACCAGCGAGTGTGCCACCCACACAACATGGATTCACCGGCCCGTCGCCCGCACCCCCAGTTTAGGAAGTATCATAATACTTACAAACAACCGCCCACAAGGACCCTTCAATTCATCTCAACTGCTGCTTTCTAACGTCGTTTCCGCTTGACAACACCCACGCAAATATTGTATAGTATCACTACGGTCGTTCGCTCCTCGCGTGGCAGCCAGCGACATGTACTATCTGCTACGAGGAAGATACTCATGCCAAGCTACTCAGGTATTCTCGCAATTTGAGCTGCTCGTTGTCATTATATAGGGTGAATAGTTTATGTCTACAATTTGCAATCCGCATGACGATCTACAATAGTACCCTCCTCTCCCTCAACTGAGCAAGCATCTGTCGACTACGACTCCGACTCAGCGCACCTTCTTGGCAATGTCGTTGGATCATATCGGCGATAAGCCGTCGTTGAAACACCTGTTTCCTGTCTCCCCATTCAGTCTTCTCCTTCACCAGCATCTCCCAGAACTTGAACGCCATCACGGGGTCATCAAGGCGGAGTGATGCAAAAATGCAGTATTTCCCGGTGTTGGGCGTGTGCACGACGCTCGAGACGTCCCCTGATTGAATGATCTCCCAAGCGCGCTGTAGATTCTCCTTCAAAATCGACTTGGGAGCCCCGTCCGCGTTTACACTCGCCCTTATAAGCGAAGCAGTGGTTTTGGCTGACAGCTCCTCGCAACCAAGCTCTTTGGCACGACCAATCAGGTAGCCAGCGAGCCTCATCTCGCCATGAAGGATGGCATGATGAATAATGGTTCCAAACGTCACTGCATCAGGGCGTATACCTCGATCGACCATCTTTTTCAGGATGCTCACCGCCTTCTTCGGATGAAGTTCAGCCATGGCGGATAGTGCGATGTTAATATCGTAGAGGTCCGGAATTTCGTAGCGCTTAAGTAGAACTTTAAGCATGTCCAGACCTTCGGAAACACGCCCAAGCGCAATGTAGGCACGAGCCAGTGTGCTCAGATCATAATGAGATGTTTCCTCTAGAGAGCCTTTCGACATGCGAAAAGCGCCAACGACCTGTTCGATGAACTGGAGCAAGTGCTCCAACAGCTTCCGCCGCTCGTCGAGCGTCGAAGCTGTGCATGGGCTAGCCTCGTCTTGACTTGATGTTGGCTCCTCTATCTCGGCCTTGGTGCGATATATGAGCTTGGAAAAGACGCTGACCATGCGAAGCATCAAGGAAGCATTGCCAAGGACCGCTTCGCGATCCTTTCCGACGGAATAACGCTCCCATAATGTACGTGCAGAGGAGGAGAAACCGTGGGATGCGGTGAGGGCAATGAAATGAGCCCGGTCTTGCACTGGTATTGGCTCCATCTCGTCGATAACTTGCTTGGCTAATGTCCGAGCCAGGTGTACGTTGCGGCTGGTGATCATAAGATGGTTCATGAGCCACGTCAATGAAAATCCTCGTGGAAGAGGATACTTCTTCCTCCGAATGACTCTTGGGGATTGTGTGTCCTTGTAGAGAATCTCCGCGGATGGACCATCTTGCAAGTGCATGGCTTTGTCGTAGAATAGACGAACCATGCTATCTGGGACAATAACACTACCGGCGGAATTGATGAGATGACATATAAGCCATGTACAGTGCTTGAAATGATTGGTAGATGCGTTATGCAGAGCAAGGTGTAGCGTGCTAAGCGCCAGTTCAGTGAGTGCAATATCAGTGGAAACCTGAGTCCGGATTGCAGTGACCACGATATCGAGTGCACGATGGTACCAGCCCCAGTGGAGACAGGCTCTGACCAATGTCGACCTGACTACAAAGGCAAAATTGTTGTCCTTCGCAGACGTATGATACACTTCTGTGAAGGCTTCTACTGGTATATGGCAGGTCTCGGTGAGAGTCTGGAAGAGGCGGAGCGCGTGTTTGTCTCGGTCGAATGTGATCAACTTATGAATCAGGCCAAAAGCTATGAAAACATCGCCCGGAGGGCGATAGGACATAAACTTTGCACCTTTTGGCGCGGATTGGTTTGTAAGGGATTGGTGGAAAATAGGGAGGAGGATATCCGTGGTCTTTGCATCGTACGGATCTATGCTGGGGTTGTCGACAATACACTTGACTAGCGCGGAGACATTTGCAGAACTTAATTCAGAAAGTGCATGGAATTGACGAAGGAGGATGAGGAGGAAGTAAATTTTCTGCTTGTCAAGAATGGGTGGATGGTGATGTGTCGCTGCCAGCAACGCTGTAGCGACTCGGAGCTGGCGGTTTGAGGTGGTGATAATCCCGTCCAGTAAGTCTGTAGCAATACCATCCACGATAGTCGATAGTCCATACTTTGTGGCCTTCTGAGAGAGAGCGACAAGAATGGGGAGCGGTAAAGACGCGGCCAGCGTTCTGTCCTGTGCTCGCAGCTCGGCGTATGCCGCAAAAGGGTCGGGTAGAGCTTCCACCATTTTCTCCACTTGTGCAAACTTCTTCGGCACCTGTGGAGGTAACCATGTTGAAATGCACGCAACTCTTTCCAACAGCTCTTTCTCAACACGGGAAGTACGGTGAAGCATAGGCGCCAATTCCACAGCCTCCGGCAAGGCATTATGCACAGTGACATTGGCAAGTCTCGAGTGAGATACAGCTTTGCCATGGATCTGGCTGCCAAATAATTGTTGCGCGTAAACACGGATCGGGGTGTGTACTCGAGGAAGTAAACGGCGACAAAGTAACATAAGTTAGCTGTCTCAGATAAATGTCAGCTCAGACGACCATAAACTAAAAAACCACCTCACCGCATGCCGCATGAAGTCAGTCGACGAAATAGTATCGACACCCCAAATGAACGCGACTCGCGCTTTGCGAAAGAAAATTTGGGTAGGAAGGAGGGTTAAAAGCAAACAATGACAAACAACCTATCTAGTGCTAAGTACTGTCTCGAAATGATTGTTGCAATTGATGTAAGATTCAAAGATTCTCTGTGGACTCTATGGGAGCAGGACAATCATCGACATCTGCAGCACAGGCGCAAAAATCGCATGCCTTGCATGTCTTACGAGTCACTGCTTCATCACCGGCCTCGCAGACGTCCATAGAGCCATTCTTCGACTTCATCGTTGGCTTCGATGGCAGCGATGCTTTCTACGCTGAGAGCGACATAGATGCTATAGAGCTCGAAAGGATAGTGGAAGAACACGAGGAAAAGACGCTTAATCTTTTAGTCTGGAACAGTAAAACGCGCACAACTCGAGGTGTGTCTAGTCTCAGAGGACACGTCACTTATGGCGTTAACGATGTGATCAAACTTAGTTGTCCCTATTGTTCCCTCGCGGGCTTGGGCTTTGACACAACAAGCATCTATCCCACAAGATGACATCGAGAACTCTCCTCAGCCTTCCTTGTTGGGTTTGAGCATGCGGATGTGCGAATTCGAGAATGCGACGAACAATGTTTGGCATGTTCTTGAAGTTCTAGAAGGAAGTCCAGCAGAAAGCGCCGGCCTCGTTCCCTACGGCGACTGGATAATAGGATGGTCCGGCGGCATATTGACCGCGGAGAACGATTTTTACGATGTCGTGGAAGCTGTATGATATCATCTGGATCTTGTGTTATTTTGGGCCGCTAAACATTTTGTATTCGCAGCATGTTGACAAGCCGTTGCGAGTTTATGTCTATTCATATGACTTCGAGTACGTTCTGGTGCTGTAGATCGTGTCTTGTATCGCTCTAACCTGCCACTTCTTAGCAATCTCAGAGAGGTTGTACTAGTGCCCAATCGCCATTGGGGTGGTGAAGGACTGTTGGGATGTGTTTTTGGGTTTGTTTTTATATATAATTCAAACGGATCATTGGATTGACATTATTTTTGATAGTTTTGGACTTCTCCACCGCATTCCGTCGCAGACGGCGGACGGCGGATCAGGCGCTGTCCTCCAGAATTCTCATAGCGACTTTGAGGATCAGCAGCTCTTTGTTCCTGCCGATGTTTCACAGGGTCCACAATCTTTTGGGGCAGAAGATCGGAGACGTCCTTCCTTCGGAGTTCAGCGCCCAAGTGACATTGCACATCCTCGTCCCACCCACTACAATCAAGCCACGCAAGGGCGACGACCCGCTGGCGACATACTCCGGCGTGACTCAGCGTCAACCGCTTCACGTCCTGGGACACCGAGACGGTCCACGAACACGCCGAACTCCGCGTCACAGGCACCGACCGCCAGCCGTTCATTTGGTTCACTCCTCAATGGTGATTCGCCACCCCGCTCATAGTTTCGTTCTCACTCAAGGATCTACGCTCATCAAGGTACTGGAGTAACAGCAACGTTTTCTGGCCCAAGCCCAAGCGCCCTCCAGTTCAGTACTAGCATGTCTACAGTTACCGGAATGCCACAAGACGATGAAGAAGATGAAGAAAACAGTGATCGTGATGGAACGGTCAGCGTGTCTGGAACGGAAGCCACGGATTATGGCAGTCTTACCTCCGTTGAATGATGACCGAATGGCGCATAATTGAATACTATCTGACTATTTAGAACCACGTTGCTATGACCAGGGGTACTACGCCGAGCTCTAGGATTTCGTTCACCTCTATCACTCATCGAACGTTGTTATTGACAGGCTCATTCCGCTTTCCCCTGTGTCTGATCATTGAGCTTTCTATCTCGGCAATCAGCAAAAAACCGTATACACTGTCAAACGTTTCAGCTGTAAAGCTTACTCGCCGTTAAAAACAAGGGGAAGGTGTCATTAAATATATCAGAAACATGTATACATGATGTCCTTGCAATAACGCAAGCTTGTTGCTCCTACATCTAACCCTCAGTCGGTTCCGCATCCCCCGTTCCTCCCATCTTTGGGTTAAACTCTAGATGCTGTGCAATCAAGGGCCATACTGGATGATCCGTCACCTCTCATGTCGTAAAAATTGATAGTCCCGGTACATACCTTCCTCGAATCCAGGATGTCTTCCTATGCGAATTTGCTGCCACACACTGCGCATCGCGTCTGAAGAACGGATATCTCCCCAGTGCTCAAGGAAGAAATTAACTTGGACCTTGCGGATATCCGAAAAGGTCGCAGAAAATGGAGAAAACACCTCGTATGGAATATTGTCGACGGTGAACGACTTCTGAATGTGCTGTATTGTGTGCGTCAATACAAATCACATGAGTACGAGAGTACGAACTACCTGGTATGCACGCTCCTTCAAATCAAGTAGGCCAAGTTCTATAGTTTCCGATTACGGTGAATGACGAAGACAATTAGGAAGGCGTATGATTGACTCACTGTCTGCTAATCGATAAACAGCCTTGGCAGAACAAGGCGATGGTCGCCCTGGATGACTTTGTTGCCACTTTCGGATCCACTCCCTCCTTGAGGTGGGAGTTTCTGTCGAGCTCCCTGCTTTTGGAATGTCGAGTAAATTAGACTGGCTATCAGAAGGGGCTTGCGCTGTTGACACTATTGTCGGCGTCCTCTTTTGAGCCGTTGAGATGAACGACGAGGATATAGGGGCGAAGACAATGACATCAGTATAAATCTGGAATGCATAGGTCATAATTGTACCGAATATACCCCAAACCACGCTCACGTAGTAGAGAACAGCCTTGTAAGTTGCATATGCGACGTCTCGAATAAAGACACGCATTTTCTTGGGTCCCGTAACCTCCTTGTCTTCGGCAGGTGCTGTAGGTTTCATCCAGTTATGTGCATTCGTGTCAAGAGCCACATTATCGCTCCTTGGGGATGACGGGTGGGACAACTTGGGTTGAACATTACGTGTTTGTTCATCTTCCGGACCACTCGACATTTGTGCATCTTCCTCTACGGAATGGACATTTGGCTCGGTGCTGCTGGTACTTGCAACTGGCACAGAAGGTCCAGCGTCCTCTTCGATCTGCAACTCTACAGTGCCGTCAAAACTCGGTTCATCAATTGTTTGTGTCGTAAATTCTTCGTCTTCGTCATCCGAATCATCATACTGACGACTAAGATACGTATCGTCTGAGGCGCCGTCGCCATCATCGATATCATATTGACCATGGTCTGAAGAAGCTTCAGAGAATCCTGAGCTGAACACTAAGGACGGCGTAAGTGTCAGTGCCACACACTCCACTGATCCAGTTGGCCTTACTAGTCTGAAAGTAATCTGCTCTTTGCAATATCTTTCTGTTGGCGTAGATACACCTAAAACTCTTTGACCTGCCTCGGTAAGGGAGGACGAACTCGACGTCGGAGTATAGTGGATCATCAAGCAGCGACCCTACTCGTTCCAGGAAATCCTTCGGTACAAGCTGAGCTGCTGCTGATGGTGGTTGCGCAGGAATGGTCGGGGATGACGTGATGGTGCAGATGATGAGGAAAGCGTCCTGTTCCTTGACGGCATTCGAATGATAGTATACATGATCTCGTCGCGCAAACTGAGCCCTGTCCGAAAATATACTAACATATCTCGTGAATAACGGGACGCACGCACCATCCCCAATTGGCTGTCTATATGAGCCAACTAAGCATGGATCGAAAAGTTAACCGAAAAATATACCTTCGATGAGAACGAATGATTGTGGGCTTCCTTGATATTGAATAATGCGGTCTTTCCGAGACTATGGAAAGAATCAGCTGCAGACGAACCATAAACACGTAAAGTCTGACCTTCGAAGCTCGAAATTGAATTTGTAGACGCCCTCTCGTACCCACCTATGCATCTGAGGTTAGTGTGCGGGAGGATGCGGCCGAAGTCGGCCGAAGCCTCCATAAGACGTACTTCCCGTCCACCGCATTGTCTTTTTCTTCAGCAGTGGGCTAGAGATGACTGCGTCAATAACCAGTTCGTGGCACAGGAACAATGGGACGCACTTCACAGGACAGATACAAACTCACAAACCCTCCTCCCTCCGTCCCAGAGTTCGCATAGAAAAGAATCTGTATAACAGTATTCGATGAAGCTAACCGGGGAGGCAATACAGTACTAGTGTAGTACATACCTGCCAGCGTCCATGTCCGAATCTCACAGACTTGGTAACCTTTGACTTCGATTCACCTTTGCTACAATTCTGGTCAGCAGTAGCTGGGGGGGCATTTCGATGCGATTACCTCGACTCAAAGATATTCTTGAGACCACGAAGGGTCCACTCGAAAGTGACTGCCGTGCTTTCTTGTGTGTCTGTTTTTTCCATTACGAGTGACTCGGATGAAATAGTTTAGTGCCGACAAATTAGTACTAGTAGGGGGTGTGAGAATCAAGGCTTTTCATGGGTACAAGTGGAAAGTGGATGATATTGAGACAGATGGTCTATTACGTTGAGAGGTGTGGTAAACATGTGTGCAATGACTAGCCATGCGATGATCTGACTAAGTGGAAACAATGAGCCCCTGTCTGTCGCTAAATAGGTACAATGTATACTGGACATGGATGAAAGCAATCAAGCTGCGTAGAAGCTAGTGCGACACAATTCGCTTTTAGTATATGTGGACTCATCTAACAATGTATCCAAGACTCCTCAAGCCGATCGGGCCGGGTCAGTGGTATTGGCCTTCCCTTCAATAGTCAACGCGTCCATGTCCTTATTCATGAGCCTGAGAGTCTCCACGGGGTATGAATGATCAACGATGGTAAAAGAGATCCCCGCACACGAATACAAGTGATCGAACGTATCACTAGCTTCGGCGGGGTCGTGGTCCTGGCTCGGGTCATAACCAGGGATGATCCGTTTGATTGGGATGAGTTGCAATTTTACTTTCGGCGCAGACCCACATGGAATGAAGGCACGAATCAAAAGCTTCTGCCCCGGCGTTTTGCTGCTCCGTGCCAGCTCCACCATAGTGTCCCACTTTTGTTGCATCAGCCTGTCGCACTTGCAGGTGTCTGGCACAGGGAGCGATTCTGTAGAGCCAACACCAATGCGGAAAGGGATACAGGTATAATCAATCTCAACGACTGCGGGCCCTGGAGCATGTATTGCCGCTGTCTTGGAGATTCGCTCGTTATGATACGAGAGATCAGATGCAATGATGCGATCGAGAAAACGGAGATCACGAGTAGAAATACGGGACATGATTCCTTCTGTGAAGAATCTATGAAGTTCGGCATCAATTGTAAATTTATGAAACACGTACTGGCACGGCGAGCTTGTATTCCGCGACAATATGTTTGATGGCCGCCTTGTTTCCAATCATAAATCTGGCATTCCCTACTGCAGTAATGCACGTGAAGGCAACCAGCGCAGCGCTTGAAGGTGCCTGCTGCTCCCGATTTATTGCACTGGACAACAATCACTATGAATATCATAGGGAATATGTGATAAGCACCTTTGAACTTTGACAAGAATCAACATGTGCCTCGTCGACGTCATCAGTCTCCAACAAGTTAAGTCGGGTCATCACAAGTGTCTCCAATGTGGACCAGTGTTTATGCATTGGACCATCCGGCTTTGGTCTATCCACCGCCTTAACGGCGTTTATGGCCTTGATAGACCGACCCATCACTTTAAGCACGGAACGGAAAATCGCATATCTGGGGAAAATGGTCGAGAGAAGAAGCCAGAGTGGCTCCCAGTCTTCGTCATTATTATCCTTGAGGTGTCTTACCCAAGGCTCAACCGCTAGCAGCGAGGGCAACAGGCCTGCCTCGAGGACCTCGGAAATCCAGGGTAGTCCATCCGTGTCTTCCACATACGCCCTGATATACCAACATGCGTACGAAATGGCCTTAGCCACTAAGTGACGTTGTTTGGTACAGTGGGGCCGCTGAGATACCATGGTAGCAATAACGCCTGCTGTTTTCTGCATGGAGTGTTGCATAAGTAATGGAATGCGGATCGTGTTGTTTACGGAAAGGGAGGTCAAAAGGTGGATATCCCAGATAATTAAGTCGTAATCAATGGGGTGCTGTGCGAGGTCGTGCTCTAGATGATCAAGGGCTGTGGAAGCGACCCTCGCTCCGTCATTGTTGAATGGGCGCATGATTTCGTGCCAATTCCAGGTCTCCGTCTCAGAAAACGTGCACATCCAGGAGTCTAGAATGGCTGGAGAGCGGATAATCGGAGGTGGACCAGGGATGTCATCGTCTTGCACGCAGGAGCTGAAATAACGATCCTTTGTTTCCAAGTCCCACATACTGAACATCAAAGACACGATTCCGGGGCTAGACAGGACGATAGGAAGCGAGTCCCCGAGCATATCATGCCTGCAGATGCCCAAGAAGTCAACGATTGCTCGCTTGGCGAGGATGCGCATGCTTCTATCGATGCTTTCCTTGTACACGTAGTCTGTCCCAAGGAAAAGCAGCCATTCGCGAATGATGGGCCAGCGGGAAGTCAGTATGTTAACCATTCTGGCAGTGTAGACGGAGCGGCCAAGCCAGAACGGCATGAACGATGCTAGGCCTCGCAAAGCCAAAGCCTGCTGCAAGGGCTCAGCGATGAGGCCGCGCTTGACTCGTTGGAGATGAACTGAGTCTACGATGCCATACAACGCCATGGTGATTTGATACGCATCGGGGAACGTGCAGTCGTCCCTCAGAGCAAAGAGAGTGGCTGAGGCGACAGAGTCAAAAGACCCTTGGCTCAAGTTGTCTAAGATATTCTAGATATAGGAAGAAATGGTTAATGAATGGTCTGGTGACGGGTAGAAGCACGGTAAACCTTGAGCTCGTTGGAAGACATGACGAGATGGCCTGGTTAATAAAACTAGTTTTCCTAGTGGCGACTCGAATTATATATGCCCTTCCACATGCTGAACAAAAAGATGTGTTACATATCGGAAAGTTGATCAATGGCGATCTAGTGAACGTGCCGGGCGATGGCAATTGAGAAAGCACAGCACTAGAGATCTGCAGATACCGAGACAGATGGGGACCTTCAGAATGAATCTCCAAGCGTTCATAAATGGATAATTTATCATGAGAGTCTAGTTCCATATGATACTAATACTTGTGCCACAGGCTAGTGCCACACACATGTTGTTGGAGTCTAGGTCCACCGGAAAGTTGAAACTGTACTACTATTTCTGTATCACGCCGCGGTCCTTGCCGATTTTTACGTTTTACGATCCCGGGCCATGTCGGTCAAACTTTCACTGGAGCGTATTCGCCTCCTTGCAGCACACCTTCCTCCATATTCACGTCCCACTGTCCATGTCGCTGGCACAAATGGCAAAGGAAGCGTCACCTGCATATTATCATCCATTTTCCTTGCGTCGGGTCTTACTGTTGGTCGATTCAACAGCCCTCATCTAGTATCCGTCCAAGACTCCATTTTGATCAATGATCAGAGTGTATCACTAAAGGAATACAGTATTTCACGTGCAGCTGTTGAGAGCGCGGACCAAGCCCATGGCACAGAAGTTAGCAGTTTCGAAATGCTGACGCTCGTTGCACTGCAGGTCTTCGAGAAGCTTAGAGTGGATATTGTGGTCATTGAAGTGGGCATGGGTGGTCGCCTGGACGCAACCAATTACATACCAGATGAATCTATACTCCTCTCTGCTCTCACGACAGTCGACCTTGATCATCAATCATTCCTCGGAAATACCGTAGAACTCATTGCAAAGGAGAAGGCAAGCATTGCGAGGAAGAACAAGCCTTTTGTCCTAGGCATTCAGAAATACGCTGCTGTCGAGAATGTTGTGCGATCTGTCGTTGAACAGACCGGCGCTCACTTCATAGCAACTCACCCTGCGCAGCGACGAGCGTGGGACGATACCATAGATGGTCCATTGCCGCCTACATTCTCGCTGGATGCGGAATCATTCAGGCCTCCGCCTGCTCAACCTATTATATTCACCAGTTCAGCTTTCCCGAACAGCTTACCCGCACTTCTATATTTGAATGGAAGCCATCAAGTGGAGAACTTGAGTCTCGTATTGACTGTCATATCCACACTTATGACGCACCCATCGTGTGCATCGAGGATGCCAAGCGGTTTTAGCGAGCGCGTCTTGGAAAACATAAAGACAGGCATTAAAAAAGCGACTTGGCGAGGTCGCCTGTCATTCCATCATCTCACAGCTTCCTCATCTAATCCCCGCGCGATCACTGTCCTTGTCGATGGTGCACACAATCATGCGTCATCAGAAACCCTCGCTTCATATGTCTCCAACCTCGTTACAATGTTGGACGGAAATCCAAAAGCGCGGATATTACGATTGACTTATATCCTCGGCCTATCCCATTCTCCCCCCAAAACGCCGAAGGATACCCTATCTCCGCTCTTCGCCTCTCGAAGTAGCAAACAGCTTTCAATACGAACGAAAGTTGCCGCAGTACGATTCACCTCGCCGGAAGGCATGCCTTGGGTGAAATCTGTACCGCCGTCTGAGATCGCCGCTGTCGTGCGTGAGTCTGTATCCGGTGTAGGGTTGTGGGTTGCGTCCGACGAAGGCAAGATTCAGGGACAACTTGAGAGTGCATTGAAATGGGCGACCGCGGAAGGAACAGAAGGAGAAGATGGGGTACAAGAGCTAGTGATTGTCGCGGGGAGTCTATACCTCGTGGCGGATTTCTATCGTCTTCTTGCGATGCAAGAGGTGAACCCCAGTTGACAAGGGGGAACTGGTCGGACCGAAATTGGTACAATTGTTTCGAATATTGTTGTTTTTCTGGTCCAATGATTGGTGGCGTACTCAGAAAGCTTGTCATAATTGGGGTTGTGGCACTACGCGGGGTCTTTTGTTGTTAGGGACGGGTGAAGTTTTGAAGGATTCGATTATTGCTAGTGACGTGTATAACAAGCCTCGAACAGCCTATGTAGGAGTACTTGCAGTCGGTGTGGAATGTACAACCCATGTGCTTGCTGATATCAGCGTATCTGATCACCGATCAATGCTCACTTTGAGGTTCCTTCCAATTTTCTAGCTATAGCAACTTACAAGACAGGTTACGGCTGCCTCTTCTTACCCTCTTCTACCTCGTGGAGCTGTTCGCAAGTACGATGCTACTAGGGAGGTGAAATGGTTCTCTTCTGTGACATTGTGATTGGCGATTCAGATCATCCACTGACAGCTGTCAATCAAACATGGTTCACTAGTAGCGGCCACCAATCCAAGGTCCGAATCACTGGCGTCTGAAAATAGAGGGACTCCACCACTTGTCAAGTGCACTTATCGACGAATGCCGACATATTCGTGGGTGCTAGGTCGAAGTCTCCACTCCCTTGGAGGTGATGGAAGTTATGATCATTTCTGGTGGGTGAAACGGTGGGTGCTGATTTATTGATAAAACGGTTTGGATGGCACACGACTCAATTGATACGACACAACGGCTCTGCAGTACACGTTGCGTGAATCCATCAAGATATGGTGGAATTGAATTGATGTTCTGACGCCACTGGAGATGCGCGATGCGCGTAAGGACACAGGATCTGGCTCTGGCCATGGAATGAAGAACCCAATCTTTGAAATGGAGGATTTACATCGAAATCAGGGGTTCATCTTCGTGAAGCATCAATTCAGACTACACGTTTGTGAGAGTCCATACCTCCGAGTGTGCAACCATTCAGTTACGCTCTGTTCGATGGCTGCCGCTGGTAGAATGAGAACCTGTAAAGTGACATCATGGCCAATGCGCAATGCTTTTGTCACAAGCTATTTAATTGTATCGCCCTTGTCAACCCATCATGATATTAATTAAGCCGCCATACATATTATTGTACCCCATTGGCAAGTCACCTAAGACATTGAGCTATTTCCTTGTGAATTATTGTGATTATAAGCGGTAGAGTACGAGCCTACGTTCGAAGAGCAACTATGCAGATCAATGTCGCTGTCGATGGAAGTTCTTGATCAAGATGAGATGTTGACCAACTTCATGATGTGACTGTGTGATACGTCAGCAAGTATTAGTCCCACGACACTTACTTTAGTTGTGGTTACCAGTCGAGCTGATCAGCGCGCGTCGTCTTCCTTTCCCTCGTCTCTTGTCTCCCTCCTTTTTTTTTCAGAGCTCGCGCGCTGTCAGCTCAGCCAGTCTCCATCAAGAGAGGCGTCCACTCGCTTTTTCGTATTTATTTTTCTAGCCAGCCACTTCACATCGCGTATTTGAATCAAGTAATCGTTGAATGTCCAGTATAGAACCATCCAGAAGACCCCCTCTTGCCGGTAAACCGCCATTTGCAACAGACGATCCAGACGAACTTTTCGACCAGCCACCGCCTTCTAAACGCCGTGTCCGTAAACCAGCAGATCCTAATCCCAACGACCGCACTTCTGCCTATAACATGTATGTTCACACGCTTTGTTTTTTCAACTTGAGAAGAGTAGGCGGATAAACTAACTGGGTACTCTGCAGGTATGATCAATATCTTGATCATCAAGATTCCTCCAACCGCCAGTCTGGTTTCGGTGCAGTCGGCTTTGGTTTCTTGAATGGGGACTTGAGTGACGACGAGGACGAGGACGTCCTCATGCATAAGCCTCCTATGGCAACTGAGTCTAAGCACGATGGTACTATGGATGCATCCCCGATCCCCCTCGCTGCTCCACGTCCTGGTTATCCAACACCCATCTCAGCACTCAGCGTACCATCTTCCCGCTGCAACACCCGAAATGAGACAGATTGTCCAACCCCTTCCCGTGCACCGGCCTCCACAACCTATGCCAGATGCACTGAAAGTCAACCGCCCCCCAGCTGACATAAATATTCATCAACCGCGTATGCCTGTCCCAATTTACGAGACTCCTTCCCCTCGCCCATCTGTCCCAAGCACTCCGCATCCTCTCCAGCCTCCAATGACCCCAATCACTCCTGTCTTTGCCCGTCCCGCCAAGTCACCCGCCCCAAGAGATATACAGTACACGGGCGACCCAATCATTCGTGGAGGCTCAGAGGACAACTTGGTGCCGAGACGTGGCCAGAATCGAGATGACTTCTGGAGGAGGTTCAGCATGGTTGCGAAGGACGAGAAGAAGACGAGCTCTTGGTTGATAAAGACACAGACTGGGTCTTCAAAATTGTCACGCTGGGTTTGGTTCATTGGGATGGTGCTTTTAGTCGTATGCGCCTTCTTTATATCTCCTGCATCCCAACTTATCTATTATTATAGCTCATTGCTGCTGGTATCGGAATTGGCTGGTACATCTCTCATAAGTCATCTTCGAATACGACCCCAAAGGCTATTGGAGGCAGCGCTGATGAAACCATGAGCGTCACCAGTACTCATGCATCAGTCGCGGTTTCTTCATCATTGCACGTTTCGCCTACAAACACGGTTGCACGCCGTTACGAGGCTGAACCTACGCCTGTTATTCGCAAGGTAGTGGAGGAGTTCTTGGAGGACGTTGGCCAAGTTCCAGCGGCAAAACTAAACGTGCCTGCCGGACGGAGCTGGAGACATCGTCGCGGTATCGAGATCCAGTTCTAAGCTACGCCTCTCGCACTCCATCACATTTCAGGGACCCTCTTCCATGATTTAGGCTTCGTGCTCGGATCTTCATCTAGGTAGTCTCTGCTTCTGGTTACTTACAAGCCTTAACCCGTGCTCCATTGTTGGGGTATGCATCCACAAGGATAAACCCCTGTCCGCTCGTTTAATCAATCTCATCACGGTACCAGCGTGATGGATCTGGATCTGTACTCATCAGGTGTCGCAGCTCGGTTTCTATCGCACTTTTTTTCAAAAAAAATTCAAGTATACATTCTTCACGTTCATCCAACGATTTTATTTTTTCACTGGAGACAATCTGTCCACATTTCATAGCCTTCGATACCATATAGATACATTGGCACGTGGCGATTGCTTGAGTACGGGAATCGAGGCTGTCACCAGTTAACTTGTATCATTCAGCGTTCAGCAAGTACTGAGTGCTTGGGACTTTTGGAAATGAATTTATTTATTATACCAAGTGGTTATATCATAGCGTGTATTCTGATGCGCAGCATTGACATTATTAATAGGGTACCCGTCCAATGGGACTCAGTATGCAGGGATCTAAAGAGTATGCATCAAAAATAATCAATTTCCACGCATTCTCTTGGCTGGTCGCTCTTTCTCCTTGACTTGGGCTCTTTCTCCTTCGACTTGGGCGCAGGCTGTGGGACCTTCACGTCCTCGAGGATGTCCACCTCCGCATCTGAATCCTTATCAGCTTGCCCAAGCTCTTCGCTCTCCCGTTTGCGCTTCGCGTCCTCTTCCTTCACCGCTCTTGAAACCTTCCACTCTTTGGAAAGGACTTGGATCCGTGCAATAAGATTTTTACGGGAGTACTGTACTACAGCCTCATCCCAGTCGAGTTTGCGCTGTTCGGCAGGACATATTTTCTTGCTCTTCAGAACAGAGCCGACGTCAGTCAGGTATTCAAAAAGTAAGAATAGACAGGCCACGTACTTGGTGGATGAGATTAAAGTAGTGAACAGGATCTGAAAGGAAGGTTTTAGCGAAATGTAGCAGGTAGACGCCGCAGTCGGCAAAGTTGGGTTGCGATGGGACCTATAGTGGAGTATTGGAAAGGTCTTTTTATTTATTTACAAAACGTGACTCCACACACCTGTGCAAGCTTCACTTCAGCCGGCCTCACTTCGTCAAATTGTCGCTTGTCCTTCGCTTCAGCCTTTAGCCAATACCGCAATACCTTCTGTGCTTGAGGGTGCCGTGAACCTAGAGAATCTAGTGTGAAGATCCAGGTCCTGCGATACATTATAAACCGATTACTCAAATGCAGGTGCGTAGGCTTACCTAAGAGGATCATTGGAAGTCTGAGTGGCAAGACTGGGTTGGATGTCCAACATAGCATCTACTTCCCTTTCCTGCTTCTCGTCCTCATTGCGTTCGTCCTCCTCTTCGGAGTCAGGCACAACAGCTGGCTCGACAGCTTTCTGCTTTCCTTTGCTCTTGATAGAGGTTCCATAAAAGTGAGTCGTAGGGATACCAGTCATACGAGACGGGGGTTTCGAAGACAGAGCGCTGGGAGGTTCAGAGACGTGTGTTGAAGTCGATGCATTGGAAGATGGAAGATTATCCCTCGGCTCGGTCCCCTCTGGGAGTGTATCGATGTCGATAACGGTGACATCAACATCCATCGATTCCAGGCACGGAGAAGACGTCGGTAACAACAAGTCTACATGTGCTTCGACAGACATCGATCTCCCTGAGGCCTTGCCAACAGAGGCAGATCTGCCTCGTATAGATACAGAGTTGGATGATGAAGGCCTGAGTGGTTTCGGATTGGATATTGAACATGACTGTGTGAATTCCACAGGTGAGATGTCATCCATGTCTTCATCTTGCGTAATACTTGGCGTGGACGCGCAAGTAGCGTGCAGTGAGGCCGCTTCAGCATCTGGCTCTGATCGTGCTTCTAGTGCTGGTAGGTCGTGGGGTGGTGCAGCCCCCGGCTCAGTCGCAGGAATTACGTCTGGCTCAGCAGCAGTCTTTCGCCGTAGCTTTCCTCGTTGAGAAAGAGAAGGTTCTTTCTGAGGGAGAGGTGGGAGAAGAGTGTGCTCGGGTTCATAAATAATGGCGAGGTACCAGTGAAGACTTGGAACGGAGTCAGTAAGAGTCGACCTCACTAAGGACATACTCACTTCTCGTTGATCGGGACAATTATGTATTTCTTCGAGAATATATTAACCCTGGACGTCCATTTCTTCACGCTTTGGTATCCTTCGTCCAAGCTTCAGACAAGATGTGTAATTTCAGAATCTGTAAAATGGAACCAAGAAGACCTGCCTTTTCTTGTTGTTGAGCTTCTTGTAGAAGAACGAACTGAAGACGTGAATTTGTTCCGCAAGATCCGGGTTTTGCTCCTTAAGATCAGCGAGCCAAAGCCTGCATAACGTCAGCATCGCACTCAATCAATGGCAGGTAACCGTACTTCAAGCCAAACTCTATCAATGTATCATTGAGGAATTCGTGCGGTCTGAGCCTGTTCAAATCGCTGCCCATAATGTTTAATGCGCCAGGGCCAGATGGAGGATATACGAGAATTCTAGTAAAACAGATAAGAAATGAAACGAGGTGCTAATGATAAAAGAGCCGCACAGTTCTTCAGGGTCTGCTATGGGAGGAAACTCTGACTGAATTTCGGGTGCTGCTGCAGCAGAATGCCGTGATGAACGGCGCAACGATGTGCCGGCCTCAGCGTTTGCTGATTTACTATAAAGGTTGTAGGTCATCAACCAAAATCGATGCAGTCACTGAGTAACCTACGTATCAGGTACCAAGCACGATCCAGAATTGACTGTGGAACTAAGTACATCTGGCGCAGGGGATGCATTCTTGATGGAAGGAGCCATCGATGCGTGGCGAGAATTAGACGAACGATGACTTTGCAGTTGAAACATCTCTGCAAGCTGCTGAAGTTGTCCCCAGAGTGCGCGCGCACTCATTGGTCTGCTTTCAATCAGGCAAGTTCTCTTTACGTGGTCAATGGCTTCGTACCTCACAGTGTTGTGTGTAGATGCTGCTTCAGCCAGGCGAAAGCGTAGGTGCTGATATATCGTTTGCGTCCATCCCTTGTCTTCGTCCGTACTAAACAAGAACGTTAGGTTCCCGCGTCCGCGATTCAATCCTGGGCACAGTGACTCAGTGCATGGCACACCCATCAGAATGGCACACGTACCGGGTTCAAACTCGTCTATTAATTTTCCGTTATCACAGATCTTGCAGTCTTTCCCCGTCAGTAGCTGTATGACTACATTGTCTTTCAAGGATTTCTTATCGTCAGTTGTGACCTGATCGATATTAGTACGAATGTCACATAATTTATGTTGGGGACGTACTGTTACGCTTTCAAACCCATTAGTTTGTTGGAACTGGAAAGATCGAGACTGTCCAGATTCAGCCACAGTGAGACGTCTGTTCTTTGGGTCATACTCAAAGACAGGGGGCTCGGAACCATCTTCTGCACTGAAAATTTTCAAACCGATTGCCCATGCTTGCAAAGGGAGCTTCAGGGGAGGGTCCTTAGTGCGAGGAAGCTCCTTGGATGTGAATTGCGTAGACGACGTGGTAATAGGATCAAATTGTGATTGAGACGTTGGGACAGGCTGATTGAAGGCGTGAGTCATTACAAAAGAAAACGCATTGATGTTGAACCTTAGTTGATTTTTTGCGTTTCATTTTCTTCACAACTCCACCGCTGAGTGCATCCTGTTTTCGTAAATCAAGGAATGGGAGCTGACTCGGAAGCTCGAATACTTTTCGAGTGTCGCGGACAATATGTTCCCGTATGGGCGTACGAATTGCAGCTCGCTGCGATTGAGGTTTCGGAGGAAGCAAAGGCCGGTTGTTGCCTGCCTCTGACGCAAAGTCTTGAATATCATCTACAGCTCGCTGCGCTTGAGGTTTCGGAGGGAGCGAAGGCCGGTTTGTTGCCTGCCTCTGACGAAAAATCCTGAATATCATCAACTTCATCAGATACAACCGCAGTGCAGGATTGTGTGGTCGGAGAGGAATCCTTTCCTTTGCCCTTCCTGGAGTCAGTATATTGTGAGTCACCTGGAAAGGTCTGGAAAGGATGAAGATTCATAGGGTCCGGTGAAGATGACGAAGGATGGGGACGAGATACAGGCATCCCAAGATCCTCTCCGTCTGAAATAATTTCGACCTGGTGACCAAAAGGGTGCTTGTGGTGCGCAGGTGCACTTTTCGTTCCATGAGGTCTGTCGATGATTTGTATCTCGAAATCTGGCTGCCCTGCATGTCTTGTGGACACACGGGTATTGTTTGTGGAACTCGAATTGTTGATCCGTGCAGCAATACTACTGGAGAATGTGTAATCACGTTTGGAGCGCTTGGATTCTTGTAGTCGTGCAGGGGTACCGAGAACCGTCCGTTGCGCATTCGGATTTGTTCGGAGATTGTTGCCGTTGGCGATTTGGTCGTAGGGGCTTGCTGCTGGCTTGGGACGTGTGTTACGCTACATAACAATGAGAGGATTATCACTAAAGTTGGATCTGACGGGTGTCAGTTAACTTACTGTATTCGATGGGGCGGTTATTGGAGTGGGAGAATTTTTCCATGTCCCTCTTCTGCAGAGCTTTATTCAAAATGATCTAGCGAAGTTAAGAATCAGACGTACGAATTACTAGATGCATCTCGGTAGTTGGACGGTCCTGCAGTGCCATGCAAACTGTTGACCTTTTGTCTTTGAGAGGCTGGAAACTCCATTTGCGCCCCTTGCAGCCCAGCGAATAGCACTTCGTCGCGTGCCAGGGAGAGCAAGAAGACGACCAGCTCGCAGGTGGCTGCAAGACCTTCGCTTACCCAGATTGAGCCCAATGCTCAGTTGTTCACTTGCTCATATTGTCCTAGTTAGGCAATTTACTCAGACAAAGCAAACACACGGAGGAACCTGCAGGAGGGAATCCGTTGTTATTTTGGCTCATCGCGAGCGCCTTCATTTTTCTACTTGAATAATATACCTACTAGGCAAAGCAACACACATCCGTGTATCGTTATTTGGAACTAAATGACCACCCGCACTTAAGCCATGCTTTCATAGTTAACGTAATAAACTCCTCCGAATTCCATAACCTCGCGACGGCCACCAGCCCAATAATGTCGTGAACTTGCACAGGTCCAGGCGTCCGAGTCAAGGTCTTGCGTCGGTGTCTCGTCATTTCCGATATCTGGTAGTACAGATTAGAACTCGGGCCCCGAGTACAGGCCTGGGACTGTGGAAAGCGGCGTGTGGCTGGAGCCAGTGCGCGCCACGCTCTACGGTTTCCGGAGGACACCCATGGGATCATTCGGAACTTCCCATATGAATGAAAAGTCTGCAATCTTGAAATCAGAAAGATCTAGTCGAGTGATCATACGGGTAACATAGATCCTTCTCTGAGTCACAGGCGTCTCTCTTGGACCGGGAACCAGCGACGCTCATGGGTGTGAAAGAATCACCGAGCCAAGTATGCAAGGCGTGAAAGCATTCAATCGTAAAAAAGAATGAACGAAGTCGAGGTACTTACGAACTAGGCCTCTACAAAGAATATCGATATTAATAGGCCGTATTGTGTTCCACAAAGTGGTCATCATCGACGAGCTCCGGGTACATAATCGTTGATTGGACTGAGCTTGTGACAATTCTCCAAGAGCCTAGTAAGCCTGTGAGAGGATGTATCTAACGTTCAGTCTCCGAGTGGCACGTAGAATGTTGCAAGGAGACTCTGTCTCATTGGTCAAGGAAGCGCAAACTGCCATCTTAGGCCCAGAGGTGTGATCGGGCGAGAGAGTAGGGATACAGCGGGTATGATTGAGGTTATAGAACGGGGTGTGCGGGCCAGATGCAGAATGGTACAGTGGACAATATGATGGTGATAGCAAACGGTTGACAAAGAACGACCTCGACCTCGCAGAAGAGGAAAAGCCAGAAGGAAAGTATTAAGGTGCCACCAGTGGCATACCGGTAAGAGGTGATGTCAAATAGGAGAGCTAACGCTAATGAATCCACGGATTTCAACACGCTGGATCGACTTGAACTTGCTACATCAAAGCATAACGTAAAGCATCAGCAGAGGTTTCGTCGCACGGCAAAACCTTTGTACTTTTCACGTCTTGTCAATGTACTCTCCTGGTCCAGAGATGCAGGATTTTACAACACGCGGCATATACACTGAGTAGTGAGGATTTGGAAAGGGCGGGCCAGAATCAGCGGTGGTCAACTTGAAGGTTTTGAGAACGTCGTCTGTGCTGTAAACTCTCGGGAATAATAAACTAAACTCGAACTAAGTGACTGCTGGGATACTTTCAGCAATTCCATGCTCGGCTTGTTATTAATCGTACACGCCTATCAAGTAAATTGTACAGGAGGGAATACTAAAGTGGGAGGGCGTGTATGAGAAGATCGAGACTGACGAGACACTGTCACGTGCTCGAGTTCACCATAGATATAAGAAAAGGAGGTAATTAGGTCGAATTAAGGTTGGTTTTATTGTTTGTTCTTATTGACAAGCGTGGCAACCTTCCAATTGCAACGCGTCGCGGCGCGTTCTTTGTACACTGTCTTCCATTGCCTGCAGCAGTAATGGCAAAACGCAAAGTCATTGTTGACGAAGAGGAGGAAGAGGTTCTGGATGCTTTATCTCAGCACTCTAAGCGTGCCAGGACTATTGATAGCGATGATGAGGTCGTTGTTGACCGGTCGCGACACCGCAATAGGAAGCCTGGTAATAGCAACGGCAAGGCGCGTCAGGAGGATAGCGACGAAGATGAAGAAGACGAAGAAGATCTAACCCAGGAGGAGCACGACGAGGAAGAAGAGCAACGCTTTGAGGAACTCAATGGCGAGGCCATTCGCCAGCGCCTCGAGCAGAAGCGCAATACCTTTGGTGTCAGTGGGATGTCAGCTACCTCTGCCGATGGCTCAAACTGATCTATGTGCTGTAGGGTATTGCAGAGCATGGAATCATCGAGTCCATAGAAATGCACCACTTCATGTGCCACAAACGACTAACTTTCACGTTTGGACCTCAGATTAATTTCATTATCGGTGAGTGTCATTTCAAGTACGTTAAGCAGATGCTAAAACAGCTCTATAGGCCACAATGGAAGTGAGTATTGTATCTCCAATGGCTGACGACTCCTGTGTTTCGTTCAACTGACTTGCCCCTGTCAGGCGGAAAGAGTGCTGTCCTGTCCGCGATCACAATCGCACTTGGAGGAAAAGCAAACTCGACAGGACGCGGCAGCGGCCTGAAATCTTTTATTCGTGAAGGTCAACAGTAAGATTGAGTCACTCAGGTTTATATTACTGATCTTGAGACGTTACACAAGGATATCAGAAATCACCATTTCGCTCAAGAACCAGGGCGAGGAAGCATATAAACCTAAAGAATACGGAAAGAGCATTGTCATTACGCGTAAATTCACCAAGGACGGATCTTCTTCGTGGAAAATCAAGAGTAAGGACGGCAAGGTTGTATCCACAAAGAGGGATGAGCTTTCAGCCATCTGTGATCATATGAACATACAAGTCGATAACCCCATGAATGTCCTTAGTCAAGGTGAGTACTCTATGCATATATGCGTCTTCAATTCCATGTTAAAGTTTACGTAGATGCTGCTAGGCAATTTTTAAGTGCTTCCCATCCCTCCGATAAATACAAGGTGCGTTACTTTTACATTCTGGTGTTCTTAGTTCACGTGCATGCATTGTAGTTCTTCCTACGAGGTACCCAGCTATCGCAGCTTTCCGAGGAATATGACGCTTGCCTTGATAATATCAACCAGACCAAGAAGGTGCTACACCAGAAAAAGCAAGTTCTCCCCGACCTACGCGCCACATTCAAGGAGGCGAGCGTACGCTTTGAAGAAGCAAGCAAGGCACGAGAGCAGCGCTGCAAGGTTGATGAGCTCAAGAAAGAGCTTGCCTGGGCTCACGTCGCAGCGAAACAAGCGGTAAGAACAGATCTCCTTAACATTCCCCTTGATCCGTGTGACGTGGTTAATTGTGTGCATTGTGAACAACGAGCTAATGCAGCTATACTTTCTAGGAAATGGAGGCGAAGCTTGGGGAAGTTGCGAAGGCGGAACGCCGCTTGCCCAAGATCGAGGCTGAGATGAAAACAGCTGAGGTGCGCTCCCGGAAAGTCATGGGTACCGATATTCATATGCTCACATTCTCGTTAGTCCCAATTCCAACTTGCCTCCGATGCTGTAGAACAATTCGACAAGGAGCATTCCGCACTTGGCGATATTGATCACCTCACCAAGCAGCGCGACGATCTGCAAGAGAAAATGCGCAGCAACAGGGTAAAGATAGGAAACTTCAAGGTCTATCCACCTTATCTTCTGCTTTACTTCTTGTCTAACATAATTGTCTTTTCATTCAGAATGACGAGAAACAAATGAACACTTCTCTTAACTCTCTCAATGATGCCATCGAGACCTACACGAGAAATATTGCTGAAGAAGAGCGTCGTCTCGCTGCAGACACACAAGTAAAACGAGACGAGTTTAACCGAAGGCTGGAGTCCGCTAGAACAGATGTCACGAACGCCGATCAGGCGCACAAGGACTTCCTTGAAGCTAAGCGTCAAAAATTGGCTGAGCAGGATGGCATCAAGCACAGGGGACTCGCCGCCGAAGCCAAGAAGAACGGCGCACAGGAGCGTGTTGTTGCGGCACAGAGTATGATTTCTCAGTGCAAGGAGAAAGGACAGAACGCACTTGCTCCGTACGGCCGAGACATCAAGGGTGTCCTCGACCAGGTTGCGAAAATGAGGTGGCATGGGGACGTGCCTGTTGGTCCGCTTGGGATTCATGTCAAGCTGAAGGACATGGCGTGGGCAGATTTGATGAGAATTCAGCTGGGAGGCCTGATGAGTGCGTTTGCGATCACCGATGCCAGGGACAGACCACAACTCAAGAGGTTACTTGATCAGACGAAGAAGTGTGTTAGCCAACCTTTGAATTCTCTCGTCATACTGACCATGAATAGCTCTCACGTTAATATCATCATATCCGAGCGCGACATGTTCGACTTCAGCGCAGGGGAGCCACCCAATCACATTCCCACTGTCCTTCGGGTCCTGGAGGTAAGTCTGCATAGTTCTCGTTACTGCTTATTTAATTATATCATACAGATCACGGACCCTTACGTCCTCCGTCTGTTAATCAACCAAGCAAATATCGAGCGTACAGTAGTTGCGCCCAAGCGTCTTGATGCTGACAACATCCTGAAACGAATGAATGGAGGAGGTGTAGCGTGGGCAGCCGATTACATGCGTGTCCATCGATATGCCGAGGGAGGTGGTCAGTCGATCAAATTGCATAGGCTTCTTCCAAATGACCCCCGCAACATGATGTTCACGTCGAGTGACTCTGCCTCTGTGCTTAGGTTCGTCGATGTTGTACGATCTCACAATCATGCTAAACCAATTTGCAGCACTTGGCAAGAGAACTTGCGGAATGCAGAAGGCGAATGTAAGGCTGCACAAGAAGAGGCTGCTCAGCTTAGACAGCAGTTCCAAACCCTGGGACGCGAAATCAATAGAATGAATGTCAGTCCCCCATATTCCTCTCCGTTACCCCATCCCTAAACACGTATGGTTTACTACTACTAGGAACAAGAACGCTCTTTATTCGAAGCCCACCGTGCTGCGAAACAAGAACTTGCTTCGCTTCAAGAGGAGGCAAAAGAAGAGATGCCAGCTGATATCATGGGATTGCAGAGCGCGAAAGATGTATGTTCAGGTGAATTTTATCTGTTCCAGCTGACAACCCTCTTCGTACAGGAAGCCGAAGCGGAAAAAAACCTCGATCATGCAACAATTCGAGGATGCAGTTAGTAGAAGAATGGCTATCGATCAAGAGCAGAGTACTTTACTTGTGGAGTTGAACAAAGTCAAAGCCCAGATCCATAACTTTGAAGAAGCACGTCAGGAAATTCAGGTAAGAGTTACTCTCACGTTCCGTCTGCTGTCACCTAACGCCGAAATATAGAAAAAGATCGAGGACGCTGCCGCGAGCCGTCTTGAAGCCCAAAATAACAAAAATCACTACACAAAGAAGCTCGAGGACGAAAAGAAAAAGGTTGAAGCCATCGATGCCACTGCGAAACAGCTACAGGAGGAGTTCACAGTAAGTATTTCAGCATTCATAAAAGGGCTTGAGCGCTGACTTTTTATCAGAACTGGACCACAAGTGCTGAGGAGTACTGCGAACGGGTTGAAAATCCTCGCAAAGTCGATGTAGTGGAGCGGACTCTCGAATCCGTTCAGAAAGCACTCAAAGAACGGGAGCGCAGGCATGGCGCAACGGTCGAGGAAATGACGATTGAGGTAAACAACGCGAAAGCTGTCCTAGACAGCGCAGAAAAGGATCTAAAAAGTCTTGCTGCGCTGAATAATGTAAGGCTGGCTCGCGCTAATGGCTCATTTCTCTAACGCCATTCTTCAGGCTCTGAAGAGGTCGCTTGTTATTCGCTTAACCCGCTGGCAGGAATTCCGGCGCCACATTGCTCTTCGATGCAAGGTTGTATTCCAGTACCATCTTTCCAATCGTGGGTATTTTGGAAAGATTCTGTTCGACCATGCCAACCAAACGCTCCAGCTGAAGGTATGTCTCCTTGTATGCGAATGACCTACCGCTTACGTTTTGGAACCAGGTTCAGACTGATGATCAAATGGCCACGCAAGGGAGGGACAAAGATCCCCGGTCACTGAGTGGCGGAGAAAAATCATTCTCCACGATCTGTTTATTGCTCTCACTTTGGGATGCGATTGGCTGCCCTCTTCGCTGCCTAGGTCAGTGCGCACACGCAGATATACTCTCCTTTCTGACTGTTTTTAGATGAGTTCGATGTTTTCATGGATGCTGTCAATCGCCGCATCAGCATGAAAATGATGATCGACACTGCCAATGCTTCGGACAAGAAGCAGTATATCCTGATTACGCCCCAAGATATGGGCAACATCCATGTCGGCCAAACAGTCCGTGTCCATCGGATGAGTGATCCTGAGCGCGGGCAGGGCATTCTGGCGTTCACTTAACATTTGGAGGTTGTTTTCTCTCGTGTTTTCTCTGGTCTCAACAGGCGTATTCACTGCAGATGATACATTATTCGTCGCCTTTTATTTTAGTCATGCTTTTCGAGTACAACACTGACACTCCAGCACTTAAGTATTATGATATACCCACTAGTCAGACGCAGTTTGATATAATGGTAATGCCAGTGCTAATATATACGAGCCATTCTTTGGCTGTCACTAGTTCGTTTAGACTCATGATATAGTGCTGAGCGCTGAGCGGTGGCCATCCCACATTGTCCTCTGGGCGTCGAATTTTATCCCTATATGCACGGAACTCCTGAGCCAGAATATTATTTGCCAGGTGTTGATGAACATTGCGTAAATTCCATCTGATAAATTCGTGCCAGATCTAATTGATTCTGTCGACTGAAATTACAATGTTTACATAGTTCCATACGTGAGGGAATGATTATCCTGGAACAATGCATTGATCAACCGAATGACGGTTGTGAGACGGGTATCAAAGGAATCATCAATCCGACAGCTTCTTCCCTTCATCCTTGAAGATCTTAAGCTCATTCCGCCATGGTTCCCACACTTGTCCATATTTCTGGAGCAGTCCCGCCAACTCCTCCCGCTGTTCCCTCTGTAGCCAGAATGAGTACGCGTCACTGATGGATCCAGCTATACTCACTATATTCCAAGGCTCTTCTGCGTATACATCACTGAACAACTCTGTCAGGTCAGGCTTCTTAAGAGTCTCCGCGCGCTTGAACGCTGCGAGCACATCCTGTTTCAAACGAGACTTGAGCTCTTCCTCTTCTGTCCCGTTCCACCACCCCCGGGATTCCATGAATAGGCGGAAACGCGTGATGGGGTTGTCAATCTTCTTTCTGTTCTCGACTTCCTGGCGTCCCCTATACGCAAACGAGTCGTCTGACGTCGAGTGATGGCCAACTCTGTAAGTCATTATCTCGACCAGGACTCCCCGACCACCTTCTAAGCATCGCCTTCGCCCTTCCTTAACAGCGTTCATTACCGCAAGCACGTCGTTTCCATCTACACGAATGGTATCGACACCATAACCTGCGAAAAAAATTCAATTACTGTGATGCCAACGCGCAAGGTGTGATCAAGCTACCTGGGCCTCTTGCGCTCAGAGAATCGCCATAATATTGTTGCGAGCTTGGGGTGCTGATAGCAAAACCATTGTTACGTGCTAGGAACAATGTTGGTGAAGGCAGCGTGGAAGCAAGGAGCATTCCAGCGTGGAAGTCCCCCTCAGACGCTGCCCCTTCTCCAAAAAATACGCAGGCTACATTTTTGGAGCGTCTCTCTGGGTCACGTTTCAGTGCATAGCCGACCCCAGCAGCTTGTGGTATTTGAGTTGCGAGTGGGGATGATATCTGGTGGAAATGATGCTGTGTGGAGCCGAAATGCTAATAGAATGCCAGCCAATTCTGAGTAAGGAAACAACAATGGGGCAAGGTGACATACCACGGGCATCTGGCGGCCTTTGCCAGAATCTTCGTGGTTTCCGAAACACTGGGCCATGACACGATCAAGAGTGAAGCCACGCCACAAGAGCACCCCAACTTCACGGTACTGTGCTGCAGTGGAATTAGCAAGAACATAAGTGATGAATCAATCCGTCCGACCTAATACTCTGGAAACATGGCTCGTCATTAACTTAACCGAAGTAACGGTTCTCAGGGAAACTTACTCGTCGTCATCAGCCAGTGCAGCAGCAGAACCGATCACAGCAGCCTCTTCTCCATACTTGATAGGGGGTCAGCGACTAGAATTCATACTGCGTGGCCATTCATCTTACAGAAGTCATCTAAAGAATTGTCAGTAAATGTTTGAGAAACATCATTAGTTTGTGCACGTACATAGAAGGATATTTTGCCTTGGCGTTGGACATTGTAAAGTATATTATCCAGCGTCGGAAGCAACTGCATATTCTCATATCTAATTCAAGCCTGTGTAAGCTACGATCTTGAATTACTGCGAAGTCAACCCACAATCGTCGCGCGAACTGTTCGCTGATCTGAATGAACTTGAACGTTAATGGGTTTGTTCGGTACGGAGGAGCGCACACATACCTCGGGCACCTCAGCACCTTCTATTGGAATACCAGACCCATCAAGGACTCTATAGCTCGGTATCTTGCCGCCGTCGCCAGTTACAGAATTGAAGAATGCGAGCTTCGACACGACCGGTGAATCCGTCGTGGGGAGACAACCTAATGAAGAAGAGGCAGGTTGGGTTGAGAGTGCCCGACCTCTGGAGCGAATCCTTGTCAGCAAGGGAGAATATTTGACTGACAATGAACGCAGCATTTCTAGAGACGCTTGGATGGTGGTAGTTCCGGAACAAGAACCCCACGGAGCTTGACAGGTTCCGTTAAAGTAGAATTCGATCTATAACAGTCGTAAGTACTCACGTTCAGCGCGCCATTATGACAATAACGTATGATGCTACTCTTCCGATGCGATAGAAGTCGGCAGTCCAAATGTTCTGTACACTATCTCCTACGGTTGTCGGTCTATTCGTGAGGAAACGTGATGGTTGGTCACGCAGTGTAACGGTAAGTCACGAAAGGGTGAGCACTCACTGAGTCACGTAGCCCATCCCTTCCAGCACAATCGGCACCCCACAGAAGTTGGCTCCAGCATCGTCTCTGTACGGAGGCGCCAATATATTCCCAATCGATTCGGAAACGGCCGAAAGGCTCCCTAGTGAGTGGATTTAAGGTCTCGATGTGCTAAAGGCCACGAGACCTGGGGTCCGAAGCTTTCTCCCCCAACCGTAAACTACCCTACCGGTGGGTCACGGTTAACATATGCAGCTGGCTGATCATTGGACGCGGTTGCAGTCGTGCAACGGAACCTTTAATTCTACTAGCTCGGTGGTATAATCCTAAACAGAACGAGAAGGTCGGCGCGGTTGCCTAGCTGACGAGAACTTTTGCAGGTTCGCCATCCCTGCAATTCTAGCGTCCCTCTTGCCCTGGCTAACAAACTCTTTCCCTAGGAGATGGGTGCCTGCAGCGGGTGCTAAGAATGTGGTCTGCCTCGCGACGCTCTGCTGGACGCTCTGACTTGGGCTTCGCTTGAAGTTCAAGCTAGTCGCTGAGCCACGCAAATGCCACCAGTACTACGATATTGCAAGCTCTTACATAATGTAACTCATTATCACAAAGTACTTGTCAATCGAAATCGAGAATCGTGGGCATGAAACTGGTGATTCGACTTCGATTCAATCGTAAACGTGTGACGGTATGTAAATTCTGATGTTTATGGAGTTTGCATACTACGGTTAAAGCTTGTATCTTCTGTCGTTTGAAGTTCATACACAGTGATGGATGAAATGGCGGTTGTCACTACGACATCTAGGTCCATTTGGGTGAGACGCCCACGATGGGCTACGAACGTTATAGCGACCCAACAGGACCCGCTCATCTCCCAAAGATACCCCATGAATGCACAGGGAGCTGCCATGCAAACAATACTGTTTGGAGATCGTAATACGTCTGACTTGGTATATCCATGGGGCTTGATCTCAAAAGCTTCGTGTAGGTCTATAAAATGTTTGAGAATTGCGGGATGGAATTGTTGCAAACACACTTTTGGTCAGTCTTTTGGTAACTTTAAAGCTTCCTCTGCAGCTTTCTTGCGGCCGCCCATAAGTAATGTCACATAATCTGCGCCTCCGAGAATATGTTCTCCCGTGGCCTTGCTTGATGAGGGTTTTGACTTTGACTTTGACTTTGACTTGAGATCTGCGCGTCTCCTTGCGGCTTGTACGTGCGATGATGCTACATGTGGAGTCGATGTATTGGCAACGCTGAGAGATCCGGATGAAGGGTATGACACAGATGACGCAGCTGTCTTCTTTTTCTAAGGGGACACGACTTCATTGTTAGATCTAGAATACAGATGACGACTCACAATGCGTTTGTGCAGCTTTGCGTTGCGCCCCATCTTGATGGTCTGAATTTCTGTGAAGGAAATAGTGGAGTCCTTGGCTCAATTTTGAGTTAGCGACTACCCTGCTTGTCACGTGCACCGCAAAGTCTTCACTAAAGTTTGAACACAGTTTGACAGTGAACAGCACTCTCATGCTTTGCATCACCGTATAACTTTGCATTGGTCAGATAACGGGAGCAAGGTAATGTACTTTGTCAACGACCTTTGGTCATTAGCAACTCGATTGCTAATGTCACCGTGACGGTGTGTCAGCTCTGTGGTGAGCTTGAAAATTTTATCATCGGAATATCGTTGTATTCACAATTTGTCAGTCTCGGTGCGCGAAGAAAATATGCGCCGGATGCTGGTACACGATATATTTGGCTAAAACATCAACTACAATTTGAATTATGCGACAACAGTGGCATTAGTCTGTCCCTCGGAGGTGCGGTACGTACGCACCGCATTGGTCTTGGTGACTGTTCTCCCCTAGGATCCGTAATCATTGATGCATCGGCGGCCATTGATACTGGTTGCAGTATCATTTAAACTTTGAGCCCATATCTTCCGAGTCTGGAATGGCATCGACAATACTCTGCTTATTATTTATTTCGCCCCGAGCGCGCGTGGGCTCGATCTAGACCCATGCGATCACCATTGTTGACGCGATTATACCGGAAGCTTGATCATCATCGCTGTGATAAACCACGCGGTCTTGAGAGTTCGCCAGCGCATTGGAGATTCGGTGGAGATGAATACATTGAGCATAATGATGTCCTGTCCGGTACCATGATCTTCTGCGGTGCTCATTTCACTTGTTCACTCTCACAATCACTTGCCGTTCGTCCCATCCGGATCCTCGCCTTCGTGAATGCTGTCATCGTCTGTTTACTTATATGGTTACATCGATAGCCCTCGCCGCTTGGCACGGAAATTGATCACGCACAAGCCAACTTTGCGCCTCCCAAGACAACAAGATGACATCTTTGCGGTGATCCGACATTGGCCTCGTCGAAACTGCATTGGGGACAATCGTCTTCGATGTGGTCCCCCTAAACCTCATCACTGTCTTCACAATACGTAAATGAGTTGTGTACGATATTTCCCGTTACGACGGTTGAATTCAAGCTTCTCCTAGGCTCCTAGTTTGAATGTCGTAATTGTGTGCTGGGATATCGCTGATTGAGTTGTTATAACAGATCGTAACTAAGTACATGCAGTAACGTGATGAAGGGTAACAAAGTGTTTGTGGGTTTGATATTCTTCGAAGCTGCACGGTATATGGCACCACAATAACCAATCCATCATTAAGCAGTTGGGAGGACATATGTGGATTGGGGTCGAGACCCCAGTCCACTCTGCATGTCCAATTAGACAGATCATCGATGAGATGTGTGGTGTACCCACCTCTTCATAAATCTTCTCTATCCATTCCATATTTGCAATGGAGTCCTCAGGGCTCACCCAGGTTTGTGGTGTTCGGCCTTTGACCTTGTCCACAAAAGCCTCCAGCTGGTACCTGTAGGTAGACCACCACTCCTCTCCTTTACCACCCTCGAACGTGTATGCTTTCTCTGTTCTCGGAGCGCCACTGTCAGGTATCACGGTGATCGAGTGGTAAATCACTGGCATCACAAAGTTGAACAACTCGATGGAGCCACGTTCACAAACTGCGCGAACGGAAATTTCCGGCCAGCGAGGGATGAACCCCCATCGGGGAGGGATGGCGAAGTCGCATTTGATAGTGGACCTCACTGGTTCCTCGCCAGGCTTCAGGGAAGCAAGAGTGAGATTGGCAGTGGTGCCTGTATCGATACGTGAATCTCTTGAGAACCGCGTCGCGGTTGCGGATATCACCGCACTAGGGTTTCCTGATGCAAGATAACGAACACAACTTAAAGGATAACCTTGTAAGATCATGTTAGAGGGGCTCATCGCAAGAGAAAGGAAAGCTGACATCCGCAGTCCATCATTGCACCGCCACCAAGATCGTAGTTCATCCGAATATCATCGTTGCGAATAGCACCCTTCGGAATCGCAAGAGTTGCATTTACTTCCCTGATAGCGCCCAGTTCGCCACTGTCAATGATAGCCCTGACACGTTGAATAGCGGGGTGAAATCTGACATTCGTCAAGACAGTCCTTTGCTACGATTAGTAGATCATGAGACACTTGCCTATAGTGGAATGCCTCAAGAAGAACGAGCCCTTTTTGGTCCGCGAGGGAAAACATACGCCGTGTTTCTTCGGCAGTATTACCACTGGGCTTCTCCAGAAGCACATGTTTGCCAGCAGCAAGAGCCTTAATTGTCCATTCGTAATGTAAACCGTTGGGAAGCTAACGGGTCATCAGTCACAGTGACAAGTTCGCACGCAGCAACGTTCAATCACGCACGGGGTTGTAGACGATATCTATTGCAGGGTCATCGAGAAGTTCTGTCGTGCAGAAGTAAACACAAGGGGTGCCACTGTCACTTCTTGTCTAACTTACCTTGATAGCCATCTTTCCCTCCATACCACTTCTTGAAACCGTGTTTATTTGCAAACTTCTCCGCACGACTGATGTCCCGCGCTGCCACAGCATAAAGTTCTACCTCTGGATGGCTTATCGCAGGCAAAACAAGAGCAGGGGGAGCAATTGCAGCTGCCCCTAAAATTCCAATTTTCAGGGGAGGAGAAGCATTGTTATCTTCCACGTTGGGGGGACGAGGCGGACTAATGAAGGCCTGCGACCGAAACAGTGATACTCATGTAAACGGTATGGTCGCGAGAAGCCGACTTACCGCATAAACACGCTTGAACACACCAAAGATGGAGGACATGATAGGCAAGTGTTGTATCACTGTCAGCTGTAAGTTCGCGGTGGGAAACCAAGAAGGAATCCGGTCACAGCCTGGTTAAAATTCACATCAGTCACTACCAGTCTTCAAAAGTTCAATGGTAACTGATGAATGAAACTTCAAAGCGAAAGTGGACATGGCGGCGAAATAAAATTCGTCCGCGGATATCCAGAAGGTTTCATGAGATTCCAATACAATTTCATGAGCCCAGTGAGTTGGCGACTTATAATCACATAGGGGCTATTGACATATGTTATGTTTACGACATGCCTGTCAATGCATGCATGTTCGAATTCGTAAGTAGACCAACTAAACCGTTTCACAATGTTAGAGCTAGGACTTGCCATGATGTAAAGGCAAGGTTAATGCTGTCATACGCCCGAGGGCGACAGTTGAACAATAACATCGGTGTTTTGTGGTGCCTCCCACGAAATTGTCTTGTGTAGTGCATCTATCTTTCATACTAGTACCTCCGCACTGCTGAAGCGCTGATAACTTGAATAAGCCTTTTGAAGACACCAACGGCATAGTTATGTTAACTTGTATTTCACTCAACGATTTGACAACGATGGCATTTGAATTTAAATGTTTTTTTCTCTCATTTGTTTAGATGATAAATCCCAATGCAGCGAAGTGAACCAGTAGAGTAAGTACGGTAAGGGGAGAAACAGGTGTGGAGCAAGAAGTCGCAAGTTAGGGCCGATAACTCCACTGACGATCAACATCGTCAGTGTGGGGGTTCCTGTGGGCCTAGGGTCGTATATGAGATCTGCCAATTGATATTTGTTCGAGGTACATGTTACTTTAACTTACAGTGATGTCGCCGTTTGATTTGCAGTCGGATCTTTGCAGTATCAGATAATGAGATAACGGCAGTACTTATGTACAAATTCTATTCGTGAAACCTAACTTAATTGCTGAGCGCTGAGCTGGTCTCAGGGTTTTAACTTCAAGTTGTCGAGGCGCTACTTCGTAGATTGACAGGCTCAACATAAGCAATAACTGCAAGGTACTATCTGTGGGCTTCTATTCAATGGGCTTATTTGACAAGTGTAGCGTAAATTTCGATGCAGTGTGGGGCAGCCCTATCAAGCCCAGCGGTATGGTAAATGTGTCAATATCGGTGCATTTGTTCTTATCATCTGGTAGATAGTGGTCAGCTGTGGTAGCTTGAGTGTCACGACCTTCAGTTTTTACACGGTATACTTGTGTCTCGCTTGGCGTTACGGTCAAACAATCATTAGCAGTGGTAATCACAATAGACGCGAAGGTTCTACTTGAGCGCAACCCGGTACTTGACTGGGGATATCTTTGGATTGTAGACGATATCACTGTCCGAAGGACACGGCGAAAGATCACATAGCTAGACACAGGAGTCGCGATTAAGCCGCAGACTGACGTGGATGTGATCTGAGAAGAGATGTCAAACACAGGCTTTGAATCGGGACGCCGTGTGATTTGGGGTTAGTGCAAGGTTCGTCCGAGCGTGGACCAGTTCATGGTGGTTTGTGCGTCAAGCTCGATTCCTATTGAGCGACCTTGCGCCGAGGCGAACAACGGAATGCAGTCATATCTCCATGGCCCAACACTCCACGAGAATAGCCAATGGCAGAAGCAGTATTTCAAGATGAAACCCCGATGCCGAAGGGCTTCAAAGGGTCATCCTGCTCGCGTATAATGAAATTTAATGACGCCTGTCAAGGGGGCTGCTGACATGTTACATTGTCCGGCTTATTGATACAACTTGTTCTAAAGTTGACGCAATAAATTAAGACTGGACAAGTATATATCAGTACTAAGTTTGTTTGACGCTAGCATGTCAAACAAGCTGCCTCGAGGATATCAATAGGAGATAACAGGCTTACAGATAAAGAAGTGCCATTTCTAATGTACACGGTTGAGAAAGTTTATTAAAATGGTGCCAGCCCTGGCTTAACGAAGCTACGAAGCGTACCCCTTGCAAATCCACACTCACGACCTAGAACATCGACTAGTTGATGGGCGGTGAAGCAGCTGGATCTAAATCGGCTTTAATCCAGCCAATCATACGTGTTGCATTACTCACCATGGGATATAATGCCCATCGAACTCGCCACTCCAGTACTAAATAAAAACATGTAGCTCATTGTCAATTATCACCGACCGGATGTTCCTCCGAGACGTCCGCGCACTTGTTCTACCGCGCGATACATGTCTGCCGCTGACGATTGTGGAAGACCAAAAAGCTGCAAGATATGCGGAATGGCTTTGCGAGTAAGCAATAGCCGTTGCGAGGTCTTGTGCACGTGAGATGTACCGGGCTGTGATAGAGAAGCCGTGACATCATCGGGCGGGCAGCCGTTATTCGTGCTTGAAGCATCTACCGGTAGCTGTGTCGCGAATTTAGGAGAGGGCGCCGTTGGCGAGCGCAAACTTTCGATGTTCGATAAGGATGGGACGTAAGAAGCGTAGAGTTCATCAAGTGCCGGGCTCGGTTCTGGAGCAATCAAGCCGTGATCTAGAAGGGACGATAGATACTGCGAAGTTCTATATGCTGTGTAGGGTGGTCAGAGTGTGTCGGGAAGAAGACAGATGGTTATTCCGTCTCAAAAAAAGACTGCACTAACCTCTGTAATGTGACCAAGATCTCCATACACAAAAGAAGAATGGAAGGTTGGGTATGACAGCTACAACCACATGTTTTTTTTAGGTCGAAAGTGTGAGTAAATGTCGAAGACACGCTACTCAACGCGTCGCGACTAGAAGACTCACGGACAATGATGAAGGGAGCCGTCAGTGGAGCAATTGCCATCCACATCCAAAACCCTCTGCGATGCCGGGGCTCTCGACTTGCTAGAAGCGTGCGAAGGTGTACAATTGAGGGATGCGACACTTCATCCACACCCATGGGCGGTAATGAAGCGTAAATGGATGGCGGATAAATGAGGGGTATCTAACAGGCAAGGTCAATACACGCTCGGAATCCTCGGATAGAGCATCATCCATCTTACTCGCAAGGCCTCCCTCGGACTTTGCTTTTCCGAGAAATTTACCTCATTTGCTTCTTGTCCAGTTATTTCTGCGTGAGTAATCGATGGCCCTAAAGAAGGGTCAACGCCTTTCAGGGTTAGCTCCTCAAAGTCTATGCGGTCGACGATGCGCTCGCCAAGCTCATAAGTTTTCAACTAGATAACCGAGAGATTTTAAAAATGACAACCGGACAATATTTCAGGGATAAAGACCTGCCTTCCAACTGCCTTCGGGTGCCTTTCCAAAACCAGCCCAAAGGTCGGCAGCTTTTGTGGACGCCCATTTCACTGCTCGCTTTATAGAAGACTGATCTTGACTTTTAACACTGTTGCCTTGAGAGAGGTCAAAGTGGTAGAAAATAAGCATGCGGTTTGGGTTGAAAACTGCGTGTGGCTTTAGGCCTTGATCAGGTGGGACCTTTGGGCGAACAAGAGGCAAAGCAATGATACGCATTGTACGCATCGCTTTAGGAAGAACAGACATGATCCTGAAATCAAGAATAGAAAAGCGGCATTTAGGGACACCAGCCGGTCTCGGCAAAGAATTCAGTGGATCACGTGACATGTGACAGCGAGGACTCAACGCGACTTGCATTGTGATCAGCGCTATCGACCATGAATTCTCCTGATCCAGGTTCTCCGATCTCAACTGATTCATCTGATTCACCTCCACCTGATGATTTCCAGTTTGTGCCAAGTGGCCCGAGCGCCCGCGATCCCCATACATCGTTCTTCCATTCCGCTACGACTCAAATATTGGGAAACATCTCGTCAGTGATGCCTAGCCCTGGGTCTAAGCGCCGCCTCCCTGGCGGCTCTTCCTTCGATGGTCCTTCACGGAGAGATGCAAAGACGAGGAGACGAGAGGATGCAATGAGCATGGCGGGAAATTCTCGCCGAATGACGGAAAGCCAAAATCAAAATATAGGAGGAAGTAACTCTGGAATGACTGCAAGTAATGCCTGGGGAGCGAAGAGTGAACACGGGAGCAGGCGTGATAAAGAAGACCTTGTTGATGTTTCAATGGCAGAACAACTTAGAAAAGGTCTGTCATAATTGCAGGTTTAATGATAATCAATCTGATTGTTGTTGCATGCTGTTACTTATAGAATTTGGAGACCCGTTCTTGGAGACAGCCATTAAGAGCCCAAGTTGATCGATGTACTACATATTCTAAGTCGTTTCCCTTAGTTGGTGAGGAATGCTTCTTGCGTGAAATTCCCACTGTTAACCTGTATTCATTACGCCACATAGCTGCCCATATCATTGTCGTTATCGTATTGCACCAGCAGGAACATCTTCTGATCACATGAAGTAACATTCATTCAAGTGACATCTCTGAGTTGTTTTCGGTTTGTGGTGGCGTCGAACTTGCATGACTCTCTTCCATATCAGCCCCGCGGTGACAGTGTAACATTAGCACCCTATGTTGTGAAATACATTCACATTCTTATCCGCCTGGCACCCGCGACTGCTGAACAGGGATCGGAAACCCGGATACTCCCACACTGGCAACCCCTAACCCACCATATCTCCCTCGTTAAAGAACGGCATCACCTGCAGAGTGGCTTGAGAACATTCTGGCTCGTCTTAGCTTTGATGACAATGACCCTGGGTTGGAAAACAGTCCATATTCCATGGCACAAGAAATGTCCCGACTTTCGCACCAGGGTAGACTGCTGTTGAATGTGCTATCTTTCGCAGATTCGTGGCATCGGACCGACAATTCAATCTTGAGGTATCCAAATTCATGTATGAAGAACTTCGTTTAGGTCATCCGGTACTCGTGTCGCCATACAATACGCATTGGTTAACACTCTCCCTGAAATGGGATAGTACTGTTGGAACCTCTGGCTATACACCGACGGGCAAACCAGCTCGAATTTCCCCCTCTTCGATCGAGAGACACGAGGAGTTCGCGTTTTTGTTAGCAAAAAACAAATTCAAATCGCTGTCCTTTGGGGTCGTAGACCCTACGTGGGATCCTATAGCCCCATGCGGGGGGCTTATTCTTGACTTCCTATCACAGTTTTGCGTTCAAGTTGCTTCCAAGGTAGCATTACTTTAGTTTGGTTTCGCTGTCAAGAAATGGGGCGATCGTCTGACCTGACAAAGATAAGGTACTATTCTGAGTACCGGGCCGAGGCACACCCATCTTCCTTGGCTGAACGTTGAACTTTCGCCGTCACGCGTCCGCGTCAACGTGTATACTAGAAATCCTGCTGCACAGTTGCCCTGGTTCGGTTCTGACCTTGGCTATTGACGAGGAGCACGAAATAGTGTCAACAATTCAATTCAACAACAACTGGGATTGTTTTCAGAAGATGTAGACGTCCAGATACTAATTAAAATCCAAGGCAGCAAACCAGCATAAGTTCTATGAGACTGCATGTTCGTAAGTGACTATGTCCCCGGGGAGTGAAGGTTCACTTGATTTGTTCGTGGTATAAGGTAGGCCGGTTCGAAACCGATACATGCATCACGTTCGTATGTCGAATATGGTCGCGGATTGCGCAACTGAACCTCCGCTGGCATATGAGTGATAGGGTTTCGATAGTATCAGAGCTTAATATTCGGAATCGAGAGGACAAATGAATACGCTTTTGTCGGAAATTAAATCAGACATGCTAGATGAAAGAGAGAATTGGAGTGCGTCCGGACAAACCGGGGGCGAAGGGTGCAAAGAAGAAGGCTAGATCGAGACGATGGGCCATCGCAATCAGATCTGTTTATCGAGTTGGCAAATACGCACAATTTTGTCAGGAGTACATCATGATCACAGGTCAAGAGTTAAGACTCAACTGTCCCTCGTTACATATCCCAAAGTCCAATATCTTGTCAGCATTCAAACCTTGCCGTGACTCGTGAGGGATCCACTACCAGCCACCATCTGAAACTGATCGTCCCGGTTGGTGATGGTGGCTGGCTTATTCGAAGCGGGTGGGCCTCTCTCTTCGTCGTCCCCTATATCTTGCGCAAAATCCTTTAGCGTCCCGAGAGTTTTAAGTTTTTGTGTTTTGTACATCGCACTGCAGTGACCGCACGGAAGCAAATGAAAAGGTTCGAACTCCGCGATGCAGATGTACTAGTACTATTTGCCACACGAGCGCCCGCTGATCCAGACTCCATTCCCTAGGGCCGTTTTACAAAGACATACACCAATCGTATTGATACTGATCTTGCGAGCGGAATGTCATCCAGTGGTTTCCTGCACATCGTATCCATGTCTCTAGTCATGGGAGCTGCATCCTTTGGGGCTGGTCTCGTACCGTTGTCGTCGTCAATGACTAGTATGCACTACGCTGGACTTCAGTTACATTTGAATTAAGCGTTATTATTGTTCGCAGAAAGTCACTTCGCGAAGTTGTCTACCTTGAGCACTGGATTACTTATTGGTGCTGCACTTGGCGTTATCATTCCCGAGTGCGTCTCGATATTTTCTCCATCAAAGTTTTCTGCCTCTAATTTGCAGTATTGACAGAGGAGTAGCAAGCACGATCGCTGGCGACCCTGAACCAGAATCGTATTCTCACAAGATTGCGTCATGCGTACTTTTGGGGTTTGCGTTCATGTTCCTCGTGGAGGAGTACATTTCCCCACATGCTCGAACGATGATGCCTCAGCTGGAGATTCGAGACGAAGTAGAAGATGTCCAATTTGATATCGTGCTTGATGAGCTTGAGCGCGAGGAGGGTATGACGCTACCCGGCTCACATGCGTCTGCCTCGCAAATGTTGCGACATGCACCTTCCTCAAGCTTACAACGCGCGTACCCACTGTCGTTAGGACTTATAGTGCATGCTTTAGTTGATGGATATGCACTAGGCGTCTCGTCTCTTGAGACACAATCAGGTGCTCTATCTTTCGTTGTTTTCTTGGCTATCATGATACATAAGGGTACGCCTGATGGTTTTCTGTCACTCACTCATCCTGCTGACCACAGACAACAGCACCCACAGCGTTAGCTCTGACATCTTCTCTCTTGGCAACATCCCTCCCTCCTTCAGAATGCAAGAGACACTTGCTACTTTTCAGCCTCGCTACGCCAGTTAGCGCCATCCTCTCTTATATATTGTACACCCATACCGGTGATGGAAATAACCTGTGGGTCGGAACACCCTTATTATTTAGCGTAAGGTCCATAAGCTTCTTACCGTCGATCGGCACTGATGTTAATGCTCCATAGGGAGGTACTTTTCTCTATGTGGCGACAGTACTGAAGTCGCCTTCAGAACACGCACCTTCATCCACTCAAGAAACCATCAGCAAAACGTCACGAACGTTTCTCCTGTTGTTGGGAATGTTTTTCCCATTTACAATTAGTGCAATGCTGGGCCATGGTCATTAATATCATTGCAGGTCTGAGATAAATTTAAAGAATACACATTGAATGGTCACGTAGGACTAGATGCCGCCTAGACGCGGGATTTATAGGGTTTACTTACATCCCAGGCTGATCTCAGGGTAGAAAGGTCAACATGTGCTTGGGTTGCTTCAGCAGCTAGTTTCATTGTTTACTTCTCTTCCAATGTCAGAAGACAGTCACTCCCAGTCTGATGATAATGAATCACCGCCACTAAAACGAGCCCGCCATGATGACCAGGCTTCCGAAGCCACAAAAGTCAATCAGCTATCTATTCCATCCACTATGAACACCAACTTACCTCCATTGTCATTATCAATTCTCGGTGTTGAGCCTCTCGATGAATTCATTCGAGAGATCGCTGATTTCGTTCACCACATGATCGTGACGAGACCCATTCATCCAGACGCAAAAGTTGAGGTAGAAGCAAAACTTGGTATCCTGAGGGACCGCACAAGTGGGCAGCGCCTGGTGCTGCCAGTTCTTGTGGAGACAAGTATGTTCACTAAGTTGTTCGTGGTCTTTGCCTAACGATTAATAGTCTTAATCCCGAACGAGGTTGACCTTCGATTCGAGTCCAATATGTCTCTTGTCAGCTTCATTTCATGTAGTCCTTCAGCTATAGCTCACGCGAACATTTGGAACGGTAGACCCAGCACAAGCACTTCAACACCATACTCAACGATCTGAAAATAATATCAGTCTCAACCGTCTCACCCAACGTCTCCCCTCGAGTATACCCATGTCAAGGTGATCGACTCGTTCTATTCCACCGAGGATCGAGAAAAAATACGCGTTACCCGCGAGGAGAAGACCAATACCGTTCTTGAAATAACACGCAAAATAAGGCTTGGGGATCTCAACATATATAGTCCCAAGAGGGCGGTGGATTGGAGGGTCAGCGTATCGCTCGAAGTTCCAGGTGAGCTCGCATGCATCCTATCAGGTCGTTAACAATGACGATTGCTCGTCAGTCTCCCATCCTATTGGATCTCCAACCCACGTACGACGGAAAGATAGGATATGCTACTCGCATGAGGAGTTCAACATCGACCTGACCCAAGTTCATTCCAATAATGCGGCACCCAATGCACCGGTATGATGTCCTTTGAGTTGTCGTGAATACGATGCTGAAATACTTATAATGAAGCCTGAAGTTCTTCATGAGTTGGAGGTGGAGATCGCTCGCCCAGGACTTCTACTTTCGATTGCTGCCAAACGTGGGGATCCAAATGCGTCAGAACTTGACCGCAACGCATTTGACGAGCTCATTCGATCGTTCGTCAATAACGCCAGAATATTGGTTAAGAACGCGAACGACGGCTGGCACACGTAGCTACATCTGCGTTACTTTTCGACAGTTGTAACTAAGTAATATTCGAGCATTCCGAATTATGACTTCAACTATACAACAACAGTAATGTAATAACCCTAAGCAACCGAAAACAGGTATCAGTACAATCACAGTCCAACAACTTCGACCAGATCGCCATCATCTAGGTCCGCCTCTCCGATTTCCATGTCATCTGCCATCTTATCACCGTCAACCATTAGCTGAGGCATCGCTTGTGCTGTTCGCGGAGAAACAGGGTATCGATCAGATAGACCGGCTGCCTTGAGAAACGCTTTGATAATGACTCCACACGTTGTTGTAGGTCGAACTGTAAGATTAACATTGTCCTCAGTAGCCGCCGACCTGAACACAAGCTTAATTTTGTCGCCGCCAGTTGACTCGGCTTCCGACTCCGCGTCTAATTCTATTTCGGGAGATGGTGAATTATTTGATGACTGAGCGGCCTTCGGAGCCTGTTGATGGCGTTGAGCACGTATGTAATCCCAAGTTGTTTGATCACATGCTTCTATTAAAGGTTGTCAGTTTTAGGCGCCCGTATACCGAGAATAACGCACCGAGCTCTCCTTCTGCCCAAATTCGAAGACCGTGAGGCGTGCCTGAAGCAAACAAACGCTTTCCATCGTGACTGACAACAAGATGGTCTACCAAGACAGCGGCCAAGTCTGCCAATTCCTCAAACAAATACTGGAATGTGTCATGCTAACGAGAGGTCAGTACCATTAGTGATGTTGTTGGTTGGTAAAGATACCCACTCTTTTCATCTTAAAGTTCCAAACATCTTTTGCACCAGCTGTGTTCAGTGGATGAGGTTGCCATCGGACCTTGATTATTACTAACTCAGGGCCGCCGCCCTGTTCTGGCGTATTCTTGGTTGCTACAGCCCTTCTACGAACTTCCTCGGCGATTTTTGCGAGCTCCGGATTCAAGTCAGAAGTATCCGCCGGGTCATCGGGAATTTGAATTGGTGAGGGGGCGCGGGGTGGTGCAACAGCAAGCGCTTGTCTGGTAAGTCTTCGTGAGCGATAGAAGTCTCGCCTAAAGTGATTTCACGCGACCTGACTAATGCCCTTGCATTATTGAGTTGGTGTATAGGAAGTTGCGGAGGTGGTGTAATGGATTTTGAGCGACTACGGTCTCTTTTGCGTTTTCGGGGGGGCGTATCGTTATGTGAAACATTTGGTGTGTTCTCCGTGATTTCAAAATCGTCCTCTTCGTTATCTGAAGAAAGGCTACGGAAGATTTATCAATATGATCGATCCGCGGACCATGTGATATTCAAGTACTATACCGAGGTACTCTAACAGTACGAGATATAGCAACGAACTAGATAGAACAACGCACAGAGTGACTATGTCCGCCGCTTGCCACCGAGGTAATTCATGCTGTTTATTTGGCTTCTTCTTGCGCCTCGGAGTAGATTCCGGTTCAGTTCGTTCATCCCAATCGAGGTCGTCTTCATCAGCTTTGTCGGACGGAGTGTCTAAGAATTGGATTGCAGAGTGAGGTCAGTGTGATAACCTATGAGAGCGGACACACCCTTTGCCATTGCCCGAAGCTTGTTCCAGCAGTGAGAGGTTCTTCCGCGATTACGCAAGAATATAGCGTCTTCATCGTCTAACTTGTTCCCTGCAATAGAATTTTGCGTTGTGCTCGTAGAAGAAGACGGTTGCACTGGAGATGGTGTTATATTTGAGTTGACTGTTGTCGACGATGCAGCCTTGGGCTTTGCCACTGGACGTGGCCTTGGACGCGGGCGCGTAGTAGACATGACGAAAGTACACAGCGTGGGAAGAATGCAAATATTGGCTTGCCCCGTGGTCACTAGCGCTCTTCCATCCAAATTCGCAAACTCGTCAGTAATGTTCAAAAAACCTAAGTCAAGGCTGGCTCCAAGGGGCAGGGAAAGGTCACCCGAAGACATATCACAAACCACATCCGAGAAAGGAGAGAGCGTCGAAGAGTCGCCAATAGCCCTCGCGGCTAGACTCAAGAACAAATCCAAGCGCACTAAGCCCAAATCTACGCTCAGCTTCGGCGGTGACGAGGAGGTTTGTGTTTTCACTTCATATACTATTTAATTCTCGCTTACCATTTAAGACGTTAGGCAGGAGATGGGGAAGTCTTTCAAGTGAAGAAATCAAATCTTAGTCAAAAGTTGTCCCTGAACGCTCGTCCTGCGTATGTTTATGTCTGTGCTGCTGTAGAATTCGGTTTGTTCATGAGATCTATTAGGAATGTGCTGCCTGTCTCGCTTGACCAAGCTACTATTACTCCCCGTTCTAATGGGGCACCCGTATATGACCAGGCGTACCTCTCACAGCTGAAAGCAAGCACGCCTTCGTCGCGACGTGCCCCAGTCGCTGAGGGTTATGATGCAGACGTTTCGATGGACCCAGGTGAAACCAGTATGGAGGCCACTGAGATATCTGGTAAAATCTTACTCAAGTGCCTTATTCACTATCTAATGACGTGCAGTCGATGTTGACACAGTGATTCCTTCGGAATCGTCAATACTATCCGCTAAACAAAGACGAGAACGTATGCGGACTCATGGTACAGAAGATGATTTCATATCTCTTTCTGTCACGAAACGTGATACCGTACCGCAGGGTCCACATCCAGAAAGTCGATTGATGCGCGAAGAAGATGAGCTTGGGGAAGGAGACGACGGTATGCCATTTATCAACTTTTTTTTTCCCACCAGCTTGACAAAGGACAGAGTACGCGGAGTATACCAGCGCTCAAGAGCGCATTGCACTTGGCAAGAAGTCAAAAAAACTTGAAGCTTCGAAGCGCAAAGACGCTATGCAAGAGATGATTGTAGATGCGTATGTATAAGCATCTCGCTGAGAATTTTACTAACATTGCGAGGACAGCGATGAGGAAGACGAGGAGACCATGGAATGGGAGAGGGAACAGTTGCGGAGAGGCGGTCCATTCTCCACTTCCCACGAGGTATCTCCTGCAAAACAGGTCTATAAGCCTGCTGCAAGTAAGATCTACGTTTTTTTTCTGGAGTTGTCTAACTGGAGCCTTTGATAAGTTCCTTCATCGACTACGATACCCTCTCTTGGACCGGCGATGGACCGCCTGTCTCAGTCATTGACCGCGATGACCATGTCACATGGAACGAATGTGAAGGCAGCAGCAGCATTGGTTGATGAACGAGAACAATTGGATGTCCGCGAAACAGAGCTCCGCGAGATGATTGCCAAAGCTGAAGCAAAAAGGTCGTGGTTCGCTGCATTCAAGGAATGGATGGAAAGTGTGGCGACATTTCTCGATGAGAAGGTTTGTATCATCCCTATCTCACCAGGCAAAATCTCACGGATGTTTAGTTTCCGAAACTTGAGAAGCTTGAGGATGAATATATTTCAGTGCTCAAAGAACGCTCTGAAATGATCGCTCAGCGACGCCAAGCGGATGGCCAAGACGATCTATCATTGATTTTCGGCCCTCTTTTGGTGAGCGTAGATCAATTCGAAGAGGTGGATGACCTGGGGCGAGTTCTACCTCGTGCGAACCCTGTTACTGTCCGCCGTGAGCGAGAAGCCGCGCGAATAGCTCGTCGACTTCGTCGTAAACGTGAACGCGAAACCAGGGCCATCACAACACTACTAGACCGGGAAGATGGTTACTCGACAGACTCCTCCTTACCTCCATCGGACGCCATGGATTATCGAAGTGCTATGGAAAGAATAGCTAATGACGGGCATAATTTATTATCTGATGTGCATGCAGCTGAATTCAGGGATCCGAGCTTGGGGTTGGCCAAATGGTTTGGTGGATGGCGTAGACGCTTTGGTGATAGCTATACCGGTGCATGGGGTGGCCTTGGACTCGTCGGTGCTTGGGAGTTCTGGGCGCGGCTAGAACTTCTCGGATGGAACCCCTTCGAGGTGCGTTGATTCTTCTATGCCATGAGACGTTTGATTTATACCAATATCAGACTTCGCACACCCTAGATGAATTTTCGTGGTGTGCTTCACTACACGAGTATTGTGGAGATAAGGATGATGGTCTAGAGCCGGATACAGGTCCGAATGATGACTTGGTTTCTGCGATGATTTCCACGGCAGTCGTGCCCTTCATCTGCAAGGTAGTTGAAGCAGGCGCGCTCGACTCTTATTCCGCATTGAATACCCGCAATATGATAAACCTGGCGGAGCAAGTGGAAGCTTCTATTGGGCACGACAACCACAAATTCCAGGTAACTAGATTCTTCATAATTACCGCGAACGAGTTGCTATTCTAACGCAATTATCTAGATGTTATTGAAATCGGTGTACTCCGTTTTCGAACGCTCTGTATCGACATCGGAATCTCTGATAGCTCCTTTTGTTGCACTCAACCGTCCCGTCTTTAATCCAGATGTCATTGCCGCCCGTCGGCGTCTACTCCGCCATGCGTCAAAGTTTTTGGAAACGCTCATTCGATGGCGCAAGTATACTGGTGAAAAATTGGGCATTGGCGACCTTTGCATCCGACATATGAACAATATTGTTTTGCCGATTGCCGAAAGCGGGTGGGAGGTTGGAGGAGAGGAAATAACTCGAGAGGTAATTGACGGGAATGTCAGATGTTTGCGTGGCTAACTCTACATCTTCTAGATGATTGCCATAATGCCGCACGAAGTAATACGCGCACTGAAAGCGCCATTAAATTCCTTGGCGCCTTGAATTGAATGTTGTTCTTATGGCGACGTTCAAGCGGGGTATGTAATTACCTCGAGTTATCCCTTTGTTTCCGAGTAGTCCACGCTGTATGGCGAGGATAGTGCAGGGTACCACCCACGTAATCACACTATCACCGCTCGGCGCTCGGAAGACCAATGTGAAGCCAAATGACTGTCGTGCAAAGCCTCTGTGGCTTCTATGCGCATGGACGGTTCGTTCCGCTGTCAGACACTTGCGCCGTTGTAGCATTGCCCCACTGTCACGTTTCCACGATCGCGCCATCATTTTTGTCACATCCCATTTCTGGACCCTGACGCTGATCTACCACAGATTCGACAGAAGGAATAACTTTCTGCTTGAAAGATACGTCTTGTGTTACGTGATTTACCTCGTCGGAATACCTAACACGACAATATTTGAACTGTGTTCGGTAACTGCCGTAGCATTCGTGAGTTTCAATCAAATTAATGTCTTGAAGCCGACGAGTGCGTGAAGTCTGATTACCACAGCCGGCTCTGTCCTATGCGATAACTGCATTGCGATGTGAAATCATTACGCAGCTTTTATTATTGGTTTCTGCGTGCCCCCCTGAGTCGCACAGTGCAGGATAAGTCGTTATCTCTCGTTAGGGTCCTCTGGGAGCGTGCAGGGCCATGAGTGCGGTGCGTGCCCTTCTTGGTAACTATTCGGGATGTTTTTGGTTGTCTCTGCTTTCACTCATTCGCAATTCACAAATAAGATTCACTGACAGCGACAGCTCCATGGCAGTGGAGACTTCTGTCAAGGAGTTTCCCGATTCCGCTCGTACGTGACCATCTTATTCGAAACTATTTTGCCCGATAAGGACCTCTCGAAGAAGTTGCAACGTGACCCCGGCACGTTCGAGCTTTCCCTTTTCGAAGTTTGATGAGATCATCATGAGGTACTTTATGAAAATCAAATGGGGCTGAAAACTGATGTCGGACCAACTTAGACCGGCTCGATTTGCTTTCACTTCGAATTGGTTCATGATTCAGTCGATACGAAGGAGCCGGCGGCCATGATGCGTTAAGAATAGCGGACTTTGTTTGTTACTCCCTGACATGGTATAGTGCGGCCTGAATGAATTTTGCTTACAGTTTCGTCGACACAAAGCACACGCGGGTTGTGCTCGACCGAGAATTAAGAGATACGTAATTTTCTTTTTAAAACTAAATCATGGGTGCCGATTGGCTAACAGGCACGAGTATGTATCAAGCAAAACTAATATGCATGAATAATATGTATGATCTTTCCATAGGCACGCCTATCCATTACGCTCACGTCCGGAGTCCCGGTTGGGCCATGTACGTGATACTCATCATAGATGATAACAAGGAGGGCTATAAAACAGGCAGTTGCCAGAACTTATTCCGCAGAAGCTTTAGCACCCTGTCCTTCCTTTTTCTCAGCACACGATGACGGATATCATCGAAAAACCTCGTCACTCCGAGACATCGAACAACTCCTATGCAACTCGACCCAACGATGTCTCTGCCCTAGGCGTCGTTGACTTCGCTGATTGCGATCAATGTTCTCGGTACCCCAACCGATGGTCAAAAATCAGGGAGCACATCTCCGCACCTGCAGCCGAGTTCATGGGTGCCTTCGTGCTATGCTTGCTTGGGTGTGGTGGCAATTGCCAGGCAAATCTTTCCGCCAATAAAAGTATCTCTGCAAGCCCAGCGGGGGTGAGTTCAAGGTTTCAAAAGTGGTGGATGGACTGAAGCTCACTGGTGCTTGTTCAAAGGATGCCGTCACGTCCAACCTCTCTTGGGCTCTTGGTGAGCGAACCTTTATCATCGTGTGTCGACATCTTCCTTACAGGCTGGTCAGGACTGTCCCTTGGTGTATGGCTCTCTATGAACCACTCAGGGGGTCATTTGAACCCTGCAGTGCGTACTTCTCAACATCTTACATGTAACTATTTGTGCTGACTACTAGTAAGGTCACCATAGCATTTACTACTGTCCGCGGGTTCCCCTGGAGAAAAGTTCCTATCTACATCCTTGCGCAACTTCTGGGAGCCTTATGTGGGGCAGGTGTAGTCTATGCTACTTACTTCCATGCGATCGACATCGCCGAAGGGGGCTCCAATATTCGTACAATTG